AAAATGTTATATTCAAATATTATCAACAATATAATTAAATTAATGATTTATATTTATTTTTATTTCAATTTAAGACATATACTACTATTGTATATACAGTGTGTAATATTGTGCAGTTCTGTAGTTTAATTACAAAATAAAATACAACAAAAAATTATTTATTTTCTTATAAATTAAAAAACAAATTTTTAGTCAAAATAAACTAAAAAATAAGTTTTCATGAGTTTTTTGCATAGTTTTAAAGCCCAAAATATTAGATTATAAAAACTGCTTTCAAAATAAATATTGTTTTAAGGAAATAATTTTTGACAAATTCAGTATTAAAATCCTTGCACTACAAGCAATGGGATTCAATACTATAAATATATTATTTTAACTGTGAAATAGTGATGCAAATTGTTTAGTTTGAGATTATGTTGGGATATATATATATACGTGTAGTTAAGAGATTTTAATTTATACTAATGTTTTTTGATGAATTTATTTTTTTGTTATTTATTTAGTTTTTTATATATAAATAACTATTTAAATATATACATATACAGTATTTATTTTTCTATATATAAATTATAATTATAAAATTACATAATATCTTATTAAGCTCCAACTTTTTTATGATTTGTATATATTATCTTCAAAAAATTCAAATATTTTTATCTCATTTTCATTAATAGTAAATTAGTTTAAATGCAAAACAAAATTATAAAATAGAAACCAATATATCATTATTAATTAAGTTGTATTTTAGAGAGCGATAGAAAATGAGACATAAATTTTTTGTTGATTTTTTGACTGCTTATCACAAAATTTGTCATAAATGTGACAAAACTTTGAGAGCTTATAAATTTATTAGTCTAAACTGTTTATATATAAGTTTTTGTAATTTATTTTAATTGTATAATAAAAATAATTAGTAATAATTAAGATTAATACAAAAATTTAAAAACCATATAAATTAAACTGTAAATTGTGAATAAACCACAATACCGTATGCACTTACACTACACACACATATATAATAAATTAACAAATATATTAACAACTAAGTGTGGGTGAGTGGGTGAGGGTGTGAGTGCAATATTTTGCTATTTAATGATAGCTAAATGAGGTACTGGAAAGTACTATAAAATACAAAATTTAATAGCACTTTACAAAAGAGAGAGAGAGAGAGAGAGAGAGAGAGCAGTGAATCTATCAATTAATAAATAAAGAGTGAAATAATAATTGCTTTCATTTTTCCAGATTTAGCAACCAATTCATTGACCAAACATTTACTCAACCAATCGCTGCATTGAATAATTCATATTTTCATTTCATTTCACTCTTTTATATATCTTATACATCAAACAATAGGCTATATATTGTATTTGTGGCACTACTATAACAACATCATAATGTTGTGGTATTTTTTTTGGAGACCCAATTCATTAATGACAAACACTTTTACTATATAGCCATCAATACTTATATTTATATACACAGTACTATATATAATATAATATTTTGTATATTTACCAATACATGTGTGTATATATGGCAATAAAAATAAATATAAATATGAGAAAAGTAAATTAGGTTTTTTTACTATACATTTGTGATAAATGATGCAAAAATGTATAACAAATATATTTTTTGTTGGCTAATAATATTTGTGTTAATATTCTCACTGTAAATAAAAGTTGCATTTTTATTAACTTTAAATATATTTATAATTTTTTTAGTGAAACAAAATCCCAGTATATTACAGAGTTATGTATAATAAATGTCAAAGCGATTAGTGTTATATTAGTATATATTTTATTGGATGATTTCCTGTGTGTGTAAGTGTGAGGTTTTTAAAAGCGGTACATATACTTAAAAAACAAGACATCCCATAGATTATAGTGAAACAAACAAAAAAAATGTTATATAACACTAAGTGTTACAAATAAGTTTGAGAGACACACAAATCCAGTACAGTGTATATGTTTAGGAAAATGTTATCCAATGGGCGCAAATACAGTACACACTCTGCACTCTAAATATATTTATGATTATTCACAAAAAAAAAGAGAAAAAGTTTTATAATTAACTTGAAATAGACTTTCAAACGCCAGAGCACTGGTAGTATTCGCACAGTTGGCACCGTTAGACGAAAACTGTTGGTGCCTTTAAGGATGTCTGAAATCATTTAGTAGAAGAACAAGTAGAAGAAGTAGAAGACACACACCGTTTGAGAAGTGGATGAGCAATGTGTCGGAATCAACACATTTTTTTGGGGACCAAAAACTGTGTGCAACTGTTGTGTAACAACTCATCAAAACTCATATACAGAGTATAGAGAATTAGGTTTTCTGGCAAATAATTGGTATGAATTGTGAGGAAAGTCGTATCGTCAGTAAAAGTAAAAGTTTTTTATCGGTGCATAAAACTATGTCTTTCAATGAATTTGTTTGTTTGAAAATTTGTTTTTGCGATTATTCTCACTGTTGTTGGTGTTGTTGTTAAAATCGTTATATTATAGTAAATGTTTTCACACACACACAGACAAAATCTAGTGACAACAAACAAGTTGTGATAATAATAATAATAATAATAATATAGTAGCAAATAATAAGGCAGTAAAATTGCAATACATATTATCGGCATTTTATCGACAAAAAAAACATTTCATCGCCTAAACGACACAATCTTATCATTGCTTTATGTTATTTTGTGTACCATTTTTAGTGTAGAAAAGATATTGAAACCAATTTAATACTAAAACCCAAATAATAAATCTAAATCTCGACCTTTTTTTCTTCTTTTATTTAGCTCATAATGTCTTAACAACAAGAAATCACACTATTTTTTGTTATAAATTTTATTTATTTAAAACCAATACTATTGTGTGTATTAATTAAATTAGACGACAATTAACAGCCCATAATAAATACCTTTTTCTCTCGAAAAAAACGTGAAATATTTATACACACTATTATTATAGTGTTTAGCAAACCATTTGGGATTTGTAATAGTGATTGGGGTGTGATTTAACCCAATAATATAATGTTAATACAGACATTACATTGGCATCAATATTGGCTATCACTGGTCATCATTTTTTTAATGACCATTCAAGAGTCAGTGGTTGTTGTTGTAGCAAATGACCTCCAGTTAGACCAGATTGTCAACCTTAAGAATACGGGTGGAATCGGATGTATATTAACCATTCATCCGGATGTCGACGCATGCAAATCGCAGTACACTAAACGTATGACTGATGTGGTGGACAAGGGTCACGAAATGACATCACCAGAGTATAGAAAGGCCATGTGCTGTGGATTTTGGTCACTAAGAAACTGTGTGGCAGATATGGCTAAAGATAAATGTGATACCAAAGCTGCCAAACAGATATCCAATATGAAGATATACTCGTCTGAACACGAGAACGTCTTGGCCAAGAACTGCGATGGATATGAATACGGATCCAAACAGTGCGATAGTACGGCATCCCTGTCCTTATCAACATTCACTTTAATCACTGGTCTTATAGTCTTTTATATAGTCAATCGATAGTATTATTAAATAATAACCAAATTTTATATAAATTTTTAAATAAATATTTTATAAAAAAAATACTAATAATTGATATCTTAATATTAATTTCCAATTTCATACATACTGTACTATTATTATTATATTATTAAATAATTTTAGTATCTACAATTTACTGTATGATTATATCATATTATAAATGTCAATAAAAAAAAGTTTTATACCTGCGGTATTATTTTATACACAAAAATTTGAGCACAATTTATATTATATTGTATTAAATTGATAAGAAAAATTGTGCCTTTAATAAAAAAAACAAACAAAATGAAGATATTATATAGTTTTTTTTCAAAAAATATTTTTTTTTGTACTAATAATAGACAAGTTTTTTTCGCTGATTTGACTTTTTCGGGTTCACTTAATGAGCCCACACTTACTGTACAACACATACTCCCCAAACAAACGGTGGGTATATATCTGTTGGTAAATCTCTATTCGGATCCAATTCTTATGAGTCTTTGTCAGTCAGTCGTGTATTTCTTGTGTCACTACAGAAACAATTATCGCCAAAAAAACACCCGAAATAATAATAACATTTATGTTGTGTGTGTTATTGTACTTTATATATATATATATATATATATATATCTTCACCATAGGATTTGTGTCTAAATTTATTGAATATACTGTAAATGTCTCTTATCTTATGATCTCTTTGTCGATCTCTTTAAACAATTGTTAGTTTACTTTTCGTTTGTGCATTTAGTGGCAAAATATAATGTATAGCTTTTCCAATTTAAGTATAGAAAATACTGTATAACTCTACTACTTGTGTGATATATAAACAATATTAAGGTATTATACCAGTGGTTCAGTTTGATGCCAAATGAACACCAGATCAGCAAATTAAGTGAACAACACATACTGTATATATGTTGCAGTTATTTACTATTGTTTTTTATGTCTTAGTTTTTGAAAAACATTGCAATAAAAATGCTTACCTTATGTTATATTATTATTATAGAGTAATTTGCGATTATAAGCATAGGTCAGTTCATATTGACAATAATTATCAGCAAAATTCAATAGATATGCTATTATTAAATAACTTTCTAATTACAATAATATTCAATTTGAAAATTTTATTAATAATTTTCGAATATAATATAATAATAATATATACATATTGTATAATAAACTAATAATTAACTTTATATTTTTTTAATTTATGAAATTTATAATAAATTCAAGTCATATGGATGCTAATATTTATATATACATAGTATATAATTTACACAAAATTATTATATATATACTGTATATGTTTTTATAAGTTTATACATGTCGTTCAAGCAATAATTGTATACAACTATGTGCTGTACTTTTTTTTTATAAAAAACATGAAAACAAACAAAAAACAACTTAAATATATAGTTAATAACAAATATAATTTAAAAATTACAATACATCTCTAGATTAATATATCAAATTAAAATTTTTCAAATTCAAAATAAATAACGACTCATCAAAAAAAAAAACATAAAAATACAATTAAAATAAATATGAAATTCTTGAGACATTTCAATGAAATGTTTCTCTAAACTATTTCTGTCTTAAATTTTGCGCTAAAAATAAGTGTAAATTATATAATTAGTAAACAAATAAATAATTAATGAAATCAAGCAATGAATGAATGAGTGAATGAATAAATGGCTTACTTTCTGGTTTTGGCGGCGCAATCAATAATCTGTGTCAAACATCTGCCAAACTCTTCGATCACCAATTTCTCGATATGTTTGATATCGAGTCCAACTCGTTCTCCGTGCTCTGCCTGAGCTAATAGGCACTGACACGTGGCCTCAACAACTTCGGCTGTTATAAAACTACAGGGAAGCCTAATAATAAAACAATAATACAGTCAATACATTCAATTATATTTTCAGACTAAACATTAGTGTCTCATACCTGTCCCCATCAACTCTAATGGGAAGTTTTGGTTTGAAATCAGAGCTCCAGAGTCTGTTTTTGGTGGCAGCGTTTTGTTGGGCTGACCGCACTTCAGCCGCGTCGGCCAAATGCATGAGTGTTTTGCGTTCAAAGCTTTCCTCAAAGTTCTTACAGCCGACACATTTGCAAAGACCAGAGCATAGAATCTTTGCCTCATAACACTCGCAATAATTCTTTAGACAACCACTTCGTCGACAATTACATCCCTTTGTATGTCTACGTTCGGTATCACCAGCTCTTCCCTTACCAATCTTTGGATGAAAAGCGTGTGGATTTCGTTCAAGACATTGACGAATAGCTTTCTGTCGGTCCTCTTCGTGGTCCAAGTTATTGTGACAACTGATGCAATTACAAGAACTGCAAAACTCTCCGTTTGCAAAACAATCGCAATACAGTTTAAGACATTGAGATTTAGTACAATTGCATGGTTTTCGTTGGTTCGGGTCTTCAGCCGGTTTTGTGCTTCTGTAGGATATATTATAGTTAATAAGTAATAAATCAAATTATAATCATTCAAATGAATTACCCGTTAGAGATCTTCAATGAACCAATTTGTGCCGCCGTTAATGAATTGACAGTTGATGTAGTGGTCATCGGTGACGGCGCAATCGGCACATAATTTGTCCTCTGAGTGGCAGATGTGGCAAATGTTACCGACTTTGCTGATGTAGGTGTCGTTGTAGTAATGGTTGTGGTCGGAGTCATCTTTAAAAGTGATGGATTTGGTAACATGAATACCTGTCCTGAATTTGAAGTGCCCGGTGTTGTTATGTACGCAGTTTGGGATACAGTTGATGCCGCAGTGCTTACTACAAGTGAACCAGAGGTCACTTTAACACCACTGGTCGGAACAATGAGTTTAGTGGCAGGTGATTGTGTTATGGGAGCGATAGCTCGAACACTAGTGTTGGGTGCAATTGATCTCAATGGAACCAATTTATTAGATGAAATTGATGTAAATTGAGGTGATTGTGCTGATGATATGGGAACCACACGAATGAGTTGTACTGGTTTGGCATCATTTGACGCTTTACTTATAGCAATCTTGGGCTGCGTGGGTGCCGGAGCCAAAATGCGTTGCGGCGATTTAGCCGCAATAAATTGTTGTCCAGATTTAACGGGCAATATTTTGCCGCCTGCTGGTGCTATAGTTGTTACACCTGTCGTCGATGTTTTCACTGGTGAGAGGATTATCACTTGTTGCGGTTGATTTTGATTTGTATTGACACCGGTCTTAGAGAATGCCTGTCCAATAGGTCTGAGCAGAACCTTTCCGGGCGGAGCAACGCCGGTGGTGGTCGGCATTGACATAACAGAACTTAACGACTGAGTCTGTTTTGATGGCGAAAAAACAATCTGTTGTCCCTGTGATGTATAAATCACTTTCACAGTCGATGTGTCGTTTGATATTTGATTGCTTGAAACTGTGGTCACATTTGTCACTTTCTTGGCTTTGTTTTTAGCGGATTGGAGTTTAATTGGTGAGGTAGTAGTCAACACTTGAGAAGTGCTTAATTGACTCAAACTCAGAGCATTTAAGGGTATAATTTGTGGTTGAGATGAAGCACTCAATTTTACGAATTGTGAAGTCGCCTGAGATATGGGTATTATTTGTTGTGGATTTGGTGGGCGAATCTTTGCCTGTCCTCCAGTTCCTCTTCGGCCCCGAGAGGCTGTTACGGATTTGGTCATAACAGCAGTCGCAGGATCTGTAAAATAAACACAATATATATTACTCTCTATATATATATTTCATTAATTACTAAATTAATTTAACGCATTCATACACTGTCTGTCGGAGAATTGATTGGTCGATGAAATGCTCACTTCATTGCCAACATTGTCGAAGACAATTGCATCGTTCATATCGACATCATTGATCGTTTCGATCACAATTGTGTCCATATCGACATCGTTGGCATTATTATTATTGCCACTCTTGTCGTCAATCACTTGACTTTGGTCTACATTTACCAGTATATCGTTATTAACAAACTCATCGACAAGATTATGCTCTTCGGGAAGTGTAAAGTCGGCACCAATTCTTGCGGCCAAATCGCTCAAGTCTTGCGATGTAAAGGCCAAGTCATTGTCGGCCGCTGTTGTTGACGAACTTTGACCTGAATTAACCACAAAAAATATTAATCAATTTGTGTCTTCATGTGAACCCATTATTACAATTATAACAAAAAACACTCACTTTTACAATGATTTTGATTTGTTATCAATATTTTACTCATTTTATTTTTTTATCATTTATAAAAATGTCAATAAGTTATGAAACAATTAAAAACACTATAAAAATTTAATTAACAAAACATATTGAAAATACGATATTAATTATACATTTTTACAAATTATTTTTTAAAATATTGTCGCTATATGTCTATTAAAAAAAACTATTTTAAAAATCATTAACTAATATTCAATGCAAATTTGCCGGCTATTTAATTTGGGTCATTAAAATATACATTTTAAAAAACAAAAATACTAATATATTACTTGTATAAATTATTATTTAAAATTATGTCAAATAATCTAGCTCAATTAAATTGCATTTATTCATTATTGTTTTGAAAATTTTATATAAATTTTTGTTAATCAATAAACATTTTATTTTATCTCAACTATCATACAATATAGTATGTATTCATATAAAACTATATATTAATATACATATAAAATATATATATAAAATACATAAAAATGTTTAATGACTTTTCAGAAAAATACTATAATTATAAACCGAAAAATATATGATATATAAAATAGATATTAAATGTTAAAAGATTTTACACATAAATATTGATAAGCAATCAATGGGTTAATTAAAATAATTATTTTTCAAATAATAATAATTAGAAAAAAATAACTACTGATTAGTTAAAACAAATAATTAAATAATAATATAATGAAATTATGACAACAAATATTTTTTTAATAATATAATTCATTCAATAATAATAATAATTAAAAAAAACATTAGATTTGTTGACAACAAACAGTTCATATAATTTGATGGCTATATTGAGGGCCAAACGCGAGTCAAATCTCAATACGAATAGCGCTCCACAACTAAGGGTTGCAGTCATTTGCAATGCATTTACAACGATAAGAGTCTACAATAGTTTGCGCACAACTGTACTCAACAAACACATAGCCCTTATAGTGCGTCAATTGATTGCCATTTTTGTCGCGGAATTATTCAAACACTGAGAGAGAGAGAGACTAACTAAACATTTTGTCTTTTGATATATCAATTGATACGACAATACAAATGACTTATTTATAAATTAAAACTAAACAAACAATTCAAACAAAAACAATTGCAATCATTATAACTAAAACCAAAACAAACATTTCATATATGTTTGACCACAACATCTAATCAATGGCAACGCCTAAACATAAACCAAATTTAACTTTATTTTAACCCAAACTACTGTTATATATATATTTAGTATTGTTTTGTAGCCGTAATCTACGGGACTGTCCTTTTTTTGGTCAACACATACCTGATCTTTGATTTAGTAAAGCCATTGTAGTGATGGTTGTATTACTATTAGTTGTGTTGAAGTGAGCGCACAGTTGTTGTAATGTTTACAAGCAATCAATTGATGACAATTGAAAATAGCGGCCAATAGTCCAACACTACAACACATATACACACTGTGTGTACACTATATGTATGTTTCTATGCTTTCAAATGCATTAAACACTAATCTATGTCTATTCACGACTCGAAAACATTAATTACGACTATAATTGCCCCCAAAAAACATTTAACACATTTACATATTTATTTAATAATGGGAATTAAATGTAAATTATGACGTTATTTATGTAATAATCTCAATCTTTCATATATATCATAACGCATTCAACTATTTGGTAACAATTTAATGTGTATTTTATTGTTTATTCAATTTGGTATTAGAGAGGGATTAGATATAATGCAAATATTTGTTACGTTATATATGTATGATTGCGGCAATACATGAGATAATAGTGACCAATGAGAGTGTGATTAGGAGTGACTAATGAATGCATTATTTATTTTTTTAATTGAATTTCAGATATAATTGTTGTTAAAATCAATTGATTTGATTTGCATTCATATATATATCTCTTTTAATCATTTAATTGATTCAATTGAATCAAAACAGACAACAATGTCTGGTATTGACAAACACCGGCAAACACTCCAACAATTGGCACAATTGGGCGGAACTCCTAAAGAACAAACCGATCGGTAAGTGCGGCCATTGATTATCGGCCATATTTAATGACCACTTTTTTATTGTTGATAATATTGTTTTCTTGTAGTTATCGTTCATATTTGGAGACCATTTTTAAGCTGCCAACTGAAGAACTGGAGGAAACGCTTAAGATATTTATAGAGACAAGTATTTCTAAACTAATGTCTTGTTTTGTGACCATTTAATTAATTCAGTATTTATTGACCGAAATAGTTGTTAACGAAAACGTATCGCTTGTAATCTCACGACAATTGTTGACAGAAGTTGCGCAACACTTACCATCATTGACCGCAACGGTTTCGCGCAATATCTCTCACTTTACCTTAGAAAAAGTTCAGCCAAGAGTTGTGTCGTTTGAGGAACAGGTGTCTGCAATCAGGCAAAACCTGGCCTTAATATATGAGAATCAGCAAAACTGGAAAGAGGCGGCACAAGTGTTGGTTGGCATACCTCTCGAAACGGGTCAAAAACAGTATTCAGTTGACTATAAATTGGAGACATATCTGAAGATTGCACGCCTGTATCTCGAGGATGACGATCCGATACAGGCCGAGGCTTACATCAATCGGGCCTCACTATTGCAGGCCGAGACCACTAATGAATCTCTTCAAGTGATGCATAAAGTGTGTTACGCTCGGGTTCTCGATTACCGGCGAAAGTTCATTGAAGCCGCTCAACGATATAACGAGCTTTCATACAGAACTATCATTCATGAAGACGAACGCATGACTGCACTGAAGAACGCTCTCATTTGTACAATACTTGCGTCGGCCGGTATGACAGCAATCATATGTTTGCTTTTGTACTCATTTTATAAATGTTATGACTTTGCAGGTCAACAACGGTCCAGAATGTTGGCCACACTATTCAAAGATGAGAGATGTCAACAATTGCCTGTTTATAACATAATGGAAAAGATGTATTTGGACAGAATCATCAAAAGGTCCGAATTGGATGACTTCTCGGCACTGTTACAACCGCACCAAAAGGCAACCACATCTGTGGGATCAACAATTCTGGACAGAGCTGTTATTGAACACAATTTGTTGTCCGCTTCTAAACTCTATAATAACATAACGTTTAACGAATTGGGAGCACTTCTTGAGATTGATTCGACAAAAGCAGAAAAAATTGCTTCGCAAATGATAACCGAGGGAAGAATGAATGGTTTCATTGATCAAATCGCTGGTATTGTCCACTTTGAGACCCGTAATGTTTTGCCAACTTTTGATAAGCAAATTGAAAGTCTGTGCTTTCAAGTAAATAATATCATTGAAAAAATTGGTCAAACAGTTCCCGATTGGATGCAAAAGACTATCGATCAGTCGCTTTCATCTGTTCAGTGATTTTCAATTTGTTGATAATTATAACGTTATCACAAAAAAAAATTATCGACTGTATTATAAATAAACTTATATTTAATATTAAATATTGTTTTGAATTAATGGTTTAATTTTTAAAATACAATATTTTACAGTTTAAAGATAATACAAATTATGTATAAAAAATAGTATAAAGTTTATACTATAAACTAATAATTTATGAACTTTTAGTTTTATGTGAGACGTTAGTTGAGTTTGGCTTAGTTTTCGGTGGAGTTGTGTCTGAATTATTATTATCAGTGTCTTTACTATGGGATTGGGAATCGTTTACAATAAACTCGAAATGAACTCTTGAATAGGGTTTTGACTCCAAGTATTTGGTGCACTCATACCTGGAATATACGAGATCTTTGATCCGATGATATTGTTTGACATCTTTTTGTTGGACTTTCTCCTTAAAGCCAACCCGTTTGAACAGAATATAGGCCACACTAAACACTTCCAACAAATTGAACGGTACGGCCAGTTCACAGGCGCCGTGTATTTCATGGATGAGTCGAGCCGTCCAATGGAAACACCACGACTTGTCCTGAATTTTCTATAAATGGCAGTCGAAATGGTAAATGAATTATAATTTTTGTAAAAATTTGAAAATGAAAAAACCCATACCTCTGGCCCCCTAAATATCTCAAAACCTAATCCAATAAGAAAGTTGATAATAATAAATACAATAATTGGATCTAATGAACCAAATATCGGTAAGTTGACACCAAAACTACTGTAAGAGTATTTTTTTAATTATTACGGTATATGTTTTGAATTTATAAACCGGTAATTAATATTACCTTAAATTGTAATGACTGGCCATTGAGTGACTGATAAATGGATATAATATACCGATTAAGCAAAACGACAGAAGAATAATGCGAATAATCCTGTCTTCGCCCAAACCTTTGTACGCTCGAAGTGTCGATAAGATACCAATTCGGATGTATATTAATGTCACCAATAGTTTGATCAATACATAAGTAAATTTAATACAATCGGATGTCTGGACTTTGTTTTTATAAGCGTTTACTTCTTGCTGATTACGTCTGTTATCATTGATCCGGTCATTTGACGACTTATATAAGCACAGAATATCTAAGACGACAATAATGAACAGTATATTTGTGAGTATCAATTCAAAGACGTGTCCATAAAATCTCCAGATTTTTTTCAAACCAAAAATAGCACACTTTTTGGTAATATTGACAATATTGCCAACTGTCCAGACAATCGTTAAGGCAGTGAACATGTAATGTCCAAAAGATTTTTCGCATAATATTACGTTATGATTGATAGAGTAGACCAAAAACGAGACAAACACCGACTCATTGAAGAGCCGACATAAATAGCGTGACTGAGCGGTGATATGTTTGTTATATCGGACGGCAAACAATATGCTGCTCATCGGTTGGCAGATAATTATACGTAAACTTCGGAAAAACTTTTTGGTCAGACCAACGAAGCCAGAGTCAAACCACACCCTGTTTTGTCCCAACCAGAGATAGGCTCTCAGACTTTCGATGCGTTTCGAGGCTATAAAGTCAACCCAATTGCTGTCGACTGCGTTCTGAAGAACCAGATATTTGATGAAAGCATTGGGTCGTGGATTCACTCCTTTTTGTTGGACCAATACATTCACTTCAAGTGCATCGCGCGTCACATCAAACACTTCTGTGATATAGTTTTCCATTTGTTTGGATATATCGTAATATTGGTGCGAAAAATGACTGTTTTCTATAATAGTGCGATACTCTCTCTCAAGAGAAAAGACTTTGCTTATCGGATCTTCAGAGTTGAGTCCAATGTACGATGGATTACACAGTGCTCTATAGATGTCCAGATTTCGATGCGATGGTGTGGCTAAAGAAGTCGACGAAACATTGCAGTCATCGCACTCACAGTCAGGCATATGCGGCAATGGTATGGTATGTCCCCTATACATAAGCAGCTCTACAAGAACTCGATGGCCACAGATAGCGGCCAACATTATTGGTGTCATATATGGTGGAAAAACAGCCGATTCTTTGGTCGGAAGTTTTTCCCAGTTTTTGGCTTTCAATATGGGAAGCAAAACCTCAACTGTGTCCACATTTCCCGCTTTGATCGCATGAAAAAACGAATCGCGAATATTAGCGCCCCTTTCGATCAAATATTTGATCACTTCAGCCGATCCCGATTTTGCGGCGCAAACACTCAAAGCTGTCATGTTATGTCTCGAAGAGTTGATGTCTACTTTCATGTCCTAAAAAATGCAAAAAACCAATAATAATCTGTATTTAAAATCAGTAAATCATTAAATACAACACTGACTTCAATCATAGTCTTGACGTTTTTTAGATCACCAACCGCTGCATAATTAAGAAGTTTTTCAATCATTAAATTAGATTCATATCGTTTGGGATCTGCCATTGTATATCATCGACAAAAAAACTAATCCTAAATAAAAAAAAATATCAATTTCTATAATTGTGTGTAAAGTTTGTCTAAATAATAACAATTCGATGGATTTATTTTCAATACCAATAAAACAATCGAAATCTATATTCAAAATTCAGAATATTCTGAAAACACATGAATCGCGCGCCCATTCATTGATAACAATTAACAACACATACTATACTGTTTTGTTGTCTCAACACATTTAATAGAAATTAACACTTATTTTAATTGCAATTCGCGTGCGTTTATTATAATATAAACTAAAATAAATAATTTCACATATTTATTAAAATAAATTAATTTTATAGTAACTCTTATTTTTAGCAATAACATGAATTTATATTCACATCATTTATAACAAACAATTTAATAATAATTAATTAAGTAAAATGACTATCAAAATAGCAATTGTAATATTTATGTAATTCAAACTTTTATAATAATAAACTTTAAATAACATATGTTTGATAAATAGATTCATTATTAAAAAGTTTATAATATTATCTAATCTGATAATTATTGTCATTCATATCTTCTCGTTGACTATAATCGGGTTGATTGCGACAAATCACTGAAATACGTCTATCTCTTGGAATCGCTTGACCCTTGAATACCGACATTTGTTGGCCAAGTATTTCGTGAGTAAACTTATATCTAGCAATACCTCTAAAAAATGATAAATTTAGTCAACAATTAGTATGAAAACAAAATTTCGATCAAATCTCACGACATAATATAGAGTGATCTCCGCTTAATAAGTGCGTCGACGAAGACTGTATTATCTGTTTCATCCGCTAATCTCATGACCGACGAAGACAACAGTGATATACCGGCAATGGTATCGCCGCAGAACTAATAACCGATTCAAATGGATATACACTACCATTAGTGGTCTTAGTGTCTTAGTTTGTCATAATAATAATATGGACCTACTCTGACAGCATCGACATGCGCTTTAATGACACCCGTTTTGGCCAAATCGAGGACATGCACTGACCGGATGGGCGCCACTCCCGCGGGAAACGCAGTATTGCGGACTCTATCGATAATACGTTGATTTTCTTGAGTCCATTTACTTCTCTCTGTTTCTCTGTACTCATGGATAGCGTCGTCCCAATGACTGGTCTCATACCTCAATCTCTTGACGTACGGCTCGATCTCTTTGAACAAACTTTGTTCTTCATCTTCGGTGACGAAATCGTCGATCACTTTAAATGAGTCTTTAATCAAATCCAACGTTTGTTGACTATTTGAGTCCAAATATGATGTGTAGACATTGGTGGTCACAGATAGCTGATCCCGATTTGAAGTCGCGTTTGACAAACACCTTAAGACATTGCAAACAGTCTTAACCGGTAATGTCTTCAGTGGCAATACTCTGGCGAATGCGTTACACGTATTGAACATGAGATAACTTGGGATCAATTGGTGATTAAACACCATTAAGACCAATGAAAGCCAATTCAAGTGATAATCATCTCATGGTTTGTATGACAACAACAATAACACATGACTTTTGAGTCATTCATTGATTTCGTTATAATTAAAAATTATTTAATAATACATAAAAATTTTGTTTATTATAGAAAAAATAAAACTTTAATTTATTATAAAATAATTTTTTAAAACATATGTATAATTAATACATGTATTTAATAAATACATATAATAAATGTATTTAAAAATGTTAATTAAAAACATTTCTAAAAATAAAGAGCACCAGTAATGTTAAAAGTTTAGTTTATTTGCAAAATAAATTATTATTTTAATATTAATAACATTTTTTTGTTGCCTAATTTAATTGTGCCATAGATGATGGTTTGGATCTATTTTGTAAATTATCTAGGTAATTTAAGTTAATTAAAAAAAATTATTTAAAATAATTTTACAATTTAGTCTTTACATTTTTACGTCACTTACAATTTTACATTTTTTAAAAAAATTTATATATGAAAAGTTTGTATCATTTAAATTATTGCAAAAAATTGTTAAATTTATATAAAATATAAATATTATATTTAAAATTAAGATTAATTTAAAAAACAAAATGATAATTAATTTTATTTATTGTTGAGTTTCAGTATGTTTATCAAATGTCTTCATTTTTTTTATAAATGATTTTTTAAAAATTAGTTTTAGACTAGCAAAATATCACAATTTAAATTTTAAATAATTTTTGCTATTTGTGTATTAATAAAAAATTATTTGTATTATCTGCTCAATAGTAGACTATATTATTCAGTATTTTATCATTTTTAAAAATTTATTAAAATAACCCAATTTTAATAAACCACAAAAACAATTAAAAACTATTTCATTAAAAAAATAAGTATTACCGGTAATTGTATTTATTTATAAATTTTCATAGATAATACTCAGAATTGTCAGTAATCTAATAAACTATAAATATTTTTGTTATTTTATCTAGATCAATTGAAATTACTTTTGAAATATTTTTGAGTTTTTTGAAATTATACAATTGTAAATACTAAGGTAGATATAAGTTATATTTTATAAGTTATCTGTAGCTATAATATATAAAACTTTAATTATTATATTCCGGTATAAAATATTTTTAAAAATTCTTTATAAAGATAAATATATATACTATTGAATAACTTAATAAAAATATTTCAAATTTAGTAAACATAATCAACAAATTGTTATGAAATTTTGAATATAAATATTATGTAAATAAGAATAAAATAGATAATTATTTTATTATAATATACCTGTATGATAATTATAATATATTTCATATCACAGATGCTATAATAATATTATTGCCTAAATAAATCTATATATAATTTTTGTTATATATAAAGTTATGTACAAAATACAATAAAATAAGACTATAATACCTTTATATTAAATATAATTTAGTTACTAATAAATTAATTTTATTAATATAAAAATAACCATGTTTAAAAATTTTAAACCGGATAATCACTGGATAACTTGTACCATCATTTGATGCGTGAATAAGAAACCATAATAACAATCATACCTATTTTTATATACAATTAGTTATGTTAATAATTAATAAAAATTAAAAACAATTTGTTTGATAACATACTAATAGCATTAAGTGAGGCGACAATACAGAAATCGGCAAACCATCCGATCCTATTGAGACTCCACTCCAATAATGGACTCATTATTACATTTAAAATCGCCTAAAATTAAAATATTTATTTGCAAAATAATTGTAGATATTTAATGTTTTTAATACTTACTGGTCCCGTATGAATGAGACCATAGATTGTTATTGAGTTTTGATGTCCAAACTTGCGAACCACTTCTGGTAGAAAACAAGAGAAAACACCGACAGTTGTGAAGAACAAAGAAAAGTCCCAAATGGCAAACATTATCTTCTGGTAGTAATAACCGGTTATTTTCAATGTAAATGTGGTCACAGCAAGAATGGCATTAATCGTTATTAAAGTATCCTTTAAATTATCAATTTTATGGTATATTATTAGTAAATAAATTAATTATAAATTCAATTATTAGATAAAATACCCGAAATTTCAAGTGATCCATAACTTTTCCCCAAAAGAGACCTCCCATACCATTGATAATAAAAGATAGCGAAACAATTACCGACAAATAGTGGTCATCACTGATATAGCTCTGACCAAATGCTTTGATCATTGAATTCATTAAATAAGTGGTTTGTGTGCTTAAAGCAAAGGTTATCAATAGTATAGTAAATAATGGCGTTTTGATGGCATATCTTAAACTATAATTCACTTCATTTGATTCAATTGACTGATTCATAAGATTTTCATTGTCTCCGTTATTGGTGGTCGTCGTCGTCGATGAGTAGACATCATTATCACAACTATCATTGACATTGATAACATCAATTGTTTGGTTTGATTGGCGTTCGCTGTAATTATCATCAGAATTAAAGATAAGACAAACACCAAGAAAACCAATGAAACCATAGACTAGACTAAGAAGTGTAAAGAGTTTCGGCACTTTTGACAATAACTCTGTTTCATCAAAATATCTGTACATTTGATAAATAATAATTTAGTATTCAATAATTTGTTTAAAAAAAACATTTTAATGACAATACCCGTCACTGTTTGGTGTAATATTGTTGGGATTCAAATAAAATGTTTGCATTTGAATGAATATGAATGAACTGAAGGCATTGGATCCCGTAATCAGACCCGAAACCAGTCCTTTATGGCGGGGAAACCATTTGATGGCATTTACGATAACTGTTGAATAGATTAATCCGTTGCCGACATTCTGGGCAAATGAAAAGCTTAACAAAACCATCAAAAGTGATGACTTTATGGTTACCGCTGTGACAGCAATTGCAGCACTAATTTTACAATTCAAATGAAACAAAATTCAAATATTTTAGTCTTTAATTAAGTGATTATTATTTTTAATACCAAAATATGAGTGTCGCTATAAAACAGGTGACTCTTGTGCCCAATTTGTTGCCAATACAACCGCTAATTATTGTAATTGTAGTGAAAGTGGTCACACTTACGGCAGTAAACCATACACTTTGCCCGTAGTTGGCATCTCGTGAGCTGTTTTGTCGTAAATAGGATGTCATATATGTGTTTAGGTTAGCGAAAGTACCGCCCGATCCTATCATTAGGTGCAACAAACAACTCCCTGTAAGTGTCGACACTTGTTTAGCTGATAATCGGGCCATCAGTTGTTTGGATCAGTCAGTCAATTATCATTAATTTATATCACAATTGATTACAAATTAATGGCATATCATATTAGATTACATCCGATATGTGATATATGTTTGTAGTTATCAATCAATCACTAGATTACAAACTGACCGTACATTCAATATAATCATTAATCATACAGTTTTGTGATAATTGTTTAGTCAACCCATAGATGAATAATAAATTTAATATTTTAGACAACTATTTAGTGTTTCGGTACACAAAAAAATTATTTGAGATTTTATTTTTTTTAAATCCAAATTCATTTTTATCTTTAAAATGTAATTAAACGCGAATTTACAAAAATAAGTTGAACTAAAAAATAGGAAAATTTTGATGTAAATGTAATTATCATAATTAGCACAACTAATCATATGATATTTTACGACAAAATATATATATATTTATGATATAATTATGAGATTATATAATTTATATATGTGTTATAAATTATGATATATCATAACTTACAATTCATAACTTAAAACTTTATTTCATAACTTTATATGAAAGTATAAATATCATACAGTAAACTATGGCAACACAATAATTTTTTTAAAAGTAATTGTTTAGTACCTATAATCAATTATAATAGACGATTAATTATTTAAATATATTTAATTTTGTAATCAAATAAAAGTACTTGATCAATTTATTTTTGAAAATCTGCGTATGATTTCTATACTTTACATTATTTGCCATTAAATTTAAGAGCAAACAAAACATTGCATTTCATCACATAATTCAATGCCATTTAGTTTGCGCTAACTTTAAATAATAATTCATTTAAATCTTATATTTTTGTTGTTGTTGTTAATTAATTCATATTATTTTATAAACTTAATTGAATATTTTTCTATAACATAAATAAATGTAAAACTATTTATAAAATACATTACTTAGAATTATTTAATACATTTTTATTATAATCACTTATTCATTAAAATTTTATATACATTTTTAAAAAATAAATATCAATTAAAATAAATATAGAAAATTATATTTTTACAATATATTACTGTATTAACTGATTTTAATAGATAATTCAAATAACTGGTCAACAATGTGCACTATATTCTCGGGTAATAGTTTTCCGCACACTTTCGTACACCGATTTGCGGACATCTCGTCCGCGAACTGTCAGGTTTTTGCCACGTCTTGATAGTCGGGACTCGGGAAGTATGTCTTCATCTGTAAAATAAGCGATAAATAGATTTTAAAAATATGTTTTATTTTTATATAATAAACTCTATTACTATCGAAGTTATCCTTTAATCCGAGACACCTATTGAGGAACGCCTGTTCCAGTTCCACAAACTCTGCCTTATTATCACTTTTTCTAACTATTCGCTGTGTTTCGGGTCTATTGGGTCTCTTTAATGTCTTTTTTGTATCCTTATTGATGTCATTGCTATTAAGTTTTTGCAACTGTTTGACAATATTGACAGCATTTTCACTGACCACTTGTTGAGCATTTTCCCCATCATTCTTGCGTTTAAAGACATTAAACTCGGATACAGAGAGAAGTAATGAAAATGTATTGAATCGATGCAAAAGCATTCCCATGAATTGAATCACTAAAATGATGCCAAAGAATATCACTAAACTGAAACCAATTACATCTATTCTGATGACATCTAAACCAATAATTAAGTGATTATTAAATTTGTTAAACAAATAAATCAGTTTTATATACTATTTCCGATATTGATTTTCCATTCAAATACGTTTTTATGCATTTGAAGCAACAAAACCAACAAAATAAACAATGAATTCAAGAGACCAAAAGCGGAGGCGATTTTCATGCGAAGCTCTTTCAGCTCAAACTCAACCTTTTTTTCGTGAACCGAGTTTTTCTCGAGTGGTTTAAGATATAAATCAATTAATTGTCGCCAAAACTCTTGTTCTTCGGCATCCAATTCTTGTTGAATAAACTTTTCGAAACATTTGTCTTGTGTCCAAATTGTCTTAATAAAAACGTTTCTATCTTTTGAAATGTCAGATATATCACCACTAAATGTTCTATTATGTCTTAAAGTCAAGTCATCGGTGGTCATGACCTCATCTTCATCAATATCCGACAAACGGGAACTGCTAAGTCTTTGTAATGGATTCAAGTTATCGTTAAACAATGGATTAATTGTTGTGTGGGAACTAAATCTGTCGTTTGTCTGTATTATTGTTTTCATATCATTTAAATGATCTTTCATTTCAGTAATTTCTTTCAACATTTCTTTGTCTTCATTGGGATCAGTGTTTGAACAACACATACAACTTATAAATTTTGAATTATTTCTATCATTTCCATTAGTAAACAATTTTTTGACATTTATATATTTAAGTAAACCATTATCTTTTTTGTCATCTTTTTCAGACGGTTTATCGTTGTCTGACGCGGATACCACTTCTCTTGTACCCCAAGAGACCACATGTAGATTAGTCATTGAATAAATGGTAAGCAACAGATACATTGATGGTATGCTTAACATATATAAAAGGAATGGTAGAAAACACATGATTTCAGTGGGATGTATGAGCGCTGCTATAAGGAAACTGAGACACATGCTTATGAAGAATAGGGCCGACGGTTGCCACAACCCTTCCTCTATTATCTCGATAACAGTGCTGACCATTACGGCTAACATCAACAGCGCGTAAGCTATACTCAACACAAGTGATACTTGTATTTGTGTATCACTTTTGCAGAGAAAACACACAAATATGAACACAAGTATCGGACCACCACTTATGAGAAGACATAAGTCGCTCGATAAGCTTAATGTGGTATTCATAGCGCCCACAATCATCAAAAATATAGTTCCCGGACTGAATACCGTTCCTATCATCAATGCGAACTGGTATATGATGTATAACATGGATATATTATCGTTTACTTGAACAGTGTTCTTGGATTCTTGTAGAAGATCCCATATGTTGAACAAAGTCGATGGCGCCCATCGACGTCGTTGTGTATAAAACTCACCAAAACCTTCCGGTGCGTGAGTGTATGAGTCACTGGCGGCACAATACTCTATACGCCATCCCTTAAATATATCAGAAAAGATTAATACAATAATTAGATAAATTTAATCGAAAGCTGACAGACCTGTTGCAATAGGAGTGTGCAAAGCCAACGGTCCTCTCCCTGATCGTACTGAACATATTGTATGGCCTCCGAAGCCTTAGTCGTATACTTGTGCATAACATTGGGAGACATAAGAGCCTTACCCCTAAATAATGAGAAACAACCGGGACTGCAGAGGACACACCCGAACACATGTTCGCTAGCTTTTTGAAGCCAATGGCCGATTGCGTACTCAAATTTCTGATACCAAACCATCGGTCCGCTGCCTATTGGATGAATGCGACCGCAGGCGGCGCCCAAATTCTTGTGTTTAATCATCAAATCGACTAAAAGTCTTACAGCTTTGGGCCTGAAGTTGATGTCGCCGTCCAGAGCTAAGATGAATGTGTTTGCGGCCATTTTGTCGCGTTTTTCTTCATCCATATCTTTGGTATAAAAGCCCAGTAAGTAATACATATACATTACCTGAGATAAAATGTTTAGTTAGATTGTTAGCTTAGATACAAAGAAATATGTGTTAATACCTGACTCCAGCGCTTCTTATGTCTGATTAGATCTTTGTCTTTCAGATGAACGTATAGTTTGTTATGACCGGGAAGTATCCAAATAAGTTGTCCGCCGTATGGAGTAGTGATAACATTTGGTAACTTCAATGGTATTTGACATTCGTGGACGTGATTGGCCGCCACACCAATCACTTCAATGAATTGTTTAACAAAACTGTTGACCTCTCGACAGGAATTTCTTGTTTCAAACGCGTCATCAAACAAAATATGTGCTAATAATTGGATATTAATAAAACAGTTATTAAAGTTCAGTTAAAAACTTTGTTTTTGACTATACTTTGGATCTCATAATAATCGGCAGACTTGACGTTCAACCATTTCATGGCCTGTTTTCTGGCACTCTGGTCGACATCCATCCGAAATACCGATTTCAACATCTGTATCATCTCATCACTGCTCTCGTGCCACATCGTGGCGCACATATAGATACGGATCGTCTCTTCGTTACTCTTGACCAGCTCTTCGACACTCATTTTCTTAATATCTAAATCACTATTGAATTCGCTGACAATTCTGCGATTTAATACCAGCGACTGATCGACAAAACAACAACTATATTCAGGTCTTGTAAAAAGGTTTTCCACTTTAGCCATACGTTCCGATTTTGGGTACCAAATGTGTAGTGTTGTCCACATTTGAGATAATAAGCTAAGAAACCAAACAACTGATTCAACATAACTAAGAACTGTTAATTCATCGTTCAGATCGGCAGTCGTGTGCCAGAAGATATAATCCAATTTAAATGTATGGATTAGTCCACAACTGTCGGTATATCGCAAATGTAGTCGACATAAAACAGTGATTAATACTATGGTTAACGGTGTAGCTATTGTCAGAGGAAATGTAAAGCTGAAGATCTGGATTTGTATTTTGCACACAAATTTGGCCAAATAATAGCATATAAATGATGAAACAATCTGAATGGCAATTAACCACAAATAGTTCAATGGATTGGACTCAATATACAACGGATCTTCAGTAGTGACAGTTATTTCGCGTCTATTTGTAAGTATCGGATGCTTTGAAAATGCCATCTCAAAGGAAGTGAACAAATTCTTAGTTACATTTGTTTCGTTTATATAGTCATTAATTGCAAAATAAACTAAAATTGTGATCAATATTAATCCAATTTTCCAAATAGATATCAATAAATATGTAAAATATCGACTATTATTTGAGTTGAGGTCCTCTTTAATATCACAGAAATATGCAATAAATTTGTTCAAAAACTTCGTTCGTTTGATAATCAAATAGTTATCCCAACAGTTGATAGACATAAAGCACAATACAATCGGAAATATCCAATAGTTTCTGATATCTTCCAAATAGCCGATTGTCGTCCAACCGGCGATACAAACAATTTGTAATACAATTGCCATTATATCAACATATTTGAGTGTTTTATGATATTCCCAAGTGTTGGCATAAAATCGTGAAATACAACTTATAATCGCCGGTATTAATGATATAGAGTGGGCCAACATTGGACCCCTATTGGCGTCAATCTCGGGTAATATCATAATCACTAAAAGTGACATTACTATTGTAGTTATTGTTTCACTAATAAAGACCTTATAATTTCAAATAATTAAATTAACTGCAAATCATTTTTTTAAATATAAAATTTTAAAATAACAAATAATAGATAATAATTGACTTACAGTGATAAATGTTAATAGCTTTGGTCTATCATATTGTTTAAATAAACAATATTTAAGACATCGATATAATGTGAGAAATATGGGAGCAATCATAACGATATACAAAGACCAGATCCAACCGATCCGTTCTAAATCATTGTCTTTAATAATTGCTACATAACTTCTTCCGGGAATCAATACTTTTTCATAGGTTTCGCTGCATAAGAAAACTCGATGATTGTTTCGTATCATTGATGTCATCAACAATAATGTAGACATTGATATTGTGGCACAAAATAAAATCAAAATAAATGTCAAGATATAGACTAATAGTTTGGAAAATTCGATAAAACTGTTCATCCATTCGGTGCTCAATGTCTTGTCTTCATCTTCTGGCGGAATCGTTACGAATGAATCCCATGTTTTTGATGGTAAAGATGTTTGAGAATTTCGATGTTCACTAAATTATATATATATTTATAGACTTCACAAATAAAAGCACTGATCTCTGGCTAATATTACCCATTATTAGCTGATTTTATCCGATCTCCTAAATTATGATCTGAATCGAGATTAACATCTTCACTATCGGATTCATCCAAAGTAAAGATAGGATTGTCATAATTGTCTGCAATATATTTTCGTCGACTTCGATGACCAACTTCTTGTTGAGTTGAAGACAGTGAAGAAAATTCCGTTTCATTGCTTTTCTTGTTTCTTATGTCAAGTGTTTTCATTTTTATATTATTATTCATATTATTGATAATATATTTTCAGGTAAATCACTGTTTTCTATAATTACAATTTCTTTTCATTTGAAACTCAAATAATATTAAATAAATCATAAGTTATTTCATATAATAATTTAAATTATAGCATTTTAAAAAGTTTTACAAACTTATTACACATATTTATTATACAAAATGTGTAATCAATTTATTTCATTTACAATAATGTAAGATTTTTTTACTTAATTGCCTTTTAACTAAAAATATTTATTTAGCAATTAATTCACAGATAATTAATTAGTTAAGAAAATACGGAAAATATTTTAATAACACATTAAAAGGGGTTGTAATTTTTGATATATTTTTTTATTAGATTATTGATAAGATATCTCTAAAGTACATTATAATAGTTATAACTTAATAAATAACAAATAAACTGTTTCAATATTTAATGAAAATAAAAATTAGTCATAAAATCTTATGAATTAATTTATATACTGTATGTATATAATGATAACCTCAACATTAATTTGTTTTGTCATTTAGGATTATATCCATAAACAGCTATTTCAGCCAAATTAAGATAATTGTTGCCGGGATTCGAACAATTGGTACAATTATTTATTATCTGAATCGTTACATACTTTCCCATCAGTGGACAGGGCTATAAAGATTCAAATTTAGATATATATATATAGAATAATCTTAATTATTCCTATATTTATAATAAAAATCATAAGTAATAAAAAATTGATAATAAACCTCGCATTTCACAACTCTTGAATGGTTAGTCTCGAGGAATTTGTTGCCCACATATTCATAACATAATGGGTTATCCTTAAAATGAGTCCCTTTTTCTAATTTAGTGATCAAACGATTGCCGACACGTATATCAAAGTCATGTAGTGATTCCTCTAATAAATAAAATTTAAATTATTGTTCATAACTTTGAAGTTCAATCTTTAGATATAATAAAAATGTAATAAATATTTATGACTATTGTTCAGTTTAAATATTTACTATTAGTACTGTACTGTAAATGTCAATTTCTAAATTATAATGTAAAATAAGTACAGTATATAAAGTATATATAATATGATATAAAAAATATATAATTTATTTTTAATAAACTATCATATAATATATTTTATTATTCAAATAAAATTATAATATATGACAATCAATTGCATAATTATTATATAACTAACAAAATTAAATACTAGTATTTTCATTAAACAATAATATACTGTAGTCTAACTCTTATTAATTTAACCATAATTACCATCATTTGATTGTAACATAACTCCAGTGATTACGTACTCATCTTTGAGGTCAATCTGAAGCCACGGCAACACTTTTTTGGTATTAACTTTGCCGTCACTTGTCTTACTTGCCGTACGGCTATTATTATCAATGGCTTTTTGAGCCTTAAATTGATTATATGTCGAGCTTTGAGTCAATTTCTTACCGATTGCCAAATTTTCTAACAAAATTTTTTAATAAATAAATAAAATAATTGTAAACAAAATGATTGTTCATTAACCTCCCGTTCCCTCTTTGTTGCCATGATTTGTATAATAAATATATTTCTCTAAAATCGATGCATTTGTCTCTGCATTTGGATCATCAATGGTTGAGACAAATATATTACATTCGTTGGTCTCAATATTAACTCTAATTAAATATAATTAACAAATTTTTAATTCAAAATTTACTGATTTTTATGTTTAAAAAAAAGTATACCGAAGACAATGACAGCCATAAGTGGCGGAACATTTGACAACACAGTCAAGAGATGATCCTTTAGTAGGTGTCCGACCTTTTATGCGATCAAATTTTATTTGACCTAAAGTTTTGGTGTAAAACTTTTGGATAATTGGTATCTCTTTTTTAACCACATTCTGTAATATAAATTCAAAAAATTAAAATCATTATTTTTTCTAAATAATTATTTATTGGTATCCAATACTTTTGACAAAGTTCTGGATTTCTTTGACTTTTGATTTAAACGTTTTTGACAATTAATTAAAATAATAGACAAATAGATAATAAATATAATTTTGAAACTTAAAAATTTCATGTTTTCAAAACTTTTTTATTGTTATTAGTATTTGTTTTATTAGATTAATAACTTAAATGGGATATTAAATTTATATATATATAATTTTATAAAATTCTGTTATGTTATAAAAATATTATCATTAATGTCATAAGTATGGCTAATAGAGGCCAAATGAAACCTAAATTAAGAATATATTTATTATTTTATGTTTTATATAATATTTTTTAAATTCAAAACTCGTCCAAACTTTTTTTGGATCCACTAATGATATTACGTGCTGTGACTTAGTAAACAAAAATGCTTTAAATAAATAAACAAAAAAACTATACTAAAAATTATAAGATAATCAATTTTTTGGTACTAATTAAACTGTTTGTTTATTGTAACTACAAATATAAAACATATAAATTATTAATAAATTGTCATATCTTTTTTTTTAATAATTAAATTTTCATACAATTTTTGAATATAAAAAAGTTTAAAAACAAATAAAAAATTTCGTATTTTGAGTAACCATTAATTTGTTTGTCAATAAAATATTTAAATGTATTTTAAAGTATTCCTAATATTAAGTAAATTCTTTATGTGTTTTTTTTAATAATTATATCAACTTTATTAATATCTATTACAGTACTACAGTATATATAATTAGGATATTTCAGTAATACAATAATATTAAATACATATATATATTCCCAGTAAAATTACATTATCGACTTAAAATCGGTAAATTACCACTTGAAATATACCATAAACTTGATATTATAAATATTAAATGAACAAACATTTTTTTTTTATTTTTTCAAAAATTATTGCAATTATTAAAATTGTTATATTTGTATAAAGTTTACTCATAATATAAATTGAAATATTATAGCAAATAATAATAATACAGTATTTTACTATTGTTTTTTTATATAGCTTTGCAAATTGTTTTAATATATTTTTGTTGTTGAAACTAAATATAATAAAACAATTTGAAAACTCATTAAAAAATCAATAAAAATCACTGTAATAATAATATAGTTAATTATATATAAAAACAATTTCATCAATTAGTTTGCATTGAATACCATAGCGATACGGCACTCGCATACCAATGACTGTAACGGCATAATTGATAATAGCTATAACACTCGGGTTGTGGTCAAGTGTTTGGGTCATTCATTTGAAATTCACTATTAAGTCTATTTAAATCTCGATTGTCGACAAAGTCTAACAAATCCGATCGATTCATTAAAGTCATAACCATTCGCAGTGTTGACCAAACATTGGTCGACATCAACGGACGACTGCCAACTGGACCGCGACCCGAGGCTTGAAGGTTGAGAACAGTGAGAAAATGTTCGGCGGCCTCACGATAAGTGCCGAGATTTATACAACTGATACCCAAATTAAAACGGGAACGAATAAAACCGGGACTTATAGCTAGTGCTTCGCGATAGGCGTTAATCGCTTCCTCTGATTGACTGCCATTAGCCAAAGTGGCTCCCAATCGGTTCCACAGTAAACTATCGCTTGGTCGCACTTGTAGTGCCGCTTGAAAACAGTCGGCTGCCCTGTCGTACTCTCCCGATAGGTTAAACAACACGCCAAGTCCGCACTGGACATCAGGATCAGCATCGGTGGGCGATTGACGAGCGGCCTCTATAAACAAATCTTTCACTTCTTTATGCAAACCCGAAGTAATAATCGACGACACGGCCCACGGAAGACGTGATTTCAACTTTTCTGAACTGTTGCTATCCGGCGGTAAAAAGTTGAGGTATTTCGGGTTTCGTCGGATCCAATCTTTCAATGTACTACAAGCCTGAGTTTGCATCGATTCATTTGTGTAGCTGACGGCCAACGCCATCAACGCCTTTAAGTTGTTCGGGTCGAGTGTCACACACTTATTGAGTGCTGCAATGGCCGCGTAGTCGTGTTCGTTCTCGGCCTGAGACGTACCCAAGTATTGCCAAATCAGTGAATTATTTGGATCCCTTTGGACGGCAGTCTCAAACAAGAGGACAGCAGAAGGAATATCTCCCTCTTTAAGCTTTTTGAGTCCTTCTTCGAAAGCATTTGGATGATCTTTGAGTGGATTCTCTTCGTTAAATTTGTATTCATCTTTCATTTCTGTTTTTCCAAAATCTGAAACCCAATTGTCCGCTGTTTCCGAGTTTTCGTCTACTAATCCCATTTCCTTCCATTCTTTAGCCAAATTAGTCCAAAACTGTGTGTCGTCGTCGCCGTACTGCTGTTCCTCTTCAGAAGACTTCTGTTGTTCTGTAAGCTCTTCAGTCATTTGTTGCACCCATTTATCCGCCTCATTGTCAACAGTTTCAGCAAAATCTAGTGACCACACGTCAGCTGTCACTGAACTCTCCGGTAATTTCATGTCAGTGTTGCCAACCTTTTTGACAAAATCAGTAAAATGTTTGTTTGTATCGAGTAATTGCTCTTCCGTTTCAATTTCGATCAATTTGTTGGTTTCTGCGGTCAAATACAACAGATCTTCATTTGCAAACTCCTGTTGCCATTGAGTGGTATCAGTGATGACGACACTACTGTCCAAATGGCGTTCAGTTTCAGCCAAATATTCGTCGGCCCACTTGGCCTGAGCTAACTCGGGCGACACAACATCATGTCTTCCAATTAATATGTCGTTAGTTGTGAGCAGTTCTTTGCCATTAAACTCTTGTGTCCATTGCTGAGACTTTTGGTCAATGGCAACAAACGAGTGATCAATTGAAGGCTGATTACTGTCAAGTCGTTGAATTTCCCGCAAAAGTGCATCCATTCGGAAGCTCTGTTCACTGCTGGTGGCCTTCTTATCGGTGATGAACTCATTGACAAATTGTTGGACATTATCGACATCGGGAAACATAACCGAAGTGTTGGTGACGGAGGTGTTGGCCGTTTGCTTGCTTTGGATGAAAGCATTATCATTGATGTAATGCTTGGAGAGTCCAACCAAAGGATTAGCGGTTCCGCACTCCGGGTCCACAACATTGCGCGCCAAAGACGACATGTTTGAGTATCAGTGATGACCACCGAAGTCGATGACGATTTGAGCGATGATTGGCATTCAATGTCAGTATATATTACCTAAAAAGCAATTTCTTCGACAATTTTCCTCATATTATATGAATGTCAATGAAATCTAATGTAAACTTTCTTATCGTCGATTAAATGACGTGTTGTTGAGCTCACCATTTGATCCCAAAGAGGGAGTACTAAGCAATCGATTGAATGAATGACACTTCTTCTGTAGAGTTGAATCGTTGACACTGTTTGTCGACAATCAATATCTTACCGTAGGTTAAGATTATTCATCTTTTTTTTGGATCAAATGACTAAACTCTTTATTGTCTGTCAATTGATTGATTGAATATTTGATTCTGTGGTTAATGTTTGCCACAAATTGAAACAACTTTTATATAATTATTTAGAAAATAACATTTCTATTGATAAAAATAATAATAATTTTATTGAAATTTGAATAATAATTAGTAATTAGTTATGAAAATAATTAAATGATAACAAAATATTAAATAATTATTTTTATAATTATTTTAATTTAATTTAATTTAAATCCAAAGTTTTTTAAACAAACAATTCATATATACTGTAATCTCATAAATGATTTGATACACAATAATATTATATAAAACTTATTGAATAATTATGAGACAAATTGATTGCCATTAAAGGGTATCTGATTTTATTGAATAATTGTAACGTTATTTGCGGACAATTAGTATTGCATTACTCGTCAAAAATCAAAATTATTGTCAAAAACGGTGTCAAAGACTGTCTGACTTTCAGTGCCAGTGATGTCCAGCTATTATGATGAACACGAATGTCCCGACCGGACACCCGAACAGGAGACCAATAATCTGTACCTATCGTTGGCCCGAATGCTTCACGATCTGGGCTTCGATGCGGTGGACGCGGCGCTCAACGGCCATAGCGGTGAACGACGACCGCCGGCTTCCAAGCATTTCATCGAAAATTTGCCGAAAGTTAATGACTTCGGCAAAGACGACAAATGCTGTGTTTGTCTAAAAGAGTTTACTGTCGACCAAACGGTACGCGTGGGTTGTGGTCACCGATATCATCGCTTGTGTATTACTGAATGGCTTCGGCTTAACAACTCGTGTCCCGTTTGTCGCACAGAGTTTCCCACCGATGATGAAGAGTACGAACGAAACAAACGCGAGAAAATGAGAAGAGAGACCACTCTTCAAGAGTTACATAACTCTATGTTCAGTTGATTTTTGGACATTATTTTCAAGTAATAAATATAAAACAATTTATAATTACATCATAAAATTTTAATCAGTTTTTTTAATTATTATTATTTTAATAAATATTACAGTTTTGTAATTATTTAGATTTTTATAAAAGATTTATTTATTTTTATTATCAATGGTTATATTTATTATTATTATTATTATTATTAATACTAAATTAACAAAATTCGTATAAATTAATGCAAACTAATATCGATTTTGGAGAAAAATAATAAAAAAAACTAAATCCTTAAACACGCTTTAATTATAACAAATGTTTGGGAAGTGTATGTGAAATCTCAAGAGTTTCTCTCAAATGTTTTTTTGTTGAATAGTTGTGATGTAATTGTGTGAACTGTTAAGTGGGGATCTAATGTTGCGAAGAGCTTCGGTACGGATGATAATTAGCGGACGACGACGACGAGGCCGACTTACGGACCATTTTGCCGGCCGAAGTACTTCCCGACTGAGAGTTGTGGTGCGAATGTGAGTGCGTAGCTGACGGTGTGGTCGATTGAGAGGCTACGGCTCCATAACCAGTAGTAGTATCAGCTGTTGTAGACTGTGTGTAATCACCGGCTACAGCGCCACTTTGATCGCCGTATCCATAATAATTGGACCAATAGTCTTGATAATTGTAACCGTATTGACTATAATAATCATAGTTTTGGTTGGCATAGCCGTACGCATTGGGATATTGAGTGCCGTAATAGTTGCCGTAATAATTTTGTGCCAAACCATTATACCCACTCCAAGCGTTCTGATTTTGATATTGATCTGATTGATTACGACGACTGCCACCACCAGTACTACTACTACTACCACCACCAGCACTACCATTGCCAGTGCCACCACCCCTTCTGTTGCCACCATTTTCGTAGCCGTGATTGTGTTGCATACGCTTCTGTTGTTGTGCCACAGGTTGTGGCTGTGCTTTCTTAATGTCACATTCTTTGTTGCCAATCGTTTGTTTTGCCTCTTTGACAGCTTCTTCAGCAGCCTCTTCAGTATCGAATATAATGAAACAAAATTCTCGGCGACGATTGCGTTGCCTATCAAATGGCAATTCTATACCTTCAACCTATTGAGATCAACAAACAATAGCAATAAATTTCATTTAAATCCATCGCTAGTCTAAGTCATACATTTCCATATTTGGAGAAATATTTTTTGATCTCATCCTCAGTCATATTAGAGTCGATTCCACCAACAAATATCTTTTTACAGATTGGCCTCGACTTTGCTCTCTTGGGATCAACTGTCTTATTATTAATCATATGTGTACTAATCTTTAAAACCTATTGTAGTTATAAAAAAACAATTATTAAAAATATATATATTTTTAGTTAATTATAAATTAATAAATACATCATCGATAGACTCTTCGGAAGCAAATGTGATAAAACCAAAACCTCTTGGATTACCCGAAACGGCATCGTATTTGATGCTAACATCGGTGACAGAGCCGTATTTGGTGAAGTATTCTCTTAGATCCTCTAAAATAGCAGAAATAATAAATTTAAACCATTAATAAATTCAATATTTTTAAAAAATAATTATAAAATATTAATCGATACTTACTTTCCTGTGTCTCCCAACTGAGTCCTCCAACAAATAGTTTTCTGTGATGAGTAAAGTAACATATTTTAGACAATTGTATTAACAAAAACAATATAATATAAGTAAATCTCCTGTAAATTACTATTATATGAAAGCGTTATTTTTAATACAGGTCTTATATTTTTAAAACGAGTCATTTTTATGTCATTTGATATACTCTCTAAAAAACGTGTCAAATCAATATCAATAATTAATCAAATATTTTTAAAAAACCTTTAAAACAGAAAAAAGAAATGCCATAATTATTAATTAAATAATTAATATATTAATAAATATATAAACATATTAAGCATCATTTAAAAATATGTATATTATCTATGCGTATAATAAAACGCTTTTAATATATATAATATTATGAGATATTATCTAAAAATTTTATCAATTTATATATGTTTTTATATATTTTTCTGTACCATTTGTCTGAGCGTTTGTCTCATAAAACTTCAGTCAATATCCGTGTGGAGACTGAGGTCTCGGTCGCCGCGGCTTTGGAAGAGAGGAATGGCTGCAAAAAGGAGTGGATTTGTGTTTATCAATCCATTTGTTTATTTTGGGATCAAATAGTGTGCGAACACTTAGTGATCAATCGTTTTAACACAATTGAAGGCTAAGTTGACCGATATGTTGGTCAGGCATTGGCTGTTCTCAGGAAACCAATTTGGGCGCCAATACATCAAAACCAAAGCAACATTTTCGGTGATAATTTGGTCGCAATTTTGATATTTATAAACAACTCTTTAATTATTTAACTAATATACTACTTTTATATTTCATTCATCAATTAATTAACAATTATATAATATAAACAAGTTTTGTTACACAAAAATAATCACATAATTATCTCCTATCGTATGAAAATATATTATAGTAATTAAATTAATATAGTTATTGCAAACAAATGATGCTTTAAAATAAGTTTTATATATTCTATATATATATTATATGTGTATAAATAAAAATATCACAAAATTTCATATTTATCATTAGTTCTGAGCAAATATAGATATCATTTTAAATATAAATATTCAGTTAATTTACAACAGTTTACATTATAATTATTATATATATAGTAAATTAGATTTAAAAAAAAGTATTGATCAATTAAAATAAAAATACTTAAATCTAATAAATTATACAATTAAAAATATTGAAACATAGTATTGTATAATAATTGTTATATACTTAATGACAAAAAAAAATTAAAATCATTTTAAAAAAGTTATTTCATATAAATAATTTAAAAAATAGATGAGATCTGCAAAAGACTTTGTTAGCAATTTATGGCTTAATGTCTTCAATAAATATAATTAATGAAATACTTAACAAATAAACAATTTGCATTCAATTAAAAAATATATGCTTCAATGCATATGTATTATAAATTTAACTGACAATAAAACTAAATGACTTTTTAAAGTTATAATTATATATTAAAAAACAAGTGCTATCGATATTTACACTTATGATATCTTAAATCACCTCAAAACTAAAAATAATAAAAATAATCAATAATTAAATCAATAAAAAAAATTGTTTAAAAATAAAATGAGTATTTAAAACAATTAAATAAAATATTGCACTAATATTTTATATTAAATATTAATTTTAAAAAATAATTAACTAAATGATACTCTCATTGTAATTAAATATAGAAAGAAGTTATTGTTAAGAGATCAGTGGTTGTCATCAGTGGTAATAAATAAATAAATAAAAGATATCAATAGTGAGATCTTATAATATGAGGCAAATAGTGTCCGAAAAGCAATTGCATTGATTCCGATACCTGTCTTCGTCGTCATTGGTTTTGTTGCCGGAAGTGGTGGTCACCCGGTTGTTGGCAATGACATCGCGACCATCACTATAGCCGGTCTCCTGTGTGTCCAACTCGTCGAGATCTGCCTTCTCGTCCGACTCATTGTTAGCGTCTGTTTTTTTGACACACAATCCAATCGTCAAAATCAATGGTCAAATCAAGAAAATACTTTCAAGATATAAGTCTTACCATTGTTTCCATTGAGTTCTCTGTCGGCTTTTAGTTCATCAAAAGCGTTAAGACTGATGTTTGAATCGTCAGCAAAGTCTGACATCACTGGCGATGGTGTCAATCAGTGATTGAAAAGAAAATTATGGATAAATCGATTGGATTCACTTGAGGTGATAGTCTGTGTATTTGATTTTGTTTGTCAATCACTTGTTGTGTTTGTCTATCTATTGAATGCCTTTAACTCATTGACAGTCATTGACTACTAAACAGTATAATCAATGTATATATAAAAACTCATATAAAATATGGCGAATGTTTGCCACAAAAAAACACTCAATTGTTTGTCAAACATAAGAGAGAGTCACACATATAGTATGTGTTCTATTCATTCAAATAGTATATGACTTTTATAACCATATTTTTAAACAAAAGATTTTTTATAGTACTTTAGTATTCAAATGATTTGGTTTTATTGAATGAAAAATACAATCAAAATCAATAATCAGAAAACACATTATACTATATTATATATAATAATAATAATAATTACATACAATTTAATAATAATAATATTTTTTAAAAATAGCATGCTAATTGTAATAAACAATTTAGATAATCATTCAAATAAGTATAGTGTATATATATATATATATATATATATATTATGTACAGTAAATGTACCGGTACATTGTACTCTATAGCACTATAATGTACTGTACTGTACATACAATTTTAACTCTATTACATAACAATGATGGTGGACTAAATTTTAATTACCGATATTTTATTAAATGAACTAGTCTAATTATTGTTTTTTTTAAAGTAATATTCTACCATGATAAATTAATTAAATTACAAAATTGTTGATATAATTAACATTTTTATAACATTATACGTTTTGTAAATTGAATGTATAACAAAAAAAATTAAAAATCATATTTTTTTTTAAAAAAAATTATATGAAATGAATATTGTATTTATTATTAATGTTTCATTATATATAGTATTACATCAAATATTAATAATTGAAATAAAAAAGCAAGATTTATTCTTATATTTTTATAATAATAATTTATACCGTAAATAAAATTATTATACTGTACTATAAATGATTATAATAAATTATAACTTATTATTAATAATAATAAAATTAATATTATGATAAATTATAATTAAAAAATACATTATATATTTTAAAGGCAAATATTATTGGAAATTAAAAACAAACAAATATTATAATATATATAAAACTGGTTGATGTGATTAATATTAATTATAATTAAACCGACAGTAAATTAAGCCAATAGACCAAAAAAATATATATACAATTTCTAAATATATTTAATTAATGTCTATTGACTGCTTTTTAAATAATATTTATGTGTAAATTTATAACACATATTATTATATAATAAGATAAAAGGGAAGTTGTTGTTGGTTTAGGCATTTGGATAATGATTGCCATAATAGTTGCTGTAATAGGTTTGCGAAACGGCACCGCTATATCCATTCCAACCGCTTGTACTTTGGTAGTCATTTTGGTTGCGCCGATAGCTACTACCGCTTCCTCCCGCCCTCCTGTTGCCGCCATTACTCTCGTAGCCATTATAACCCGGACTCTGGTGTTGCATTCGCTTGTGTTGAGATACCGGCTGTGGTTTGGCCTTCTTTATGTCGCACTCTTTGTTGCCGATCGTCTGTTTGGGATCTTTGACCGCAGCGTCCACAGCCTCTTCAGTGTCAAAAAGAATGAAACAAAACTCGCGCCGACGGTTACGCTGTCTATCGAATGGCAATTCAATACCTTTTACCTGATTTTCATAAAAACAAAACAACTATAGTATCAATTGATTTGTTGTGATAAACAATAAATACATTTCCAAATTGAGAGAAATATAGTTTGATGTCTTCCTCTCCCATATTGGAATCAATTCCACCGACAAAAATCTTCTTACAGATTGGTCGAGTGTTTACTCTTTTCGGGTCCACCGGCTTATTGCGGATCACGTGTGACGTCACTCTCAAAACCTGATTTATCAGACATTTTCATTTAGTTATTAATTAAGACATTCATATCAATAGATGATAATTACCTCATCAATTGATCCTTCAAAAGCAAATGTGATGAAACCGAATCCTCTGGGATTGCCAGACACCGCATCGTATTTAATACTGGCGTCGACCACCTGTCCGTATTTGGAGAAGTAGTCCCTTAGATCCTCTAATAATACAAATATTAATTAAATTAGTTTTCAATGCCAAATGTCTATAAAAATGGACACTTACTCTCTTCCGTATCCCAACTGAGACCACCGATGAAAAGCTTTCTGTATTATTGTTTAAAAATAAAATGTTTTAAATTATATATAATATAACAAATTAATTAAAGCTATTAATATATTAATATATAAACAAACATTAAAATAATGATTATTATAAAACATATTTAGCATCATTTAATAAACATAAAATCATAAAAAAACAAATAAAATAAACTGTCATTTATTATGATATGAGACGTCTTTTTTCAATACCATTTGTCTCCAGTGTTTATCACAAATCCGTGGTCTCACTAGTGATGACCTCAACAATCGTCAGCTTATTATTTGCGGCGACACTCAAGACAGGCAAACAATAGACAGACAAAGAGGAGACAGAGATAACACTGCAAAAGGAGTCAATTGTTTTATAATGTGTTTAACGGTTTGGTTCAAAATATCCATTCAATTGATGGATTGTGAGAGAGCTGTTGGAGTGGTAAACCTCAAGACACATACACGTGTGTCACACCTTACCATTCAATTTAAAACTATATATTTATTATTTTTATTAAAAAAATTGTAAAATGTATTATAAAAACCAATATTCAATAATTTTTCAAATGATGCTTAAATATAGTTACATTAATCATTACAATAAATTTATTTAATTTTAAAAAAAAACAAATACTGTATAATTAATAAAAACTTGTTTGAGTTTCGAGTCTTAAGATAAATCTTTATTATTATTATCAGATACAGTGATGTTGTCATCAGTAAATAAAAAATTGTCGCCCAATTGATTAAGATATATGATATCATCTAATATAAAAAATAGCGGCAAAAAACTGGTTGGCAAACAATGGCAGCAGAAATAAAAACAATTACAAATTACCAACAATTGATCCAAAATTTTTAGGTAACAAATCATTAAAAATCAATCAATTAATTTGCAATTAAATTGTATATCATATGGTTTGATACGATATCCTACATAACTATAATCATATATATATATATATACTGTATGTTATGTAACCGCTTATGTAATAATCATTATTAATATTCAACTCAAACTCAATCAATTTTTTTACAATTATAACAATATTTATATTAATTTATAATTAATTTTAAATTATATATATAAACAAATAATTATCATTAAACATAAGGTATTATATAAAAGTGTAAATGATATTAATGTTATTTTTTTGTAAACACGGTTTGGGATTAAATATGCGGCACTTTTTAGTAATAGTCTATTCATTATTATAACATACCTGTCCTTATCGTTAGGCTTATTGAAGCCATTAGCCGCTGACATCTCAGTCATGTTGTGGTAATAGTCGGTCATTTAATTTAATGTTTAGTGACAATCAAATGATAAAAATATGATTTAAATATATATAGATTAATGAATACGTGTTGTCAACTCAATAGTCAATTACAACAACTGTATTATTATATGAAAAAATTATATGTATTATTAATATCACTATTTATAACACACATTGAGTGGCAATCCATTCAAATGGCGATATAGTTATATGGGATACGGATATCCACAGTGTTTGTGTGTGTTTTTTGTAGGCCTTACCTCTCAATCAACAATAGAGAGGGCATTGCATTTGTGTGCTGTAGAAGCGCTTTAGTAATAAAGTATACAAAATCTAATACAAACTGTATTATGAATTTTGAAATTAAATCAAACTTTTTTTTTAATAACTTTTAGTAGATTTTTATTACAACTCTAGCAATGGATTAAACTTTTTTTTAAAAAAAATTTCCGTTAATTATTTTAGTTATTTGTTTGTTGTATAGGATTATCATTATAATGAACTTACAATCGTCGGAATCGATTGATCTGAAGATCAGGACTTTGAGGGAACAGTTGTCCAATAAGTTGTCAGAGTTGGCGGTCGAAAAGGATTATCTGCACGAACTCATAGCTAATAATATAATTACCACTAATATATTTGATGATAATATGATGAAATTGATTGAAAAATGCAATCGTTTACAAATAAAAGCCAATTACGTATTCAAACGAAACAAAAAGTTTATGACAACTGATTTAAATCAAATTCAAAAGGCTTTCCACTGTTTTAATCAATTAATGGATAACTCGGCGGCACTGAAGACATGCAACGAAAGTGTTGGCAAAAATAAGTCTCTATTGAAGTCACAGATGGAAAACAATCAACGAGTTTTGGATTTATTTGACAAAGAAATCGCTGAATTGGATGAACAAAATGTTAGACTCAATAACCGATTGATAGCTTTGATCTCTACTAATGATCAACGGGTTTAACCACTAAATCACTGATGATTTTGTCCAATATTTTAGCCTTTAATTTATATCTAATATGTATTTTTAATCTCATTTTATTTTATCGTTTTAGCGATTTTTTAACGAATATTATGTTATAATTTATATTATAACTTACAATATAATATTACAAATAAATTATTATAGATTTTTTTGGATAATTAATGAATTTTGTTAATTATATAAGATATGTTTATTATGAAATAAATCACAATTTGCTTATCTCTTTATAAACTGCCATTGAATTTGATTAATTTAAAAAGCAGTAGTTTTGAAAAATTGCAATATCATTATTACATTAACCTAATTTTTTTTTAAAAACTACATAAATACTACTGTATAATAAAACAAATAAAATAATTTAATACACAGTTATAATTTACATAATTTATATTTAATACGATATAGGATAATACAGTAACAAACATATTTTGTTACTAATTGTAAATGACATATAGTTTGCTCTAGAAAAATATGACTGTTTAATAAATAATATATATTTTATAATTAGATAATCAAAAATAACGGCAACTAACTTATTGTAATAAAATAAAAATTATTATTAATGGTATTAATAATAAATAAAATGCAATAATATTTTTTGAATGCCTTTCGTGTGTTTGTTATAAAGCATTTGCTGATCGCTATTATATAACACTCTTATATAATACGACTAAATAAGAAACCGGTTTATTCTGGTATTGATATAGTTTTTTCAATCTATCGGCTAATTCTGTAATTCTGGGAAATATTCCGATGAAATTTCCAACGAATTTTAATTTTTAATGAAATATTCAACAAAATGTCTCTCATATTTTTAGTTTAATTCAGTTTAATTATATAAACTAAATTAAATTTGTTTTAAATATAGAATAATTATTAGTAATATATTATATATGATTGTTAACATGAATTAAATATAAGTTAATAAATAAAATGAAATAACTTAATTCATAATTTTAGAAAATTATATACTAAATAATAACCATAGTTTGGTTACTTTGTTTTATTCAAAATCTACTTATTGTATTATTATTATGTTATATATTGTATATAATGTCATCAAAAAGGGTTGTTTAACAAAATTAGAAAATCACACAAAGGTTTGAATTGAATTAACGATTTTTTGGCATAAAAATGACTAAAAAACTACATACAGTATACTATTATCAAAATGTGATATTATCAGTGAGTCTTAAATTTTAGTTTAATGACTAGATTATGGAAAAATATAATTACAATTTTTTCTATTAATACAATTATAATGCATTTAATATCCACTGTAATGATGTTAAGGTGGTGGCAATGAATTGGTATTGAATATTTTGAAGTCAACGGTGTGTATGTCTTTTTGTATATGTGTTTATGCCTTAGCAACAAACTTTCAGCTCAGTTAGCTTTTCATCTACCAGACCCTAGCAGTTGAGCATAAAAAGCTGTATCAAAGTCTAACATCAATTCCATCAAAATAGTAGAGTTGGTTGACTACTGCCGCGGAGCTGAAACATAATTTAGGAAAACTTTTTTTTTAATATATAACTTATTGTCAATACAAATGACAGTATAGTGATTATAATTATTTATTTTGTTTTTTATTAGTAGATTTAATAATTATTATGAATTTACCAATAACTTATGTCATTACAATATTACATATACTGTAATACATATACAATATATAAAACATTATTGTTCACAAATTTTATTTGTTTTTTTTATTGTAATTGTAAGTTTGATATCGATATAAATAATATAAGATATCCTGTTATTAATATTTTAACACTGTTTTTGTATCGTATTTTATTATATTAGACGATAAAATTGAGTTTATTTTTGAAAATAAACTAATTATATTATATATAAATTAATATTTGTTATAAATCACAAAAGTTAATTATGGATATTTTAATTGGACAATGTTTTAAGAAAATATATACTTATTATACAGTATATGAAATTACATAAGTCATATTTATAAAAAATATAAATTTGCCAATGTTGATTATTATTTGTTATTATCAAATATTTGATTATAAAGTAAATATTAATTTGTTAGTAAAATACTTTACTACTATTGAAATGTTTTAAATTACAATAACGTTGTAACAATTTTGAAAATATATATTTATTTTTCTAAGATTTATATTTCATTTATATTGGCATAAATAACACACAAATAGTTTTCACACGCTTTTCATATTGATATATGATTCTTGAGATTATAAAAGATTTCCAATTGAATTATTCCTTTAGTAATTTTTCAGTAATTTTCTCTAATCAATAATTTTTATTACACATCTCATAATACACTATATATTCTGTATAAAAACAATTAATATAATATATATAATTTTTTAAAAATAAAATATTAAACTTTGGCATAAAATATGAAACTAAATAAAACATATGTCATCTATAAGATTGTAAGTAGAAAAGTCAAATATTCAGTGTTAGCCATGACAATTTTGTTTGAATAATAATCTATTAATTTCTATAATAATTTGTTGACAAAATTATGTCATTGTCCAAAATAGACGACAACAACAAAAAATAAATAAATCTAGGTCAATATATTGTATTGTTTAATATATGTATTTAAAAAAACTGCAGTATCTAATTGAAACAATCACAATTTGATACAAATCAATTTTAAATTATAATTTTAATTTACTTAGATTTTTTATTATTAATAATAATTGAATAAATATCAATAAATATAAATTTCTAATAATATTTTTAAATTATTCGATTATTTCTTTTTATTTAAAAAAACTTTTAGTAACTCTAATAGTAAGTTATATTACATCAGACAAATCAATAGTGATGTCAATTTGTTTGCGCATATTCTCTGAATATGATCACTGAATTTGGTTTCAATATATTGCAATTGCACTGAAAAACTGCTTTGTTGTGTACAATATATTCCTCATTCAATATATCGATATATACTGTACTGTACAGTATATACACAATACAAACGATTTCAGTTTCTCCTCTAATCTACTGTAAAAGTAATGTAATATTTTTTATATACAATATATGTTAGAAGTTTTGATTGAAATATTTAGGGTTTCCCAAAAATTTTCATTATTTCAATTAACTGTTATCTGTGTAATAATATAGAGTTTTGATAAGTCTCGACAGATTTATATATTTACATATAAAGTCGAAAATATGATAAAAATTAGTTAAACAATTAATTTTTTAAATGACAATTCAATATATGGTTTTTCCATTGAGTGATCTAATAATAATGTGAACGAACTGTTGCATTAAGTTGTGGTTTATATACTCTACATATTTATATGTGATGTACTATAAAAAACTATAATTATTATTATTATTATTATTATAACTATTAGTTTTGCGCATAAGTGTATACAAAAAAAACAGTCTCTCTGTATATATATATCGTATGATAGGAGAGAGAGTCTGACATATAATCAGCTGTTTCTTCTTCAGCCAACATTATTCTTGCGTTTGTCTAGTATTACAAACCATCGATGAAAAGACAGTCAACTTAGAGGGACAGACAGTCTGTTTTTTCAATGTTATATATATATATATATATATATATATGTTGTCCACAATTACCACTACTTGTCTGATATTTTTTATGTTTGAGTAATATTTCTTATGGCGAAAAAAGTAGTTATTATTGTTGTCGTATAATAACTCCAATTAAATAATGTATGAATGATTTTGTTGTCATAAATATTTATGAAATAAAATTCTATTAAAAATTATTTCTTGTTATTTTTGTTTTGTTGTCAAACCAATAGGTAGTTCCCTTTAAATTAGGGTTATCGCCAAAACTGCCATCAATTTAGAGATCGCTTAACAGCAAGAATTTGATACAAGAATTTTGAATACAAGAATTTGTTTTCACTTCTGATTTGTTGTTGTAATTTACCCGAACCTCTAGTATCGGGTGTACCCGGCAGTCAACTACAACAACAATGCCACCCTTACTTACACCCAGTAATAGTAAGTTGATTTAAATTATAATATTAATATTATAATATATTGTTTTATTAGGCATTGATTTTTTAAATAATTATTAACTTATCATATTTAAGGTCATAGATAATGAACAGTGTGTATGTGTGTATGTGTTTGTATATATTATATGTGTGTATGTATAGCACACACACACACACAGTATTGAATGCACTACACAACCGCTTCCAACCGGTTCTCGATAGCGCTTGTAGTTTACATCACAACACATATTCTGTATGTGTGTGTGTGTGCTGTATATAGCATACTAGCAGTGCGAGTGTGTGTCATATAGACTATACTGTAGGTTACATACACTTTGCACATGAATACCACTATTTTGACTCTCAATTCCTCATATATATAATATCTAGAGTTACATATAGTATAGCACAACAACCAGTATAATCCAAATTTGTTTATGTAATGCTTTTTTCAAATGTCTTGAAAGTTGTATTGAAATATTGGAAATGTAATGTCATTTAAATTAAATTTAAATAAAAATATATTTATGACATTAGGTTATCATAACTATTATAATGAGTGTATTATTCGGCAAACAAACAAAACATTGAAAAATTCTAGATTTAATTAATGTCAAACTGGAAAACATGATTTACAGGGGAACTAATTTTTTACTGTAACTACACTTCATAACAGTATATTAGTATAAATTCTTGTATTTTTTATTCATATGATATTTATTTATCATATAAACATCATAAACATGTTTATAATTTAAACGATACTTTATTTTTAACAACAATTATCTATAAATATTTAATTTAATGTATATATTTAATTATGTACTTTACTATATATAATATTTAGTGATAGACTTCTTGGTAACAAAATATTATATTTTACTTTTAATGCATTTTTTCTTTAATTTATTATAAGTCTGACTAAACAAAAAAACTAAAAGAAATCGAAATATTATGTATATAACTATATATTGTAATATATAGACATTATATTTTTGTTATTTTATTATTGTTGATATATTGTGTAAACAATTACCGGTAATATTTAAATAAAATATTAAATATAGTTTTATTTAAAAAAAGGAATTTTACGTATAATGTATTTTTAATGAAAAAAATCGTATGACTCATAAATAAAGTATTTTTAAATGTTATATTTAAGTATAAGTGCCATTATATTGTCATATACAACAAACTTTATAAATGCTACTTATGATCAATTTTATAATTAGTATGCATTAAATTTTAATATTATTCAATTGATTTCTATATAAACAAATAAATGATTAAAATTACTTAAAAGCATTTAAATAGCAACTTAGCTATTTCTGATTTTAAATAATATTATTTCAATTATATGATTGCATAACATACTGCGTTTAAAATGTGAACATGATCATTTAAATAAATTATGATTATATAACATATACTATAAGTGTTTATTTAATTGATATTAAATACCGATATTTATTCAAATATACATTACAGTATAGTATTTATTGTCATAATATATATAAATATATTTTATTAAATTATAGATCTATAAAATCTACATCATATATATATATTTACTATTAACAAAAATTTAGATTATTTAAGAATTAAAAAATAAGTTTATAAATATTTAAAATTATAAAAAACTTAAAATGGTTATTATCTATATTATATCATAATATTTTTTAAATAGCAGTTAAAATTTTTCAATGAATTATATAGAAACTGCACATCACATTATTTTATATAAATGACCATGGGTGAATCAAATTATTTAGTATATAATGAGATGATTTTTTTTATTGATGTCGATGTTATTAATGATTTGCAATAAAATGTAGACTTACATTCAAACAGGTTATATCATAAATCTATAATCACGTTTTTGTAAACTATAAATTATAAAGAAAGATTTTTTTTGTGTTAATTATATATATAATTATATACAATATTTAACATTAAAAAAAATTTCTAAACATAGCATTTATACTAATATTTATTTTATGCCTAATGCCAATTGGATTGCAGCCAGTGATAGTGTCTTTCATAATAATAATTACTAAATTATATAAATGCATATAATATATTAAATTAAGACAATAACCGTCTCAAAAATGTCGTATATTTTATTTTGATTACAATTATATATAAAAATACAAAAAAATTCAATGTAATTCAAAGTAATTATCCTAATTTTACTGTGATATTTATTTATAGTAAAAGTATATTTATTTTAACATTTGCATAAAAATTTCATTAATTAAATAATAATAATAATAGTACTTCAATAGTCATTATATGCATAAAAATCGTATTACCAATACTTAAATATTAAATTTAGTGATATCATATAACTTTTATTATAAAATTTAAATTATTTCCTTAATTAGTTTGATATTTTTCCTAAATGTCAACGTGTTTTATGCTAATAATGGTTTATACAAATTGATGATTAAAATGCAATGCTACCATTTAATTAAATAAATTATTTTTGAATCATTAATGATATATTTTAATCTATATTGCTAAATTAAATTGATTCAATAGATTGATATTAATATAAGTTATTTGCAAATTGCAATACATCAATTTACAGGGTTTTCAATTTTATTACTTGTTTAAAATATTGTAGCATTTATAAATTATATATATACAGTATATATTATTTTTATATTATAATAAATATAAACATAGTTAAAATAAAAAAAAACATCATTTAAGCATTTTTAAAATAAAAATTGTTATTGAGTTTGACCTCAAAGGCCATTAGCAAAAGTCAAACGTCAGCTTTTAATGAGTTGCATATAATATATTATTTTTTTTAATAGTCTATTGAAACAAATACAATATAATATTAATTAATGAATGAAACTGTTTTGTCATTTTAAATGTTTATTGAAGGTATTTCATGTCATAATATATTTGTTACTAAGGTATAGCTTCAATACTGATATATTTTGTAATTTATTAATATAAATAAAACATTACCAATAATTTTTATTTAATTGCACATATACTCATAATATATTTTATTATATAACAAATATTTTAATAAATAATCAGAAATCAGTAAATCATATGATATTTTTTAAATTCTAAGATTTAAATAATTCAAAAATATTTTGTTATTATTTGAATTTAAAAAATCCAATTAATATGATATAAATATAATTTTATTATTATTAATAATTAAATTGGGATATCTTAATGCAGATACAGTAATAATAATAATAATACTGATCTATTGTATGAACTTCGATAAAAGTTTATAATATAAAACTACTGGATATTTATTTAACAAAATTATAGTCAATATTGTCATGCAGTATATATTTATTTGTTTGTTTGTTCAATAATAGTTTACAAATGTATTATCAATAACATTTTTTTATTAATAAAATACTTCATTTTTATTATTATCATCAAATATAATGTTTGTCAAAAACTTTTAATGGACTATAAGTCAATTAAACTAAATCTAAAAGGCGTTCCCATTAGATGACCACTAAGTTAATAATAATTCATATTATTAAATATATAATCTAAAATATAATACATATTATTATATAATATATATAAACAATAAAATTAAGTTTTTATAATATACAGTATAAAAAAGTAACATTTGCTAAAAATGTTTTTCTAAAGATGTTTGGCTATTATATGTGATATCAAATCTATATAAAACACGCATTGCTTGTTATTTTATTATTAGTATAATAATTATTAATATTAGTATTTCAGAAAAGCCTTTCATGATAAATATGGATATAATATCTATTGGTAAATAATTATTAGATAAAATATTTAGTATAATCTTTAAATAATAGTTGTAATATAAGTGTATTTTCAATTAGTTTTCTCATAAAACTACTGTAACTTTTAAAAACAAGTATTATATTTGTAATAATTTAAAGAGTTATTTTTATCAAACATTATCGTTTTTCCATAGTTAAGCAATTTATTTATATAATTAATAATTAAACGTTTAATTTAATTAATAAAAAATTTAATAATTATCACGTATATTATATGATGACCATTTTTGCAATTGTATTATTATTTATTATAAACAATTTGATATTATAAAATATTTTTAACAAATAATTAAAAGTTTCATTAAAATGCCTTCATAGTAATAAGTAAACTATTAATTAAATTGTAATTAATAATATTTATTTAGTTTTTTTTGTTGTAAAAATGTATAATTTTGCAAAAGTCAGACAAAGGAGGCAGAGTTTACCGGCTTATGCTTATAATAATCGCATTACTGATGGCTTTATTAAACAAATAAATAATAATAATAATAATGAACTTTTTAGACGGGTTTCGTTAAACTCTGGTATTATTTGTTATACAGTATACAAATTGTATTATACAATACATGTATTTTATGTGTTGTGATAAATGTTTTATTCTCTATCATATGAAAAAATTAAAATTAATTCTGCATTTTGGAAAATTATATTGCAATTAAAATTTATATTCTTATTATTATATATATATATATTTATATATATTAAAAATATACTTTATATGTTATAAATTAATTTCATTAAATTGTAATAAATTATAATTAAATATATTATTATCATTTCAGGTACCAATCAACTACCCGCCCATCAATTGCTTTTGTCGATCAGTGGTGACTCCAAGATCTCATTACAGCACACATCAGTTCAACAGTTGTCTGCCATCCCAGAGGATCACGAGCTAATCGAAACATATGAACCACCGGAGGAAATCATCGATGACGACGATGACACTGAACCACATATCCTCATTACAGATCCGGCACCGGATGGTGGCTATGGTTGGGTCATTGTTATCGCATCATTTCTCTGCAACCTTATTGTTGATGGCATTGCCTATACGTTTGGTCTATTTTTCCAAGAGTTTGTTGAGTATTTCGGTACAACCAAAGGCAAGGTCGCCCTTTGCGGGTCATTACTCAATGGATTTTATTTGGCTGCAGGTTTGCATAGTTATATATATACCTGTAATTTCATAAATTTATAGTTATATCTTAACAGGTCCTGTAGTCAGTGCATTGGCCAACAAATTTGGCTGTCGTTTTGTCACAATTTTAGGAAGTATTATAGCGTTTGTGGCATTGCTTTTGTCAACAGTTGCGCCCAATGTTGAGGTCCTAATGTTAACCTATGGAGTAATGGGTAAGTTCTTTGAAAATAGTAAATGAAAACAAATAATATTAACAATTTTTGTTATCAATCTATAGGAGGAATTGGTTTCGGCTGTATTTATTTGCCAGCAATTGTATCAGTTGGCTATTATTTCACAACTAAGCGCGCATTGGCTACTGGTTTGGCAGTTTGCGGTTCAGGTGTCGGCGCCTTCCTGTTCGCCCCTTTTACTCAGTATTTGTTGACTCAAATGGACTGGAAAAACACTTTAATGATTTTAGCCGCACTGGCCCTCCACTGTTCAGTGTTCGGGGCACTCATGAGACCACTCAATGTGCACGCGGAGGCTGTCATCGTTGATGACACCAATACAAGAAGTTCATCGCGCAAACCTCTGCTCCAGAGGATAGCAGAAGAAAAACGGCGACGACTTTTGTCGCATTCAAACTCACAAATCCTATTAATGCTTCAAAATAACAATGAATCCAAAGATGATCAACAATATGATGAACTCAAGTCCCGACTTTTCAATACTGAACCGGGAGTCCATTCCACACTTTACTTGGATCAGCTGTTCTCCACACAATCACAGTCACAACAACCTCAGCCACAATTGTCACCGATAATGGAGCGAAAAGTGGTCAGTTCAGAGAGTCCAAGTCCTCGCTCATCTGATCCGGGTTCTCCCGTCGAAGAGAAGGGTATTGAAAATTTTATTATACTTTTTATAGCAGTCATTGTATGCACATTAATATAATAATATAGAGATTGAAATGCTTTCATTTGGCTTTTAAAGACACTAATTGTTTTCAATGCAATTTTTTATGCCCGCATTTACCAATCAGATCCCGAAATCCAATTACAAGATTCTGCCATTTTTTTATCAGGAGAACTAACATTTCCTTCGAGTACCACAATAGCACAATCGCCAACACATGAGACAACATCACGTATGTCTGGCAGCGCCCACTTGCGCGAAGCCCGAGCCCGACGACAGGCCAGTTTGCGGGCAATGTCTGACTCTTCGACATCGGCAGCAACAGCAGTAGCTGCTCCCTCATCACAGCAACCACTCCAAGTAATCCTAACGTCAGGAACCCCCACTCATACGACGGCCAACACAAAAAACCAAGCAATACCTGTTCGACCCATTTATAAAAGAGATATCTTCTATTCGGGATCAACTTTGACACTTCCGCCCAATTCATCTCTCCAACAAATTGCTGAATCCCAAGGAGTAGTTGGTGCTAATATCGGTCAAAGTGTGGTCTCGATTCCCGCACGAGATATCATTAACAAAGTTCAACAACAATTGGCACAAATGGATGACGACGGCGACAAAGATGCCAACGACGATACGTACGAACCAAACATTTGCGACAAAATCCTCACATTTCTTAAGCTCAAAAACAAAGACACTGAAGTCGTGGACTCGGAGTTTGCCGCTAATAAAAACGGTTGTCTTCACATTAAGATTCCGCCGTCGATGAAGAGTATACTGAAAGAGATGCTCGACTTTTCTCTCGTCAAAGAGAGTATGGCTTTTACATTGCTCTCTGTGTCCAATATCTTCGGAATGATGGGGTTTTATGTGCCGTATGTCTATATCACTCAATTTGCTGTCTCACATGTCTACGGTATTTTCAAAATATTTAATTATGATATTTTTATTATCAATAAATTATTAATCAAAATTATAAATATATGATCTTAAAATTAGATGGTGATGAGTTAGTCAAAGCCGATAGCGCCGCACTATTAATATCGGTAATCGGTATTTCCAATACTGTCGGCCGTTTGTGTTTCGGTATAATGAGCGACATCATCAACAGGAACGGTACGATTGGAGGAATCCGGATAACGGCGCTCACCATTAATAATATTTGTCTGGTTTTTTGCGGGCTCAGTGTGATAATAATGCCCTATTGTGTAACATACACAACAGTATTGGTGTCCAGTGTTTTATTTGGATTTTTTGTTTGTAAGTTATAATATTTTTAAAGATTTTGAAAATTATAAAGTTTATGAAAATTAAATGCAATAATTATAATATTTTATGATTTTTGTTTGTTTGACAGCCGCTTATATATGTTTAACTTCAATCATTTTGGTTGACTTATTGGGTATCGATAGACTTACCAATGCTTTTGGTCTCTTAAGTTTGTTCAGAGGTATCGCCTCAATGCTTGGACCGCCATTGGCTGGTATGCCTTCCTTGAGTTTAATTATATTTTAGTGTAATTTAAATGAAAATTTATTATCCAATTTGTTAGGTATGATCTTTGACAGCACCGACTCATATCCGATAACCTTTTGTGTCGCCGGAATTCTTCTGATAATATCATCGATGATATCGTTTTTAGTTCCCATGAAAAGTGGCGATCAATTGGATGAAAAGGATGAGCCGGACGGCGAGTGCAACATCTGATGAAACCAACTGTGATTTTGTTATACATTAAGTCATATATTAATACAGTATTGTATTGTTATTATAGTATTAATCCATTTTAATATAATGTTTATAAACATATTTGTATGTAAATTATTATTATTATTAAATTTAAATCATATATATATTACAAATTACATAAGTATAACAAATTTAGAAAAATACATTATAAAAATTGTTATGTCATTAATTGTTTTAAAATTAAGATGTTATATCATTTTTATTATACATATAAAATATCTTTAAAAAATAACATATTATTATTGTTATAATATTAAAAATATACATTAATATCATAAGTAAAATAGTGTAAATACAAATTAACAATTATATAAATATATAGGTATTTTTACTCTTATTAATTTTAGTTATTCTTATAATATATATCTAACTAATTGTTATAATATTTTTTCAAATATTTATAATCAATTTTTACTATTTTAAATATATTATTAAATAAATTATAATCTTTTTTAAAATCTGTTCATTTGTTAATAATATTTGTAAACATTTTTTATTAATAAATAATAGTTTAATAATGAGTCGGAAGTTTGAACATCAATTTTACTGATTAAATGACAATAAAATGAGTAATTTAGTTGTTTATTGTTTAATGTCAGCTTAAATATGACAGCAACTGATAATTAGTGTATACAATGTAATATAAATTAATAGATAGCATCAGATAATTATTTAATCCATATTAACATACATTTTATTGCTTATATTTATTGCAATCATAGTTATGCTAAATGTTAATTATTTAATAATATAATATTCATGACAATATAATTATATTTATATGTAGCATATTTCGGTAAATCGGTAATAGTATAGATAGCTTGTATACAGTAAATTAGAAAATAATATTTATTAAATATTATAAATATAAGTATATAAATATTTGAACTATTTTATGTGTTATACTATTTTTTATTATTGTATTATATGATAACAATGGTTATACTTCTAATGATTAGATAATCTTTTTGCATAACGGCCTCCACTCTCATCATAAATATATAATCAAAAACCATTAGACTTAATATAAAATACTTGAATATTTCAGATATTGCAGTTAAATAGCATTTTATTGTTATCGAAATCACAGTTTTTATTTTATTTATTTGTTACATAAAAATTCACAATATTTTAAAGTGTTAGTGTATTTTTTAATGTAAAACAACAAAATGTTGTACATAAAAACAATTATAATTTTTATAATTTTGATTGCATTTATTATGCACTTTTCAGATGCAAGACCTGGTAAATCAAATTATTATATTTTTGTCAAATTATTGTAAATATTTTTGTTAGTTAAATTTTAACATAAATTGATTCCTGTTTTTTGTGGTATATTATACGGTATAAAGCAAAAAGAGGTCGAACATCGAAATACATGAGAAGCCAGCACAGGGATCCATATTCAAAACCATTGAGAGCTCTTCATAATCCACTTTTATATAGCGGAGATATTATAAGATATCCGAAAATAGGCGTAAGTTTATATATAAGTTTATATATATTTAAATTATAACTAATTAAATTACAATATTAACATTTAGTATTTAAAAAACACATTCAATGCCGTCCCATATGACTACTGGCTTTGGCCTAACCGTGAGATACCATACATTATCGACCCATCGTTAGGTAAAAAAATTGAAATAATATTAGATAAAAATTTGGATAAGGATTAGGAGGAAGATATTTTTTGAATTAAAAATGTTTGTATAATATATATTAAAGATAAACAAAAATCACTGATATTGGAAGCCATGGATCAGTTCAGACAACATACATGTGTGAGATTCAGAGAAAGGAAATCTACTGACACTGATTACGTTAGGATATTCAAAGGAGTTGGGTATTCAAATATTTGTTAATAAATATATAGATATATATATATATTATTTTTTAATAAATATTAGTTTCTAAAAAATTAAATAACTTTTTTCAATATACTTTATAAGTTGTTACGCATCCATTGGTAAGGATGACGATAACCCTGAGATCATATCTCTAGGAGAGGGCTGTTATTTTCCCGGTACTATAGTCCACGAGCTTATGCATACAGTAGGTATGTCTGTAAATAAAATTATTTTTTTAAATAAATTTTAAAATCACTACTAAATTTTTTTAAATTTGATCCAGGATATTATCACGAACAAAATCGATCAGATAGAGATGAGTATGTATAGTATATATGATAAAATAATTTATATATAATTAACAAATAAAATTAATTTTACTAATTTAACTTTATTTCAAAATAATGTATCAGTTTTTTGGTTATCAATTGGGAGAATATCGACGAACATTATAAGGACGAGTTCACCAAATTGAAGGAATGGGAGAATAAAATACTGACACCATTTGACTATAACTCCATTATGTTATACGGACCCCATTCCTTCAGTAAGGATGGTATGTCCACAACAATGGAACCAAAACATACCGGGTTTGTCATGAAAGAGGTCTTCGATAAGCCGGGACTTACAGCTATGGACGCAAAGTCTATTAATTTGTTATATAAATGTCAAAATTCATAATATTAGTCACAACTCAAGTCTATTATACTTTTATTTTTATATATTTAATTAATACATGTTTTAGCTGAAAGTAACAAATTTTATGTAAATGATTGTTAGTCATCGATATCATCGAAATAAATTAAATAAGAAAATTGTTTTATTAATTTATTTATTTGATTATTATATAAATTAATTGCTATTAAACATCTGTACTTTCCATAGCTTTACTCTGTAGTCAACATTTTTGTACATTATATAAAAAACTACATCAAAATACAATATTATTTTCATATTTTAAAAAATTTCTGATAACTAAATTATATAATTGATAATATAAATGTATTATTTATAATATTATCATTTCAATCAATTTTATTGACTCACCGAACAATTAATTTATTAAATATTTATAATTATTAGATTAAGTTTTAATATATATATAGTTTAATATAATTAATATAATGTACAATAATGTTGAATAAATAAGTTGAAAGTTTGTTTAGACTTTAATTCAAATGCAAAACCTTTAATTATTAAATAATTTTTTACAAACTCTAAACTTTAGAGTTTGTAAAAATTATTTAATAATCAAATGTTTTGCATTTAAATTAGTGTTTGAAAGCAGCGCTTAAAACAAACCATTTTTGATAAACAGTTTGCAATCAATTTGTTTTCGGTATCCGTTGGCAACCAATCAACACATTTGTCGATCAAAACAAACGTTTGATTCAAACAATTACTGTCAAAACAATTGTCTTTTTTATCGTCAACAACGACAACAATGTCTTCACCAACTGATCCCAATCGGGATGAAATGGCACTGAAAGCCAAATCAGACGTTATGTTTGACAAAACTAGCGATTATCTGAAGGCAGAGCTCGACTGTAAGTAAATCTGACAATCAATTGGTTGATGACCATCGGTGACCAATTTCAGTGATACTTATCTAACAATTACTTATTTTCATCAGTGACTTTGGATGACTATAAACTTTTGGAGCAAATGAATAATGCGACGACTAATAAGTACAAAGAGATGACAACGGCGACGGAAAAGTTGGCCAAAACAGTGGATCAGATGAACGACAAATATAAGACATTATTGCCAAACCTATCTTTGATTGACACTATTGAACAAAAGGTGCAGAAACTGGAGGACATGGCCTACGCTATCGATGCCTACTCTAAACGATTGGGTATTGTAATCATTAAATCATTTTCACTTTTCTCTTTCATATATTGTTATTAATTTTGTTTTGCATTCATTTTTATTGAAATTAAATTAAATAGAAAATACTTGTTTTAATACTTAAATTATATACTATTTAATAGTTTTTATATAATATTTATAGTTTAATATTATATTTAACTTATAGTAAGACATAATTTTCTTTAACTGAAAATAATGAACCAAATATTTTTTATATCAATAATATTAATACAAATTATACTTTATTATTAAACTATAAAATAGTTACTTATAATCTTATGATTTACTATTTGCTTTAGTAAAATTAAGCTATATTTAAAAATTTGTTGTAAAAATTTTAACTTAGCTTACCGTAGGATAACTTTACCACAGTATTTGCTATTGATTTGTTTTTTACAAAATATTTGTTATTACTTTATACTGTAGTATGACTTATAGTTATATAAATGGATATCTTTTATATATAGCATTTTTATTTACAGTATTTATTTTAGAAAATTTTGTTTATACCTGTACATTTTTTATAAGATTAAAAATTACCATTTATCATTTTATCTAATCAAATATCGATCACTATAAAACTATATAAATTTTTATAGATATTGACCAATAATCAAAAACAATTTTATAAGACAAATAAAAAAATCAATTTAAGATTTGGATTCATAGTCAAACAATTTTAAGTCAAATGATGAAAACTTTAAGATAGTTTATATAAAATTTTTGATTTATTTATTGCCTCAAAAAAAAAAAGATTTATAGTTTGACTTATCGTTTGATCTTCACTTTAAGCTTATATAAACATTTTGGTAGTAATTACTTATTAAACGATAAACAAGAAACTTGTCGGCCTTTATGATAGAGAGTATTAAATTTTAGCATTTTATAAAAATTAAGTAATAATAATATTATTTTATTATTATTATTTGTTAATATGATGTAAAATGATGTAATTTTTTAATCAATTTAAAAAAATTTAATATAAACTATTTTAAATTTTAGAGACAACACATTGATTAAAACAACATTATATACTAAGTGTTAAATTTTAACTTAGTTAATTTAATTTTTTTGTGTATATAATAAGTAAATATTTTTTATATTTAAAAGTATATTTATCGCATTTAATTATAGTAAATATGAGTTATAAATTTAGTAAAATTTTCTATTGAATTAAACTCAACGAAAATCAATAGTTTATTAATCATGAAATTCTGGATAAGTGTAACACTTAAAAGTCGTGTTCAACAAAAAGGAAACTTTATTTTGTTTCTATTCAATATATACTATATTTACTATATATTATATACAATACTAATACTACAAAATAATATTTGCCCAAGCTAATTGTTTATTTATTTAGTAACTTATAAACAATATGTTGTTAAAATAGCTAACCCTGGATTTAACATATGCTAATTTTAGCATATGCCTTTGCAATAATAAATAAAAAAAAGTTATCTTGGACAATTATAATATGATATAATATAATAATATACCCTATATATGTAATACCCCTATTAATATATGTAATTAAAAAAATGTTTCAATTATGCTATATAAAAATCCTCATTTGTAAGCATCACTTTATGAAATGAATTTATTGTGATTTTTGAGACAAATATTCTATTATATATTTGTTTCTAAGTCTATATTTAAATTGAAAGTTATAACAATAAAATTAATTAATTATTATAGTTTAAAAAATGTCAGCAATTGTTATTACATATGATTGCTAAATGTTTAGTCTAAGTAGGAATTAAGTGTTTACTTCAGTTAAATATATTTTGAATAAACTCTTAAATGTCGACAAAAAAGGAGAATTAAAACTAAAGCGAAAGTTTCAAAAGAAAATCAGTTTTGTAAATATGTGTATAGACTATACACTATAGTATTATTATTATTATTAAATACATTGAGTGTGTATTACAAAACATGTTAAACCAAGTGTTTGCTGACAAACATAAACTGTAAGCGAAAAAGCTGTGACTAAAAGAAAGATTTAACAGAAAATGTTTTATCACTTTTTTGGTGAAGACTTGTGGCGACAAACACTTGAAGTGCTTAACAATAAGGAAAACAACTGTCTGTCAGTTATTTACATTAAAATCTAATATCAATACATAACTTGTATTGAAATTTCTTGTGAAAAATTAGATGATATATTTGTTCATGAATTTTACACGACATTAAATAATGCTTTACTTTATTTAGAATTAATACAAATATAATTGACCATGATGGTTTGATTTGTATAAAATTAGCTTGTTAAATTATTATTAACTAGTAATATTATTGTACACATGATTTACCTTCAATTGACACAAAATTGGTCGATAAAATACAGAGAAAAGCGCTATATATATAAAACTTAAAGCTATTTAGATTTTACTAAAATAGCCGATAAAGTGACAAATAATGTGAGGGATAGGTATGTGCGGTGAACTGTTGTATATTGGAGTGGCATCTCATTCAATATTAAGAGCCTTTTCTTTGAAACACTTTTATTGAAAGGAGTGTTTGACTGATATTAAGGATCGACTTTCTCGTAGGTCTCTCTCTCTCTCTCTCTCTCTCTCTCTCTCTCTCTCACTCACACACACACTCACTCACTCACTCTCTATTGTTAACTTTATTATTATTCTCATTTTTATTATTACCATTATCTCTCACATTTTTTTGCAAAATCTTGTCATAATAAGTACAGTATATATTTTTATGCATTTTGAGACTGAATTTATCTAAAGATTTGTATTTTTATATTAGAATTGCTTTGTATAATAAAAATATAAACAAATATAGAAAAATATGAGAACAAAAATTCATGAAATATATAAATTATATATATTTTTAATTAAGAATTTCCCTGAATTTTAATTTTTTGTCTTTTATTTACAATATATAGCAATCCATTATAATTTAACAGTATTTAGCATTTATTTATAATAAAAAATAACAAAAAAGTTTTATATTTACAACATTTTAACAGAAATATAACAATAAATACTTAAATTTACTGTATTATTGTATTTCTATGACTCCCTCTTGTGTTTGTTGCTGATATACATTGACAGTGAATGGGCGGCGGCGCAGACACCGGGGGTCCGCCTATGACTTACTACTAATGGCCACTTCGGTCGAGGCCACGACCGCTGCGGTTATTACCAAAAAATATTACTTAATTTGATAACTATTAAGTTGTTGACCGAAAAAATTAAATTTTAATTTTTTTGTGGATAATGTTTTGCAACTTTTTAATATCAGTTTAATCGTTAATTTGATTGATTGATGTGTTTTAGTGAAAATAGTTTTTATAACAATTTTTTTTGTTATTTTTTTGCAGAATCCAAGTTTAAACAATTGGAGAAAAAATAATAAGCCATTCATCGATTAGAGGATTAAAGTTTTATATTTATTTATATTTTTTGTGTTATTTATTGTTTTGTATTTATTTAGCATAATTTTTTGTTATATAACAATTATTACGCTGTTATTATTATTATTATTTTGTAAAATTCATAATAAATTGATTGCGAAATACACACTAGTTTTTAAAATTTTATAATAATTTAAATTATTAAATTTATGTAAAATTCATAATTAAACTAAAATATGTTTTAATAAATATAATACGATAATAATAATAATAATTTTTTTAAAAAGTGTGTAAATCAGATCTCAAAAGCCAGTGATTGCTAATTATAAAGATTTTGAACTCATATGCGATGATTATCTAAGTGTTTGGAGAGTTTGTATTTGAAAATAGATTATGTTGTATGAGTGAGTGCGGTGTGTGTGTGTGTGTGTGTGTGTGTGTGTGTGTGTGTGTGTGTATATGGTATCTATAGTGTATGTACTGTATATATACTATAACTGCTTTTGCTAATCTCAATATAGACCATAGATATTGCTCAGTTGGGTTTTAGACAAACTTAATTATGGCAAAAAGCAAACACTATTTACAACACTCTATTGATAGTATACATACTCTACACACTCATACACACAGTTACACTCGTATCACATCTTTTAATAATTTTTCAAAAACTCTTCGACAAAATTTTTAAAATTCAATTTTTATTTTCTACACAAAACATCAGTTATATGAATAAAAAACTTTTTAGTGATTTTTTGTTTGTTTGTTTGTTTTATATTAATTATAATTTGTTATATATATATATATATAGAAAAATTATTGAAATGTGATTTAATTTTTTAAAAATTAATAATTGTTTTTAAAAATGTGAACAATTAATTTTTTTTAAAGAAGATGTAAATTATTATTATTCTAAATATTATGTTTAATGTATAATATTTGTGGTATTAATATTAATAATAAAATTATCTAAAAAAAATAATTATAATGTTAAAACGTGCAAAACAATTATGATTGATTATGTGAAACGATTGATCATTTAGTTAAAATGTGTCTATTAATAAACAAAATTTCTGAATCATTATTTTATATAATGCTTTTTTGCCAACACCTTAAACATCTAAACCATACGGTATTTTTGGTGATAACCGGCGCGCTATTGGCCACAGAACTCAGCTACCTGTCCGCTGGAGTGACAAACTTATATATAAGTGCTGTCAATACAAGGCATATGGAAACTAGTGTTCGGACAATCTCCACAAAGACGGACCAAATGCATACAAACTTTATACAAGTGTCGTCCACACCAAACACCGATAGGTGTCCATCGGGACCACCGGTCCAGTGGAAGTCACTATTAGATGTGGCCTCAAAGGCGTACTTAGCGCCCATAGTTTTCACTGGCAAACTGATCTCAATCACTGAAGACTATAGCGGCCGAATTGGTGCCACATTTCAAGTGAAGAAACTAATTAAAAACCAGAGTTTGATGCCATCAAATGTGGTGATTACAAGTCATGTGACATTATATTTTGTTAGAAATAAATCGGTGAAACCGGAACCACCCTATTGTGCCATTTATTTAGATAATCAATTAATAGACAGTTTGCGGCCACAGGAAAAATATATAATATTTGCTGCGACCACCAGTGCTGGTAGTAATGGCATAACCAGCAATTCTGTGCATTATTTTAATAGTATTAATAGCAACAATAGTAATGTTAGTCAACATCATCAGAATCATTGGATGCGGTTGAATAGCAGCACCGGTAGTAGTACTAGTAGTAGTAGCAGCAGCAGCAGTACCGGCTCCTCTACTGGCGCTCATCCACTCCATGCGACCATCAATTTGAGTATATATGCCTCTCCAGAGCCACACAGCAAGCGCTCCGCACGTCTTGTACGCAAAGTGTTGTGTCAGAGATGTGGTAAGTGTTGTGTTTGCCATGTCTTGTGTCTTCATACATCTTATATATGATCTCTCTCTCTCTCTCTCTCTCTCTCTCACTCACTCACTCACTCACTCACTCACTCACTCACTTTCTAACTGTTAGTTTCATCTAAAAATAAAGAGTAATATATATTTATATACATAATAGTGAGTCCCAGACTTAATGGCAAAATGCTATAAATGTTATCATTTTTGGTGTACATTATTATTATGAGGAGTGTATCAACTCTCACTTTTTAAACACTTAACACATAAAACATAATAATTTTTTAACGTTTTTCTCAGTTTGTTTTTTTTGTGAGATAAAACTTTTTTAGGCATAAATTTTTGTTATAATGATGACTGAAATGAGTGAAAACAACTAATCTATACGTTGTCATCCCTTATATGATATCTCTATGACCTCTGTATGCATCCCTTTTTTCATCCCTAAATCCCAGATCTCTATGCACTCTAACTCTACACTTTTCTCTCTCTCTCTCTCTCTCTCTTTATCTTTAATTCATAGCTCATTACTTAGTCATCATATATTTCGGATCAACTCAAAGGAAAGGCACTCATAATAACTTTACTCATAGATATACTGTACTGTAATTGCTGTTCATATACAGTAATATACCGTATACTGTATATTGAATATATAAAACTTACAAAACATATACACACTTCATAGAAACATATATTAATTTTAAAGTGAATTTTTGTTTAATTTTCTATTCAATTATTATTATTATTATCAAAAGTTTATATCATCTGTTTTGGCGACCGATTGTTTGGATGAGTTAATTGAAGTGCATGTCTATGATAGAGACCAGTGCTCTCTCTCTCTCTCTCTCTCTCTCTCTCTCTTTGCCAAAAACATAACATAATATTTATGAGTAAAAATAAATTATCCAATTTAAATGTTGACTCAGCTGCCTATGTGGTGTATGCGGTGTATGTGTATGCTCTGTAACATTGATTTACTATTAAATTTATTAAAGCCATAACATTAATCCTATGAATGTTAATATAATTTTTGTTTTGTTATGAAAAAAGAGTTTTTCCTTAAAGAAAAGTCAGCTCTTTATGCATAACATATACATTATATGTCGGGCCTATGATGTAGTTATGGATCTAATGTAATAAAAGTCTAATTATTGCATGAAATACACAACAATACAATACAATATATATATATATATATATACTGTACATAAAAGGAAAGGCCATTAATTTTTTGGTTTGAATTCATTGTCCGCATCACTCACTAAAAACTTTTCTCTCACCAAAACATTATTATATATTTTTACAAAAACCCAAAATTTAAACTAAAAAAGCCTTTCATTGCATTTTTGTGATGCATTTGTACGTCCGATGACTGCAACAAACCTATAGTTAAATAATAAGACGAATGGGAAATAATATAACATTTTTTTGCAATAACTAAAAAGTTAGCGAAATAGCCTGAAAATAGGTAGTGCCTATTGTTATCATCATATATATCGTTGAGGTGTGTATATATGTATGTATGTATGTATGTATGTGTGTGTGTGTGTGTGTGTGTGTGTTTGTTTGTGTGTGTTTGTGTATACCGCAGCACTGTGTAAGCACCGGATGATATGTTGTTAGTGTTGGTCCAAAAAGTAATTTATCAGTTTTTGCTTTATTCTGCCACAAATTCACTGCCATTTAAAAAGCACCAGCGGTTAGGGCCATCCACAGAGCTTATGGAAAGGTATGCCATAAGTGATTGAGGCATATAAAAGGTATGGAGAACTCGGTGAAGGATGCAAAAGGACAGTTGCATTATTACTTATATTTATATATATGGTTTGACTGGTCTTACTTACTGTTGCTGATGGTGTGTGCGGTGCTCAGCCCAAGTAGTTTAAAACCTGAACTTTCCCATGACTATCTGTGTGGCCTGACCTCGCTATATGCTTGACTATATTGTTCCTCTCTATTACTGTTTTTAACGCCTAGTCCACCATCTCAACCATCTCTCATCGGCAATGGACTCTCACATAGACATATATATATACACAGTTTAGATACATCTTAATTTAGTACCGTTTCTTCCCCTCTCATTGCTGACCCCACGCGCCGCCACCATTAACATAACAAACCCCGGGACTTTCGGGTTGTGTATGGGGGGCGACAAATGCCCCCTATTTAGTGAACACACAATTGACAGAAAGCTATATATTGTTAAAGATTGTGAATCCACGAGAGCTCGTACTATATATTATTGGCTCAAGTATTCAACTATTCGTAAATCATTACCTTTTTAGGCTTTTTAACAACACTTTTATAAATGTCTGACTAAATAACAATTCCTATACTGTATTGAACTAACAGTTATAATAAATTGAATAAATTATCATTACTATTGCAATTAGACAGTTATTAGACACACTTTATTACAATTGTTCATATAATAGTTTATCAATGTATCGATAAAATTTAGGTTATGCTTACTATAAATACTGTTCCTTTCATTAGGTGTGGTATGAACTGAAAGAGAGAGAGAGAGAGAGAGCAGTTGGAGTATAGCTTCAGTCATAATAATACTATAAGACTATTAAAGAGGTATTGAATATTGGATTCAATAAGAAGAGGTGACATTCATTTTCATTTGAAAAGACATTTCATTTGTTGTGTTATTATTCAAAGACTTTTTCCAATATTTCCAATACATTCTTCAATAGTGACACTATTTGACACATTTTTCGCCCAAAAATTTTCTTAACTCTCTATTTATAAATATTTTTCTTCTTCTCTTCTTTTATTATGGCAAATGAATGAATGAATAACAGCGAAGACACCTATTGTGCGCCAACTTAATGGTGACGTCCGCATCCCGACAAAAGGCACACTAAGATTACGGTGCAAAGTGTCCGGCAATCCATTACCACGAGTTGAATGGTTTCGAAATGGAAAGAGACTTAGAAATAGAGGTCGGACTGTCATCAGAGAGCACCGGTAAGTGCCCAACAATTTCGTATACGCCTATCAATAATAAGCAGATAAACAATTCCTCTCTCCCTTTCCTCACACTCTACATACAAATACTCATTTTTGAATATAAATTATATAAATGCCGTCCCTATGTCTTACCCGTTGACAACAATAACAACTAAAATCTTACGGTTAATCTCTTGAAAGATATTTAAACCATAGAGAAATGATATTATAGTTTATAAAAATGAGTTAATAATATTTATTGTGAATTTCACAGCAAATTAGTTGTGAAAATCTATTTAATAATAATAATAATTATAATAATAATAATAACAATACATATACCAAACTTGTTGATGATTTTTATTGCAAAAAAACGATAAATTCAATGTAACTGTATTTATCTCTCTATGCTCTCAATCTCTCCGGTAAATAAATTCATGAATTTATTATTATTATTTCAATTTAATAATAAAATAAAATTTATTTAAAATAATATAACTTAAAAGTTTCTTGTGGTTAAACAAAACAAAACATTTCATTTATTTGAAAAATCAATTGAACGCTAAAATTGAGTGAAAACATCAAAGATTGAGAACCGAATAATTTCAAAGAATTGTATAAAAATTTAGGTTATTTTTAAGCCTGACTTTAAAAAAAATAATAATAAAATGAAAAATAATAAACATTTTTTATAATTATATTTATTTATTATACAATCATTTTTTAATATAATCTCTACTTTTTCATCAATTTTATTAAAATATATTATGAAATGCCTATTATAAAAATAAATAAATAAAAGTTATTTATATATCAAATCTTTTAATGTTATGAACTATTATATAACAGTTTCTAAACTTTTATTGAAATATCCATCAAATAGTAAAAATCAAAATTCGGTTTCAAACGGAGTTTCAATAAATAAAAATAACTTAAAATAAGTGTTTAAATATATCTATATATTTGTAGATTTTTATATTATCAGACATTTAGCGACAAAAAATACCACTTTTTTAATAGACAATTGTCTGACAAAATTTTTATTTATGTTTATCACACACCAGACACACGTCTCGCCTTGAGATCCGTCGCGTTAATCCCAGTGATGGCGGATATTATGAATGTCGTGCCATTAATGTCGTGTCGAGACATCCATCCACTGCCAAACATCGTGTCTATATAATCAAAGAGTCATCGGGTAGTGGCAAATGGCAGTCTTCATCGTCATCGACGTCCACAACAACCACAAGAGGACCGTTGTGGCCACACGTGCGTCCGTGTCCTATACCATCGTTTTGTTTGAATGGCGGCACATGTACTCTGTATGAGTCAGTCGGTGAATACGTTTGCCAGTAAGTAATCACACAATCGCTATATTTTTTCTCTATCTTTAAATGTCATCCCTTTCCCATCTCATCCCTAAAAAAGTTAGACAACATTTCTCTCTCTCTCTCTCTCTCTCTCGTTGAGTGATTCAATGAAATATTTGCTTTTATTCTTCAACACTCTTTTAAAAGACATTTATTTTTAACTTTTAGAGTTTAGACTTTTATGATATGTTTCTAATTTGAAAAAATAATATTTTTAAATATTTACTTAATTTATAAACTGTATATATACAGCAGCAATAATATATATTTTTAAAAATAAATATAAATAAATAAATAATAAATAGTATAAATAGGAAGAGAAATATGTATATTAAAAAGTTTAAATTATAAAAATAAAAAATGCATTTAATTGTAATTAAAATGTAATTATTATATATATAGTATTCTAAATATCTTTCTTAGACTAGATTTAAACTTTTAAAAAGTATTTTTTATTTATAATTATTATCAGATAATAAATTTGTTATTTTGTTTGTATTTAAAATAGTAAATATAGTATATATATATATATATATAAATTATTCAGTATATGAAATATTATATAAATATCAAAACTAATTGTTGTAACTCCTTGTTCCTCAAACCTATAGGTGCGCCGATGGCTATGTGGGTCAGAGATGTGAGAGTAAGGACATCTACTTAAAACTAACCGTAATGTTTGATCAAATACAATATGATTAAACATAATTTGATTAATTTAATTTATTATTATTTATATATAATTCAATTTAATTAATTAATACTCATTCATTCATAATCTCTTAATTAACAACAACATTGACAGCAAATTAATTAAGATTTTTTTTTTTAATTAAATTAATTTGACTATAAAAATACTGTAAATTACGCCAATACTTAATTTTTTATATATATATTATAATATTTATTTATTATGAAAAATTTGTTTTAAATTTTTATGAAATTGTAGTTGTAATTAAATTAATTTTTTTTGAATATCAATTAATAAAAAAGTCATTCATTATGATATAAAACCATTTAATATTATCAATATTACACATACTTTTATTTAAAATATACATAATTTAATTTTGTAATAAAATCATAGATTAAAATATTGTGTTAAAATATTGTCCCGAAATATGAGAGAATGCGGTAGTTTTAGTAATAATTTATTTAGTTTTTTTTGACAATTATTAAGTTTTTAATTATATACTTTAAAGTTATATGATGATTATTTATAATTTAATTAATTATTTATGTCATTGAGTAAATAAATCTAAAAAACTACATCTAAGAAGTTAATTAACAAATATATTATAGTTAAAACAATAGCTTTAAAAAAATTTTAGTTTGCATTAATGTTTAACATAAATAAAAATAATAAAATAAATTATATATTAAATATAATTAGCAAATCATACAACAAATCTAAGATTTGAGTTATTAATGACATTATTTAAAAACAAATATTTTTTCGGTAGGCTTTTGTTAAAATACAAAACTTAATTACATAACATTTATATTAAGCTATTTTAATAAAAATAAATGTAACACTAAATAATAACTTAGAAAAAAATAAAAAATTAATCTCAAATAAGATTCTCATTTTTCAGACAGAAATAAAACATGAATATAATTCGTCTCTCATCCGAAAAGATGGTTAAAAAATCAATGATATTATTGTTAAATCTCAAGAATATTCAACAAATCAATTGTCTCTTTAGATCAAATATCTTGTGTGACATCTTGTTTGACATCAATATAATTTAAAACAAATTTCAACTCAAATTTCCGATGATTTGTTTAGTGGTCTGATTTGGATTTGTTTTTTTGTGGTTTTGTTTATTGAAATATTTTGTTATTTTGTATTATTTCAAATATTTGTTTGTTTGTTTGCTTATATTTTTGTTAATTATCAAAAGCTGTATTTTTTGAGTTTTTGTTTTTGTCTATTTCATATTAAATGTTAAATATATATAGATATATAAATATATTTATACAGTACATATATTAAAATTGTATTATTAGATGTTATTATCCAAACTAATTTATTTAATTTACTCTATACACTGTAATTATATATATAAGTTATATATATATATATATATATATATATATATATTTATTTAAGTTAATAAATATAGTAATATAATATATTTCATCATCATTTAGGACAAAAATAAATGTATAAAAATAAATATTTAAAAAACACTATTCATAGACCAAATTTAAATCTTATTACAAATTTAAATTTTATTTATTATAATTAGAGAATTTCTTTTTTAAAAAATAATTCTATCTCTATAATCAAAATTGAATTTTAAAAAATAACAGGATTAATATATTCTTAATAAAACAACCTTTAAATTGTAAATAATTGATTTAATAAAATAAATCAAATTTCAAACATATTGATCAAGTTTTTTATTTGTCTAAAAATGATAGTATATTAGTCTAGAAACTAATTATAATCACTTTTTTATTATAATAACTTATCAGGCTATTTTTTAATTAATAATCTTTTTATAAAATTTATTTAATCGTTTTTAATAGTATTTGTCTATTTAATGCAAAATATATGAAATTTTATTTGGAAAACAAAACATTTTACTCAATTAATATAAAACTTTTAATGAGAGTTTACATATTGTTTTAGTATTTTTTTTAATAAATAAATATTGTGATATGAAAATCTTTTTTCATATTTAATGTATTTTTTAAAGTTATCGAATAACTTAATTTAAAAAAAAACTTAATTTAATTATAAAGTAACATAAATCCCATAAAACTTTATACATAATAATCGATAAAATGAACTAGTACATTATAAAAACGGATAAAATTAAACAAGTTCTATTTTTTAGCACAATAATAAATAAAATAATATTGATAAATATTAAATAAATAGTTTTAAAGCTTAATTTGTTAATATGTAAACTGAAGTGTTTTTATATTATCTATTTTAAAACATTTTTCACTAAAAATGTTTATAACTTAGACGAATAAGTAAAGTAAATATAAATGTAGATTAAATATAAGATAGTCTTAAAATAAATTGAAACATATTATTAATTTGATATTTATCAAGTAATTACCGATTAATTTGACAAAAAATTGTTAGTTTTCAACTATAGGGGGCAACTCTTATTCAACAAGTATTACTTTTAAGACATGATTTAATAATTTTTAAATATATGATATTATACAGTAGTATATCATATATTACATAATATTCTTAATCTTAATTTATAGACATCCATACAATTATGGTAAATGTTAGGATATATATATATATTAAATAAATATATTTAAATCGCTAGCATTTTGTTAAAATGCAACACTAGATAGGATTTTTGTTTTCATGTATTATTTTTGTATATATTTTTAGCGAAATAGGATTTCAATGGATTGTTGTGTGAATATCTGATGGATTTTTAAAGAAATGCTTTTATCTATTTTTGCGATTTAAGAGATAATAAAATTAAGTTAAAAAAAATAAAATAATAGTTTTGTCGCATTAAACTATTTTATTGTATGCTTTTCATCCATAATATGATAATAAATATTATAATATAAGATAAAGATATATTAAATAAATATATTTAATATATTTGAATACTTTTATTATATACTATAAACTTATTTTGTAAGTTTTCAGTCCTTTTTTATTTTCTAAACCCTTCAAAATCTATTTAAAGTTACATTAAAAGTGAAATTTCAATTAAAATTTATTTATATTTTTAAAAAGAAACAGAAAAATAAATGTTACGAAATTTATTATGCAAAAAATATTTTTAAAAAATATTATAGATTATTTTAACTTTTCTTATTTATAAAATACAAGTTCATTAATAGTAACACAATTTATTTCAAACATTTAATCGCAATACTTAGTGGCGAAACTTAAGCATATAAACAGCGTTTTGATCTAATTATAGTTTATTTTTTTCAGAAAAATATAAGTGAAATTAAATTGAAATGTTAGCCAAAAAAATTAAGGGAACGGAAAACAAATAATAAATTGAGAGATATATTGATGACAACTCCTATAAATGAGGTCACAATATGTTTATTCATTAATTTTCATATTATATATCATATATGCATCTCAATAGTCAGTCATAGTATTTATATTTAAAGTGATGAGAGTATGGGTTAGTTATCTTGTGTTACACAATGAATAAAAAAATATTTTTTAAGCTTATTATGTCAAGTTTACAATTTAAATAAATACCGTATAATACAGTACAATATGTATATATTGTTTAATTATAAAAATTGTCGCATAATTTCATTTGAAAATTATTAAACCTTTTCGCCTAAAATAACAAACATATCATTTGTTTGATATTTAAAAAATCTTTTAATTAACTTAAAAATAAGAGTAAATTTATGTCTAACTAATATTATGTACAAATGTATAATATGATATAAAGCAAACATTAATAATAATATGAAACATAAGTAAAGCACAGGTGAGTAAATAAAAAGTGTTTTGAAGGAGTTATCAAATATTGGTTTATTAGCTTTACTTTACTTTATTCTCATTGTATGTATCATTGCTTAGTATAAGAATATAAAACTACAATACTTTTAACGCAGTTATAAACCTTCTTAAAAATGTCAATCATTTTAATTTTAGCATAAATTCAATTTTATTAAACAAAAATTAGCACAATTTAAAATATATTTCTTATAATTTTAATCAATCTGTAAACTGTTTAAAACTAAATAAAACTAATAGTAATACTACTTAAGAAATTTTATATTTTATAAATAAATGTTAAAATAATTTTCAAAATTAATTTATTGGAAATCAGTTTCTTGAGAATTTGAAACATTTGTCTAAAGTTTCAAAAATTAATATAATTATCAGAAACAACTTGTGATATGAAAAATGTGAATAATCCGTTAAAATAAGGATTAAGGAAATTCATGTAAATCTTATTAGTATTAAATGATTTTATTAAAAGATTTCTGTAGATTTTTTTGGGGACAAAAATAAAGAGATTAAGGTATCAATTATTAGTTTTATGTGATATACAGTATATACTATATAAATATATTAAGACTCAAATTTTAAGATTAGAAACATTTAGTTTTAATGGGAGGTAAACCCACACTTTTATTTACTATACTTTACAATGTAGTGTCCGTATAGAACTAGTGGTAAGTTATACGGGTAACATATCATTTGTATTGTTAGCTATGTGTGTGTATGTGTGTGTGTGTGCTTATACAGTATGACATACCTAAACAATGGTTATAACAGGTGTGACGAAAGGGAGCAATCAATTGCAACGGTCTCTCGATTGCATTACTATACTTACAGATGCATTAAATTGTAATGAATTGCTTGTATACAGCAATATACCGGTGATTTAGGTGGCGATGTCAGACCCCATCAAACAGATACCAGTCTCTTGTTTCAAAGTTAGTTATATACACACCGGGGGTATACATGTGGAGTACATTAATAGGTTAGGCGTTCACACAAGTGTTGAGTGCATTAAATGCGCTCATTTGAGGATTAAGGATATTATAGATTTTATGGAGAGGTTTCCCAAAATGCAAACACTACTACACTATCACAGTCCCTATCATCACTTGCATTACCGACCAATACCTACCAGTGCAACACTACTGGTAGTGCTGTACAATGAAAATTGCAAAGCGATGGTGAAAGCGATTTGTTTAATGAACAAACAAACAACAATTCACTCCATAAGAGGCTTTCATTTCTCGCTATTTTCTAAGTGCATCCAAAAGCTTGTCTATACATATATATCTATATATCATATATATATATATATTTATCTATACATATATATGTATTTGAAGAGCACCAGTAGCATATATAGCAATGTTGGTATAGCCGTGTAAATAGCCCATGAATAGCATTAACAATACGCATACATTTACTCTCTTTCACACATAAATCCTTATATTCACTGATAATAGGATTTATAGCAACAAATCTAAAATGCTTTTTGAGTTCAACTAAAGTTTGCATTTATTTTTGAGAAAGACATCAACGCTTCTCCACTCACTTATCTCATCCCTATCTTTTATATCAATCTATGTATCTCTCAGTTCACTCTCAATGCTCCGGGAGTTTAGCCATACTATACCATACCATTTGTGAAGCTTTCAATGAGAACCATACCATAGGATTGTAATACAGTTGTAGATAGTTATCAGATATATAATCGTAATTTCATTTAAAATCAATCTTTATATCATTTCTATACCTACTCTAAGTTATTCAATACCTGAACACTGAACAAACAAAACAGTATTAACTTTTTCTGTGACAACAAACAAACAAAAAAAGAAAGAAAAAGTGTTACTTTGCGTAAAACAATCCGATCTCTTATATTATCCAAAGTTTTTTGTTTTATTTAAACGAATCACTAATTGCTTTGAGACGGACAACCAAACACTTGGAGATTATGTATGACAACCATAACCGTCACAATCTTCAAGCCCTACAACACGTAAGTATTTATTTAGTATTAAATGAAATCGCAAATTAATTTCCGCTTAAATTTTATTAACAAATCTTTTCATACATATATATAGGGGTCGACTCCAGACTTGGCTTTCAGTCATCAGATTGTAAATCAGCCGTTGATATCGTCAACAGCTCATCCAACAAATGCTAACAACACTTCCTCACAAATGAATCCATACTATAATACAAATAATCTCTTAAGATTTGGTTCATTACCACAGTTGGACAGAAATACTGCTTTATTTGGTTACCAAAACTATATGGGCGTCGGTGTGAACAACCAGTGGATCAATTCATATGAAAACTCATTATCCAATCTAAATGGTTAGTAATTATTTGTTTTAATTATTTTGTTTCAAAATATATATTTTTCAACAAAAAAAAAAAAAAAGATTTGACACTTAATATAATGAGTGCTTCGGTGGTCAACTCATCTGACGCTCGAAAGCAGCGCCGAAGTCGTACAGCATTTACACACAATCAGTTGGCGGCACTCGAGTCCACATTTAGTCGAACCCAATATCCGGATGTATCGACTCGGGAACGGTTAGCACTGTTAACTCATTTACCCGAAGCCAGGATTCAGGTGTGGTTTAAGAATAGACGAGCAAAGTATAGGAAAACTATGAAAGGAATCGGCGTTAATGTCAGTGATTATAAAACAGAGAAAAACTCATCCAATGGTCACAACAATGGACTCGATATCAAAAGTGATCCGTTGTTTGAACAGAAAAATGAAAAATTCTTAAAAGAAGAAGAAGAAGAACTAGTTGTCGCCGACGATCCACTAATACATCCATTGGAGAGAAGCGATGAGTTTAATGATAAACGAAATTCAAATGACAACACGTATGGCATACCATCGCTAATGTGGTCACAACTGTTGTCATCGAAGATGATCTCTAATCCACTTAACATTCCTCGACAACAACTATGGTTACCAACAGTTCAGTCAACTGATAGAAAATTAAAATAATTATTTCCATAAATTTGTTAAAAGTTTTTTCTAGTATTTAAGTTTTCACTTAATTTATAAGTATTTATAGAGTATATAATTTTTTCGCCCTTTCGTTCAATTTTTACAAATTTATTTCAACATAAATGTAATAATTTGTTAAATTTTTAGTATTTATTTTAATATTTGTAAGTTATTTGTAAAAATCATTTTATTTATTATTATTATCACATACTCAACATTTTATGGTAATAATAAAAATAATTACACATTTATTTGATTTAATTTATTAAAAATTTATATTTCACTAAATCATTTATTTTAATTTTTATTATTTTAACTATAATTTAAATATATTAATACTGTATTTATAAAATAATTTTTCAATAACTTATAAAAACATTTAAAAGTTAATATCGTTTATTATGAATAACCTATTTGAACATTTGGACCTATTTAAAATATCAATAGCGTAGAGTCAGTAATTATAAAAAGGTATAATTGTATGTTATTTGTAGATTATTATTATTATTGAAAATTAAATATCAATTTTGAAACACAAAAACATGTGAATTAACTAATGATTTGTTGATATTAATGATCAAATGCATTGTCAACGGTGCGGATCAACTGATTTCGAGGAAGAAAATGGTCTTCTCTATTGTTGTATATGTCAGACACAGTCACAGGTATGTACACAACAACAACAACATCAATACCATCGATGAATGTCTTGATGTCATAACTGATCCCTTGATATACACACACATAGGGTTTCACACAGGAAAGTGAGGTCACGTTTATAGACAGATCCAAAATTATGGCCAAAGAGATTAAGTCTACTCGTAAGCCGAGAGAGCGTCAGAGGACACGAACGAGTGTACTCTGGACTTCAACCGAAGCATTCAATATTATTATCATTAATCAGATGTTGAAAGTCTACGAAATCAATGCACTGGACATGAATTTGGATGACTTTAAATGGTCGACAATGACTGTTTGGTTTCAATATTTACGTAAAGCTCAGCTCTCCTTCACTGACACCGAGTCGGCCGACGACGAGGTGATTACCCGACGCTTGCATCCGGCCACTAGATATCGTGATCATCAGATACTGACCAACAAAGTGATAGACGCATTGAAACCGTTCAAATACGGATCAAGTGATTTGGGTTTTAAGAGTAACTACAGATTAGACAACGACAGTGTGATCGTAACGGCGGAACAGTTGAATTCACTGATAGAATTGATTCGACCCAAGAGTCGACCCGAAATGCAATGCAATGGCCGTCATATTACAAAATCACGCGATTATTACAAATACAAGTCATCTCATAAGTTATCTCTTGAGACGCGACGAGAATTGTATAAAATGTTGGCTGAGATTGATATCAACTCATCATTTGATGAAACCGTCGATTTGTTGGACGAAAAACAATTGACAGAATCATTGTTAGTCAATGAAGATTTCGATGAAGAAGAAGAGATTATAAGAGAATTGGAAGATAAAGAAAAAAAGATTAATATTTTAGAGATGACTGATGAAAATGAATGTGAAATTAATGATTTCGATCGAGAATTAATTGACAACTTAACTAAATCGACTAAACTGTTCTCGAAATTTATTCCATTATCATATCTGAAGAATTCGAGGAATATTAGTTCCAATTATTTTCTTGATTTTGTTTCTTTACCAAAAACACTGGCCATTATCAATATAACGCTTCGTTTAATGAAAACCGATATCTTTTGTTTTGATTTGATCCGTTGGGCTCAACAAAGACATATTCCGTACTATAATTGTACGAATTGTTTACCCGATGATTGGCTGTTCATTCCGAATGATTTTGAAGCCTTCACTTCCCGATATATTCCCTCGTATTTTACAATAAATCTGTTGTCCGGTAAAATTGCCGATTATATTGGTATCGAATGCTTCCCGAAACCGGATATCGGAAAACTAATGGAGCGATTAATTAAAGATCTCAATTTGCCGACAGATTTGATTGAGATAATTGAAGAACATTACGATCTCTTTCAACATTTCCCTGATGTTATGGATCGTAATTATAATGTATTGTTGAAAATTTGTGACAAACCATTGCCATCAGTTCCGCATTACGAAAGATGGGCTGCGATGATCATTGTTGTGGTACTCAAACAGTTGTTTATGTTAAATGATTCGTCTGAAATGCGTTTGAGTCATTACGCTGTCAATGTCACAGATGTCTTCAATTGGTGCCAATGGGAACAGTATTGTCAACACCGACTTAAAGTGATCCAACAATATAATATACCATTGAATAGAAAGTAATTTTATTTATTTTTTTTACTCATATAGTAATAATTACTATATTGTGTTAATTAAAAAATTATTATTTTTTATTGGTTTCAGTGAATTCTGTGGTGTCAAAGATGAAGATCTTATGGTCAATCAATTATTGGAAAGAAATAAATGTGATTTTAGGAAACGCAATGATTTGATTTATACATCTATTTCTCAAAAAGGTATTTCTAATTTGTATTGGAATTAAAATTATTTGAATAATAATAAGTTTCCGGTTTTTTTTCGGTGATATTTAGAACATAAATCATATGACTATCGACAAGAAGTGTCCGGAGAGTTTTCAACTGAAGTATCATTTGTTGATCAAATAGAGCCATCGATGTATCCATTAACTACTGCCACAGAATTTGCCTTAAGACGAATGAATTGTCCCGAATTGACCGAAAAATTGTCGGTTAATTTTTCAGACAAATTGCTTAAAGTATGGTCTTGTAATCACGGAAAGGCTTTTCACAGACCATATGTGTTTGTCGACAAAGATCCAGACAAATGGTCCGAATCGTTGACTGTGATCATGAAGTTGTGTTGTTTATTACTTCAGTGTAAGACAAAACATTTGCTACCAATCATTAATAAAATTGAGTCCAAATTTTTTCGTTACCAAAGAAAATCAAAACGAAAGAAAGCTAATTACCGGTAATTTTTTGATCGATAATTATTGTTATTTTGTGTTTGTTTTCATCTAATATGTAATATTTATCATTAAAGTATAAATGTAGCATTAGTTTTATATATAGTTTATATATTTATTACTCAAACGGTTGACATTAATAGTTATCAAAAAAGGTGCTAGTCAATTTTTTTATTGTCTTAAAAATTATATATATTATTTTCGCAGATAAATATCATGAATTACAAAAAAATAAATAAATAATATATGATTACAAATATAAAAATAAATTATTTAAACCTATTTAAAAATGATAAACAAATTAATTATATAATAATTTATTAAAAATTAGTTAACAATAAACACTAGAAATATGAGAACGTCTTATGGACTTATGATTAGTATTTTGTGAATTAAATAACAAAAATGTTTTAAAATTTAAATACTAATCAAAAAACGCCAAACGGTTTCGTTTCGATGAATTCAGTGACTTTGAAACGCGGATAAAGACCTTTATGTTTAGTACGGTTGTGGTCGCCATCATTATAGCCGTTGTGTTGATTGTTTGCAATGCCTAATATGTCTCCTATTTTGAAACTGATCTCTTGTGAGTTGTGCGCCTTATGACTGATTATGGCTTTTTTGCCGTGAAATACCTATTGTCAAGTGATTATAAGATTAGTTAATTAGTTATTGATTATTCAATGATTCGTATACCTGTCCACCAAAATAATAGATATCGTCTATAGAGTAGAAAGCGGTAGACATGTCTTGTTCTGTATCTCTGGTTTGCATCAACTCAAAGGCCAATCGACATATTTGTGAGCTAAAAGTGCAGACAATGAAATCGCATTGACTTAGAAGTAGTATATCGACGACAACGTTGTGCAAAGACTCGAACTCATGTCTCTGTGACGGATCGGCCGTTTCCGACAGTCGGACATCTCCTTTAAACACATAACCACTCTCTTTGTAAGGCATTATCTCTTTCTTCCAGACTTCAGGTTCATCAGTGGCCAAATAGACGAGTCGTTCGACTTTTTTATCGACTCCTTTTCGCGCATTGCGGACATCAAGTTTGTTGTAGTAGTCGTCGACAAAATACATGTATTCGTCCAATGAGTGCATCTTGGCTTCGGTGCCAATCTTGTCGGTCCTCCGCACATGTAATCCTACGATGGGATGTGCTATGCTATTGTCTCGTTTAAATTTATGTAGATATTCAGTCATTTTATTTGATGGACGCATAATATAATTGAGCACTTGTCCGATGAACCAAATAAACGGTTCACCGCTTTGTCTGATGACGACATCTGCAATCTGTTCGGGTATAACTAGTGGTAGAAACTCGGGAATCGGGGATATATAGTCTATAATGGGATAGTAAAGCACTTGATATGTATCCAATTGGTCGCCACTGCCCCAATCGGTACGATTGTGGCCATCGGGCGATGAACACGTTTGGCTAAACGGTTGGAACAGTTTATTCCAGACATTTTTGTTAACAGACGCTGTCCGCCAACCGGACGTTTCAGCGATCAACGTTCTGTTGAGTGCCATTGCGGCCACAAAACAATGGGCCAAATGATGTATCTGACAGCCGAAGCCGCAGTACTTGTTCAGATCACAGATCAACTTCTTAGCCTTATCACAGTCGCGAGGATTCTGTAGCCGATAAATGGCTTTTTGCACGTAATCACTGAGATTCTTGCGCTCATTCCTACGCCAGTGATTGTCCCGATCGGCGATCACATTCAAGTCGTAATACATATTATAACGCAACTCATCGATGAAAGACATGTATTTGTTTGGCACCCGTTTTCTCAAGAAGTGCCACAACTCGTCGGTATTTTGTCTGATACGACGAAAGGCCAACTCGTATTGGGTGTTAGGTTTGGTCACATTTATCATTGATGACTCTCTATTGACTTCCCGTAACTTTTTATCAATCATTTCTTTTTTCATTTGACTCTTAAATTCCGACAATTTTTTCAGATTTTGAGCCAATTCTCGGTTTTGAGACATCAATGTCTCGATTTGTTGGTTCGCATCATTGAGCCGTTCGTTTAGTTTGATATATTTGGCGTCCACTTCGGGCGTAATACTAGTTTCGTAGGGCACCCGCTGGTAGACACTGCTAACGGTAAATATGAAGATAATAAGTGCTAACCAACTGAGAGAAACCAATATAAACAACGATCGGGACTTCAATGATCGCCAAAAGGGTGTGAAAAACATTTTTTTCTTTCGATGACAACTATTCTTGTTATAGACTATTGAAAACTGATGTCTTCGACAGCGAAGAGAGCAAACACCAGATATACTCTTCTTATAATATATTCATTATTATTATTATTACTATTATTACAGTCTATTATTGACTCTAAAAATAATTTGAATCACAAAACTCATCACTAATACTCTTGTATGACATCCAAACACTGTTGAAGCTGTTCAACAAAATTACAATATTATTATTATATCATATTATTATTGTTAGAAAAAGATAAATATTTGTTTAAATAATTAAAATAGCTTTATATTTATTTAGGTTTTGTTTAAATTGGCAAAAAAATATTAATTGTATATAAATATATTTTTATTGAAACTGTTTTATTATTTAAAAGTTTAATATTCTTATATAGACATAGTATATACACATTATACACACATTCAATATATTTTGTATCAGATTTTTGTTGTTATGTAATAGGAAGTACTCCCACGGTATCAATTGATAATCAAAATTGGGTTTCAATTTTTAAAAATATAATTAAATTTAAGTTATAATTTACTTTATTCACAGATTTTGGATAAATTCACAGTATGGTATCAAAAATAATAATTATAATATTATTATTATAATTATTTATTAATGTCGATATCAATGACATCACATATCGCTGTCTAAACACAGTTATAATGCTATAAAATTGTCGACAATATTTAAAATCTAGTGCTTATAATGTTTTGACTAATTCAAGGATATTTAGCAATAATAATAAACACAAGTAATTTAGTGATTATTCATATTTTTTATTAATAGTTATTAATTTAGCAAATATTATAATCTACTGTAGTATAATAGAGTAATTGATTTGACTTTTGAGACAAATTCAATTTTAATATGATTTGATAAAATAAAATATTTTTTTTCAAACAAAATATTACATTACATGACATTGTATATTATTATTAATAATAAAATATTTTAAAACTATTGATTTTTATAGCATTTATATATATATACACTAGATATTGAGTACAAACACTAACCATCAGTAAAAATATATAAAAAAAAGTATTAAATTATTAGTATATACAGTATATATATATATAAATTATATACAATATTTCATAATAGTATAAAATTTTAAACGGAAATTCTTGTGGTAGCAGTTCCTGCAATTTGAGAGTCACTTTAAGATCAGTGATCAAGCATTTTATAGCACACTATTTATTAATAATAAAAATGTTATTTCTTTATATTAATAAAAAAAACATAACATCTTTTCAAAAAAAATCTCTTTTGAAATAAATTGGCAAACAATAGGTGTATGTCTTTAAAATTAGACAATTGAATTCACAGTTTCTTAGTTAGTTTGACAGCAATTTGACAAACTATATATCTAAAAAAAAATTCATATTCAACACTATCCGAGTCGATAATTGTGCCAAAAAAATACCAGTGTTTGACCGGTTTTTTCTGGGGGTAGACTTTTTTTTCTTAATTCACAATTCAATGATTTTTATATACTACTACTGTATTTAGATAAAGACACTTTTGAAAAACTCAATTCAATTTTAGATAACAATAATAATTATTATTATTTATATTTTTGTTTATAAACGTTATCTCACTTTTGTTACACAACTGTATTGTCACGAAAATAGACGAACCGTTTACTTGAAAAATCTGATTATGATTTTTTAAATAAACTGAATATTAATAATTACTGTAAATGTTTACTCAGATAATAAACACAATAAATATATATAACAAAACTTAAAAGTTTAGTTTTTCATTAAAAAAATATACAAATAACTCCTTATATAGATTTTATTCAATAAATCTATTTATTTATTTTTTTTATAAAGTTTAGTTTAATATATATATACTGTATATATATGTACACCAATTTTGGTTATATTTAAGTGGGAAATGATATGTGAAAAACAAGTAATTAAAAGCAATGTTTTTTTCTCTCTTAAAAAAACTTAACTCACATTTTGGTTGATTACACATCGCATATACAACACATATATACACAACTCCTCTTCATTTGTTTGGCTTTTTAATTATAAGAGTCGTTGGCGTAAAACCCTATTGTGTTTGTATGTATGTTTGGTATGGCTTTCCTCCAAACAAGTGGTTAAATATATACTGAACTCTTTGGGGGATAAACTCCGTGAAATAGTAGCGTTAAAATCCTGGAAATTTAGTTATTTTCAAATATAGAGATTTATATACATATAAAATAATATATAAGTATAAAAACGATGACTTGTTTTGCAAATAAATATAAAAATCTTATTTTTCTTTTTTTTCATTTAGTATTTGTTGTTTTCAATGCATCTCTCAACAGGTTTTCCTCGCATTATTCAAAACTTCACATTTTAAAAAAATAACTACACATTTTATTTTAAAAGTACAATAGTTTATTTAAAAAATAAAAAACAAACTATAACTAATTAACATTATATACTGTATATATATATATATATAAAAAGCAATATATCACTAATTTTGTATAATAAGACACACATACAAACACATACTAAAAGTTTTTTAATTAGAAACTGTGAAACAAGAGTAGCACTTCAAATATGTTTTGCCACAAATATAATGTACTAATAATAATGAAGTCAATTACCAGACATTTTTCTCATCCATATTTGCAATCAATTTACTTAAAGCAATACATTTGTAAATAAGTTTTAATACAAACACAAACTACAAACTTTGACTAAATATAAACTGCATTTTACAACTCGTTTGCAAATTTATGTGGACTTAATCATCGTCTTTGATCAGAGACGAGAGCACCTGAACAACACAGTGTGTTGGCTGCACCTAAACTATTGCCCCCAAAATGTATTAATACTAGTCTATCGTATATATATTTATATGCCCTTCAGCTGAATTGACAAATACTGTTTTATTAGTTTTTAATTTTTTTAGTTTGTATTTTTAAAACATAAATATAAATTTTCACAAACATTTAGATTTCAAGTTAGGAAAAACTTTTTCTTATTTTGCTTAAGAGTTAGGAGTCGTCGGCATTTAAAAATGCAAAGTAATAGAGAAAATGCTAATCAGTTTTGTTTTTCTACCAGTTTTTCACTGTTTATATAGTAAACTAAAAGATGCAATAATTTTGAACATTTTCCTGTTTTATTAGATTTTTTGTTGCACTCCTCTCTCTCTCTCTCTCTCTCTCTCTCTCTCTCTCTCTCTCTCTCTCTCTCTCGTTGTGTATATGTCTATCTGTTTAGTCTAAGTAAAGATTTACTTAATTTATAAATATTTAATGTAGATTTAAATCTATAAATTATTGGTTTTATAAAACTACATATCACCAACACATCACTTTAAGACATGACAGCTACTATTAGTTGGGATGAAATCATATAATTTATTATTAAATATCACTTATACAGTAGTGTTATACAGTATATATATATATATACTGTATATAAACTTATACAGCCCAAGCATTTTATATGATTATATAATCTATACATAAAATATTGTATAATTGCATTTTTATGCGACTTTTACATCTACACGGAATATAATTTATTTAATATAAAATTGCTTTTAAGTTTATAAAATAAAATATACTTAAATAGTTTAAATTAAATACCATTAAAACCAATGCCAAATATATTTCATGTTTAATAGTAATAAAAATTGATACATTTTTAAAATGATTATTGTTAATACATCAATGCTTATATTTTTTGTATTTTTAATTTGTAAATATAAAAATGATTGTATGGTATTATTAATAATCTGAATAATATATGTAAGTGTTTTTATTAGTTTGCAACTAAAAATTTTAATTTTCAATAATTTCAACAAATAATTCTATGTATAATAGTATACATGTTTTTCACAGAAATAAGATAAATATTTTTCTAAATACTTTAAATGTTGTACTAAAAAACTAGTGTTTTTATTGTAGTAATTTGTGAGACTTGTGGTATAAATATCTTCAAATGTAAATAAAACAACTTTTTATAAATATATAAAATATATTTAAAATAATACTGAATTTTTTATTAGTTTTTAAGCACAGTATATATAATAAATAATTTTTAAAAAAAACAAATATATTATTATTAACATAAAATCACAATTCATTAAAATTTTCAAGAAAACCATAAAACTGCTAAGTAATAATAATAATAATAATAATAATAATAAAATAATAATATTTTTATAATAATTATTAATATTATTATAAAAATGCATTGTTTGTGTTAATACTTATTTTTCTATGTATGTAATTGTTTCTTTAAATGTGTAAAATTTTTATTTAAATACTATTTTATGATATTAAGGAACAATTTACAAATTTTAAAATATTTCTGTAATGTTATACAAGTTTTTTTTGAAAAAAGATAGATTACGTGACACATATCATTAAAAAAAATTGTTTGAGGCTATCAATACATGCCTTAAGTAATTTTATTTTAAAATTATCAATACCAACGATTTATGATTGTATATTAATTGACATTTTAAAAAACATTGTATTATATATAGTGTGTTGTATGCTTTTTTATTATTTAAAAAAACACATTTTATAATACAATTGAATCTCAAATGTGGTGTCATTTACTAAATTTACTATTTTTTGATAACAATTGATAATCTATTGAATAATAAAAATAGCAATTATTTTTTTTAATTAAAAAAATATTATTGTTTTATTATCTAAACAATTATTTAGCATTCAATTCATACTTAGAGTGTAACATCTGTATTACAAAGTTTATGATCACATCTGTAAAATATTGTAAATTTATATTATATATAAATTATATTTCAATATATTTTTGTCTAAAAAAATATTGAAAAATATAAGAAAAAACAGATATCCTCAAAAAATGTTAAAATATATTATTGACTTCCCTTAAAAATATTTTTATATGACATAAAAGTTTGTATTTTTGTTTTGTCAAACTAGCAATTAGCACCCATAAAAACATTAAGATTTTTTTTTGAGAAAAAATATATATAAATAAACAATTTTTACCATAATTGACCTGTAAATTGATATTTAATAATATATGGCACTATTAATGGCACTAAAATAATAGTTTCATTGATGGCTTGGTATTTCAAGCGATTATTTGTATAATAATGGATTTAGTTGATTACATATACCTGTATAGTTGTACTATATATTCAATAAAGTTAATAAAAATATTCAGTTATTAATAATAATACATTAATAAAGTAATAATAATAATAATAAAAATATGATTAAGTTAATAGTTTTTATATTGTAGTTTCCAAAAAATACCAATAATAAAATAAATAGAATATAATAATTTTATTGCAATTGTAAAAAAATATTCAGTAATTTTTTTAAGCAAATAGTTTATTAATCACGACTTATTTATTTAAAATAATTTTCTAAATGTAGATTTTATTCAGATATTACTAATAACGTTCAGACAAATATAGTTTTTAAAAGTTTATTTTGAAAAAAAACATTAGTGATTAAAAACTGTACTTTCAAATGTCAAATATTAATGTTGAATATTATTAAATTTATGTGAAATTTTTTTCTATATTAATTTTAAAGATTTATGTATCATAATTATTACTATTCATTCACAATGATAATAATTATACAAATAAATACAATAATTGCTATAATTATGTCAAATAAATACTGTCTTAGTTGAAGTAGTGTATGTAATACTATGTATAATATATAAAATAACATTTATTTCTATAAAAAATTAAAAAGACAATCATTAAAGTAAATATTAAAAGTTAAAACAATTATAAATATATTTTTGTATATTTAAATATAAATAATATCTAATTAGTTTCATACTTTATGATAATATTAATAAATTTTTCGATTTAAAATATATAATTTTTTTATTTATACAATATTCTGAAATTTATACAATAAAGGTTAAAGATTAAATTTATAATCTTATATTTATAGCATGTTATAATTTATATTATCAAACTATAAAAAATAAAATAAAAATTCAATTTAGTTTGGCTAATTATTTTTTGTTAATTAAAATAATAAAATAAAACTATCAATATTATAATAGTCAATTAATTATACAAAATTAATTATAGCATTTAAAATTAATGACTATTAATACTCACTGAGTAAACAGTTGCTAATTTTGTCGTGTATTACTGTATGAGACAATAACAATAAAAAACAATAACAATATTTTATTAATTGAAGATCATTGCACTTGTTATACATTTATAGATAACTAGAGGCAACACATAAAGAGCATAAGTTTTAAGTTAAAAACTTTTACCGTATTTGTACTAAACTACAGTATATTGTAATGTAATGTACTCTACAATAATAATTGTTTCAATTGTACTCCAATTTCTAGTTTGTTTGACAGCATTTTGACATATTTATTGTGATATAAAGCTATCTCTCTCTCTCTCTCTCTCTCTCTCTCTCTCCGATTGAATAACAAATAAAATTTAAATAATGTTTAACAAGATTGCGATAATAAGAAAATATATAACATTCAAAACACGTTATTTCGTGTTTTATCATAAAATCTTATTTTATAAAAATATAAAAAATAATAAATATAATATTAAAATTAAGTAAACGTAAAATAATTAATATAAATTGTTTTTTCTATTTATGTTTTATTACATTATAAAAAATTGAAATTATAATTTTAATAATTATAAAATGTTTTAACATTTTGTATCACATTATTTAAACATAAAAATTTAAAAACAAACTAAAATAAAGTATATTGATTATTTAAAAAATCTATAACTATTTAAAGAGATCTATCACTGTTTATAAATATAAAAATATTTTATAATATAAATATAATTGATTAATAAAATTATGATATTTATTATTTGATTTACTAAATACAGTTTAACTAATAAAATATGTTTTCCTGAATTTCAATACCAAATTATTGGGATATTGATTCTCGAGGAATACATTTTTGACGGCATCGATGGTCAACTGATTTTTGTGTGAAAAATAGACGACCAGTTGTTTAGTCGGACGACTAATGGCGGCTAAAACACAGGCCAGAAATGTTTGGGCTGAAGCCAAGTCTGATCGAGAGATATCTAAATATCTTAATTGATTACACCTTTTAATTATATTTTTAAGTCCACAGTCTGTCAGATCAGGTGTTGTCGATATTTTCAGACATTCCAATTGATTAAGTATTTGAATCCAACAAATGCTGGCATCGGGATTGTCATCCAATCGGACATATGTTAGATCTAATCTTCGAAGCCATGGAAGTGCCCGACAAATCGATTCAATGCACTCTCCAGTCAGAGTTGTCGACTCCATCTGCAGAGTTGTTAACAAACGACATCTCTTCAATTTCTGTAAGGATTGGTACGTAAAAAGACAATCTTCACTCTCAATGAAGAGATGAAGTTTCCGTAATTGATTTAATTGTGAAACCGATTCCACTAATAGATCGCAATCATTAGCAGTGCTCTGAAATGATCCGTCGGAAAGGGTTAAACTTTTTAAATTTGTAAACTTATCAATAAATAATTCAGTAGTTCTTAAACTATCGACATCACAGATGTGTAAATTTTGTAATGAATAGGACCTCCTTTTGTCGATACAGACGATGGCATTTCTGTTAAGCATATCTCCGGATACTTTTAGTATACATAAAGTGGATGTCATGTTTTCAAAACACGACTGTAATTCTTGTCCACCAATACTGATAACATGAGTAGACCTTTCATGACTATGCATGGCATCCATTAAGATCAATACTTCCAGTCGGGGTAACAATTTGAACAATTTATTGATAACCATTTCGGTGACAAACAGACTTCCCGACTCAAACTGAAATACGGATATTAGGGGAAACTTTTGGCAAAATTTTTCGGTTTCAATATTTTGCAGAAATAGATGTTTACTACTTATCACAGAAACATGTCTTAATTGTGTCGACAAACATGAATTGGTTATCAATTGCAGAACATCCATATATTTTGGACCATATAAGAGGCACAAAAAGATGGTCTCAAGTCGGGGAAATTGAGATATAATTATCGACACTTGTGACCGATAATAGGCCAATAGGTCAAGATCTTGATGACCATTGCAACTAATCTTTGGTATTTTTGCCATATATACTGACTTCTGGTGTTGAATGCCATATATATTAAAGTTATAACATCTTTCAAACGGACAGTTGTATAGCGTGTCGTGTATTAGGAGATGCTTTTGTTGACCAAATATCTTGAGGACCAAATCTTGCCATAGTTTACACACCAGTTTTACATTCAAAAGGTCAGAAAAATTAATAAATTTAATAATAATTAATTGCAATTCAATCGGCAATTCAATTATGCTTTTCGACTCATTAGTAAACATTTTATTTAATAAATGATTAATAGATTATATCTAAATTAAATTGAAAACAAAATTATTTAATATAAAATTTTGTAAAAATCTAATAATTACTTATAATATTGATTTTTACAATACTATTATTTTTATCAAATTAACGTTTAATGATAATTATTTAAATCATAGAACTAATAACAAATATTTATTTCAATTATATTCAATTAGATTCAATTATAACTTATGTAAAAATCCATAGTGTAGTTAAATAGTTAAAAATAAATTTTAATATTTGTTTAAGTTTCAGTAAAAAAATGTAGTAAAAAATAGTTTAATAGTTTAAACTTTAATTTTGTAATAATTGTAACCACTAGACTTGTCACCAGATATTTGTTTAATCTTAGTATTAATATTCAAATATTAAAACGTTAGGAAAATATTTATATATAAGTTAATAAACTAAGAGTACTGTACATATTAAATGTTATAATTATATTATATATAAATTCTAACAAATATTAACAATAAATCTCAAGATTATAAAAAATACTAAATGTTTGATAGCATTTGATTCAACCATTACTATGTGTTAATAATTATATTAAGTGACTATCTTTTAACTTTGTGGTAATAATTTAAAAATAATTTGTTTACTTTAAAATAACTAGTGATTAATAAATTAATATTATATTGTTATAACTTATTATTGTACAAGTTTAAAAAATATTAAATATATATATAGTATATTAACTATCAAAAACTTAATTAAAAAATCAGATATGTCTTAATTTTTGAGTCTATCATAACTGATCTAACCTTTGAAAGTAATGATTATCTCAATCTTCTCTTATTCTGTGCTATACTTTTCATAATATGATTAATACAAATTCAAATAAACAAAATGACAAAAACTTATGATAAACATAATGTAATTAAAAAATAGTAAAGAAATCATTTTATTTTAGAAATTTATATTTTTAATTATCAAAATGCAAATAAAAAACTAGTGGTACTGTAAAACATTTGCTAAAAAAACTATTTAAATGTAGATATTATCGACTAATATAAAATTCAGAATATTTTCTTTAAAAAATATCCTATATTTATGATTTTACAGCCGTTTTTCAATGCCTACAACTAATTGTTTTGCGGAACACATTCGGGTAACAGTCCTGAACTCAATCGGAACGGCTGTCTGTTGTGATCTAAAAAAGCGAAATCGTCTAACAATTTGGACTAATGCTAGCTTAGCCTCCATTAAAGCAAATCTCATACCAATACAATTACGAGGACCGGCACCAAAGGGTAGGTAAGTGTATGGTATTATTTTATGTCTATTTTCAGGCATAAATCTATCGGGGTCAAATTGATGGGCATTCGGGTAGAATTCATTGGAATGATGTATGGCATACACCGGTATCTCGACCTCCTGTCCCGCAAACAATTGGATACCAGTGTCGCCCAACTTATAATCGGTTACAGCTCTTCTGTCGAGTCTGTGTAGGGGTGGATAATATCGTAATGTTTCTGAAAGTACTGAATCCAAAAACGGTAATTTAGTCAATACGTTATAATTTATTTCTCCGTTGGAATCCATTGCTGTCTTTATCTCTTCGTAAAGTTTTTCTTGAACTTTGGGATTGACTGCCAATTCGTAGATACAAAACGACAAAGTGGTAGCCGTTGTCTCATATCCGGCGATAAAGAATATCCATCCCTGAGCCATGATTTCCAATTCTGTTAAGTGTTTATTGACTACATTTCCCGAAAAAGCTTTTCTTTCCGCTTCCCTTTCCTCAACACCTAAAAGAATTTATTAGTAAAACTATTAATTTTAGATCTTTAGACTTAACCATCATTGACATGATGTGCTTCATTGGCATCATTTTCATCAGGAATTTGTTCCGCATTATTATGTGCGTCCACAAGAAGTTGAATAAAATCGTTGTATTTTTCATGACTATTTGGTTCAGCCTTTCTCTGTTTAACCACATGAGTGGTTAAATCGACAAAGAATTGGTTGCCTTTCTCATTGCTGGCCGACTGTATTCCCAACCATTTTAACCATTGTTCCGGAAGTACTATCATTGCTAACGTACGGCTAAATGGGAATTCAAAAGCATTTTTGGCGTTTACTATAAAAGGATTATTTGATTCTTTGTGTGCATTGGTTTTGGTGGCAAAAGCACAGGTGGCGATCACATCCATCGTGAAGTTACCATTCAGTTCCTTCAAATTTATTTGACTCTTGTTTACGGCTTTCTCGTCCAATACATTTAGATAGTCGTTAAGACATTCCCTAATCATTGGATACATTTTCCTCATCTTTCCCGATGTAAATGTCGGGCTCGTTATAGTCCGAAATCTCTTCCAGTCATCTCCGGTCGAAAAGAATAAATTCTTCGACAAAATCTTGTGTTGTACTCGTCGTCTCTTTCGGTCAACAAATAGATGAAAGTCTTTAACTAATATTGTTTTAATGAGTTCCGGTTTTGCGATTGTTATTATAGGCTTATCTCTATTGTATATTCTATAATAGTTTTTTTTCGTAAAAATTACAAATTAAAAGTTTATTATTTAGTTTATTAAATACCCATAAATATTGCCAAATTTCTTATACCACTCCAACTCTATTAAACCGGTAGGCTTAACAAAATTGCTTAAAGCATTGCCCACAACAGGCCACGGTCTCGGGCCTCGTATACCGCGTTTAGACCAATAATTGAATGGACTCAATACATACCTTGATTATCAATATATATATATATACAATAATATTTTTTGATTAATTTTTATTAATAATATTTATTATTTTACCAATATAATAATAATGAAACTATCGATACAATTATTAGTGATGTCCACGATGTGATCCAGGTCACAATTTGCAAACTATCCATTTTTAAAAAAATCAAAAAATAATAATTGCTAAGTTGTTTGTTGTCTACAAATCTAACTCAAATTTGTGATTCAAATCTGAAATTATATATATGATATAATATATTATTTTTGATATAATTAACTAACGATTACATAAAACTTTATAAATAAATGAATGCTTATATATTTTTTACAGTATAATGTGAATACACTTATCAACCAACAGTTAGATATGAATCCAAAAAATAAATAAATTATTTAATGTATGTCTGCTTTTAATTAAAAAACAACTTTACAATAAACTTAAATATAAACAATTATTATCATCTAATAAATGTGAATATTATTGGCTATCATTAGTAATTTATTATTTATTATAATTATCCTAAATATTATGTTTATTTAAATATTGATTTGATTTGAAAAAAACTCTCCAAATTATTTGAACAAATCCAAGAAAATATATCTCATTTTAAGAGCTTATTTGTTACCCAATTGATTATTTTTAATTTTATTTTAATCTATATTTTTGGGATTAATTTTTTATAAATATTAATAAAAATAATAATATGCTATTATCATTTTTGATTAAAAAAAATTATTGTTGTTAATATACTGTATTATACACAAACAATAATAATATTAGTTATTATAATTATAAAATAGAAATTATTGACTATTTTGGTGATTACAATGAATGCTACATTATTATATCTTTAGTGTTAATTTAGCAAATTTTTAAGATTATTAATATTTAACTTAATTTAATATCATATAATTAAATCATATTATATAAGTTATATAATATAACACAATAATAATTAAACCAGGGCAAAATTTTCTAATTTTTTTTAATCGGTGTAAATGCATTACTTTAACATTTTAATAATGTAGTTAACCATCAAATAACAGTAAAATTCAAACATGGTCAATTACAATGTAATTTTTAAATATTATAATATAAAAATGAATAAACTTTAAATATTAACTAAAGTATAAATCTTTTATCAGATTATCAAAAGCATATAAAATTAGTTTTAAAAAATAATTAATATTATAAACGCAAATATCTTTTACTGTATTAAAGTTTTTTTAGTCAATACATATGACAACAATTACTGAATACTTATTATTAATAGTATTAATACTGAATTAAAGTAAAATAAGTTAATAATAATGTCATAAATAAATAATATAATAACACTTATAAATGCTATAAAATAACACCGAAAAGGGTTTTCAATATATGAGACATTATTTATGATTATTAGGCCTTAAACTAGCATTTTGTGATGAAATCATTAAAAAACATTTCAATTAATTTTAAAACTGTTTTTCAAAACTAATATCAATTAAACATTTTATTTGATTTTGTTATGAATCGACTGTTGACTACATTGTTGTCATATAATAGCCGTAAAAATGTCGCGAAAACAGTGTTTATGTCCACCGAAGTGGTCAACAAAGTGAAGACATGGACGCCGGCAATGATGCGACCAATTTGTTTGATGACTTCGGTTAACAATAACATGAAATCAAAACATTGTCTGTTATGGCCATCAAATGGTATCCAATCAATGGTGACAATCAAACACTTTGCGACCACAAGAAGTGATACAAAAGACATGTCAACTACAAGACAATCGGCGCTAAACAGCGATAAACAGACAGCAAAGTCTAAGAAGAGACGAAAAAAGACAGCTATTGTCAACACGACTGACAGCTTTTTGCCGATTATGGCCTTCAGTACGGCTGATGAATACAATATGGATGAGTTGGCCGACGGTCTCAAAGAACAGGGTTTATACGATTTGAATCACTTTAATGAAGAGGTCGAGGATGTGCTTCATTTAACCGCCAAATATGAGATAAATAATATCAGAAGAGAAGCCTTTATATTTAGGTTTTGTTTTGATCTTAAAATAATAATTTGAATATTTGTGGCAAATCTCAAGTGATTGTTGTATTGTCTTTATCTTAGAGAGGGAACCATTGTTTGTTGGAATATGCCTTTTGTTGAGGTTATTGTCATTAATTTAAAAATGTATTTTTTATATTTTAATTGATAATATTTGGCAAATAGTGTGAAGCAATTATCAATCTATTGAAACATTTTGAGAACAACTCATACGACAAGAGTCTGGTTGAAGAAGAACAAGAAGTGATGCCATACGAGTTAGTTAAGTGAGTGTCCATTAGATGATATGTTTTTGTCATCACTACTATTGGCTTACCATTGGTTTTATCATTTGAAATAATAGCTCAAAATCGCGTCTTCAAAAAGGTTTGATATGTTTGGCAAACAAAAGCAACGAATCATTGCTAGAAAGGTATGCCTTTTCCGATGCCATCGCAATGTCCGGTCAGTCACTTAAATGTCTAATTTTAACGCATAGCTTGAAAATTATCGATAATTAAATGATTAAATTTGATTATTAGTTAAACTTGCGATTTGGGAAGCAATGCTTGATAAATATATACAGAGCATTGAATTCGTTAGTCAGGTATAAATTTTTTTAAAAAATTAAAAATATATGCATTTTTAAGTACTTTATAATTGATTAAAGGACATGAAAGCGGGTAACAAATTAAGACTAACTCGCGATCAAGTTTTTAAGAAAGCCGGTGAACTGTTTGATCTGAAACATCACATCAATTTAAGCTCAGACCTGTTGGATACACCAGACTTTTATTGGGATAGACATGAATTAGAGAAGTTGTTTTTGGATACAATTTATTTTTTGAATATTAAAAAGAGAACTAATGTTATGAATGAAAAACTTAATCATTGTATTGAGTTAATGGAGTTGTTGTCCAATAATCTGAATCATAGACACGGAGCTCAACTCGAATGGATGATAATTGTGCTCATTATGGTTGAGGTAAACAATTGACTTATATTTAGACACTAATAATGATATATATTTCGGTAATTGATTTTATTATTTTTTTTAATCAAATTTAGGTGTTATTTGAATTTATACATTATGCCGACCGGATTTTTTAATAATTTTTAAAATCATATTTATTTATATAAAATATATAAACACACATATATATATATATACTTAAAAATAAAAACATTATTTTTGCCTATAATAATTTAATAAAATTATAATTAACAAATATAATTATGATAATTGAGTTAAGTGTAGAAAAAAAATTGAGATTCAAATTATTTGTAAAGACATAAATAGTAATGTTTTTAATTTAGATGTTTTTTCAATCAATTACCGATTAATAAATCAATTTAAATTTAATCTTGATTTTGTGTACCTCTCACTGTTCCCTGATTTCGTTGCTATAATAAACATATACCGGAAAACAAATATTAATAATTTTTTTGATAATTAAAATAAATAATAAAAATGAGTGCAAACCTCATCCAATTCTCGTTTCGTTTTCTCTTCTAATTCTCTAATGTCAGCCATTGTTAATCCGTGCCATCGGTCTAACCAACAAAACACTTGGCGATGAAAATTCAAAAATATTCCCCTATAAGTCTGTCGATGTCATCAATATATTAATGTTTTACAATTAAATATATAGTCTATAGTATAGACTTTGAAGAATACGAAGATATATACCTTTTGCATGAATGACTCGACAGTAGTTTGGAGTCCAAACCAAATAAATTCAACCGTCACTAACTTATAGGCGCACATTACCGGCTCAATTGTATCCTAAGTTATTAAATACATTAAATACAAGTATTGAAATTTATCATTATATGAATGCTATAAATTAGTGGCTCTTACCGCCCAATTGGGTGTAATTAATGGACCTCTTCCTGTCTTCTCAGACGAAATTACTGAAGGATCTTCAGATGCTTTATAATCCTAAATCAAATGAACATTTGTAATAAAGTGATAATTTTTTTTTAAATAAAAATAATAATCAATACATTGGTCGGAATGTTATCATTTGCGATGTTAATGAACACCACTTCTCTTTGTTTCAGTTTCTCGGGTGACAACTGATGGGCATTCTCTTGGTTTCCCCTATCGGGTGAATGCATTGTCTCAATAGTGATGCGGAACTTATCCTTCATGTAATCCGGGTTCTGAATCAACATTTAATAATAATATAATTAATATTTTAATCATCGGTAATGATAATAATAATAATAAAAATGCTATAATTTAAATTAAATAAAATACATAAACTACTGTAACTGTTTGAAAGTTTGGACCAAATTTGATGACAACAAATCAATACATACAGTGATAACAGTCTTGCAATAGGGATATGCATTCCACGCCTCTTCGTGTACTTCAAGTGATCCTTTCGGTGCCAACATCTTTACCATTGCCGGCACTTTACTGTTAAATATATAATTCAATAATAATATATACAACTATTTATTGGTAATAATTGATTATTGATTAGTGGTCAAACCTGGCCAAATGGTAAATCTTTTTCGTGTATTGACCGCTACTGAACTTTCCGCCCAAAAGCGGATAATTATCAAAGGGTTCATTGTTTAGCACTTCGACCCCCTCTCCACCTCCCGTCTCATTTTTGGACGCCTCGGCCACAGAGTATAACTGTCCGATTTGGTACTGAAATCATCAGAAATTATTGCACAATAATTAATCATAAAGTGTCCAAACAATTGATGGTCTCATAGACCGTGTAATGACTTACCTCTTCAACGGTCAGCGGAAGTACAACACGACTGAAATTAATGTATAAAAACACATTTAAGTCATAAAATTAAATCATTTTATTTAAATACCGGCAAAAAACCAAATCATTATATAAACAATTTTTTTCTCATTAATTGTTTAAATAATATAAACATAAATACTTACAACTCTTTGATTAGCATTTTCGCCGCAAATAAAAATTGTCGACTAATTTATATTTGAATATTAATTATAGACTAATATTATACAAATAATAACTAATCAATTAAATCAAAAAAAGTGTTTTAACACAAATGTGATGATTATATCAAATATCATATGCAATACAAGCATTAAATCACATTATAAAGCAATTTATCGTCAATTATGTAATAATAATAATAATATTCAAATTGATTGATAAATTTTTAGTCTATCATATCTTTACTATAACTACTAATTAGTAATTTATTAGTTATAACAATTGAAAATATCTATAAATATTAATTGTACATGCTATTATCTAGCATTATAAATAATAATCATAATACTAAATTATATATATCATATATTATATTAATATCAATAAATTAATAATAATAATCAATATCGCAATGTGTTTGATATTTTGTATGAAATATTGTCTCAAATTTTTGTGTATACTTTAAATACCTTACAATTGTTAGTATTTAATAGTGAAAACATGTGACACATTATATAACATTTGAACAATAATAATGTCATTTAATTGAATTGAATGCTATATTTCATACTATTTTACAGGTATTTCAAGTTATCAAATGAATTAAAATTATAGATACAATATATGAACATATTATTTACACTAATAATAATTTAATTAATTAATTAATTATATTAATTTTAGACACAAAACAAATAAGTAAAAAAAATAGTACGGATAATTTATATATAAATTTTTTTTAAATGATCAATACATTTGTACAATATATTTATATAAAATTTTTGTTTAGTTTTATGATTAATAAATATTTTATAAATATTATAAAAATAATTTAGTCGACAAACATAGCATCAAAAAATTGATAAAACAAAGGTTTAGTGAAATCCAATTCATATTTTTGACAACTTTGCCAAAAGAAGGGAATACTAATATTGAAAATAAAAATAAAAACAATTTTTATATTCAATAAATTTTTTTATAATTAAATTTATATTAATTGAAATAAATATTGTATACCCCCTATACTCGAGACAGTTGACAATCGGATGATCTCTTTTGAAACATTGGACTTGAATTAAATTAAAAAACAATTTTGCGATTCTTTTCGAAGTTTTTGTATCAACAGTTTGAAGACATCCTTGAAATTCTTGATCACAATAACAATGACTCCTTTGGGTGAAAATAATTTGATAAAAATTTTTAAAAATATATATAACTTATTTTGTTTATAAATAATTTATATAAAAAATTATAATATTATAGTGTACTGTACTTTGTATAAATTGCTTCATTTGTTAAATTATGTTTTGTTTCGCCACTGTTTATACTATCAAAACAATAATCGTGAGTTTGACAGCACTTATCTAATGAAATTATATTTAAGTTTTAATATCATATAAAATGACCAACAATTTGATTAAATATCAGTAAATCATATACCGGTTTCACGTTCAGTACCGTAGTCGAGGTCATCTTCGGCTATATTGCCGGCACCGCACCATTTAGTTCCCGGATATATCTAAGGTATGACATGTTTTAATATATGTATTTATAATAATAATATTTATATTAAATTGTTTTTAAAATTGTTAAAATTTTTATTAGTAATTATTTCTATGACTTACAAGAATACCATCAAAAAAGTTTCGATCGATTTTATTATTATACTCTTTAGGAAAATCTGAATCACTTTCGGAACTAATAAATAATAATAATATTTTGTATTAAATGATTTTTGTTGTAAACTTTTTAGTTTAACTTTTCCTACCAATGGTCACCATATGTAGGAACGGTTCCCTTTCTTAGAAGACCTGACAACCATTGCGAGCACTTGAGGGCCCAATCGGTGAGAACTTGTCGATCGACATACTGTTCCTTTGGTTTGCATACTTTGTTTGCCAACACTTTATCGGCAATACGTTTGTCGCCATAAAGAAAACAGTCGACAATAGTGTTGTTAAAGATCTCGATTTCAACCATTCGCTGACTTTTTTCATTTTCTTTGAATAATATGTGTCGAGATTTTCTACAAAATTTCGGTGTTTTATTGTTATCATAATCTTTTGGTATACATTTGCAAACTATTGTATCTGAAATTAATATAATAATAATTATAATAATAATTATAAATCTATACATTTTTATTTTATAGATAATTTTTTTTAAATAATTACATTTATTTTACGCTATATATATACCTACAGGTGTTATTTATGCACATAATCAGGTTTTTATTGCCCTATTATTTTAGCTAATTAACAATGTTCAAAAAGCAGCCTGCTAATTTTTTTTGTTTTGTTTGATAATTTAATTTTTATAACTATTATGTATATTAAATAATATTGTAAACTAATAATAATATTATTATTGTTATTATTGCCGATATAATAACATTATTGATAAAACTCGCATGCTTAATTAAAATACAAGTAGATAATTATGTATAATAATAATATTATATGATTATAAGTTAATTTATATAATATAAAATTATTATAAATTAAAAGTCAATTTATTGAGAAATTAATTTATAAATTACTGTACAATTCAAAGTACATTTATAAAAGTTTTTCAATGGTAAGAATTTTATATTAAATATATTAATATCATTAGATAAAATAATTACTAATATAAAATTTTAATTATTAGATTTACAAAAAATAAATCATGAATATACTGATAGATTAGTTTAGTAAAAATTTCTATCAAAAAACTGTTGCTTTACTTTATTTCTTATATTAAAAAATTAGTTTAAAATTATTGTGAATAAATAATTTTTATTGAAAAACATAATAAAATATAATTTCACTCAAAATTAAAATATAGATTTATTAACATTTGTATAATGTATGTTTTTAAATTACATTTTTTACAAGTATATCAATATAAAGTCAGCCGTCACAATATAATATAATTTATATAAAACTTAATTAATCATTTAATTAATGTAATTTAATTGTCATATTATTCAATATCGTGTAATTTATAGTATAAATTATATACACATTAAGATAAATGCAACTTATTATAAAAATTATATTATAATAATAAAATTAAATAAACAATAAAAAACAAAACAGGTCAAAGTCATCTTGATTGTTTTTAACATTTGAATCATAAAATAACTATAAAAATGCTAAAACAAAAGTATTGATATTATATACTATTTATATAATAAAATATATTTAACGATCTTTTGTTTTGTATTGTTATCAATATTAAATAATATATATATATTTAATGCAATATCAAACCTAATTACAATGTTTTTGTTGGATATATTTTATTATTTTATAAATTGAATGTATATTTCCCAATAGTTTTTATTATTAATTTAATAAAATAATAATAATAATTACAAACTACAAAATTACCAATATTTACAATAGCAATATAATTACTAATATAACATAAAATATTCAATATATTATTAACAAAATATTTAATATAGTTTAGCATTTATTATTATTTTATTAAATTTTTCCGTTTGTTTTCAAAGACAGAACTTAAATGCAATTAAATTAAATGGTTTAAAATTTGATTTGTTATTACTTATTAATAACAATTTATGATTCAGATATATTTATTATTAAATTATAAATTTATTGAATTTATATATAAAATGCATTAAATGTTTTGAAACATAAATTGTGTGATATTATGATATCATATAATACAGTATATTGTTAAAACATTTTAGTTCATTGTTTCAATTACAAATAAAATCAAAATAATAATTTAAATAAGAGAGAGAGAGGGAGATAGATAGAGAGAGAGAGAGAGAGAGAGAGAGAGAGAGAGAGAGAGAGAGAGAGAGAGAGAGAGAGAGAGACTTTGTAAGGAAATTAATAAATATTTTTCAATAAATTATAATACATTACAGTGTAATAGATTATTAGTTATTATTATTATTTCCAACATTGCAGTATAAATTATATACAGTATATTGATATATAATTATAATGAAAATAAGTTTTATTGATAAAGAAATAGATAAATTAAATTCATTTAATTAATAAAAGTGATATTTATATTGACAACAGCAACAAAAATAATTAATTAAATACTAATTATTTAAAAATTTATAAACAAATCTCTAAAAACAAACAGAATATTCTTATATATATTTTTAAATACATTATTAAACATTAGTAACAACTTATTAATATTAATACATTATTGAGTACAGTATAGACACCTATAGTGTGAGACATTATTTACTGTATGTGTAGTTTAAATGCCATTCAAATACAATATCAATGCCATTGAAAGAGATATTATTAGCGATAAACACAATAATAAAATAAATAAAAAATAATAATAGATTTGAATGTCTAATGAAAAAAGTTTGAGTGAATCGACTCATAATAATAATAATTAATTGATTGATTACAACAACTAAATTAATAATCATTTTGTTTTTTTGTGTATAAATTGAAAGACAATAAAACAAAATCAATGGCATTATTAATAAAACGTTTCTCTAGTTTGACACCAATATTGAGATGTAATGTCAATAATTGGTCGCAAAAATGTATCAATAATTCAGTGAATATACGGTAAGTTTTGGTCACTTGTTTTGTTACTTCTGTTACCGATTGATATGATATTAAAGAGATTTTGTATATATTTTTCAGAGCACTTCACACAACAGACACCCGATGCGAGAGTGAGGGCTGGCTGTCGAAGTTGTTGATGGTTAGGAAGATTGATCCGGGAAGAGAGTCACACTCAAGACTATTAAGTGATACAGAAATTGTCTACGAAATGCACAGTTAGTTTTAAACGACATCTTTGTATTTATTAAATTACTTACAATTAATTTCTTATTGCATATATATATCGATGGCTATCGCAGCTCATAATGTTAAGCCTAGTAGTAGTGATACATATTTAAATCTATAGTGAGTACAAATCAGATGATAATCATAATGTTGTCCTTTAAAAAAAATAATCAATTGATTTATTTATTAATTAATTGTTTGATTTGTTTGTTTGTCTGAATCCAGTGAGAAGTGGACTAAAGAATTGCAAACGAAGAATTCAAATGCAGAATTGGTTGGCAGTTGGAGTGTCGATATCGGAGATCAGGATCAGTTCAGTCAGTCTTTTTTGTGACCAAATTATATATCATTTATACTAACTTTAATAACTATATATTATAATAGTTCACGTTTGGCGCTATAAGGGTTGGCGATTGGCATCCGAAGTGGAGAATTATATTAAGAATGATTCAGATCTAACAAAACTATCAAAAGATCTATTACCACATCTGCGTAGTCGTCAAAATCAGTTTATGCTGTCGTTTAGCTTTTGGGGTCATCCCGAAGCACAAGTCAACAATAGTATGTATGAAATGAGATCCTATGTTCTTAAGGTATGTACATATTTTCAGATTTTGTTTGTTTAGTTAAAAATGTTTCAATTATTATGGGTAATATATATATATAGCCGGGAACAATGATTGAATGGGGTAACAACTGGGCTCGTGGTGTCACTTACCGTAAAAATGATGCGGTGGCCGGATTTTTCTCACAAATCGGACAGTTATATGTTGTCCATCATATTTGGAGTAAGTAGTAATGCTAACCACCGAAACTACACTATTTTGTTGTGTTTTTATTATTTACAATATACAGTATATATATATGTATTGATTATATTTATATACAATTATTGTTTAGAATATGAGAATCTATTCGCTCGTAAGGAGACCCGTGAGAGCGCGTGGAGGAAACCCGGTTGGGATGAGTGTGTGGCCTATACGGTGCCATTGATTGTTGAGATGAGGTCCCGTTGGATGAGTCCCAATCAATTCTCGCCTATTCGTTGAATAGATTGTTATATAATAATAATAATAGTTTCGTGAAATTTATAGATTTGTTATAAAATCATCTAATTTGAAATTTTCTTTAGTTGTTGTAATTAATAATTATGAATTTAGGAGAAATTATAATTTTTGAAATAAATAATGATTTTAATTAATATAACATTAAAGATAAAATTACAATAATATTGGCAGCAAAAGCTGTTTATAGAGCTTTACAGTACAAACATATAACACTATTATTACTTTACACGTATTTAATTACATCAAAATATTTACATCAAAATATACTGTATAAGTACTAGAAATATAAGCTTTAAATGTTTATATTGTAAAATTAAAACAAGGCATAACTAATCACACATTTAGTAGACTATAAAGTCATACCCTATAAATCAATATCAATACAAATGTTAAGCTCATTTAGATGTGCTTTTATTATGATTGTGTTCATCACATCGGGTAATTAGTTGTCCGTATTTAATCTTTTGTCCGCTTTGTATCTCAAATTTCATATGTTTCGGCGCTTCAAATACGAGGACAATAGTTGATCCCAAATTGAATTCACCGAACGGATCGCCTTTTTCCAGATGTTTAGCTTTTTTCAGTTTAAAATCATTGAAATGTTGTCTCATACGACCCAACATTCGGTTGGTGGCCAATGCCTAAACAAAAATTTCAATATTAATATATTATTATTAGAGTATTTAAGCGATAATATAAAATTTTTTATTAATTACATCATCAAAATACACTTTAACTGATCCGACATTAGTGGCGCCAACGGCTGTCATCGAGAAGAAGCCGTACTTCCATTTGCCGATATAACTGACTCTTTCATTAAGATTAAACAGATTGGGAAACCAAGAAACCACTGTTGGTCTCACACTTAAAAGTTTTCCCGGAAAGTGTCGCCTATATTTGATTTGCCACTCAATTGGTGAGTGAAATCTATGATAATCTCCCGGTGCTAAGTATATAACACAATGATATAGTTCTGAATCTTGATTTTTATTATTTATTAACAATGACTTTCGATAATCTTTATTATTATTATTAATATTAGTTTTATGTTTATGACTCCAATTCTGTGGACCTAAAAATTGTGGCAATGAATACGTAACTCCTTTTACTTCTTCTACCGTATCATCAGTTGCTTTGCCAAAGTATAATATAGTTCCGTCTGAAGGACTCACCTAAAAAATATAACATTCCTGTTATTATGTGCTAAATATTACGACAATAAAACTAATATCTTAAACCATCTAATAATATAATTACAAATATTTTTTTAAAAAAATAAGTTTTGTTGTAATTTATGAAATTTTTTAAAAAGCTATTATAAATTAATAATTATTATTATTCACTACTAATGAACGGAATAAGAAAAAATAAATTCTCTTATAATAATAAATGTCACAAAATTTTATGTAAAAATCAATAAATTCTGTCCAAACAAGTATATTATAAAAAATAATTATCATAACAAATATATTTTACAATAACCTTGTATTTTAAAAAATGTATTTATAGTAAATATAATTCAATATTGTTTAATCAATTTAGACTTTAGTATATTTTATTTCAAAATGTATTTTAAATCAAATTTATTAATAAACCTTCTCTAATATCAAGTAAGTACCGGTAATATTATTGCAACTAATGTTATTTGATAAAGTAAATATAAAACTAATTATTAATAATAAATATAAATATTGTAAATCAATTTATAGACAAAGATTAAAGCAATAAATTAATTATTTAAAAAAAGATATCAACAATTTGAGGGTCAATGAGGTATGTGTTTAAAAAACAAGTCATTGAGTATTTTTACTATTGTATCAATATTTCATAAAATTTCTCAATTTATAACATTATAACTTGTTTTAACTAGATTTGTGGTTTAAAAATAATCTAAATAATCAACCGATTTATTTACTAATGATATAATAAATTATTAGACACATTATTATCACACACACACACACACACATGTTGGTTACCCCTACCAAACCATTCATCAGTTAAGTTGTATTTTATTAGACATTGAACCCCATGATAATGAATCGTATGATGTGACATAAAAAAGTGGTGACACAATCACTATTGTTAACAATTACCGGTATAACCTATTTGCTAATGGATTGGGAAAACATGAAATTATTAAAACTTACGATTCCGTTGGACGTATCAATGGGACGGACACCAGGTTTGAGGGGACGTCTAAAGAATTCGCCTAAATTCTTGTATTGTCTCAAATCGTCGATAAATGCTTCCTCCAAATTGACACCAAAAGCTTTAACATATGATGTCAATATAGGACTTCTCATAATCACTGGCAACTCTATGGAGTTAATCCAACCCCAGATCCGGGACACTGTCCTCAATGGAAGCATTTTATACATTGATATCTGATTTTAAAAGAAAAAAACTGAGTTATTGCTGAAGACTATAGACTAAGAGTTGATATAACAAACCGATGCAATATAAGTAGGTTTTGAGCCGACATTTTCATCAGCTATTGACTTCTGGCTGTCTTTAGTTTTATACCGTCGGAACTGTTGGAAAGCAATGTAAGTGAAGACCATTGAAATGGGTATATGAAACCATTGAAGACTTCCCACAAATCTTTTGACTCTATTGTATTGAAATCGTTTCCAAGTGTGAGTCGATGTCTTTTGCGAAGAACCTAATTATAAGTCAATTCAATTAATTTTGTAATAAAAAACTGGTCATAAAAATAGTTTATTAAAAGACTTACGATTAATAACTCTGAAAACCGATAATAACTTAGCCATCGTTTTAGTGGATCTTTTGTGATCAAAGCAACCAAAGAAAAGACTTTTTTGATTTTAATGTCAAAGTTTTTATTTGAAAAAATTAATCTCTTTTTTGTGGACTAAAAAATATGATAAGAAATGTTATGTATATTAATATCAAAAAGATGACTAAATCATCACTTTTTTGTTGTCATTCAATCAGTAGATCCGGATCTTTGAGAGACTCGCTCTCAATGACTCCTAAATGATGTCGAAAGACGACTAAGACTTGACTTTTGAACCAAATGTTTGATCACATTATCAGACATTTCATGTGTTCATTGAGTGATATATCAAAACTATTTTATATTTAATTATTTATTATTTATCGTTTAAATTAATTGATTGCTTAATATATTATACATTTGTCTAATAATTGATTGTTTTTGTAAAAGTGTTATCAAATATTATGATTGAAATCAATTGTTTGACTCTTTATTTACACTTTTTATAAACACTTTATTATAAAATCCATTGAATTATTACGTCATTTGAGGCAACTTTTTGTTGCAATTTATTATTATTACAAATATTTCAATATTACTGCTAATTATTGCAATCAAAAAATATTTTATATTTTAAAACAAAACAAAAATTATAGTATTTATTGTGAATTTAAATATTATTAAATTATTTATAGAAAAACACAAACATATAAATTCAAACAAACAATTAAATAACAATTAAATAACAATTAAAAAAAAATTAAATTTTTATTATTAATATACAAATAAATAATTAATTTTTGACGTAATTTATGTTAAAATTTGATAAAACATATGATTTGAAAGACGACTTCATTGAATAAAAAATGTGTTTTTATTGTTATATTAATTGATTGTATTATTTGTTTGATTTAATCACTCATTAGTATCGCTGGTAATCATAATCATTGACAACAACAACAAAAATGAGTGAAAAGAGGCCATTAAGTGATGAAGAGGTCGATGACACCGATGAAGAGCACGACATTCCCGATGCGTTGACAGGAAGTGTTGTACCGAAAGACAAACTCTTTAGACCCAAACTATTCAAGAACTCGAAGGACTCATCCAAACGGTTGATCGTTATCTTAGAGAAGTGTAATCTGGAGATCGTTAAGACGTTCAAAAACTTTGAGCTCTTGAACTGTGATCAACACATGTCTCAGATTCGCAAATACAAGAAGGATCCGGCCTTTTGTCGGCCAGACATTACCCATCAGGTCTGTTGATGAATGCATTGATTCAATGAATAATTTATTGTTTTATATGACTTGCAGTGTCTTCTCATGTTGTTTGACAGTCCTCTCAATAGGGCCGGCCTTTTGCAGGTCTATATGCATACCGATCGTAATGTGTTGATTGAGATTAGTCCACAAACACGCTTTCCGCGGACATTCACCCGATTCGCTAATCTTATGGGTAATAGTATTGATTTTATATGCAATTCAATTTGATTGACAATTTTTTTTGTGTTAATTTTTAGTTCAATTGTTACATAAACTGAGTATTAGGTCATCAAATGGACCACAAAAGTTGCTTAAAGTATTTAATCCCAAGTTTTAAAATATTTACTTTTAAATTGATATAATTTCATAAACATTATATCATATTAGGTGATCAAAAACCCGATTACATCACATTTACCGGTTGGCTGTAAAAAGTATGGAACCAGTTTTAAGGCCGACAAAGTGATTCATCCGCGGGAATTAGTGCCCAGTGATGACTCGCCAGTAGCTATAGTTATCGGTGCTATGGCTCACGGAATGGTATGTATAATTGTCACAATATATCTGTTATTAATATGTAATGTTAGGTCGACGCCGATTACATGGAAGAGTCAGTTTCCATAAGTGAATATCCGTTGTCAGCGGCATTGGCGGCCACTAAGATATGTTCGGCTTTCGAAGAGGTCTGGAATATACACTGAAAAAGCACAATATTTTTCATACCAATCCATGCTTTTTACTCATAAGTGTTTAATTTTAAATATTTGCGTACTATTTGGTAAATTATTTTGAATATAATATCATATTTACATCGATTTATATTTTTATGATTTCATATTTTGAATAAAATTCATTTGTATAGAAAATATCGAAGTTTGTCATAGATATGCTTAAAAATATATAAATTAAGATATTGACGTGTATTGTGTATAAATATAATTATATATAAATATTATATATCAAACATACGGTATATGAGATGAATGAATAAAAAAATATGAAATTAAATATATATTTAAATATAAGATTATTAGACATTTTTGTGATAAAATGTTTTACTCATTACTGATGCGAAGTATCTCTTCGCAGGCCTTCTTGTAATTCCAAGCGTCGCCTTTAAGTCGTTTTCGTTGTATAACACACTGGTTGTCAAACTTACAAATTTCCAAATTGAATGACAATATAATTGTATTATTAATAGTTTGGGCGCATCTTAAAGAAAAACTACAATTTGGAGAAATATATTACCGATAATTAGTTCCATTGGTTCCAAACATTCATTCAATAACTATCAAAACACTTACTCTTTTTGTTTACATTGTATGCCTTTAGCGGATAGAGTTTCGACCAATTTGTTGATACACTGTTGAGGTTCAGTAAATTTTGTTAGCGTTATGTTCTTAGAAGCGGTTGATGTGGTAATAGCTCTGGGAGTTAAGCTCTTAGCCGGTGTAGCCGTCTCTAGGAATCGCTTCAATAAAGACTTTTTAGGAGTACATTCTATTTTGGTATTCATCGGTGTTTTTGGCAAATCTCTTCGTACATATAATTCCTGTAAAGGACTCTTTAGTGGACTTTTAATGTTACCGTTAATACTGTCATTGTGTCCATTAAAAAGTCGAGCCTTTTTTGACGGAACAACCGGTGAATTCATTGGCGATTTAATTTCTTTCAATTGTCGGCCATCTTTGCCATTGGTGGCATTAATTGGTGTTTTTATAAATACCGGAATCTTATTTATTGGTGAACTCGGATAAGGTGTTCCCGTCACTACAAATTTCGGACGATTAGCAGTCGATGGTTTCGATTGGTTTTCTACATTATCAGGAGCTGGAAACTTTCGCTTAAGCTTTGGACGTATATCTAAATATTTTTTTTAATAATTGTATATTTAAATTAATACAAAATTTCAACAAAAATTGAAAAAATAAAATAAAACCATTTTCATTATTCATAGGAGAGTCACCAAGACTTCTTGAACGTCTTCGTTGAATTGGTCCCATATTTATCTTTTGTATTTGAGTTGTTATTAAAGTTGGTGGTAATTGCTATTTATGTAAAAAACATTTTTATTTTATATTAAAAAAATTATTCTTAAAATTTCTAATATATACCATAAGTACCTGAACAGTGTTTGAGTTCATCTTTAAGAGCCAATAAGTGGCCGTTAAATATCCAAAGCCAGACATAATTTTTTGCCGCAACTCTTTGAGTGGAACTTCAGGATAAAAACGATGGCATTGAAAGAACACTTCTTCATCGAAATTTGTTCGCATAATTTGTACTCTTGTTTTAAAAGTCATTTCAGATCTAAGCCATGGATGTGATAATATCTTATCAATAGTAATCCGTTCCAATGGATTTGTTTTAAGCATCGAACGAATCAGATCTTTAGCATCAGCTGACAGTACATCCGGCATACGATACACACCACTCTATTATTATAGTTATTTATGTAATTAAAATCTATATAAATTTTATTAATAATTAATTGAATACAAACCTGTATTTTCTTGTAGAGTGCACTTATGTTTTCGTCATCAAAGGGCAATCTTCCGACAAGAAGTGCGTACAACAGAACTCCAGCGGACCAGACATCGACCGCTGGACCCGAATAGTTGGGTCCCTGTAATAGTTCGGGCGCTGCATAGGCAGGACTTCCGCAACAAGTTTTCAAATAATTCAATGAATTGTTGTTGTCCTTTAAAAAAGAAAAAATTTATAATAATGTAATTAAAAATTAATTCAATGTTTTCAATATTGAATTAACAACAGTCTCTCATACTGTTTGATTGGCCGCGAGTCCGAAATCAATTAATTTTATTTTATGGTTGGCATCAAACAAAATATTTTCCGGTTTCAGATCTCTGTGTGCAAAACCATTGCTGTGAATGTAAGCCAAAGCATTGATCAAATCATTCATTATTGTTTTGGTTTCATTTTCAGAAAGACGAGATTTCGCTACTAAATAATCAAACAGTTCACCACCGCTGCAGTACTGCAAGTATTTCAATCGATTAGTACTCAAAAATTTAATTCAAAAAAAAAGATAATATATTGTTGATTATCAAAGACACGGAAGTGCACCTCAAGAATGAGATAAATTTCATCTTTAGTTTCGATCACTTGTAAAAGTTTAGCGATGTTTTCGTGTCTCAACACTTTCAATGAGTTGATCTCAACTCGTACTCGACATAAATCCGACTGTAAAAAAGTGGATCAATTTGGTTAACAATATCAATCACAGCATAACATGTCCTATGATATGATGACTTACTCCGAGTCTTTGTTTATTCATGATCTTAACGGCCACTTTGTGACCAGTTTTCAGATGAGTAGCCAAACGCACTTTACCGAAACCGCCTGAATAATAATAAACAAAATTATATATATATAAAAATGGGATCAATTTATGGTAACAACAAACCCTCTCCGAGTTTGTTTCGATGCAAATAATATCCCAAATCTAAACAATTGTCTTCATTTGAATCAATAACGCGAACAACCGTACTGTTGGCCACTGGACTGTTCAAGAGATGCTGACCGCCATCGACGGCATGCCTGAGTGGTCCAACCATTGCCGACATAATCACTTCAATTTGATCCACAAAAACACTGACACAACAACTCAATAATCAATTGATATTAACGACTGTCTGTCTGTTTGTTTGTCTATCTATTCGTGAGTTTTTAAAAACATCACTAAAATTGACACAAAAATGAATAAACATTTAAACGCTTTGTTCAGTCAGTTATTCAAACATTTGATTGGCTGTTAAACAATCCAATCATAGCTTACTATTGGCATTGATGCTAACACTGCTAATCAATTAATACGCATTGAACGGTTTCACTCATAGATTATATCCATATATATATACATATATACACATTATCTAAAAATAGATTGTATATAAAGCTCCGCCTCATTCTAAGCTTATGTGTGCTAAGGTGTTAACATTCAATAGCATATTCATGTCAATAACATTTAGTACTGTCATCTATAGATTAAATTTTAAAATGTAACCATGCTAAATTATTAAAAATTTAATTAATTTTATAAATTACTGTACATTTATTATTGATGTAATTTAAAAAAAAATTATTAATAATTAAATTATTATTTATGTATATACTGTATATAAATGTTTTTATATAATTTATCATTAATAATAATAATAAAAAAATTTTATAAAGTGTAGGACTATTAATAATTATCACTTTATCTATATTTTAAGTTTTTATTTAAATAAAATAATTTTTGTATAAAACAATTTTTAAAAATTATCTCTATTTGTTGTTGTTATATGAATAGAGATATATAAAAGAAATGTTTGAAATTTGATATATAATATAATAAATGTTTTATTTTTTAATCTTTAAAACATAATGTAATGATTGGATTAAAAATTGACGCAAAACTATAGGTACTGTACTGTACTTAGAGTTTGGGCAACTCTACAAGGGAGGGAAGTTCCCTAATAAAATCCCTCCAATTTTCACGGAAAATAGGGAAATATTTTATTATCTTTCCTTAACTCGTTAGAAAGGAATATATATTTTATATTTCTACAATAAATAATACCAAAACTTAGATTTTTTTTTGCATAAAATTTCATTGAAATATTTAAAAATAAATTTAAATTCATTGAATTTAGTGATACAATAGCACTCAAAATACAGGTAAATACAACAATTGTTATTCAAATCTTACAATAAAATTATTTGTTATATAATTCAATATGTGATAGTACAAGGAAATTGTTTCTCTGGGAATTCCTGGGAACAATGGAGGAGGGAAATAGGAAAATTTTGGAAATAAAAACGAGGGAATGAATTTGCCGGAAACCTAACTGTACTATACTATGCAGTATAAGAGTATTACATACAGTATATGATTGTATATATAATATATTGATAGCAATTGTGTGTCAATATATAGGGGCTAATAATGGCTGTTACACTGTATTTGCCGGTTATGTCATATATGAGTGAGAATACAGTGTATATTAATAATAATATACAGTGAGTGTCACTCATAGTCTGGAAGTTTCGTAATTGACTACAAAAAGAGTGCAATTTATTAGTGTTTTTGTGTTAAATATAAAGCGTTTAATGGCTTTTCACTAAACAATTGATTGTTTCATTGATTTAATTGTTTCAAACATTTATTATTATTATTATATGATTTCATTTAATCGATTGTTTCATTAGTTTTATTATTAATAATTTATAATAATTATTATTATTCATAGTTTTATTTTTTTTTTTATTATACAATTGTATTATTACTCAATTGATTGATAGACAGACTCATTGTTGTTATTATTTGTTTGAATCGCAAGACATTATTGTATTGACCACCAAATGGCTGCCACAAGAAGATTACAAAAGGTTTGAACACTTATTGTTTAGACAACCAATTGATGATATTGTCTGACTGTCTGTCTATCTATTGATTAATTAATTAATTTTGATTAGGAATTACAAGACATCCGTAAGGCTGGTCTCCGATCGTTTCGCGACATTCAAGTGGACGAACAAAATATGTTGACATGGGTTGGACTCATTGTTCCCGTCAGTAACCAGTCATTGATCGCAATTAGTTGTCCTATGAATTGATAATAATATTTGATTGTATTTATGTGTCTTATAGGACAACGTGCCGTACAATAAGGGCGCCTTCAGGATTGAGATCAACTTTCCGGCCGAATACCCGTTTAAGCCGCCGAAGATCACATTTAGGACTAAGATATACCATCCAAACATTGACGAGAAGGGACAGGTCTGTCTTCCCATAATTCAGGCCGAAAATTGGAAACCGGCGACAAAGACAGACCAGGGTTTGTATTATACGTTATTATAACGACATGTATATCATTAAAACAATCTTTTTTTTTGTTGACAAATGAATTGTTGTTATACAGTAATCCAAGCACTGGTAGCTCTAGTCAACGATCCCGAACCAGAACACCCGTTGCGAACCGATTTAGCCGAAGAATTTTCAAAGGATAAGAAAAAGTTCTTTAAAAATGCCGAAGACTTTACTAAAAAGTTTTCAGAGAAAAGACCGTCTGATTAAGCGATAAATTTTGATAATTGAATCGATTGGTCGCAAAACTAAGTAATTAATTATTATTATTATTATTATTATTATACATAAATTATCTCTCAAATGAACTCTTTTTGCTAATACACTATGAAAAGCATTACATTTAAATAATTAATTATTGTATAAAAGTTAATAAATAAAAATTATTTCTAAAAATGTTATATTAAAAATATAAAATTTGTGACACAATTGAGGGCACATTTTTATTTAATTTTTTTATATAGTACTCTGTATTTGAGATAATATTTTAAATAAATTAAGTCCCAATTATGTAATCGTCAAACTGATAGTCTGTGTATAATTATATTAACATTTTATACATTGCAGCACAGGTATGTATGAGCTCTGGTGGTTGCTCGAGTTGTTGTTTTAATTACGGTAAGAAATATAATAACACTGTCCTAATGATAGTTTAGATTGAATTACTATTAAATACTGTATAAACATCATTTGAAGACAATGTTGAGGACCGGCATCAATGGGAAGGTATACAGTAACTCATGATATGTGATTGTAAGTTAAATTGTGGACATTTTATTCATGAATTTACTAATAATTTTTTATATAAATTATAAATGTTTGGTTCATATCTTTACTATTACACCACAAATGCCATAAGTAGTCAAATGAACGAACAGTTATTGTTGTCTTTCTTATTGCTGACCGATTGCACTCTTAGTCTTTCATTCAAATACTTCTTAAGATAATCGTTAAGACATTCACTAATCATTGAATACATAATTATCTTTATTCTTGACATAAATGTTAGATTTTTTTACATTTCAATATCTCTCAACAAAAATTCTTTGATAATATTTTTTGTTTTACTTTTCATCTCTTGATTAATAAATAGATGAAACTAATATTTTTATAATTCATTATAATTTAAGTGATTTCTAATCAGTTTTTTGGTAATTATTTTTTTTTATTTATAGCATTATATTTAGAAAATATACTGTAATAAGTGTAAAAAGATATTTTGCATGCAGTAATACAAATTGTTTATCAATAATATTGTTAAAATGATATTTTATGGAAAACGGTTTTTAATATTTTCAAGTGTCTATCAAATTATTTTTATTATCTATGCTTAACGTAAATATATTTTTGATACAGAGCTATAAAAATAATAATAGCTTTTAATAGTAGTAATTATTTAGATATAAATCATAATTATAATATAATGAAATATGATAATTATGTAATATAATTTAATGTATTTATATATTTATGAATTTATATTGTATATAACACATATCTATTTTATTTCACAAAATATTTTAAATAGACAATTAGTTAAATTATTTTACAGTAGTTAATAAAATTTTTAATTTTTAAAAATTTGCAATTAAGACAATTATAATGTTAGATAATTGTTAATCAATAAGACAATAGTTTGGCTTTTCTTATGACAACTGAAAACACAATTGTAACGATCGATATGGAGGCGCAAACAATGATTGGTAAATTGGCGTCATATCGGGTGCCATAAATCATGACTAACGTTCCGCCCAATATAACTACAGTTAGCATAGATATACTGAATAGTGTGACCATAAAGAAGCTGTCGTTACATATGCCTGTCAGTCCTATTACCGACAAAGCTATGGCCAAAATGCCAGACATTACCGAACGGATCAAATAGTTAGGAATCTCACCGTTGGGACCTTTAAATTGCAAATTGTTTTAGTATAGTATTAGATTTATAAAATATAATCTGTATTATATTATAAATATATTAATCAAGTTTTTAATTAAAATTGTTAATACAACTTGTAAAAAATAATTAAGTTAAAACTAAATTATGTTTAAATTACTTATAATATAATATAATATATATATACAGTATAATACAGTATATTATATATCATAGTAAATATATTATATATCATAGTAAATATATTATATACATTTAATATAACATTATCAAATAATATAAAATTAAAAATAAACTAATTTTAGTTTATATTTAAATTGTTTAAATAAAAGTTGCTTAAAAAATACCGGTGCGATCAAACTTGATTACATCAATGCCGAAAAATGACTTTCTTTTCGGCACCGGCTCAGGGATGCGGTCTTCTCCGAGAATCAGTCTCCAGACACCTCTTGTAAAAGTGAGAGACATATTGAAGAACTGAGTGCCCGATAGTATAAACAATATAATTACAATTGTCTTAATTAATTTAAATCTTATACTACGGTTCCGATTCAAACACCACATTATCACAAAAAATTATTATACATTTATTTATTAATTTAGTAATTATTGATAGACTGTACTGTAGTAACTATTTTTGTATTGAAAGAAATTTTTATTATTTTTTGAAAACTAAATGAAATAAAATAAATGAATGATTTTTGTGGTTGAAATACTTGTCGCCGATCTGCACATAACATAACAATTTAAACGATGGTTTATTTTATTGTATGAATGGTGTAAACTGTTTTTTACTGTTAAGTTTTTCATCAATTTTTATTTTTTTTCTTATATAATACAATACCACAACATAACTATTTTTAGTGATACTCACTCTCAGACAATATTAGTTTGGATGTAATGTTATAAATAGCTTTTTTAAAGGCAAATGTTTGTTGTTTATGGCCAACAAAATAATTGTATTACTATATAATCATTTCATGCAGTATTATCATCTATTAGATAATAATTATTATTGTTATTATTATACATATACATTAGTACATTACTAACACGATATTTAGATTTGCAAAAATTAAGAAATTATTCTTAACATTAAATAATGATTAGTTTGCAACAAAAATTTTTAACTTTAAGTAAAATTTAGTTTAGTTTATTAATCATTGCAATAATTATTTTTTTGTCAAAAGGTTTTTTTAAAAAAAATTGTTACAAAAATTTGTGCAAAATATTTTTTAACAATTACCGATAATTAAATTTAAATAACCTAAATTTTGTAAATTGAATGTTTTGTTATAATATAATAATAGTAATATATTTATAGTTATAATAATAAATGCATAATTTGTTTCATCAAATATTTGTATAAATATTTTTATAAATATATAAACATTTTCATTAACAAACAAATTATTTAAAAAACAACAATAACATTAATTAATACAAATAAATTTAACTATTATATTAAACAAAACAAACTAATATACAATATTTTTACAATAACAATATCATTTAATTAAAATAACTATCAAAACAAAAATTTATATAAATAATTTTTAAAAGTATATTAAAAGCAATGCAAATAATTTAAAGCAAATATTTGGCTTTTTATATTATTATTATTATTATTATTATTATAAGATAATATAATTACTATGAAGTTTAAATTGAATTTTTTAGCATTAAATTGTTGTTATTAATTAATTAATTAATTGGATTATATACTGTATAATTAAGTGTACATTGTTTGTATCGTCAAACAAAATATTTGTATATTGAATTATTATTCAACAATAATAATAATACAATTTTCATTAATGTTTAATACAATACAATAATAACTATAGTTTTAAAATTTACTAATTTTGTATTTAATAATTATTGTATTAATGCTTTCTATATTTTGGTAATTAAAAATAATAAAAACATAAAAAAATTAATTAAAACAGTTTAGATATCTTACTATAAATAGTAAACTTTAAAAAGGTAAAATAATAACTAAATTTAAGGCATACATTGGTAAATTTACTTTTTTTTGAATAAAATTAAAATAATAATTAATATTATTTTAAAAAATTTGTTATAAACAATAACTAAAAAATTGAATATTTAAAACATCATTTAATAATAAATAATAATAAAATAGTAATTTAATTTATGATGTTATATACAGATTATATAATTCAATAATTTCAATATTATCGGTACTTAGCAGATGCACTATTAATATCATTGGTGTTTAAAAATAAAAAAATATTTTATAGTGTAATGTGTTTTTGTGTGTTTATCATTAAATTGTGCTTATGTTTAGTAATCAATTTTGCCAAACCAATTGACAATTGATTTAGCAAATGATTAAAACTTAAAAATAATAAAAATGTGATGATTTTTATATTAAATTATATATATATTTATATATTTATATATTAAATATGATTACATGATATCACAAGAGTGTGAATTTTTGTCGGTTTTGTTGTTGAATGAGTTGTTGTTGTTGTTGACAGTATTGATGCCTTGTCTTTCTTTGTGTATATAATAACCGGAATCATAATAAAGTCGGACAGCAATGAAAGTGCAGCGATTGCGGGCACCGACGCGGTTGGAGTTAAAACTTTCCTCAAATCCCGTTTGGTTTTTGGCAAATACTGACAGTGTTTCACACGATAATACTTGACATTTAGATCTAAACCATCAAAACAACAAAAATCAACAAATAATTAGTAATTAACTAAATGATGGTATTGTAAATAGTTTATATGCATACGTGTGTACTAACTTGGAAGTCGACGGCTCGCCAATGCTGGCAAAATCGCCCGGTGCTGAACTACAGTTACCAGAGCTGTTGTCATTATTTGCACAGTTATTGCTACTATCGGATCGTTCAATTTCATTGGTATACCAATCGCTGATCACTCTTTTAAGGTCCGTATAGTTTCGCGATTTGAGTAAAAACATCTGTGAATAGAGATATATGGGTGGAAGGGGTGGAAGACATGCTGACCGGTCGACATCATCGCTAACGTCAAACGGTTTGGTGTATGCGATACGGAATATGCGGACAAAGTCTCCCGCGTGGTCTGTCTGTGTCAACACACGGGTGTCTAAAGTTGTCACTAAAAAATGCATTTAAAGTAATTATTTCAAATATATATAATTATTTAAAAGATATATTAAACCACTCAATTAATTTTAATTGCAATTTTTCTCTTTATAATAAAATCATTGAGATGTTTGAAAATATTAAAAATATCTTATTATTATTTTTTAATATTAAAAAAGTAAAATATTATAATAACAACAAAGTAAATCATTTTAAATTATATGAATATAACAATTTTGATTTTACAAATCAATTTGACAAATGTTTGAGACTATTATAACGCAATTTCTAAATTATGGTTTATATAGTATAAGTTAACCAATATTTCTAATAAATAATGACAAATTTTGTTATATAAAAACTATTAGTATCACAAAAAAATATTTTTGTGACTTTAATACTGTAGTCTTATAATCTCATGATATTTTTTTGTGCTAAATCTCGGGTAATGTATTAACATTAAGTACTAAAGAATAACAAATTATATTTCAAATAAAACTAGACAACAAATTTTGGTTTATTAAATTACAAAAATAATAATATGATAGCAAAATAACTAATTTATTATTAATAGATTAAACAAATCAATCACTGAAATATTAAAGCAATTATTGATATTTTATATTTGATATAGGATACAGAAAATTTATAATCAAACAAAATGTTTAAACATATATAGTATAGTAATCAATAAAAATGTTAACATAAAATTATACAACTTATGAGTGAGACATTTAATATTTGTGATTTTATTTCAAATATTATTACGTAAATAAATAATAATAATAATTCACAAATCAAGTAATATACATATTATTAGCAATATATCACAAAAAAGATAAATATAAAGGGTATATACAGTATCAATAAATATGATAAGAGATGATTAATAATATATATATATATACTGTATATATAAAAGCCGATAAATTAATACATTGTATATTATTTTATTTGAATTATAACACATACTTGATTTGAGTTTGAAATCGATAGACATAGCGCTCCGGAAATTAATCTCCGGATTCTCTGACAGCCAACGGGAGGCGCGAGACATGACGTTATCAAAGGTTTCAAACTCAGGCCGAGAGAAGAGACTGCCGCCCGACAGGTGCACCGGTACGAAGTCCGCGATACCTATTTCCTCTTCACTGGACAGACCAGACTCATAGTATATCCTAACTATAGTCACAAACGTATCTGAAGAGCCCGGAAGTGTTGCCTTTCAAACAAATTACACAACAAATATATTTAAGAGATATAAACTTTATATGATATATAAATCACTATTTAAGTATTGAGTACTTTAACCGCACAATCAATTCATTGAATCGATTTATAAAAGATTTATATTACTCCACAAATAATAATAATAATAATAATAATAATACTAAAGTTATTAGGAGTGAGACTAATCATTATATATCAGTTATAATACTGTATATAGTTATTAATAGATTATATTCTAACACTATATAGTTTATACCCAATTAAATATACCTGTATTATACAGTACAGTACAGTATGTGTGTGTTTGTGATTTTTGGATTTTTATTATATCACTTTCAGGTTTCATATTATGGTATTAGTTGTATTATTATTAATGTTTTTTAAATGTTACTAGGTCAGATTTAGACTTGACAAGTATAGTTATTGGTTAATATTTAATAGTTTTCACAACAATTTACTAATATAATAAAATTATATTGGTGATATATAATATTATATTGGTGTTAAGATTAATTAGATACTAAAATATTAAATATATACTAAAATGTGATTAATCACTAAATTTATGATTTCATATATCAAACAATAATGTTGTGAATAATTTAAATTTAATTAAATTCATTAACGGAATTTGTTTCTTAATATATAATAGAGTTTATTTACAGTACTGTACAGTATATAACTTATTAATATTGTATTAATAAAAAATATAATATTATTTAAATACAATTAACAGATTGTATGACATTTATTTATTAACTATTAATTAACATATTGTAATGTAAATTAATATACAGGTATATCATTGCAAACTAATATTATACATACTTCCAAATTAGTGAGTCTAATATGTGCTCAATTAGGTATAGCATGTATTAACCAAAATAATATTAAAATTATAAATTACTATTTATATCGTTGCAAAAAAAATAATTTATAAAATAATGTTTTTATATTATAATATTATATGAGCTATTGATAACATAAGATTTGATTCAAATTATTGTATATTTAATTTTATTATTACATATAATAATTTACTGTATATTAATTAAATGACTTATATATTAATAGTAAAATATGATATAATAAATTGTTTTACTATTTCTTATTTCTGTATATTAGTATATTTTTCAGTAAACTAAACCTAATACTCAAATGATTTAATTGATAGATTAGAAATTTCACTGATAGAGAAATTAAATAAATTTATTGATATTTAAGATTAAATTATTACATGAATTGACTAAACACACAAAAAATGTTGATTACCTCCGGATCAAAGCGCAGATCACCACTGGATTCACAGGGAAGACATTCAACGGAGACAATGCGTCCGTCAAATTTGCCGTTCCTTATGATGGCATTGATTTTGTTGACCACTTCATCCAATGTTTCAATTTTGTCGCCCTCTTTACGTTCGGGTGCGAAATCTCGATAACCCAATACAGGAATGTCTTCCTTATCTTTTTTGTGCTCAATATCTGATCGACGTTTAATCCAAACTCTGTATTAGCCAAAGGATATAATAATGTTTTAAATTGAAAATACCCGGTAGTCTAGTCTATTAAATTTAATGAGTTTGTGTGAGTGAGTGAGTGAGTGAGTGAGTGAGTGAGTGAGTGAGTGAGTGAGTGAGTGAGTGAGTGAGTGAGTGAGTGAGTGTGTGTGTGTGTGTGTGTGTGTGTGTGTGTGTGTGTGTGTGTGTTTGTAGTCTATATGTTAGATATTCTATAATATAGAATCTATATATTACAAACTACTGTATATACTATATAGTTTATATACAGCAGTTTTGAAGTCAATAATACAATAAAAGTAAGTTATCGTCAAGTTTTTTGTTGTTAAAGAAAAACATTAAAATTTATTACTAAAAACCCACTGTTATTACCGATTCAATATTCAACTTGTTTTTTCTCTCTCTTTCTTTCTTTCTTTCTTTCTTTCTGTTTGTGTGTGTGTTTGCCATTAAATGCAATTATTATATATATATACATTTGATTTTGTTTTAATATAATCTATATTGTATTTTTGAGAGAGATTTTATCCAAAACTTTCATTAAAAATATTTAATATTTTATTTGGTGTTATTCTTATTCACATTAATATCACGTATATTTTCAAATCATTATTATATATAAAAAGTATTGTTTGTTGTTTTTTATTTATTTGAATAATAGCCTAACAAACTCTAATTATTTTTCAGCTACACTTAGTGTTTATCAAAATCGAAATACTTTAAAAAAAAAACTTTTATTGAGTGAAATTTTAAAATAATATAAAAATAATGATTATTTTGTAACTATATTATAAATTTAGCAAATTATAGATTTTAAATAAACTTGAATAAAAATGATATAGATTTTGACAATTTATAACTATAAAATGATATTAGATTGCTTAAATAAGTTAGATACAATTATTTAAATATTTTAATGTTATTTTTAACTTTTTAATTGTTAGTAATTTTATCAAAGTTTTCTTTTTGAATCAGCTTTTGTTGGAAGAAATGTTAATAAAGATTTAATTTGATAAATAAAAATCATGTTATAATAAATTTTATTAAATTACTAATTTAACTAAAATTGAGTTATTTTTTTTAATAACCTAATAGGTTAAACATAATTTTTCAATAAATTAATCATATTGATTTTATAAATATAATATAGTTGATTTTGTGTAGAATATAAAATATTCACAATAGAAAAATGACCATTCACATATTGACATATTGACACTAATATAATACTATAAGTCCAAAAATTTGACTATTAGTTTTTGCATACAATATTTATTATCGCATCAAAACTAATGTTCATCTATGGTATTATCTAAAAGTTTTTTAAGCAAATTTAGTACAAAAGAGTATTAAAGCAAATAATATATATAACAATAACAACAAATACTCTTTCCTCTGCTAATACTTTACGAAAATACTTATCGATGACATTACAGATTAGGACAGTTGTGTGTAGACAGAGGGTATGGCATAGCATATAAATTACAGTACCATTGAATTGTTTTGTAAATAATAGAAATGCAAAACTAACATGTGTTCAATTATTTATGTATATTATATTATCTATTAACTTATATATATATATTATAGATAAGTTTACTGATATTTTAAATGCATGTAATATTTCCTATAGACACTAAATATCATTGTCAAATTTTGCAATAAATAAAAAAAAATATGAATAATATTAAATGTAATTTTATTAAAGACTACTATACTATTGCTATATTATTAAAGTAATATAAATTATTTTGTTGTCATTAACAAATAATCAATATATTTTATTTTGTTAATATATCTGTCATCACTTGTTACTAGAAAATAAAAAAAATGTTATAAATAAAAAATTATATGACATATTCAAATTTCTCATATATCACGTGTATATTTTAAATGTCTAAATTTTTTGTTATTTTTAAAATTGCTTATTTATATATATATATATAACTGATATTTTCAAATATTATGAATAATATTTTATAAAATACGAAATTGAAATTTAAAAAAAAAAGATTTAAAAAAAATTGTATGATCCCTATTTTGACTAATATTTTAATGCATGTTTGTTTACTTGAAATATATTTTAGGTTTTAAAATTTATGCATTATCTTTTATCAATACAAATCTTATATATAATATATATTTCAAAAATCTATACAAATCTTTAAATGCAAAATTATTTGTAACATTTTTAGGCAAAAAATGCATTTATGTTTATTTGCTAAATAAATTTACGAAGTGCCACAAATGCTATTTAATAATGATATTATTTAGACAAGTATTATATTAAATATTTTTTATAAATTAAATTCAATTTTATTAGAAATAGTTGTTTAAAAACTTTCTCATTTAAATAAATTAAATATTTATTATATTCTATGTATTATATATTCTGAAATTATTATAGTGTGTACATGAAAAATATATTATTTATTATGTTAAACAAAATTAATTAAGTTATATGAAAATGGCATAAATGGTATAAATAGTATAATCATATTATTTCAAATTAGTGTATAAATTCTTTTTGAAATCAACATTAATATTCAATTTAAAAAATTACTTATATATATACTGAATATTATAATAAATACAAATATTTGTTATGTTTCTAATTACTACTCAAATGTTTGGAAATTAGATTAGTGTTAATTTTTGTATGCATTTTTAATTAATTTCAAATTAATATTTTAATAATTGATAACTATTTAACTTTATTTATAAATTATATTATATAACAAATTTATAGAATTTTATAGAATACTGTTTTTAATTACTTATTTACTATTATAGACTAATTTGTTAAATTGTAAATCTAATATAATTATTTACTATTTTTATTAAATTATTTGTCAATGTATGTAAATGTTTTAAATATGTATCAATAATTATTTTAATTATAATATTAAAAATATTAATAATGCTTTTTAAATTACCAAAAAAATTTTATTATAAACAAATAGTAAAATTTAGTTGAATATAATTTTAATTGTAAAAAATAGTTATATAATTGGCTAAGTTGTAAAAATGACAATAATAACTTATATCATATTATTATTACCTTATTTTGAAATCCCATTTAAATTTAATTTATTTATGTAATTGACTGAATCATACTATAATAGTTGTATAAAAGCCTTTAAAACATTAAAATATAAATTAATGTTATATTAATATAATTATTTCTATATTTTTTATAATTAATATTAATAGTCGTATATAAAAACAAATCAATAAGTTAAGCCACGTTCACAATAGAAATCTTTTAAATATAAAGTAATATTTGTTTACTATGTTATTCAAGCAAACAGTCTCTTTATATTAACATTTTTTGTTGTTAAATTAAATATTTATTAATTATAAACTATAATTTAATCATTTTTGAACAGTTGATAAATAAATACTAATTATTTATATTTTATTCAATAATAATTTTATCGCATTTTAACAAATTGTTGTGTTTACTAGTTTAGTATAAATGTAAACCTTATGGAGTAAACTAACTTAGAAAGCATTCCTAACTTCTCGTATGAATTCAACTCAAGTAAGTCTATGTATTCAATGTAAGCAAAGTTTGTTTAATGTGAACGCAGTTTTATGTATCATATATAGTACAGTACTGTATATTAAATTATATTAAAGTGATATAATTTATACCACTATAAGGTGTAATATAATCTACTACATAGTATACCAAACTTTAAATGAAAAAATGTACATTTAATATATAGATACTATACCTATATTGTATTATTAATATAATTAGTAAAACTCACGTTTCTAATAGTTTTTTTGTAGAGATATCATTGAAATCTCAATGTGTTTTTGTATAGGTTTTAACAATAGATTTTCAAAGAGTAATAATACAATAATATTTATTACTTCTATATCTAAATTAACTAATTTTTTTACATTCATTATTTAGTCGACATTCAAAATAAAAATTAATAAATAAATCTAATTTGTATGATGTGAATAAACTAATTTGTATTTCAAAAATGTTTTATATAAGTTTTAAATGAATATATGAGTGGGTTTGTCTGTCATTTTAGTTAATGTAATGAAATAATAATAAAAAAAAGTGCACATAATCTACAATATGTTAAATATCTTATACATCCAACTCTTGTGTGTATTTTTACTATTATTTTTTTCAAATACCAATCCGTTAGTATATAAAATTTATTTGAATCAATAATATTAATAGTAAACACAATTACCATAAAAGTCAAAATTATATAACTTAATAATATTTCTAGTGAACGATTCAAAAATAGTAATATACAGTAATTATTGATATATTTTTATTATTTGTTTAATTGAATTATTATTTGTTTAATTGAATTATTATATGTTTGTATTATATATATTATATATTTTTTCTAAAAATATTTACTGTACATTATATAATAAATATTGCCTAAAATTTAATAAAATAACAGCTTAAAGATAATATCATTCAGTTATCTTAAAAAAATATTAAATAAATAGTTTTGTAACAATAAAAATTATTATATATATATTAATATATTTTATTATGTAATATATGTTTGTTTATTTATATAACAAGTTAATACCTTTGCATTATAAATTATAAATAATTATATAACACATTATATAATAATAATTTATTATATTGTTTTCTAAAAGTAAACAACATAGAAAATAAAATATTTTAGTATTTTAATTATAAAAATAGATTGATATAATTTTTCATAAATATAAGTTAAAAATTAATTTTCAAAAAAGTTTTCAATAAATATATTTTTAGATAAATTCCACAAACATTTTATACATTATTTGGAATTTGAATTATGTTTACTTCCATTAAATAACTTTCAACTAAATTTTAATATAATAATAATAATATGTCATTCAAACAACAATGTATTGTAATTAAATTTCATAACACAATACAGTATAGCAAACTATTTTCGGTTTAATTTATGATTATTGTGAATATAAATATATGCAATAAACTCTTGATATTTAGACAACAACAACAAATTATAAAAATATTAAATAAAACTATAAAATTTAGCTAATATTTACTGTTAAAATTTTTCATCTGTATTATGTAGATAATTTATAAATTTCAAATTAAATTTTAATAACTATTTAGGTATATTAAATATTATATTTGAAGCAATATTACAACTTTTATATACTAAAATAATTTATATACATTCATAATACAATAAATTATAATGTGATGTTTGAAGCAATAATATTATATTTACCGTTAGTTATGAGTCTATTATATTTTTACTATATTTACGGTTTTTGATATATCGTTTATAAGTAATGCTTATATTATTATTAATTAAAATAAAAGAAAAAACCAAAACATAAGAGAAAAAAACTTATTTTATGCTTCATTTAAGACAACAACAAAATAATAAATAAGAAATGCATTATTAAAATACTGTATATTATTTATATAAATCAACGTTTATTATAAACAAACGCACAAATATATATATATATACTGTATATATACATTATTTAACATATAGCATATGAAAATAATAGCAAATAATGTCAAAATTACCAAAAATTTATAGCATTCAAAAGGATATGACAACAATAAGTCTAATATAATTATCAGACTTATGACACAAATAAAATTTCTTATTTATTTTGTTTATCATTAATATATATACTAAAAATATTAATTTAACAAATAATTAATTTTATTGTTATTTTTTTGGTTGGTTTTCTTGTCTATTGAATAAATCAAATCTTATTAAATGACTATTGTTTCACTACACATACAGGTTTGCGTTGTTATATATAATTAAATAAATTTTCGTTTAGCTAACATGTTATAACTAAGATTGCTAAAAACAAAAATATTTCACCTTGATATTTGTCAATACAAAATCAATTAATTTTATATAATTTTATTATAAAATCTTAAAACATTTAGAATTTTTATGCATTTTGTTTTTAAAAATAATTTTGTTTATTAATTAATATAAATTATATTAATATTGTACAGTATATTAAAATAAATTATGATATTAATTTATAATTGATTATAAATTAAATTAAACATAAGTTAACATAAAACATATTTAATTACAAATTAGTATAATCTTTAATAAAAGTTTGTAATTATATAAATGACAAAAATATTTTTCTTTGCAATACAAATATTTGTATTATAGTTAATTTGTAAACTTCAATGTAAATTTAATTATAACTAATATAATAAAAAATTTGTGATAAATAAAAATGAATAAAAAATTAACTTATTAGTAAAATTAAGTTAATGTTTATATTTATATTAAAAATATATTGCTAATTAAAAAATCATATTAATCTTTTGATAATTATTTTTAATTTAATTTAATGAATATTTTCATTTAAATAACATTTGGTTAAATTTTAATATACAATATTTATATTGTAATTTATATTGTTATTTTAAGTCTAGTTTATTTTAATTTATAATAATAATATATAAAGTAATTGTGAATTATAATATATGATTTTTTTTAAATATAAAAATATTGATAGCATACCTGAGCGCTTTGATAGCAGCCTCCTGGCCCATCACCTGAGATGCGGCCACATTAGGCATGAGATCCCATTGCGAGACATGAGAGCAGGCATTGTGTCTAAATAGTAGTGTTACGGACTCACAATTAATGACTTCCCACTCATAGTTATGTTGAAGCCATTTGTTGGCCACTTCTATGAGGATTCTGTGTTTAATTAAGTGTCTAAATTAATCGCTTAATTACATTATAGTCAAAATGAAACAAAATATAGTTTGTGTGTGTATTGGACTAAGTGTTCACTAAAATTCAGTCAAAAAAAGAGTTACAATAACTTAATTCATATTAATTAACAAATAGCAGACTCTCTTTGATGTGTCACACAAATGTATAAATAAACTATTTTGATAGACAATACTAAATACAATACTAATACAATGCATTTTCAATGTTTTGACATTTAATACAAATAATAGTATTATCGAGAAATTACATTTAACACATACATATAATACTATACTATACGACACAAATAATATAAATAAAACCTTTATATATTTAATACAAACTTCATATATTGAATTACCATTAGTTTCTATGTATTTGAATGAATAATTAGCTTTTTATACAATACTATAGAAATCATTTGATCGCATATCACACAAACATTTTGATGTTAATTACAGTTTTAATTTGTTTCAATCAATAGATTTTTATTGTATTTTAAAATTTCAGTTTAAATATGTTTTAGTTAATTGTTTTTTATTCGACAACTATATACATATTAATTTAACCATATATTAAAAATAATAATTTGTAAGTCTATATATAAATGTATGATATAGAAACATATACTATATCTATAAATTATATTGTTATTAAATACTGTATATTTATTGTGTGTCACTACTAATTATTATTATTTAAAAAATTAATAAAGAAACAAAGTCATTAATAATTTAATACCAAATTGTTTTTTATATGCAATAATGCTTATTATTTTAGCTACTATGATATTTCAAAGTTTTTAAAAATTTTGTATTATTATCAATAGATAGCTTTTTGTTGGTACACACTATAAAAACATCAATTACTCTATGATATGATTAATTAATATTTTATTATAATACCTGTATTAAAAAATGTTTTAACCATATTTTACTCAAAAAAAACTAATGCTTTATAATAAATTAATAATTAACTAAATGTTTTGATACAAAATTATTTATTACATATTTAGCATACTTTAGCATTTTTATATTATCTTCATTAAATTATATATTTAATCAAACACACACACACAGTATATATATATACATACACGTAAATAATAATACACACATACATACAGACCATAATATGTCTATTGTGTTGATTAAATTGTGTGTAAAGTTATAGAGATTATCTTAAATGTCTATTCATTTAATTGAGTGAATCTCTATTTCAGCGAAACGTGATATGAATATAATCTGGTCATAGATTTTCAGCTAAATATGCAATTTCTCGAAATCAAAGCAAATATTTGCTATAATATTATATAATTTGTTGGCCTTTTGTAATATTACTGAATGTTAATCACTTTAGGTTTTCATTGTAATTTTTTTGCTAATACTAATCATAATTATAAAAATTGATAATATTTATGTAATTAACATTTTTGTTTGTGTGTGTGTTAGTGAATCATACATATTTTGTGAACAAATAAAATAATTACATTTTTCTGATGAAATATTCTTTAGAGAGAAAATACTATTAATTTTGACATTTGGTAAAAGTTATGATTTAAGAAAATTCTAAATCTTTTTTCAAACAAAAATTTACTTAAAATTATTTTTTATATTTTGTTTAATATTTTTTTCTGCCGTCAAAATTTTAATATTATACTTTACAATTCAATTATTCTAATTGAATTTTTTCGTTGTTTTTTGTTGTTATTTTGTGTAACATATCAATAAAAACATACACATATAGACACAATATTTTAAAAATGGGAATAAATTATAGTACACACACACACACACACACACACATCACACATATAATACACACAAAATGAATACATTTTTTCTATGTATAATAATAATAGTATTAAATAATTAGATTTTTGACAAAAATACTGACACTTTCAGACACAACAACAACAAACAGCAAACATACAAAAAATGAAAATATTTTTTGACAGAATATTCTTAAAGAATATTATTTTTTATAAAAGAAAATATTGTTTGCGGGAAAAATAATAATTAATTTTATTAAATATTAGAGAATATATTATATATATATATAACTATATACCTGAATGGATGATAAAAAATACGATCTTTTTTATCTCTGTGTGTAACTGAAGGCACAAAATCAACAAAAGTTAGTTTCGCGTCTTCGGGTATATCTCTGGCGTAAATCCTCGGCGGTTCTGGCGGTCGGTTGCGTTCGCCTTTACTTTCCCGTAGAAAACTGGCCAAAGCCATCGGTTTAATCACACATAAACACAATGGATAATCATTAATATATTTATATTATTATGTAAAACAAACTGAATTTGTTTTATCGTGAAGTCAAACACGTCTAACAAATATCTTATATAATAAAGTTTTGTTTGTATTTAAAGTTTTCCCTATACTTTAAGTATTAAGAAAATAGATATAATTTAGATTGATGTTACATTTGTTATTATCAAATATGTTATATTGCTTTTTAGTTACTAATATTACAATAAAACAACATTTGTTAACTGTAAATATAAAATAGTTTTACTATACAATTGTGTATAATTTATAATATATATACATATAACTGTCTCTATATTAAAGTGTTGCATCACTTGATGTACACCTAATATATAATGAGTGTGTCATTCAATGCGATTTGTGTGTAAAACCAGTGCTGTGTTTGTGACTACTTTTCGACCCAAATATCGATTTTCAACAGAATTTTTTTGTCTAATATTTAGATTTATATTTATTTTGGTGAACTGAGTTTGCGTCTCTCTCTCTCTCTCTCTCTCTCTCTCTCTCTCTCTTTCTTTCTTATCTAACAAAATTTGAAAACCTCTATTTACATAGTTATTGATAAATTGTAATTATAATAGAATCGATTAATTATTTTTTTTTTATCCCAAATTTGATTATCGAACACATATTATTTAAATATTTGATTTTAAAATTAAATATTTAAATAATATGTGTTTAATAACAATAATAAACAAATAAAAACAAATGTTTTCTCAAAATTGCTATCATTTAATAACAATTGTTAACAACATTTTTTTAGTAAATCTCAATTTAATATGAATTTCGGCGAAAACATTAAAAATAACTTTTAAATATTGTAGTCATTTATGAGTTTCTTAGAAAACAATTTTTAAGTAATGTTAAAAAGGATTTAAATAATAGATTATATTTGATAATAATTTTATTTTTAAAATATCCGCTAAAAAAGTATATGATTTATACTATAATTTATTTTTGTAAAAACATGCCATATATTGACAATTTTCACTTTAAATCATTTAATATATTATTTACACATAACTAGTGTTTTCTCAATGTATTCTCGATTGAGTCGTTTGTTTTAATATAAAAAAGTTAAACAATTTATTAACTTTTTATATGGTATTTCATTATTATTATAATTATTTAAAATTATAACAATATAACTAAATACGATGTATTACTTTAATACTAAATACGAAATATAATCTAATAGTTTACAAACTAATGGTTTACTTAAAATAATTAATATTTATTGCAAAAATTCATAGTTAGTATTATGTAAAATTTTAATTTATTTTTATCATTATTTTTTAAAATTATAATTAAGATTCATATCAACTGCAGACTAAATTCTTTTGATTTAATTTATATATTTATTATTTAGTTAATTAGCGTTAAGATTGGTTAGTATTTGTTAAAGTCTAACAATAGCCTATAGTTTTTTATGGGTCTAAAACACAAACATAAAACTAGTTTGAATCCAATCAATTGAAATATATTTATAAATTAAATTGCAATAAATTTACATACGGTATATACTATATATATAACGTATATCAGAGGTTAACAGATAAAGTTAATGAATATAGTGTACTATCCTTAATAATTTTTTTTAACAAAAACTTTATTATTTTACAAATAGATGAAAATAATTTTATTATATTAATTTAAATCTAAAATTTTATTATTGGTTTTAATAATAAATTGTTTTAAATAGAGGGGTTAGCCATAAATATATTAAAAATTTATCTTTTTATACTTCTATATATTCACTTTTTTATATTGATATATAAATTGATAAAATAGCATAAAACATGTTTTCTTGGTTGTAAACTTACAGATTTTAAATTTCAATTTTGACAAAATAAATTATTATCAATTTGTTCAATTTATTTTTTGTTATCATATAATTTATATTAATTTATATTTAATAAAAATGTAAACATGTGTGTTTTATGAAAACATAGTTTATATATTATGTTTTATTACTGTATATACATAATAAATTAAATTTTATTATAAAATATAGTATATTCACTAACTATTAATAATTTATTAGTACTCATAAATTTATATCTTGTTTAATATTTTTATATATAAATACTATAAAATATTGAATTTATTAAAATGTAAAATATTGAATAAAAATAAATTACTAAAGCATTAAATTACTTATAAATGATATGTTGAGATTATCAATAATTTTTTAAAGTAGAAATTTAATATTAATTTATTAATATTAAAATATTATATAATACATAGTTTTAAACTAAGTTTTAAGCACTATAGTATGTATTTCAAATTTATTTCAAAATAAAATCTAATCTTTTAAAGCAACATAAAAACTTATAAAATATTTCTATAATACTAACTATAAAAAACTATATACTAATATTTCATAATTATATTACTATTAATATTAATATAAATTTTGTCATTTTTTTGGTGAAAACAAATTGAAAATTTATGAGATTTTTTATGCAACAGTTTATATATTATACGATTCGATTAAACACTACATTATAGGAATCGATTCCCAAGGGTTTTATAAATGTATTGTTTTATACAGTATTGTATATACAGTATAAATAGCATGTATTGTATTTCACACATGTATTAACTGATTGCTTGCAAACATATTTCAATTTTAAGTCAATTTTTTTTTATTATTATCTGTTTTGTAAAGTGAATGGAAAACAGGCTTTTAAAAAAAAAGTTTTTTGCTTTTGACAACAACAGCAACAAACGGCAGCAAAAAAAATTGTCTTATATTTTATCGCCAGAGATGTCAATCAAGTAATGACCATAAAAATCAATAGTTTTATTATTATCTCTTCTAACTCTATCGTATCTTACAAAATAAGATATCAAAACTAATAATTTGTGATATCGACTAAAAATCATACACTAATAGACTGTGATGAATATATTGACGATTATATATTTCCAATATATTAGATAATCATGTAATATAAATGCAAAACAAGCTATATATAGGGGTATATTATTTAGTCTAAATTATATTTCATAACAATAAAATAAAAATAATAACTATAGTGATAATAATAATAAATACTGTATAACATAACATTTAATAATAGAAAACAATATAAAAATATTGAATTCAATGCACAACTTTATACAATTAAGTTTTGTCAGTATATATTGTGGTTTATCCTCACTGTCCACATAATTATATTGGATTGAAATGTCAGTATATTATTTTGAGACTCAAAATCTTATTATTATTATTTTCTTATAGATATATGTTATATGAATAACAATTTGGGTCAACAAAACATAACTCAAAAAAGACTTATACAGTATATATCATACATAATACTATATATTCAGGTAATAAACATATAGTTATTATTCCGATGACTGTATAAATCAACGCTTATTTTTGGCTCTTTAATGCTAACCCTATGCTAACATTAAAGAATAATCGATAATAATATTATTAATAATGTGTTGATATTATATATTCAAGTTTAAGGCTTATATCTAGTGTTAGCAAAAAAGAGAAATTTTTAATTTAATAGAGAAATTTCTAGAAAGTTTCTAAAAGAAACTTGTGTTTATGGGATGTCCATGTTAATTTTATCTCTCTTAGTATTTATAATCTTGTAAGAATATATCATAATTATAAATAATAACTAAAATATATTATCAGTATTTTAATTAATATTTAAAATAAATATGTAATCATTTTAATTAGTTTATATTAAAAGTATAGATAAATTTTAAATAAAATTTTACAAAAACTATATATAAATTTATACATAATTTATTAATTTTGTATACCTGTATAGGCATTCCATTTATATGATAGTGTAGTGTTTATTAAGTTTTACAATTGATATAAATATGGGGATACCATTGTATAATAATTAAAGCATGAAAAAATATTTTATTAAATATTTATCATTTTATCTAAATATAATCCAATAATTTTCAAAAATCTATAAAAATATTGAAAATATCTGCTATAGTTATACTATTTTAGCAAACAGTAAAAATAATTTGATATAAAAATGTTATTGCAAAAAAAAATATAAATCAATCCGATAACCAATTTCAAAATTATTTATGCTGATGAATATTTTATATTAATTTTAAACAATAAACAATTAATTTTTTGATAATATTAATTTGAAATATTACTACAATAATTTATTATACTTTAAATTCTATGCAAAATAAACTATAAATTTATACTTTTTTTAAGATTTCCACAATAAATACATGTTTTCTAAGTTATAAATAAATACTTAAATAAATATTTTGGTAGTTTATATTAAATATTCTTTCATGCTTTCATAATAAATTTCTATAGAAATTTTCTTAAGGAAATTTCAATTTGCCCATCTCTACTTATATCACACATATTTTAAGACATAGGAAATGTTTGATTGATCATAAGTTTTACATTATTATTATTTTGGGTGACATTTGAGACAAATATAAATATTTAGGCATTTTTTATGAGATGTTATTGAGACTGATATTTAGATTATCTTTTTATTAATATTCAATTCTTTATATTTATACCAATAATATAGTTTTGATTAACAATTCTTTTTCTATATTGTCTTGAATTTTATTAATACATTAATATATTAATTTTAAATTATTTATTATTTTTAGAAAACTTTAATCATATTATAATAATTAAATTCAGAATAAATTTCTAATAAAATTAAAATAAATAAGTATTTCTATGTTATAATACTTATATAATATAATTAACATCAAAGCAATGAGATTGTTGTTTACAGAAAAAAATTACTAAAATTACTGTACTATTTGGTAATGTTTAATAATTTGTTTTTTTTGATTTAATATTTATTAATAGTTAAAATCTAATTAATGTTTTTTGAGAGAATTTTCATTCATTAAGAAATCGTTTTCTTTTTTGATGAATGAAAACCTGAGGACAGATTGTAGTCATTTAAATAAAAAATGAATAAATGATTACTACTTATAATGATTATTCACTGAGTTCTTACTTATTGAACATAAAAAATAAATTATTTTATATTTTTCAATAAATTCAAAGGAAAAAGACGTTTTCCTATTCATATAAAGTTATTATTATTTTTTGCTTAAAATGTATGCTCACAAACAAACTTTATATATAATGAACGATAGGAAAGATATACTTAAATATTGAATCAGACCTTTGAGGGCATAAAACATAACTATAATATTTTGTGTTCAAATGTAGATATTATTAATAACTAAAACAAGATATAAAAATGTATCTATAAAATGAAGTAAATTTTTACAAATAAAACATTCATCACTTAACAAGAGAGAGAGAGAGAGAGAGAGAGAGAGAGAGAGAGAGAGAGAGAGAGAGAGAGAGAGAGAGATCACAACAAAATATCTGATGTTTTTCTGACATTTAAATAGATATATACTTAATATTTAATACCAACATATGAAACATAGAAATTTTTGGAAAATAACACAATATAATTTATATATAGTATATATACAATATATATATCGTAATATACAGTATATATAGAAATATAACATTTTATATATGACTTCGATTCCTGTAATAGTTAACTGATTCCTCCTTCACTCACTTTATTTTAATAAATTGATAATAAAAAACTAATAGCAAAGTCAGTGATGTTTTCCCATACATTTGCCTCAAACGAAACTCACCGCCAAATAAAATCAATACTTATTTTGATTTTCACAATTTATTTTAAGCAAAAAATCCGTATTGAAAATAAGCCTCTAATAAATGCCAAAATACAGTAAGAAATTGTACTTATTTTAAGATTGTTTTAGTTATTATGTTATTTAGTTAGATAAATACAGTATATACTGTACTACTGATAGTTTTATGGAAATAATTCAACAATTTGTTTCTAATGTTTTTAAAATTGTCTAATTTTTATTCAATTCATAATTTAATAACAGTATTGTATCTTAATATACATTATCATAATACATGAATCTTTTTTGTTGTTTATCATTAAAAATTAACACATCAATAAACTTATTACAATTAAAAACCTAAAGTTATTTTTTAATTATCTCTCTATTACTTTCCTATACTTTTGCTATGTTATACAATACAATATAATTTATATAATATAATGTTTTTTATCATTATTTACTTTATATATATATTTATATAATTACAAAATAAAAAAACTTGACAACAAATACTTGATCATAAATAATAATTGTGTTAATAAATAAAATATATATATATCAATATGTATGTTTATAATAATTTTTGGTCTCAAAAAAATTATAATAATAAATAAAACTAGAAAAAAATATTAAATATATTCTCATAAAATTTAAAAAAATACTATTCACTTATATTATAATATTTATATTTATATATAATTATATATTTATTTATATTTTTGAGATTAATTAATGAGTGAATTAATTTAAATATATTTATATAGTGTTAATATTAAATTATAATGAGACGACAGACACCCTAAAAACTGGTCGATCACTACTACTATTTGCCCACTTTGGCCATTGTCTGGTGCTGTTGATGTTGATGGTATGTCTTCAGGGAGTCAACCGCATCGTCGGTCACGTCTTCGAACGACATGTTGGCAAAGGCCTGATGTCTTGACTTATCCTTGTCTTTTGATTTCTTTGTCTTGTCTTTAGATTTATCTTTTTCTTTCACTTTTTCGGACTTATCCTTAGATTTTTCTCCCTTTTCTTTATTCTTCTCCTTTTTATCCGTTTTCTCCTACAAATCAAAACAAAACAAAAAAAACGTAATAAATATTTATTCATATATTTATATGATTAAACAAAATCATTACTCTTTTATCTTTTTTATTTTTCTTCTTCGTGTCGATCATTTCGTCGTCGTTCTCATTACTGATGAGTCCATCGATGTCGTCATCGTCTTCGTCTACTTCGTACTTTTTCGCCGTTTTTGACAACACTTTCAACTTTGGCTTAGTTTTAACTAAAGATTTCGTTTTAACTGATGTTGACGCGGGCGGAGATAACGATAACTCCGACGACTGGCCAGGTATTGATGCCGTAGCCGTTTGATGGATAATTGGTGTAATCTTTTTGGGTGTCGAACTCACGACAGACAAAACTTTGCTTGTCTTTGGCGGTACTATTGGCCGCTGGGCTACTGTATTTGGCGGCGGAATCGGTGCGATCACCTTATTGGTCACTGGATTACTAGCAAAGGGAACGGCACCGAACAGATCTTGAGATGGCCTTTGAGATTGTTGTTGTGATAGTTCTGGTCGTGTCTGAAGTTGCACTTCATTTACAATTATTTTTTGTTGATATTGTTGTTGAATTAATCGCTGAAATTGTTCGGGTGTTTGTTGTTGCGGCTGAATGTTAGGTTGTGATTGTATAAGTTGTTGTTGTTGTTGTTGAAGTTGTAATTGTTGTTCGGCATAGTATTGCATTTGAAGACTTTGTAATTGTTCGTCACACTAAACAAAATAAAAAATACATAAACTATTGTTAATTATATATTGATATAAATTTACTAAATAAATAAACAACACATACATTGACTAATTGTTGTTCATTGAACGGCTTTGAACCAAACAAATCTTTGGGACCAACTATTGAATCCTTGACTACCTGTGCCCTCATATTGCGTGCCACTTCTTCATCAATTTCATCGCCAGAAGTAGTTGTTTCAACTAATTTAATGTCTTCCGATTCGATACTAATCTTATCATTCTTTTTCTTAGACTTTGAATGTGGTTTCCTAAACGGCGCCGAAGCAAACACATCGTTTGACAGGGAAGACAACGAAGGCATTTGATGACTGTCGACGTGTGACACCTGTGGCGATGACTCTTCATCTTCATCACAGAGCAGTGGTTTATCGCCATCGATATGACCGATGAGTAGGTCATCGCCATCGACTACCAAAACTGGCTTTGGTTTTATTTGACGCGAAGAATCTTTCATTTTAATCTCAATTGCCGTCACTTCTTGCGCAAAGTCTTCCTCTTCGTCGTCATCCTCATCAATGCCATCGTCGGGAGTCTCCTCAGAGTCCCTCAGATCAGAAGCTGATCCAATAGAATCTCTTTCGCCATCATTTCCTTTAAAATTTTTGTATTTAAATAAATTTATTTTAAATGACTTCATTTTCATATAGATTATATAAAAGTCATTTATCACATATTGACGTTTTAAGTTAAACTATCAATAAATATGACATAAATTCAATAAACTTTATAAATTATTATATGGTGTCATCACAAGTAAACTTATTGATGACACTGCAGTTAATGAAAATATCAAATAATATAAAAAAATTTCCTAATAATTACATTAAATAACTCAAAATCATTTATATTAATATTATTTCAACAATTTTATTTATCACTAATACCTGATATTAAATTTATATATTGTTTATTACTAAGACTTATAATTCATATGAATTAATTTTAGTATATATATAGTGTTTATAAAATAATGTTTACTAAATATAGTTTAAGATAAAAATACAATAAAAACTAATTTACAAATAATTACTAAATTTTGTGTATAAAAATAACATAATATAAAAGTAATAATTAAAACTGTATTAATATATAGAGGTAAATAGAATTAAATTTATTAATTTTATTTTAAATTAATAAAAATAAATATAAAAATAATAAAATTGCAAAATAGATACCTTCGTGATCATCATCGGCGTCGGCATCAAAAAACTTTTCATATTTAGACCTGTCCTCTGCGGGCGCTTTCGTAAAATTGTTGCGAACAACCGATCCCTCATTCGAGGCTATCGTCGACTGTGATGTTGTGGTCGATGTCTCCGAATTGTTGCGATTCCTTATCGGCAACGACACCGGTGGCAGTGACCGCATCTCTTGACTATCTCCGCCAATCGCTACAATGTCTTCGCCGTCTTCGGCGTCAGAGGAATATAATGGCATATATGTTGTCGGGACTGATAGACCTTAAAGATAAAGACAGTGTCCATACAGTTATTGATAACAAATTTTGCAAATGTTATGTCCCGTAACCCATATTTTGTGTCATAAATTTATAATAAAATATATTATAATATAATGTAAAATTTTCTAATACACATGTATTAATTTATATACTGCATATCTATTATTATTAACCTTTTATATTCATATCACATTAATTTATTAATATTGTTTTTGTCATAAAAACGGAAATTAAAGCTAAATTATTAATATTTTATCAGTTATATTAACAAATTGAAAAATTTTTGCCAAAAAGTTTAAAGCATATGATAGAAAATCAAGTATTTAATTAAAATAATAGTTTTCATGCAAATAAATAATAATCATTAATAATTGCAACAAAATATTGTATTAATAAAATAATAACTTAGAACCCAATAACCATTTAAAAATATGTTTTATTTTTTTAAAAATTAACAATTAAATCATTAAAATAAACATTAGTAAAGTGATATTAACAAATTAACAGTACAAGACATTAAAAAAATAATACTATAAATATATAAATGATTTTCTTCCACAAGTTAGTGGCTATTAATCATATATTAAAATAATATTTTTTATATAATTAATATTATAAACATTACACTAACTTTGGAATATAACCATTTGACTATTTCATTATTTATAAAAAAAACGCAAAATTAATACAATTTTTTATATAAAAAAGCATATTTAAAAATATTAAAAATTATTTGGAAAATTAATTCGTTATATTTTAAAATTGATAATAAAAGATAAATTAAATTTTAGTTTCGCTTAAATCATTATCGGTAAGAGTCTTAAAAAAATATCGATAATATTAGTTTGTGATACTGTATTACATCCAAAAATCATAATTACCTTTGTTTGCAATATTTAATGAACAATTGGTTGTTAAAAGTAAATCATTTAACTCGTGTTGCTTTTTGATGAGTTCCTGTTTGTGCAGATGTTTGCGCATCTTTTGCGGATCAAACGGCGCCGCACCAAACGGGTCGGCCTCAGGTGTGGACGACATGACTAGATCTTCCCGACTCTTCACGTTTGATATGCCTTTCAATAGAAACATCCCATCAGTTAAAAGTTTATATCACTTATTGTATCGATTAAAGTCATATCACTTACTACTTTGTGATCCTTTCCTTATTTTATCGAATTCGTGTCCAAATGTTTGGTCATCGACTGATTGATCAGTTGGTTGTCTAAATTCCTCTTCAAAAGGATTCCAGCCTTTGGTGACGACACTGTATGTACCGATAGTTTTAGACGACAATGAATTACTTGAGTGAATAGTAGTACTATCGGCGTTGACTAATTGGACTAAATCTTTGCTGCAGAAGCCGGATGTGTCGCTAACATTTCGCCGATGAGACCAATGATTATGCGGCGACGAAATATGACCTTAAAATGTATCATATTATCGGTTAGTACTCTCTATAATATTAAAGTAAATAAAAACTGATACCTTCTGTTGGAGATTTAGCTCCGGGAGGGGTCTGAGTTCGTCGGACTCCTCCTTGTGTTGGCCCGACAACAATAAATGGATTATTTAAATTACTCATCGCTACGGTAGTGACTACAGCTGTTTGCTGCTGCGGAATGTTTGTGTTGGGTGAGACCAGATTGGATGTCGGAGCTGATAATGATACGGACTGCGACTGAGAGCCTAATTGGTTGGCTGACGTAAAACTATGCGAAGTCGGCATTGACTGATTGACAGCTAATTTAGTGGTTGAATGCTCAATGGGTGTCGTCGCCCGGTTAGCACCTAATACTGGTATCGATAATTGCCCTAAAAATTGACAAATAATATTTGAATTATTTATTAGATATATAAATACCCGGAGTATTACTAAACATTTAGTTATAAATAATTATTACAGTAAGTTATTATCAATAGAGTATCATATACTTGAGTATTACGTTAAGATTAAATTGCATTTTTTTTTACTAAAATAAAGATCTGAATAGTTTAATATAATTTGAAATATTTAATTTGTGTAAACTAATTATCGCTTAACATAACTATCACTTTATCTCAATTGATAACAGAAACAGATTTTCAAATTTATAAAAATGATTAAAACTGACCACTTGTGCCACCTTTGGGTCGTTGTCTTGGGGTAACACTTGTGCCTTCAATGGTAGCAGAAGTGGTTATTGTGCCACCAGTGCTGCTATGAAGAGGCACTTCTCGATTGTTGATCACATTATTGTTATGTTTGGCATTACGTTTGGCGTCGCGCGCCTCCGACTCAGTCATTGGCAACGATAGGGTCGACCATTTTGGAACAGTACTGTTATTTACATTAACGACTGGCGACTCTTTGCCCATCAATTGAAAGGCAAGTATAGAGACAGAGTAGATATCGGGTCGTACATCAATGTCCAGTTCGAGCATTAATTTAATCAAAGCGTGCAATTTGTTTGAGTACTTGGAACTGTCCGGTATAACTAACTGAGCGTTTTGTATGGCAAGAGTTGACTCGCCAAATGGTAATTGAAAGAAACATAGTTTATAGAGAAGACAACCCAACGCCCAGATATCGGCTTTGGTTGTAATGGGTTTTGCAGCGTATAAGTCAATCATTTCGGGCGCCCGGTATGACAGTGTTGTATACTTCTTAATCTCTTCTTCGATGTCCAAAACACTTTGAGTGTCACTACTTCTTAGCACTTTAACAGTAGCCGAACCAAAATCACACAATTGATAGGAACCACTTTCAGATATAAGTATATTTTCAATCTATAATATAGTAAATAAAATTATATAAAAAATATTTTAAAAACCTTATAAAGAATATTTTAAAGCTAGGAAAATCATTAATTTTGATTAAAGTTACTCATATTTACAATAAAACAACTATTATAACAAATAAAGTAAACATAAAAGTTGGGATCAATTTGATGGATGATATAAAACCTTAAGATCTCTATGAATAATAGGCGGCTGATTGTGATGAAGTCGGGCCACGGCTTCACAGATATCGCAGAATATTTTTAACACTTCTTGTTCAGTAAAACCAGTGTTGATCCGATCGTTCATCATTTGCAACACATGACCTAACAATACATTTTTAATATTAATTTTTCAATCAATTTAAATCATTACAAAAGATTAATTAAATTCAAAGATTGAAAATAATATATATATATAATTTGCTTATACAGTACATCATTTATCTTTCTCTCTTTTTTTCTCAATATACTATTCAAAGTACTCAATATAATTTTAAAGCTTATTACAAAAAACACTATTATTACAAAAAAATCATAATTTATATAAAAATCAATATCAAAAAAGGTAATTTGTTTATCAATAAATAATAAAATGATTATGTAATATATATAAGAATGATGGGAAAATATGGTTAAATCAATTTACAAAACGTTACAAATAAATACTAACAGATATGTAATAACAGAGAAACACAGTATGATATATATAAAGATTAGCGGATCAATAATGTAATTTAAGCAAACAATATATTATCGATTGGGTTTACCAACAAAAAAAATAAAAGATTGAGATAATAGTTTTTTTTATAAAAAAAACCATTCAATAGCTTATGTCAAATACCTTTGCAGTAATTCATAAGCATAAGCACTTCGTGGACACCATCGCCACAGTAGTTGATGGCCGAGTCGACCAAACCCACTATATTTTTATGCGATCCCAAGTTTGTCTACAATACAAATACAAAACAAATAAAAAACTATAAAGTATTTCACTATAAAGTACATAAAAATGTTAGTTTAATATATAAAAAACTTACAGCAATTTGTATCTCGCGTTTGCAAACATTAAGATCAAAATCATTGTTAACAAACATACGTTTGAGTGCATATCGCACACTGTTTTGAGCCTTTACTAGAAATACCAGTGCAAAGCCACCTGAGATTTAATCAAAACATATATTATATATATAATTATATATTTTAATGTAGTTATTAATGTAAAATAACATAAAAAAATAAATTTCATTTAAAATATTCCCTTAAATTCAATTGTTTCATATATTTTATATAATATATGTATAATAAATAATGAGTTGTAATAGCAAATCAATTCTTGTATACCTAATATATAATGATTAATTAAAGGACAACACTATTAACATAAGTAATAAATATATGTCAAAAGTATTGGTGTGTTACCAATCATTAAAAATGTCTATTATTATGTTATAAAATTTATATGATAATAATAACATTTATTTTTAGATAAAAAATTCAAAATATTTTATATTTAACATATATTTAATCATGCATTATAAATAAACTAAATTAATTTGTTAAACAATTTAAGCTATTACTATATATAATGGAATAAGTATTAAATTAAATTTTTTATATACTAATAAAATTGTGCAAGGACAATAACATTAATTAAACAAAAGTTTCGGCATTTTTTAAATAAAAATTATTTATATAATAATCTAATAGCATTTTATCACAAAACAACTATTTTAATATCTTGAAAAATTAAATATACACCAACTATAATAAATTACTATTTAATGTAAACAATTTTTCTATTAATCATATAGAGGATTTTGAACCAAGTTTCATTAATTTATATATACAATGACTATATTGACTAAATTTTAATATAATATATAAATAAAAAAATTTATTTATAAAATATAACATAATATAACAAATCTACAAGAGTACTAGGAAATTTCTAGTTTTTTATTTAAATAATAGGTTTACTACTAAAAATTATTGTATGTATTTTTTTATTATTATTATATGATCATATATAAGTAAACATTTCCTAACAAACATAACATTACATTATTCATTTACCCACACGTTTGTACAATAATAATAATTTCATAATTTTCACAAAAATATAACGAATTAAAGTGAAAATACATTTGACATACTGTTTGAGTATACTCTCATAAAGTATATATATATATATAATATATAAAAGATTTTACTCAAATGTTAACAAAAAATGATATTATATTGTTATGTCTGAAACGTGGTGTGAGAACAGACACCATATGATATAATATACTCTTATAATGGGAAACACATTAAGTGTATAATCAAATCGTAAGCCAAAAATACTACTCCTGTTTTCATAATTATGAGAAGCTTATTGTTAAGTGGATTATGGACTGCCTTTTTGTAGCCCAACATAAATTTATAGCATTACATATAATTTATATACAGTACTATACTGTGGAACAAGTGATTACTATGAAAGCAACAAATAATCTAATATAAAATGCAAAAACAAATGCTAATTGTCTAATCAATTGTTTAATTATGAAACATCACGTATTACTATCTATAGAGTCGCTGCCATTAGTTTTAAGTAAATTTAATTAAAAAAAACACCGCAAACTAATTAAGACATTCTCTCTCTCTCTTTGTATGAAATCTATATAATTGAAACTTACTTTGAATATAATTGAACAAATAATCAATGAAATAAAACAAAATCTTGTATTAGCACGTGTTGTCACAAATAGTACAAAATGCAAAATATAATTAATTGTAATTTACTGGAGTACATAAACACATCAAAATTAGTTATCGATAAAACCAACATTATCGACCATATTTTATTTTAAAATGTGTATATTTTTAACAATTTTAAATTAATTTAATGTACTAATCACTTTATAATCAACTTACTACTATTTATATTATATTGCAAATAGATATTTTTGATAATTTATCAATTTTCGATTAAATTATATAATCAAATAAAAATCTGATAAAATTACAAACAATATAGCAATATATTTAATCACTAAATTGTAAAGCAAATAATCAATTGGAAAAATTCTAAAAATAATTATATTTATATATATTTAACATATATTGCATTTGTTTATTATGCTAACAATTTAAATCAAATTATGCATAATAATCATATACTCAATCGTATAAATTGCACGCATACTCAACTAAATTCAATATGTTTTTATTTTTTTAATACTCAAAAATATAATATCAATTATATTTAAATGAAAATATATATTAAGTTAATTTTATTTTTTCAACACTTTTGTTTAATTTATTAATAATATCATACAACTATATCAAACTACATATTATTTACCCACATAATAAAAATATCAACCAATAATCATTGAATCAAAATAATAATCATAGTCATTATAATTCAAGCAATGATTAATCAACAATAGTTAAAAATCGTAACATAAATTAATATAAATAAAAAAAATTATAAAATAATTAATAATAATAACTATATTAATAGTAAATAACAAAACCTCAACCATAACTAGGAAATCATGTTAGCAAATAAAACATATTTATAAAACTATAATCTATTATTATTTAAAGTTTTAAAAATATTATTTGCCACAAGACTGGATAGACAACATATTATTAATCAATAGTATTACTTAATAATAATTATCATTATTATCTAAAAATAACATAAAATATGTAACAAAAATCCAAACATATTAAATATATATATTTAAAAATAGATTAATTACTTAAGCAATATATTAATAAACCAATAAATCTATTATATCATTGACAAAATTAACTAATGATAATAATATTTTTTCAAGTTAAAACAACTTGAACATTTCAATTAATTAAAAATTATTTACACTGTACTATATAAAGGTCAAATAAAATTAATAAATTAGTAAATCAAAAAATAAATAATAATAGGGATTTATAAAACATATTAATTTGGATACAATCAAAACAAACAAATAGTAAGCAAAAATGCAAACAAAATATATCAAATAAAAACCGCACACATGTTTGACTAATTAGTAATTATTGAATAATTGATGACATAGTATAACATTAGTTAGTATACTCTAACAATATAACAATTATTTTGTATATCACATATTGTTTGACTTAATCATTACTATACAATCGTTTATTATTTGGCACCAAATTGTTATTACTTAATTTTATATATGATATGTTAAGTTTCAATTGTAATAACATTTATTATAAAATTATATTATTAATGATAATATTTATATAATATGATTTAAAACAATCAATTGGTTTACCAAATAATATATAAATTATTTATCTTATTGTCGATAATGTGATGCTATAACCAATTGGTTCCTCACCTTCAGCGATGGTGTCCTCAACAGTGCAGTGATACCTATTGATGGTAAACACTTTGCCCACATAGCTGTTGCCCGACGACGACGACGATGTCGTGTTGGCCGCACTGGCATTACTATCGCGATTGCCGTTATTGTTGTCCAATCGGTGGAACAGTTTCTTCATGATTGGCGACCACAATCTGTGTCAATATAAACAACAAACAACACATACAATTGAGACGACAATTGTTTTGTTTTATTGGGTGATGTGTTGATGAAGACAAACAAACAATTGGTTTATAATAATAATAATAATAATAATAATAATATGACAACAACTGGTTTATTGTGTGACATATGGTTTGTGTGGCAACTAATCAGTCATTCATTTATATAAAACACTATAAAACAGACATTCATTTTCAATACTAATACATAATAATAAAAATAATGATTTTTTTGACAACAATTTACTTCAAACGTATTGTTTATGTGTTTTGTTGTATTGAAATGACAGCACAAATCACATAATAAATGTTTGCCACAAATATATCACACAATAATTGTTTGTAAATGGATTTGAAAGATACAAACAAATACAAATCGCATAGTTTTTAACGATAATAATAATAATAGTTAATAATAATTAATAATAATAATGACTAATCAAACAGTCGTTCAAATATAATATGTAATAAATATTGTTTTAATAGTAAATAAAAATTTTGAATAATAAATGAAATCACATTAGACTCGACTCTTTTAGACAGACAATTGACTCAATGTTTTGCACATAAAATGTTATGTTTGTGTTGTCTCTCATATAATACAGTATTAGTATTACTGTTTGTCATACGTTTTCAATGCAAATCAATTGACAGCCCATACGTCCCATTAAAACTAAAACCCCTTTTTATTTTGAATAAAACATTTACAATACTATAAACATATTATACATTCAATTTGAAACGTTATTAGTGTTTATGAAAATCTATCCAAACTTCAAATGTCATACAATTTATAGTAATCATTACACACATCGACCGCTAGACAGCACTGTATTGTCTACACTGTATTAAAACTAAATTGCATTTATGTTAAGCAATAGTTTACTACTATTATCGTTATATTCATTATTTAAATTACATTTGTTTAAAATTATTACAATAGATTGCAATTTGCAATAATATAGTAAGTATTCAATTGCTTGGATTAGATTCAAATATATGCTTGTATATATATATGTATGTATGTATAATGTAATTTAAAATGTTATTGAATTATTATTACAGTAATATTATTGAAATATCACATTTATATACATGTACTTACATTAAATGGAGCCAGGCCATAATTTAAATCACACTATTAATAAAATTAAGTTATAAACCTATTATTACTATTATTACAAACTACAGTATATTATCATAAAAATTTGCTATTAATTTCTATATAACCGTAATTAATAATTATATGTTTATTGCAAATATTTTTACTTTTTTCTAAAATATTAAAAATATCACATAAGTGTTGGTTTTTTTTGCTAACTATACAATTTTGTAGAAAAATTAACATTGTAAATTTATGTATTTATTTATCAAAATATTAAATTCAAATTACTATTATATACTTGTATATTAAATAGTTAATTTTTCTCAAATTGTTAACTCATATACAAACAAATTACATTTAATATTAAAATTTTAGTATTGATTCATTAATGTTGATACAGATTTTTTTGAAACTTATCTAAAATAATAAAGTTTAATCATTAGGTTGTCTATTTAAAGGCGGTAAAAATAGTTTTTAGTCACTATAAAAGTTATTTATTTTCAAGCAATGTTTAGTAGCAAAATTTTTAAAAACTTTTTTCTTCATTATACATTTTAATTTATAATGCATATTTTAGCTTTATGATCTAGCATTTTATCAAATTGTAATTTGTTTTAATTTATAATTATTTATAATATGAAAAAACTACGTTTATTGTCAGCAACTCTAAGAAAAATTATTTATTTTATGACAAATCATATAAACGTTAAATGTTTTTGTAGTCACTATTTCTCTCATTTTTTACATAATTGCTTTACTAATTTTATATGTTATTATTTTTTATTTTTATCATCAAAATTGTATTATATTAAAGAATTTTAGTAGAACGGTTCGGTTCCCGAAAAGTGTTTCGGTTTTAAGGTTCGGTTACTGGAAGTGTTTTGTTCATAAATAACTGATTTCAAGGTTTGATAGTTTGATAATCCTATTTGATTGATAACACTATCGAAACACTGCAAAATTATTGTACGAAAAATTAAATTTTTAGATACAATATTACAAATAATTATAATATTTTAATAATTATATCAAACAATTTCAATCAATTTAAATAAATAACTAATAAATATACAGTAAAAAATGACTATTTGTCATAATAAACTTATTAAATCATTTTAATTTTATTAATATTAATTTTAAATCATTTAAAATTCATAGACATTGTATGATATAATTGAATTATTAGATAATTCAGTAAAATCAATAGCATATATTTGATTTACAATTTATACTTTATTTATAATTATAATTTAATAGGAAATGTGCAAATTATATGTAAAATAAATATAAAAATTGTAAATTTTAATTGTATAAAATATACTAATTGAGCGCTGGCGCCGGCAATCTCTTGTGATGCGGCGATCAGTTCCTCAAATTTTCCAGAACCTAATATCACTTTATCAACAAATTCGCTTTATTTGAAAAAAATAATTACCGATAAAATAAATCATTTAACTAAAAATTATTTATTTATTAAGTCATACACAAGTAGTTTTGCGTCTGCGGCCACAACTTTGGCGGCAGATATCAAGCCTTCAGTCCAGCGATGATTTCTTTGGTAAAAGTCTTTCATAGAAGTTGATACCTAATTGAAATTTTTTAAATTATCGTAATTTTTATTATAAAATCTTCAGATACCTTAGCTCTAATGTCTTTCATCTGAACTTCAATTTCTTGTATGTGAGCCATTAATTTTTCGATAATCCGATCCCTTAATTATAATTATCAAATGACATACTATATTACAATTAAACTGACATTAATATTCAAAATTGAAAATATAAATACTTTTCTTCAATTTCTTTGTCATTTTTGTTATCGTTGTTATTTAGAGACCAAATTGAATTAGTGTCATCAGTCTTTAAAAATCATATCAAAATTTTTATCTTTAATAATAAATATTTCAAAATATAATAAATTACCGCTGAACTGAATGAAAGGTCTACTAAATCCATGTCCACCTGATCCACTTCCACTTCGGGTGATTCAGGAGGAAGTATACAAACTGGTGTTACATGACTCTCAAGATTTGATTGGATTAGAAAGTTAGGCGGTTCCTGAAAATAATAATTTAATAGTTTAATGCAATTATTGCTTAAATTAAATAAAAATAAATATAATAGTAATCTCACATTTGGTAGTGACGGCACTTGAATCAAGTTTTTGAAATATTGTAGATTTTTCGAGTTTAAGTAAAATTACTTAAGACTTGATAATAAAAAAATCAAATATTAATCAATTTCTTGTAATAAAATACTAAATTAGTTTTAATAAATTACATATTAATTTATTAAAAAATATTTTTCTGAATCCTTCTATTGCGGCGGCCGGTAGAGCTAAGGCAATGATAATACAATTATTAATAGTTTCTCTTTTTAAAAATTAATTAGCAATTAAATTAAAGTTATATTTTTATAATACAAACCATCGTATAATTTGAATAATAGTTTTACGGAAAAGTCGTATAATTGACTCGAGTCTTGAATGCATGGGATAAGTGGTGCCAAACGGCACTGACCAGCCATTGTCATTGAATTGGATCGACTCATATCAAGTGAACCAAACACTATTCAAGTAATGAAATAATAGTCTAATTAAATAATAAATTATAAAAATCAATATACCGTTTGATTGAAGACTTAATATTTCACAGATTGTATCCAATTCTTCATCACTGACCATCAAATTTCCAGGAATACGTTGGTTCTGTTAATAATAATTATTAATTTTAACATTATATAAATAATAATTTAGGTAACGAAAAATATTGCATACATTTGTGTGAAAATCAATTTTACGAATAAGTAAATTACTATAATTTTGGATTAATTTTCCGTAACCTTCCCTCAAGAGTCCCCACTTATTGCCCAAATCCTTGAGCATTGGCCGGAATGGATAAGAGTCGGCAATTGTCTGATTAAACAAATCCGATAATAAAATAATAAGATATTAAAAAAACTTATATGACTTGCGGTGACTAACCTTTCGATATCCTTCGCGTAACAATTTATGTAAGACATGACAAAACTTCCAGCAAAGAATCGGATTGTCTTGAAGTCGAAGATTGCGAGCAATTGTCCAAAAGAGATGTGCGCTCTTGTTTTGGTGGGTACCGATTATTATGGCTTAGATTAGGATAGATTAAGCGCACAGTTAGTACATATCATTCATTTTTAATCATCAAAATTAATGGTTGTCTTTAAACTTACTTCTGATATGTTTTTCTTTAACCGGATTTTCATTGGTGTTAATCGCTTTGCTTATCAATCGCTTTGATGTCTTGACATCATCGTCATCATCATCGTCCACATAGTCGTCTTCGTCGTCAGTTAGTAGACCACTGTTGTTAATGTTGTTGTCATCGGCAATATTGTCATCGTTTCTATGATTGTTGTCAGTGGTATTGTTATTGTCTTGTGGACACATTGTGGTCATTGTGTTGTTTGTATCGCACGAATCGCCGCCCGACCAAACATTCATGTTGTCGTCGGACGACTCAATCAATTCTGTATTGTCGGTCACAAATTGACTCACAATAACTCTATGTAAAAGTCAATGAATTGAATCATCTATTTATGTAAATGTACTTAAAGTTTGGTTATTTTACTTAAACTACTTATTAGAACTAAGAGAACGGTTCGGTTCCGGAAAAGGGTTTCGGTTTTAAGGTTCGGTTACTGAAAATGTTTTGTTCATAAATAACTGATTTCAAGGTTTGATAGTTTGATAATCATATTTGAGTGCTAACACTATCGAAACACTACAAACTTATTGTACGATTTTTCAATTAAATTTTTGGATACAATATTACCAATAATTATAATAATATTTTAATAATTATATCAAACAAATTAAGTTTATATTAAAGTTTACAACTATTTGATTATAAATAGAAAATATAAATTATAATAATATAAATGAATATTAAAAATTTGACAATTTATAAGATATTTATAATAACTTTCTTTCGTAATTGACATCAATTTGATAAAAATCCACATTAACTTGTTATCATATTTCCGCTTAAATATTGCAAAAATTATGTTTTAATTCTATTATAAAATAAGGAAAAGATTTTATTTAAGTATAAAAATAACAAATATATTCAACAAAATATATTTATTATTATTATTGTTGTTATGAAAAACATATTTTTATTGAAATTAACTTAAATATTATGTCGAAAAATGATAATCATTTGTCTAACTTTTATAAGACACCGAAATCATTGTTACATAAAAGGCCATCATTTGAATCGATTGCAATTGTCCGACAAAATGTTGTTAAATTATTTGAAAGTGATTTATCAATTGCTGATGAATGTGATATAAAGCGGATCCAATCGGATGACTGGTTTGTTCAGCGATTTATTGAATACTATGAGAATGACATTGAAAAGGCTGTCCATCAGTTGTTGACGACTTTGAAATGGAGAAAAGTTTTTGGTGTCAATTCAAGACAAATAGATAAAGATTATGGCAAAGAGTTCTTTCAAATCGGAGCTCTCTTTGAATACAATACAGACATCAATAATATTCCTCTGGTTAACTATTTCTCATAAAATTAATATTCTTATAATTTAATGTTCACATTGTTTTAGCTGATACTTAGAGGCAAATGCAATCGTAAAGTACCGAAACTGCGACCACTTATTGAGATGTATATCGTTGCCATCATTGAACAGTTGGACACAAAAGTCGGCAAAAATGGTTTCGTTTTTGTATTAGACTGTAGTGATTGCGGAATCAATAATCTAAGTATGGATTTGTTGAAGTTTATTATCACAACTTTGACCACACATTACCCATTGGGTATGCAGTATATCATCATATATAACTTGCCGTGGATTTTGAGGGGCATTTGGAAATTGGTTAAGGGATGGTTAGGTGAACACCAACATATGGTACACTTCGCCAATGGCCAAGAAATTATCAAATATGTGGACACAAATTCGTTGCCCAAATACATGGGCGGCAATTCGGTAAAACTGATTGGCGAGACACCCGTCAATTGTCCATCTGTTTATGAATTGGCCGCCAAACTTGGTTTTACGGAAGCGGAGGTACGAAAGTATATGAAAATATATGAAGATCTACTTAAAGAATCACATACCTATACCACTAATTGATTTAATTTTCAATTATCTAATTTGTATTTTTTTAATTAATCAAAAATAAAATAAAATTATTAACTTTTATTATGATATTAACGGTACGGAAAAAATGTTAGAATACAAAACAAATCATAACATAATTAGAGTTTTTGAATTATTATATAAATTATTATTATTGAATTCATGTGGATCTTTGACTGTATTTGTATTATTGATTTATAAATCAATTCAATCATTAGTTCCATAAACTGGATTATTCTTCCACATTCTTCCACTTCTAGTGCCATACGTAAAGGCCTCCTTCTGGTCGCACAAAAGCAGTCCATTGTAGTCATCGTTCAATTGGTCGGCTAATCAATCAATTGTCACAAAAACGTAATATTGAAACAAATAAAAATAATTAAGTTATTTTAAGACATCCGATATTTATATTTTCATTGATGACAATAATAATAATAATACCTTTGGTTTTGATTTTTGCGAGAATCTTATCGCAGACATCAAACTTTTGGTCGGAAATGGTCTTAATTTTGTTCAAATATCTGTCAATTTTGCGAAGACTTCGGTGTCGATTCACTTGACTCAACCTTTTGCTGCTTATGTTCGCCGATATCTTCTCAAAACGTTTGTTCAATTTGTCCATCAAATGATTGATCTGATAATCGTATTCAAAGAGCTGCGACAGAAGTGGCGACAACTCGTTTGGAAAGTCTTCAGTTAAGTGACGAAAGTCATTGATATAAGTTTGGGTCAATTCGTGTGTCAATTCTTTAGACATTCTTCGTTGGTATTTGACTGCCAGCCGATTGTCTACCGATAATGATCTCAAAGTGTACGGACAACACAATCAAAATGATCGACAAAAAAATTATCGATAATTATTATATCATTTAAAATAATTTATGTTATATAATAAAGTCAACAATTTTTTGCAAATTTATAGTTTATACAACTTTTTAATGCAATAAATGAGTCATTGGTTTGATTAGCAATCAATTGCTTTATAGTTGTAATACATATTTTCAGTTATATTTTATAAAGTAATTCATTTAACAAATTCTTCCAATCAATGAAACAATAATTTGAATTAATTTTGATATTATCTCCAAAATAAAGTAATAATTAATTCATATATCACCAGTTTTTTGTTGTCTAATGAGTATTATAATTATACTATCATTTATTAGTGAAAATATTTATTCAAATGCCATTATTTTTTTATATTTACTATTTATATTTAATACATAAAAATATTAATACGTATATAAAATGTGAATTAATGTTATAAGAAAGTATTTGTTAAAAAATATCATAATTTTATAATATTAATAGTATTTTCATTTTAATGTATGTAATTAATAATTATCAATCTATAATTCATTGTTCATAATTAAATGTTTAATTTTTACTATTATATTTTTGTTGTATTCAAAATTTTCTAATCTGTTTAACTTAATGTTTTAACTTTTACTAAACAAACAAATAATTTCAATAGATGGTGATATTATATACAAAAAAAAATCGATATTATAATAAACTTTACTGGATCCATTCATAGACTGCTAAAAAAGTAAACTTGAGTAAATTAATACTTTAGCATTGTGTATAGGGGTAATTTTTTCTCCCGTAAATTACTAATTTGTAATGTAATGTTACTAATTATTAATAATAATACTTTCATCAAGTTAAGTTTACTTTTTTTAGTATTCTAGAGCATAGATCTGGGGCATTTTAATGTTGATAATAACAATATTGTTAGGCAACTATTATCGCTTTAGATAATGAGACCAAATAAATAAATAAAATTTTCATAAATTATATTAATATTCATTTTTATTTATTTATAATTGATAATAAAAATTACATGAGTATTTAAATATTTTTTATGTAATTTTTATTTAATAATATAATTTAATATAAAGTTTGTGGGTTTATTTCGGCTTAACAGCTATTATTCAATATATTGTTTTATTTGATTTCAACTTTAACTCATTCATTCATAATTATTAAATAGTAACGGATCATTGCTCCAGACTAGCCTAGATAGCTATGAATGAATCTAGTTAAGTTTTGTTATACAATTTATAATTTTTATAAAACTTTTTTTGCATGAGTGTGTGATAAAGTAAATTTAGTATTTTATAAATTTATATTAAATGAGTACATGTAAATATTCTCATATTATTTTGATATACAGTATTAATTAATTGTTTAGTTTTTTTATTTGTTTAAATAAATATTGCAATTATTTATGCTTAAAAGATAATTGAAATTAAATCTATAAGCGATTGAAAAATGATTAATATTTTACGTTTTATTATTAAATATCAATGATTAGAGCTTTTGTTTTTCTCATTAATAATTTGAGTGATAGTATCGACCGATTTTGTACTGTTTGATGAAGAAGTAGGCGAACAATAGGTGATGACTGAATTGGTTGGCGATTCAAACCCAAAGAAATTCTTGACAATTCTTATAAAACCATTATCTCCTGTTGTTTGTAAAGAACTGTTACTATCACTTCTACTATTACTACCAGTGCTACTATTGCTACTATTACTACTGCCACTACTTGTTGACTTACTTTCCCCATTATCTATATATTTAGTGTCTTTATCTTGTAATTGACCGGACAGTTGACTATCTGACACTTGAATACCATTTGAATTGACATTTTTATTAACATTTGTCTCACTTTCTAGAGTATGATTTTGTTGACTTTCAGTATTATTGTTGTTGTCATCACTAGTATTATGCTTTACTCTAACTTTTTTGCCGACAATCCATTTGACTGTACAAAATATGACGGCTATTAAGGCCAACAAAGCGACGATTATAACAATGACGATAATTATGGGCAGATTTTCTTCATTACTTTCTACATAGGCTCGAGTAGTAGACTGTTTACTAACTACCTGTCCTCTGCGTTTACTAACAGGACCACCACTGACACCATAATAAGATAATTCAATTATTATTACTGAAATTAATTTTGTCAATGCCATGTACAGGAATAAAGTGTCAAATTTGGTATTTCAAACCTATTATTTTATTTTATATTTTTTATTATAGTATTCAAGATTTTACTCATTTGTCACGCTATCACAACAAACGTTATGCATTGTCTAAAAAAACATTTTTTTATTATATAATAACCGTAAGACATATCATTATCCTATAAATTTAATAAATTATACTTATTTTTTTAACGTATATAATTTATTGTCAGCTTTCATTTATTATTAAATACAGTATTATATTTTAAGCATAAATGTATACATTGTTTAAAAATTATTTATAATTTTTAATTAACGGTTTTTCAATATTTTTTTTGGTCAGTCAATGAACTGAAGTAAAATATCAGTGTCTGAAATATAATATATTGCATATCTATAATATATATATATATATATAGCCCTAATAGCCATAAGAAAGACCCCAAAAGAAAAATGTGGCCAAAAATGTTTGCTCTGGTGTTGGCTATAATTATGGTTAACTTGTGTGAAGTTAGCGCTGAGTCCGACAGCAATAATAAGGAGAAAATTGCTATTATATTGGGTATAGTGTTTGGTTCAATCATTTGCTTAGCACTGGTATTATTGGCAATACATTGCTGTTACACCCGATGTATCAAACGGCACGACAACACTGTAGAATCGGATGGTCTGTCATCCACACAACGGACACCACTCGTGTCCAGTCGTAGCGGACGACGAGATCCACAGTTTGGTGATCTCGACTCTAAACTCAATCTTCACGTCAAAGTGTCAAACATATCGTTAGCATCGGATGAAAGACTTAATACAGACGACAATATCAGACATAAAACAGAAAACAATAGTATTGAAAAAATCAAAACATTTTTTGCTGACAAAAAACGCAAACAAAATAGGATTTAATATAATTTACATAAAAATTTAACTAAATATATTAAATACTTATTATCATTATTAGTATTATTATAAATTTTTGTATAATATATTGTTCACTAATTACACAATAATTTGTTGCAATTTACAGTAATTTTAATAAAAACCTATGAGAGGTATAATTAAATAAATTTGAATTCAATATGAATTAATGAGTAGATAGTGTGGTATAAGTTAAATGAGCGATATATAAAATATTGATCATATATTGGTAATACCTGTATATTGTATTGTACAGGTATACAGGTATATACTGTATATAAATATTGTATAATAATATATATAATATTAGTGTAGAAACTATGCAATTATTCATAGTATTGCCAACAATCACATTTAAAAACCTTTATATGTCAAATATAAATATCAATGCAATAAATTGAAAATTAATTTTATATAAAACATTATTCAAATGATTGAAATAACTGAAATATATATAAATATTAAATTTTCCGTAATTACAATAAAAAAAACATTGTTTTGCATATAATTCATCAACAAATTAAATTTAAATATTTCCTTGAGTGTTGGGAACTCTACCTATTAATAGGTATGCACTGATTAGTGTAGTGTCTCGTACATAACCTATGTAGAGTGCGCATACAAGAGACCACCCCCACAGGCTCTTACAGTGCCATACAGTTTGGTAGTGTACAGTATATGCCATATACTAGTATATGGCAATTGTAGCCCTCGGGCCAAATCGTGACTTACTTACCGGCGTCTCTTATGTTTGATAATCACACTTACATGCAATCTATGGCTTTTTGCAACACACAAAGTAAGCATCACTTTGAATCTCCACTATCTCTCAACAACAACAACAACACAATATTCAATACAAAAAACTATGTTATATATGTATTATAGAGAGCAGAGAGAGCAGAGCATAGAAAGAAAGAGAGAGAGAGAGAAAGAGAGAGAGAAAGAGAGAGAGAAAGAGAGAGAGAAAGAGAGAGAGAAAGAGAGAGAGAAAGAGAGAGAGAGAGAAGAGAGAGAGAAAGAGAGAGAGAAGAGAGAGAGAAGAGAGAGAGAAAGAGAGAGAGAAAGAGAGAGAGAAAGAGAGAGAGAAAGAGAGAGAGAAAGAGAGAGAGAAAGAGAGAGAGAGAGCTAGATGTGAAATGTGTGGGAGTTTTTTGCCTCTCAAAATATATTCACATGTTTTGTTGTAACAAAAATTTCACTGCAATCTCACATTTGCAAAGTAGGGGTCAATTTGTTTGCGGTAATGACTTACTGGTTGGCAATACTTATACTTTTACTTGTGCTTAATGTTGATAATATAGCTTATAATATCTTAAAACATCAAAATGCATTTTTTCTTACAAAAGTATATTGTAAACTATAATAATAATAATGATAATAATGTATTACACGGTGTATTACAAAGTATAATACTAGTATAATGTTTTTGATGGGCTATACATTCACATAGCTTTTTGGTATTTATTGATGACACCACTGTTTTGTGGTAACTTATTTAAAAATAATAAATACCAAAATCCTAATTATTTATTATACCATAAATATATAATATCAAATTTATATATTTATTATGTTCTACTACATTAAATACAGTATTAAATTTACATGTTACATAGTTGATTTTAATTTTTTTTAAAAATATAATTTTGTTTGTATAAAATTTCTAATTAGATAATTTATTTTTTTTTTGAAAAAATAAATCATTTATTATAATGTCAATAAATTACAATTTCTATTATCTACTTCTTTAAAAAAATGTTAGTTTAACACAGATATGTAAACGCCATTGTTTTTCTATACTATTTATAGATCAGGTAATATACTAAAGTTAATGTCAGTGAATTAACTCCAGTAACTTAAAAATCTTATTTTTAAACTAAGTGTGTGTACTCTATATTTAACTTCATATTTAGATGAGTATTAAAAATTATAGAAATGCACTTGCTTAAATTATTATTTTGACATTTTTGTTGAACAACAAAAAACAATACTATATCAGTAATAATAATAATAATAATAATAATGCTGTATTATTGTACTTCATTATAATGATAAACAGGCGTTTAAAAAGCTAATCGTTTAAAATAGTTTACAAATTTAATGCCTGTTTTACTTTTGCAACACTTTTACTTTGAGATACAACAAGAAAAACAGTTAGCATTTATTATTTATGGAAATTATTTCTATATTTATGTCAAAAATATATACAACACTTCATTATGAAACTTAAACCTTCTCTCTCTTGTCTATCTCACTCACCCTCAGTACATATTATATGTTTTTTTGCAAAAAAATATTTTAGTAATAAGTTTTTTTAGTGTATTTTATTGCTTATTTGAAAGCAATTTTCTACTTAACTCTAAACACTCCACTAAACGTTTTCACTCTTTTTCTCTATCACTCTAAAAAACAGTTGAAATTGCTTTGAAATAATAGTAAAGTTAAACGGTTTGCAAAAGAGAGAGAGAGAGAGAGAGAGAGAGAGAGAGAGAGAGAGAGAGAGAGAGAGAGACAGTGAAACAAAAAATTAATTATTTATTAGCATTTACTTTGAGTGGTATGTATTTGAATTACAAGAGAAAATTATTTAGTTTTTTAAATGTTATTAACAAAGACTTCCTCTCCATATAAATTCAAGTGAACAGAAAATATTTGTATTTTTTTTAGAAATTTTTGTTTAGAAATACTTTAAATAAGTTTCTCAAATAGTATCGCAATAATTACACACATATATCAACAAAAACTATTTGATAAATATAATCAGTTTGATATAAAATTGATTTATTTATTATTTTATAAATTAAAAAATTATATACATATTTATATATTATTAATTTATATAAATTAAATATATATTTAATAATAAATATATTAACACATAAAAAATTGTTATTACATATCACTAAATTTTATTTATAATACAATTTATTTTCATGTTTGTGTTACATTTTCACACATAGTTTATTTTATACCCTTTTAATAATAATAAAAATAATAATAATAAAAAAATAATGTATACTCTATATTACAAATAAATATATATTTATATAGCAAAATTATTAACATTTTTATTGTAAAAATAGCTAATATTATTAACATGCAAAATTATGTAACAAATGCACTAAAATATTAGTAATTTATATATATAGTGCAATTTGCGATATATTGTAAAATATCACATAAATACACATTTTCTATATTATAATCGCAATTTCTATTTTGTTTAATTGTTCAAAACAAATATTAGCTCTGATCTTATTTGCTATGATATAGCAATTGGTGATCTTTATTATTAATTAATGTATTTTACAAATATTTATATATATATAACAATTTAAAAACTATGATTTTTTTGCTAATAAAAACAGATCTGATGTTATAAAACATTGCACCGGCAGACACAACACGACGGGAAGAGAAACCAGTCCATGAAAATGCCTTTACAATCGTCGTCGGGATCGTAGGCCAACAGTCGGTGCCATTTGTATTTCTGTTCACACGAACAGTCATTATTGCATCTCTTGGTTTGCACAGACCTATCAAAACAATTGGCGGATTAGTTATACGTTACATATAGTATCAAAATATATGCTTTATATATATATATACTGTATATATGAATGTACACTACATTTATACCTAAGATTATTGTTATTATATCTTAATATACATTAATATAGTGTGCACTATATATAGAGATGATATATAAATTACTTTATCTATTTTGATTGATGCATCAAAATTTTAAATTGAATTTCATTGCATGTATATATTTTTGTTTAATCATAATATCATAATGTTGTTTATTATCATATCGTAATACTGTATATATATTAATATATATTCAATGTTCAGTGAGCTAACTGGCCAAATAAATCACAATCATCTAGCTACAAAATATATATTGTTTAACTGACCCTGTTTTATATAGATTGATATTTTTAACACAAGCCACTACCCTAATCATGAAATCTGCGGTTTTTATTTGAGAAAAATCTAAACAATAATAAAAATAGCAAATGTTTTCACTATAATTTACTAAATTTCTATATAAAGTTTACAATATATGAAAAGTAACTTTATCTTTATATCAAAATAATGTGCAAATTAATTAAATGATTAGTATTTTTTATCAATGCATGTAAAACAAATTTTAAAGAATAAAAAAATAAAAATAAACTAATAATAAAGAAATTTTTAACAAAAATAATACAAAACGAAGAAAAAGAAAAATTACAGAAAAAAGAAGAGCAATGAATGAATGAGAGAGAGAGAGAAAGAGAGAGAGAGAGAGAGAGAGAGAAAGAGAGAGAGAGAGATATTATAAATTATGGGGAAAGAGAGTTGATGTTAGAGTCAAATATAATAATTGTTTGCCATATAAGTGAGTGCCTCAGCAGTAGTTGAGTAGTTGCCCCATCAGTATGACCCCTACCAGTGCCCCCACCCTCTAAAATCGTGACTAAGTTGCCGCCGACTTTTTATGATAATCACACATACAATCAGTCTATAGATATAAATTTGTGAGAAGAGAGAGAGAGAGAGAGAGAGAGAGAGAGAGAGCGAGGGAGAGAGCGACAGGTGCTTTGATTATAAATTAAGTATAAGAAGAATATGTTAACCAAAAGGAATGTGCAGTTGTTTTGGTGTCTCAGACCATAATCTTATGCCTCATAAGTACACTATCCGTTGCCAAAGCAATTGCTATCAATATATTAATATTAATATTGAAAAATACAATGAAATATAAACTTATAATATAAAGTAAGAGAATCATAAAGTAATGTATATATCATATCATATATACTGTATATATATATATATATATATATATATATATATATATATATATATATATATATATATATATATATATTCAGTATATTTATAAATAGACAGAGAAGTTGACTGTAAAACATATACAATATATATAAATATGTGAAAGTGGAGGTCACCAGCATTTTGGTGGGGTTTACCAGAAAAATAAAAAATAGCTGACAATACTTACTGACAAACTTCTTGTTGAATGGCTTGTTGTAGATGTTGTGTATTAACAATAGCCCTAATCTTTCCGGCGCTGTTTGACGCCCAATAAGGAGTCACTATCTCGACGGACGACTCACACGAATCGATTCTGTTATACATTTCGGACAAAAAAAACAACAGTCAATAAAATTATATAAAAATATATTAATACATATCAGAAGTATAATATCAATTATTTAGTAATATATTATAAATTGCTAATATATTAAAAATTTCGGTACCAAAAAAAATAATTAGCTACTAGCATTTTTTTATTATATGACACAAATAAAAATATATTACATTTTTATTAATGTAACAAAAAATTTATTATTATTCATCACATTTAGTGTCTCTCTATTTGTGATAATCCGTTGAAATATTTTGACATAAATTACACTAAAAAACAAGCTTTTCATTGCTTTTTTACTTAACATTTTGCGGTGACTTATCTTCTTTGGTATGCGAGTAATGACTTATCAAGTGATTCAAAGTAATTCATGAATTCATTTATTTTTATGTATATTTATAAAGATCTTCTGTAATACTATAACATAAAATACTGTATTTGTATAACTCCTTTGGTTATTAATATAACTTATATTATATAAGCATTTATTTTCACTAATACTTTAAATTTCAATTAGTTTTCTCTTTCTAAATGTTGTTTAAAAACTCTTTATTTCATTTTGTTTAAATAAATTAATCTCTTATTATCTTGAAAAAATATAATTATAAAAGTAATAAATTAGCCGGAAATATATTAGATAAATAAAAAGTTTCAAAATTAAGTAAAAAGTCGGTGTTTTTAAAAACACAATTTAAAACAAAACAAAAACATTGATTAAACAAACTTATTGGAAAACTATCAATGAAAATACACCACTTTATCAACAATCAAACATTTATAGTGAGCTATAGTTTACTTTAGGGGTAATCGTGTTCACTGTTAGATATCGTGACACTTATTTCCGGCCATTTCCTCAACATTTGCTTTAGTTTTTTTAAACATCGTCTCTCTCTCTCTCTCTCTCTCTCTCTCTCTCACTCGCGACTCACTGCCGTCTCTTTCCTAATATATATACCGTATATTTAATGCAATGATTTCTACGAAAACTAATGATTTGGATAATGCGAATAATAGTATTAATACTCACTTATTGCTATTATAAGAGTTACTTTTAGCACGTTTTGGCCTTTTATGAATGATATGACCATTACTATCATTAATGGTAGCCGTAGTGGTAGTAGTAGTAGTAGTCGTCGTCGTTGTACTACTATTTGCTATACTCTCGTAGTACTGGTCGTCACGACCGACGTTTGGGTTGAACTCGTGGTCCGGTTCTTCAAAATCACCGAACATTCGTCTAATAAGTGCTTTGTTTTCATCAATGAATTTATCGATCTTTTCACTGGAAATTTCATCGAATAGAAAAAAATATAATAATAATAAAAAAATTATATATAAACTACAGTAATAAAAAACAAGTTATATATTTTTGTTGTTTTATCTGATGTACAACTAATGAACAAATAATTATCGATAATTTGTTCAATTAATTGATAAATTTCAAGATTATTTTTATCTATATATATATACTGTATATACAGTAAAAAAGATTCTTTGATATATATTATATTATTTTTTTAAAAACACTTTAATATAATCTGAAATTTAATACAGTATTTTGTCTAACGCTATGTAGACATAACAATAATACTGAATATTAAATATATTGTATTATACAGTAAACTAGTATATACTATACACTGAATGTAATATTATTAAAATGTATTATTTGTAAAAACATGCGTTGAATATAAATTAGTTAATACCTGTAAAATATATTCAATGTATCATAAAATTTATATAATATGTTTACCAAAAAGATTTTTAATCAGTGTTTGTCTCCAACAAAATTATATGTAATCAACTAATTAGGTGTTATAGTATAAATAAATAATTAATTAATGTGACTCATTTATCATTGTAATTAAGTTATAATTTGCATATTTATATATTAATATGATTTGAATAGTATTTATATTTTGAATCAGATTACTAGAAACTGTAATAATAATAAAAAAAATGTTTCATACAAACTATATTTTATGCATAATATTATACTGTATATACTGTATATAGGTTTTGATAATAAAAAAACTGCATTAATATTGCGGTCATTATCGTAAAAGTGAATTTTATATTTAAAACTATAGTTCATTTAAGTCTCACTTTTCATATATGAAAATCATATAAAAGATTTTGACCTTCGATTGTATGTCTAAAGAGAGATAAATGAATTATAAAATTAAGTTAAAGGAAAATAAAAACCATATTTTTTGTCACATCATATTCAGGTGCTCTCTCTCTCTCTCTCTCTCTCTCTCTCTCTCTCTCTCTCTCTCTCTCTCTCTCTCTCTCTCTCTCTCTCTCTCTCTCTCTCTCTCTCTCTCTCTCTCTCTCTCTCTGTCTCTCTCAGCTATAATCTCCTAATCAATCATCACTGTGTGTGAGATAAATTATTTCACTGTGCATTATATCGTTATGTGATATATGATTGAATAAAAAAATATATAATAATGAATGAATAGATGGAAACCAACTAAACAACAACAATTTTTTTTTAAATTTATAATTGAATGAATTGAATGGCAAATAAAATTATATATAGTTTTTATGGCATGAATTTGTTGTCTAATATTATAAGTGTGTCCGGAATTTTGCCTCAAAGACATTATTCAACTAAAGAAAAAAAGCTAAAAGTAAATACTCTGCAAACGGTTTAGGGGTGAGACCACCAATGCCTGTGCCACCACTTAACCAGAAATATATATATAAATATATAATCAGTGATAAAGTTGTGTCACTGATTTTTTTTATTATTATTTCCCTTAAATTGGTGACTTAATTAGCATTGTGTCCTCCAATAAATTATAAATCTCCTGAAATATTCAAATAAACTTCAACAGAAAAACATTTGAAACTTCATTGACTTTTTTGATGTTTAAATAATTGAATTCAATTAATCATTAGAAAAAAGTCGATGAAGTTTCAAATATTTTCTGTTAATTAATTTAAATTTTTAAAAAAAGGAGATCTATAATTTATTGGAGGACACGATACTAATTAAATCATCAATTCAAGTGAAATAATAATAAAAAAATAGTGACAAAACTTTATATCACTGAATATTGATATATTGTTTATACTATACAATACAAGTATTAATCTATGTCTACATAAGTAGTGGAGCAGACATTGATGGTCTTTACCACTAAACGGTTTGCTGAGTATTTAGTCTTATTTTAATTGAATAATGTTTAATTAATATTCATAAATATGATTAATTTAATAAATAATTAAAACTAAATTATTACAATGTAGGTATGGGTGTGGTAATGATGGTGTGTAATACTCTGTATATACTGTATATTATGTACAGTAAGTGTGTGTGTATTACACTGTATGTAACTTACGTTAATCGAGGACTGCCTAAACCGGTGCAATATATTTGATTATTGCGGCGAATACAGGGATAGCCCTCCACTAACTCGGCCTCCGATGCTTCCAGTATTACGACACTCAACCAAAGTAAACCAATAACTATCTGTAATACAAATTTAATTATTAATCTTAATTTATATTTATTAAGAATATGTATTTAACTATTTATTTAGTGTATTCAATAAAAATATAAATATTGATATAAATAATAGTATATTGCAAGTGAAAGATTAAAATAAAGACAGAAATTAATTAAAATTTTCCAAATAAGGGGTTATTATCGTTAAACTATTATATATAATGGCTATTATGTGTATTTTTAACTAAATATTACATATGCTTAATGTATATGTCGTGTCTGACACTTTTTGTGTCATTTTTTGTTTGTTATCCAAATCCCAATTTTATAGTGTCATATTTTTACACTAACTATTTAATTTCAATTTTTTGAAGGTTATCTAATACTACATAAAATCTAATCTTATTTTATTTTTTTCCACATTCCGACTAACTTTTCTATATATATATATTCAGTACATTGGATATATCGTATACACAATATATATCATAATTGCTTTTGTGGCTCAATATATAACTATAATATTATTTAAGTATATATTTATACATTATTTTAAAACTTTCAATTTTTGTTTTGGTGCTAAATTAAAGTGATTTTTATTATTTTTGCATCTCTTTTGGATCATAAAGTCCAGCTTAAATCCAAAAAAGCAATTTAAACAAAACATTTAAGCAATTTTTTCTATAGTTTTTAATATGTGTTTGAAAGGAGTGCGACTACGAAACTATGACATTGGGAGCTATTTTTTGTTGTTGAGTGTAATTTCTATTAAAATTAAGGATAAATTTAAATCCAAATGGCTTTTAATAATAAAAAATACGAGTCATAAGAGAAAGCACTTAAAAATACTTTAAATTCATATATTAATTGAAAATATCTATATATTTATGTCTTACTAAAAAATTGATTGAAATACTGTGTGATATAAACACAATTTACATTTATATATCGTAAATATATATATAAAAATACGCTATGAATAATAATATATTTTTTGAAAATAAATAAAATTCATTGAATCAAATATTACTTTTAAAACATAATATATTAAAACACGACATAAATTATATTAATATTTTTAAAAAAGCAAACTTAGAAAATTTAACTTGTTGCTATTTATTAATCAATCAATTTACTGTAATACTAGTCAATAAATAAAAAATCAATTACTCTACAATTGATATTATGTATACAAATATAACTATTTGAACAATTGAAAGCTATAAATAAATTTACAATAAAATAAAATCTACAGTAAAATATACAATGAATTTTCATGAAACTCCTATAATTGTCATATTTGAGTACTAATATTACTATTATTTATTATTAAGCTTTAAAATCATTACACAAAAATCAATTAAATTAATGGATTTACTGATATCATAATTATTACTCTTTATGTCATACTATTGTTTGCAGTAATAATTTGCAAACGTATGATAATAATTATAAATATATTTTTTATATAATGCATATATTTTCAAATTGTTTTCATAGATAATAATTTAAAGTTTAATAACTTCATAATACAAATAATATATTTATTATTCTTATTTTTATCATTTAAATCATTACATAAAATTTATCTATAATATAATACTTAAGACACTCCATGTATAAAACAAATATAATTTATAATAAAATATTTAGTTTTGTTTATGTTTCTTAATTTAGTAACTATATTTATTAAAATATTTTATGACACCTTATTTTTATTAAATAGCAATAAATATATCAATTATTTCTATTAAAAGATAAAAAAATAATTAATTTTATTGTTATGAAACTTAGAATTATGTTTATAATAATAGTATTTAATACTAAACTAATGTATTGAATTTTGATTTAAGAAAATTGTTTAATAGATATTTAATAACTAAAACGAATATAAAAAACAAAACAAAAATCAAAATATCTATTTTGGAAATTTATTGTAAAGTTTATGCCACAGATATAACAAAATAATGTGTAATAAATTTGTACATAACATAAAAAAAATAATATATAGTATATACTGTACTCTACACTTAAGCATATTTAAAACCCTACTAATATATATAAATCTTATCAGTATATTATCAAAATATATTAAAGTTATTATTATAAATATTTTTTTTTTGTATTTAAACTTTTAGAGAAAAATAATTTTGGCTATCATTAGATATTTTTTACAATTAAGATTTTTGTTTATAGAAAGAAAAAAAATTTATAGATAGAGAAATTTTTTCCAGTCGTTTGTGCGGTGCAATGATGGGGGGAGTGGGGGTGGGGTGGGAGAGACAGTACACACTCACCAGCGAAAAGTATTGTATTATACGGTGTTTATCGGTATAATAACCTTTCGTTGGAGAGACCAATAGTTTGGTTTGGTCTGCAAAATGATAGTAATGAGAAAAATCGTAACTTTTTTTTGTTGCTTAAAGAGATTTCTTTTGTCACGATTTAAACTTTTTTTAGGCACGAAAACTATATTTGTGGAGACGTTATGCGTATGAGTGTATGTACAGTATATACCAGTGCGAGGGAGAGACTGGAGCTATTGCTTATGGATATGAGATTTTTTTTCTGTAGCCAACAATTTGCCTCGTCTTTCAATATATATATCTACATATTCTTGTTATAACAGGTAATATTTGTATATATATATATATATATATACAACAATATATATATGTGTGTTTTAATATATAACCTGACGGTATAGTGTCTCTACATGTATATGTGTTGTTATTGTTGTTACTTTGTATTTAGTTTTGTTGATAATGTTGATGGTTTTTGGTGGGCAAACATAACATCAACACAACAACAAAAATAACATAACATAACATTATTTTCCTATACAAAGCAAAAGTATTGTTGCAGAAAATTGAAACAAAATATATAACATTCAAAATAAATAAGCGGTCGACACATCCATAGAAAGAGAGATAAAATGAGATAAAAAGCAACCGATTCTTCCCATCAATGCTAACATGTGTTATATATTGTGATACTTATGTATAACACCAACAAAATAATAATAATAATAATAATATATATCAATTATTGAATAAATTATACAGATATTTGTTGAATAAGAAAATTTACTTATCAGAGATTTTAACACTTAGATTAAAATGATAGATACAGTACTAACATAACTTTCAAAATAGTATGTTTATAAAAGATATTCATTTAATTTATACTATAATTAAATTTTAAAAAGTTTTTATATACGAATTGAAAAAAAATAAAATATATGAAAACATTTACAAAACAAACATTTAGTTTGTATCCATAAAAATCTATATAACTTTGTTATATACCGGTATTATAATAATTAAAGCAAAAAATCACTAAACAAGAGTCCAAATGACTGTTTAAGTGATTTGCACACAACTATCAAAAATTCTTTGAATTTTACATTTAAATTCATAGACAATGTGATTGTAATTTGAATTACTATAAGTATTTCACTGAAACACTCAGTGAGAGATCAAATACAACGAAGTAGTAGAAGAAGAGTCATCAGCGGAGAGATAGCTCTCTTCATCTTTTGTTAAACTCAACCAAAAACTATAAGTCAGTCATACTTTTACTTTCACTAATCATTGTCAGCGGTGGTTGGGTTGTCATTGACTATAAAAACGTTATTGAAATGAATACAACACAACATACATACAAAAAAAACTTGTGGCCCACTGTATGTCTAATCAAAGTGATTGGCGATCAAACAAACCATTTGAAAGCCACCCGCGATCTTAAGCTTATATTATATATCTTTTATCTCTCTCTCTCTCTCTCTCTCTCTCTCTCTCTCTCTCTCTCTTCCTTTCCCTCATTCACTTTCTGTATATAAAATATGCGTCCAGTGTTAATAAATACTGGATAATACTGTTTAAATAAAATAATTAATTTTCACTGAAAAACTATAAATAATTTATTTATATATTAAATTATTTGTAATTTGTTGTAATTTGGTAAACTAGTTATTATAATTTTGTAAATATACTCATTGTTAATATATTTATTTCATAAATTTAACAATTATTATTATATTTTTACTTATATTTGTATGTCCATCACAAATAACCAGTGGACGCAATTATCATAATTAAAATAACTATTTTATAGATTAGAAATTAAGTTTTTTAAATGCAGCAATTTTATATAATAAACTATAGTTAAAATTCTTAAGATATTAAAATATCAATGAAAACTTATATTATATTATATATTAATAATATTTTCTATAATACTAAATAACATTATATGTAAACGCAAGTAATATTTAATTTATTAAAATTTTAATCAACAACTAAAATATTTTATATTTATTACTGTCTCTCTATAAATAGAAAATAAGAAAATTTCTCTATATATCATAAAATTCTTAATATTAAATAAATTTAAATAAAATTTTAAAAATAAATAAGATTATAATTATCTAAATCTAAAAGTCTAATACATATTTATTAAGATATTATAGGAATTGACAATAATTATAGAAATATTTATAGAAAATATCAACAAAAATATAAAAATTATTTTACATTCTTTAGTAATTAGAATAACAATTATTAAAATATATTTATCATTATTTTAATTACAAGACAACAATTCATATAATTATATTATATGTAACTTTTTAGTAACTTTTTAAAGTAAGTTTATATATAAGTTTTAAAAAATAATAACTTTTATATCATCTTTACTTTAAAGTTATATAAATTACGAATTATTATTGTTATAATTTAAAAAAAAAAATTATAATTGATAATATAACTCACCAAATAATGATGATTATAATATAATATACACAGTGATGCCATTGTTTAATCACTTGATGATTTGATGTACCACTTAATTAGTGTTATATAACATAATAAAAATACATTCAAAATCACAAAATATATTTTTAATTATCAATTAATTAAAAAAATAACAATAACTTTATTTAATAAAATATTTGTGATCGTATTTTTGCATTTTTAAAATCATTCAAATTCACTATTAATATGATTGTTGTTAACATATAGTAGAGATGTATAGATTGTCATTACTGTTGGATAAGTTATTCTTAAACTGTGGGGATATATGTGTGCAATATGTGTAAGATTTTCAAGTTTGAAGTTTCGATAGATTTTTTACAAGAAAAATAATTTTTCAATACTATAGTTACACCATCTGGTTTGATATATTGATATTTACTGTATATACAGTTATAAATCTATATAATGTTAGTATAGGCATAAAATGTTGGAAAGTACAGTATAAATGCTGTAAATACAGTACATGTGTGTGTGTGTGTGTGTGTGTGTGTGTGTGTGTGTGTGTGTGTGTGTGTAGGTGTGTGTGTATGTATGTATGTGTGTGTATGTGTATGTATGTGTATGTATTAATAAAATATTTTTATATTTTTAAACATTAAAATATAATATAATGTTATCATTCATTTTTATTTTTAAAAATACTGATTGATATATAATAAAATTGTTGTATAAAATAATATATGATATAAAATTTTATGTAAAATTGTAAAATATGTGAGATTAAATAAATTAACATTTATAATTAATTATGTAATAAATGCAAAATTTACTTTAAAAGAAAGTAAATTAAAAATATATTAATAAATTGTTATATTTTCATATTTTCAAATTCAAGATTTACACTAAAATTATATAATAATGAATATATAATGAGAATATTTTTAATTAATGTAATTATAAACACAAAAATAATGTCTACTATTATGCACTGTAACAAAACATTTTTATTTTATATTAAAATTAAATTAATGAAACTGATTTATATTATATAAATTTATTTTATGACATTATTTTTCATTTTCAACATTATATTTATATAATATATTGTAAAACTATAGTTACTTTAATATTGGAATAAATCTTAAACAGCGGCGACAACAATGTTATTGATTTAAATTATTTGGTCACTCGTATATTAAAAAACAAAAATTACCATGCTGAATAATAGTGTAATTAATTATTTTTAAATTTAATTTTATAGTTTTCTAGATAACTGTTGTAGACTATTAAAAAAATTAATTATTAGTTGGCACAATCATCCAGCCAACATAAAATTAATTTAAAAATAACTAATAAAAATATTAGTTAAATTGATATTATTTTTAGATTTTTAATTTGCCATTTTTATATCCAATGTATAGTATAGTTAGTGAAATAATTGAAATCAATAACATATAATCCTTATCATTCCCACCGCCGCTGTTTAAGACTATACCTTAATATTGCATTAGTAATTCATTATCAAAAATAAGTAATTTTTCAATTTTTTGATATATTTATTCAGTAAACTATATAATATTTTGATTAAAACATTATTATGAAATCAATAGACATTATTATTATTATTATACTATTAAAACATTATCTCAATAGTATTAGTTATCATTAGTAAATAAAAAATTTTATGAATAACTTTGTTGTAATATTAAGGTTTGTCTATTTAATAGACTCTATTAGTTATACATTAGGAAAATATGTAAAGACAGTAAAATGTCAATAATTTAAAATGTTTATAATGTTTATATTATAGAGTATATTAATAGTAAATATCAAGATCAACAAAAATTATTTTTGAATAACAAAATGCTATAAAAAAAGGTAAGTTTCAATGACATGTCTATTGCAATCTTTAATTATTAAAACTTATTACAAATAATATTATGTAATAATTAAAGTACCGTAAATGTTAATATATATGCTAATTACTAACATAAATGGCAACATATCGTGTGTTTACTGATAATTATAAAATAAAACATTTATCATTAAAAAAACAATGCTTTGAACAAAAAAAAACTATTAACTAATAAATCCTATTCTTAATTATTTTAATGATAAATGTGATGGTTAAGAAAAAAATATTTGAATCTAAAAATAGTGAAAATATTTTACTTATTGTATAAAATTTTGATAATTAATTAGAAAGTTTTCAATTTACTAAACAACATGTCATTTAAAACAATACAAATGATCACATTTTTAATATACATTGTATTTATAAGACATTCATCGCACAGGCGTTGAACACTGAATATCGATTGCTATACTATCCTATCGTTTCCAGAGAGAGATGTTTTTGTGAGTTAACAACAGCTATCAACAGTTATTGAAGACAGTTATCCAAACCGTACATCCAGTGATGTGCTCACCAAATGCATCCCTAACTTTTAGCTTAACTTTTTTTTCTCCCAATGATTTTACTGCTATTCTCTTAATATAACTTTTTTAATGACTTTTTATGAGTTCAAATTCAATATTGTGTATATAATATGATATATACAAATAATATGTATAGTATGTTTGCTATGCTATAATTTAGTTAACATAACTATATAATTAAATTAATTGAGTCCTAAAATATTGGTAACATTATTGTCAACATTAACGACTTGTGTGCTGTAGAAAAAGATAACTATTAAAATAATGGATCCGATTTGGATGGCCAATAATACCGATTTGCCTGATTTGGCACTTTTGGACCGAAATTGGCAAACATTTCTAGTCATATTATACACCACTACGGCTATCATATCGTTGGCCAGTAATATAGTAACTATTGTAGTGCTGGTTAAAGGGGAACGACTGTCATCTGAGTTATGGAAATATCTAATCAATCTATCGGTTGCCGACATATCGATGGCCGTATTTTGTATACCATTTACATATACTATGTTTATGTTAGGCCATTGGGTGTTCCCGGTCTGGTTGTGTCCGATCGTACAGTTCACGCAAGTCTGCTCTGTCCTCATCTCTGTATATACACTTACACTCATCGGTATTGATAGGTATGTGCTGTCAAATAATAATTTCTATATATTTTATGTAATTTAATATATAAATATATTGTTTCAAACACTGGTTGGTGATTATCAATAGTTACTTAAACTAATTATGTATTATACAAGTAGTTGATTGTAGTCGTATGAATCACTCAAACATTTTTTTTATTAATTTTAATACATATAAATTAATATTATTATTAAATCGAAAAAAATATATTATTATATTATCAATGATTATCAATAAATATATTAGTAAGTGTTAGCAAACATGTCGAGCATAACATGTATAGAAATATCAATTTATAGTAATAATCATTGAGTGGCCACTCATTGTTTAATCAGGTTTTTTACCAATTTGTTTGTAAAACTCTTAACATATTATAATAGTAATATTAGTTTATATCAATGATATCAATTTGCATCAAATAATAATATTGAAAAGATCTAATTAAGTTTACTTAAATAAAAATTATGAATAAATCAGTTGAGAATTCTAGTTAGCATTTCCAAAAAAAAAAACTTATAAACTAAATCTAATTGTTGTGTCTTTATAATGTTTATCTTGTTTAACAACTAAAATTTTATAATTAGCAAATTTCTAATAACAAAATTTAAAACTTTGTTGAAAATAATAAATAAACTATTTTGACAATTTATTTTTTTAAATAAAAAAATTTCTGATTTGTTTAATATATTCATATATTAAATAAGTATTATAAAATGATTTATCTATTGTCTCTAAAATGATAAATTACAAATATTTACGAAATGGTTTTTAGCAAATAAATAAAAAACTGCTTATATAGATTATGATTAACTCTTTTGTCATTTTTTAAACAAAATTAATATCACTGTAAATAACTATAAATTTTTTTTCTTAATAACATTAAATATTTTTTTTATTTTTAGTATAACTTGAATAATATTGTGTTTATTAGAATATTTAATTATCACAAATATATAAATTTTACAATCCATTTAAGTACTAGTAATACATAAAACAATAGCACAATATTGAAAACAATATTAAATTTAAGTATAAAAAAAATTATTTAACAATAATTATTTTTTATTAAATCAAAATGATTTTTAATTTTGATGTAATGAAACTAATGTAATGAAATATTAATATTATTTTAAAATTTATTAAATTTACGTTTATATATTGATGTATATTCAATAAACATAACTTAAATGTCAAATGTTATTATTTTTTAATATTAAATTCTTAGAATCTAAACATTAAAAATTTTTTAACTTAAAAATATTATATTAATATTAAAAACAAATTATAAATTTATATAATAAAATTACTGTTTCTACTTTCAAGTTATATTTTGTCTTATCTATAATATATCTTTATGATTTTGTTTTATTTTTATTTAATATATTGTATTTATTATAAAGTACAGTACACATATTATATAGATTTTATAGATAATTTTTAAAAATTGTTTAAAAAATATTCTTCGACTAAACAAATTATCATATATTAATCCAAATTAATTTAATTATACAGTAAAAAATATTGAAAAATAAAATAAAATAATTTAATTTAATTTAATTTAATGCAAAATATTTAGAGTACAAAATAATCACGAATTACTTATTTGTTTATTTAAGAAAATTTCATATTAAGCAAATGTATATTATATAGAATATTCAGTATATTATATAAAATATTTGCAAAACATGGCAAATATCTATATAAAAACAGTTTTATTTATAGTATTTAGGAGACTATTTGACTATAGATTTGTGAGTAAATAATTATAATAATGCACTCAATTATGTCTTTAATAGTTACCAATTGTTGATTATTTAATAATATTGTTTGTTTAAACTTTACTTAGAAAATAGTAAACAACCTACTATAAAACAACATTTTAATTAAATACATTTTAAAATAAAAGATTTATATAAATTAAAAATAAATTAGTATCATGTATCCATTTTATTGATTGGTAAATGAATATTAGAAATAAAACTCTAGAAAAAAAATTTAATTAATTATTTATATAAAATTTTATCCTTTTAATTTTTATTACTTATAATTTAATAAAAACAATTCTACTTATTAATACTAATAATATTATTAATATTAGAAAAAATAAAAATATTAGTAACAAAATTAACATAGAAATCTTATAAACAAATATTTTATTTTTAAATTGTGACAATTAAATTATAAAAAGATTAATTAATTATGATGTTTAAAATCCAATTGCCTTTAAATGAGTTTTTATTGATTATTTGGTTAGTTTATCAATTTAAAGTTGAATGTAAGTTTAACTGATTATAAATGAGCTTATTATAACAAATATATATATATAATTAATTTAATATATAAAAGTAAACAATTAGTTTAATAATCTTTTTTTATTCACTAAAAACCCAATTTAATGTTTTTATTTCAAATTAGGGGTGATTAACATATTACATTCGCACTTTTTAAAGAAACATAAACCTCCCCTATGTTTGCAATTGTTAGCATATAGTTATTTTAAAAAATTACGTTTGAATATCCCTAACCCCTAACCCCCACCTCTAAGAAATAAATATATATTTATAAATAATTTACATTAATGAAGGCCTTATACGATGACTTTGAGTTTGACATCAATTAATTTAAACAAAATTTTAAATCTTTTCAAATTTAAAATTTTAATGAATATTTTATTTTCACTTTTAAAATATTATAAAAACTAAAAATAAAACTCTATTCAAACTATTTTTTGAAAAGATTAACTTAACCCTTAAATTATTTAAATGCAAACGTTCTTAAGCTCAATACCCCCCTCGTTCGCAAATATTTGCTTTGGCTGATACCTACTCCCCATTTACGAACATAATATGTGAATCACCCCTTTTATGATATTAATTTGACATTATTAATTTGATATATAACATTATTAAGTTTATTATTTTATTAAAATATATTAAATTTTATATTGTATAGTATAATACAATTTCAATTTGTCAATAGTTGTTAGTTGAATTAAAATTATATTTAGTTGTGATTTCATTTAAATTTTAATAAAAAAATATAATTGTATATATATTCTGTATTTTATCAAATTAGTTAAAATACAATGGAATTAATTTTTTTATCACACAATTGCTGTCATAGAAGTGAACATAATATTATATAAGTTATTTGTTATACATTAAAAAGCTTTTAATAAATATTATTATTTTTCTATAACAATATTTAATAAATTTTAAGCTGATAATGATTTCTATTTTTGAGTTTAATTTCTAATTTTTTATATATATTGAAAAAAGAAATTATTTTATATTTAGCTTTAAAATTAAAGCTATTTACAACAGTTTATTTTAAATATTGTATAAAATATATTTATTTTTTATGTTATTTTATTGTATTTAATTTTATATTATATTATATGTATTCCTGTGTAATATAAGCATAGTATAAGACGTAAATATTATTAAATCCTATTTTCTTTTAATAAAATATTAATGTTTAGAAAACTGTTTAAAAAATATATTTGGTTTTTAAAACAATCTTATAGTTGGATATCAATATATAAATAAAATACAGTATTAAATAACAATATATTTTTTAACAAATAAATTAAATATTTTCTATGATTAAATAAATTTATTATATTTATATATTAATTTATAACAAAATATTAATTAATATTTAAAATCAAAGTAAAATTGTTTGAACTATTGTACTACAAATACACAATAATAACAATTGAGATAAATATAATGAAATATCAATACTTATTTTACTGCAATATATACAGTAGTATAACACTATATATCTGTAATATACTGTAATAGAAATATATTATTTAACTTACAATATTGTATAGTGTTTTTGTTATTACTGTACAATACTATTGATAAGATAACATCTAATAATGTGATAAAACCTAAATTTTGTGTAATACAAATAGTCGGTCAAACTAGAAATTTATTAGAAATAAACTTCTATAGAAATTTTACTTCATTATTATATTATGGGATCACCATATCTACTATATATATATATTAGTGTATTAGAGTGTAATACAACTGTATATTAGTGAGAAATAATATAATATATATTTACTAAAATATACACTACAGTACACTACTATACAAATGGGATCCCTATATATTTAAAAATATAAAAAAGTTGATGTCACATATTATATTAAATTATTGTATGTTTAACTTACTTTTACATTACTTATTAGCAATAATTATACTTATAGTTTTTTAAAAATGTTAATAATTATTTAATAATATTTTTAGTTTAAAATAATTAGATTACTTTTTTTACTTTAATTATTTATTAAAATATTAAGAATAATATATAATTATTACTTGTAATTATAATTTATTTTAAATAGATAACAAATATCAAGAGAATAAAATTAATATAGGGATCCCATTGATAGTAATTTCTTTTAGAAATTTTCTAGAAATTTCTTTATTATTTTAATAATTTCTCATTTTTGCCAACACTAAATACAAATCCCTTATACTGTATATATATTAATACAATATATACAATATATACCATATATTTAGCAAATCATTTTTTCACTAACAGTTTATCCATAACATCCATCAAACGTATGCTTATTTCACGTAAATTATAACTCTTATAGTATACATATAATATATATATAGATTTTTATTTTATTTTATGTTAGATTCAATTTTATATATTTATTTAAAAATTGTATACTACTGTCTTAATTGTAAACAAATAAAACATCATTTTTTATAAACAAATATTGATTAAAATAAAAAAAATTAGTGTATTTTTTTATCTAAAATAATATTTCTTATAATTTAACAGTTACTAATTATTTTTAATAACCTTTAGTATTTATATAAATTAAATGTATTTAAAATACATAATTTAATAGTATTTATTTTTGTAATTTATTTTTATTATTAAAAATAATTTTAGATTTAGCAAATTCTTAATATTTATGAAAACTACTTAAATTGTATAATACATATTAGTGTTGAAGTTAATCTAAATATTTATTTAAAAATTTTATTGTTTATTATATAAAGAAATTTTTGTAAATATAATTTGCAAGTATTATTATAATAATATTATTGAGTAAATTATATTTAAAGTGTTATAAACATTAATTAAAATTATTTCATTAAATTTTTGTTTTTCTTTTATAAATCTAAAAATATTAATATAAATTTAAGCACAAATATATATATATTGAATTAATATTCTAATAATTTATCAATTTTTTTAAATAATTTATAAGAATATAATAAATAATATAATAATAATAATTGATTCAATAACTAAAAATATCACTTAATCTTTATTATACTTGTCTTAGATAATAGAAAATATGACTTTTGTTTTACAGATATTTTGCGATATTATATCCGTTTCAAACATCATCTTATCTCAAATCACATAAACTATGGCTGGTGTGCGCCATATGGATGGTCAGTATAGGTGTGGGATTAATACCGTACTATAAGACTGAGGCCGTGAGGTTTGCCTACGGAAACGATACATATTATGACTGTCGGGAAGTTTGGGACGAAGAAAGTGGCAAAAAATATACACTTTTTATATTTATTATTACGTTTGCATTGCCTATATTTATCCTGACGTTTGTCTATACATCCATTTGTTGTTATATTCTCCGACACAATACTCCCGGCAATCCCGACCGCGTTCGTGATTTGGCCCAATGGAAGCTCAAAATTAAGGTATTTTTACTATTAGTATAATATTATTATGTAATATTATACCTGTCTTTTAGTGTTATTAATATTATTTTACTTATTATTTACTTATTATTTACATATTATTTAATTTACATTACTTTCTTATTTCTACTGTATTTATTGTTTATTGTCTATTTAAACAAAAATTATTAAATATATTTTGACCAAAGCTGTAAATAAATATTTTCGTTTACATATTATATAATTATGTACATTATATTAGTACTACTACTGTAAATATATTGTAGTTTTTATATATAATATTAGATAATAAGATAATAGTTTTGATAATTATCATTGTAAAAGCTTTTTATATTACAATTATAATATAATTTTTTACTAAATATACAAAGTAATAATACATTACATTTATACAAAATAATAATAATTTTTAACATTCATTACAATAATAAAACAGTATAACTTTTTTATATTATAAATATTTATAAAAAATTATAACTTATTTTGCCTTTAGTAAAAACAAATCTATTTATTATAATTATATCGAAGTCAAAACGTGGCGACAATAAAATTTAATATATTTTTTCCAAATACATAAAAACATATATATTATTGACTAATAAAACTGATTTAATTGTATGACTCACATACTGTACAAATATAACACAATAATTGTAATAAAGACTAATTCAATTAAATAAAATGTTAAATATTTGACATTTTTACTATTAAAGGCTAAATGCAAAATCATTGTTTAAAAATAGTATCAAAGATTTTTAATTGTAAAATTAGATTTAATAAATTTAATTTAGACTTAATATAATACTATTTATTATAAATAAATAGTATTAATAATATTAGATAATGTTTTATGCTTAAATAAATTGTATAGACGTAGGCGTATAATAATAACTTATTATATTTTTATTATTATTGATAAGTTGATGGCAATTGAAATAAACATCAATTGAGAAATTTATTTCATTAATATTTATTTTGATTATTAACTTTTTTTTATCAATCAATGAATAGGTGGTTAAGATGTTGATAACAATAGTGATACTGTTTGCTGTTTGTTGGCTACCGATCCATATCTTTAATATAATGGTTTGGTTTTTTCCGCCGACGAGTATCAACACTTCGCGGACGCTTTACATGACATATGTCTTCAGTTACTTCTTCTCACACTTTCTTTCAATGAGCCATTCATTTATTAATCCGTTTGTTTACGGCTTTATGAGCGAAAATTTTAAGGTATTTTCTATGAAATCATGTTTATTATGCAAACAATTAACCGGAAACACTATCAAATTGCAAGCTAACTGTCCACCAAATAATATACCATTATATACTATGGACTGAATAACTTTTAATATAAAAACAAAACAATCCTATTATGTTTGCCTTTCACTATCAATAACACACACACACTTGACTTATATTGTTTAAGATTGAATAATACAATAACTTTGAGATTATTAATTCCCAAACAAACAAATGAATAACTAATAAAATTATTATTGAAAATGACACCAAAAAAAATTTTTGCTTATAATATAATATATAAATGTCTTTTTCATACATGAAATCAAAGTCAAGTTTGAGACGACTTGTGACGAGAATGTGGTCTAAACGCAAACATATGGACACAGAATTGGATAAATACAGTGCTTCTCATCAAACACAGGAATTGACATCTTTGAGGATCAATACCTTATGAACAGACAAATTATTATTATTATTATTATTACCAAAATAGTTGACAATAATTGTAACCAATAGACATCAGTGTTGAGCAAATAAACAAGAATTTTTTCTGGAAATATTCTAGGAATCCTTTTTTAGCTAAAATAATTTTAAATTAACAATTAGGGATAATTGTGTTAAATTTAAAGTTTAATGAAAATATTTTACACACAGTATTATAGTTATATTAATACTTATATCATAAACAATTTTTATTATTATGTTTATTAAACATTATAGAAAAATTTTCAAAATAAAAATTAAAAACTTTAGTGGAAATAATAAATTAGAAAAATGGAAATTCACAACTTTTTATTAATAAAAAAAACTTTCCGTAAACATATAGATATTTCTTTGTTCAAAATATATTATTGTTAGATTTGATTAAAATTAAATAAAATTGATTAAAGTTATTTACAAAATAAGATTTATTTTGTGTTTCTAAAAAAATTTTCTAAATAAATTCCTATTTGCTTAACATTGATTGGTATAACATTTTATTGTTAAAATATTTATAAAAGAAATTCAATTCAATTGTTAAATATAAGCAAAAAGCTTATTATTATTATTATTATTATTATAACACAACCAGACATAACCACATATACACACAAAAACATATATACAGTATATATTGATATACTCTATCGTAAATTTTTGCTTTTAATTCTATAAAATACAATATAAAATAATTTTTTATATAAAATCATGAGTCAAATAGAAAAATAATTTATTTTATTATTATTAATGTGTTAAAATCATTTAGATTATTATCAATTATAATTAATCATTATACTGTACATGTACTGTATATATATATATATACATTTTTATATATATACATACCGTTATACAATAAATTATAATTTTTATTGATTTTATGTAATGTCTGTACCTATAATTGTTTAAAAATATTTATTACATTTAATAGTATTTATTACATTTAATAATATTATATACTAAATCACTTTGTAAATATAAAATTTAAATATTCATTTTTATTGTTTGTTGATTTATTTTATATAATTTTATCTACAAATATATATTATAATTAATTTTATTTTTTATATTTTAAAAATTGAACATTCCAATATTTGTTTTTGATTTATATTTATAAAATAATTTTTAATGTTAGATAAATAATTATCATTAATTAAAATTTTATATTTGTAGTTTATATCTATTATTCAATATTATATATTGTACTTAATTTAAATGTGTATGATATTATTTTAATTACATAAAAATATCTAGTTTTATTTGAGTGTGAAATAAAAACAATTTTATAGTTAACAAATTATGTTAATATAATTTTGTTTATTTTTATTTTATTATGCTTTGTATTTTATGTTAAGTTTACTAAATGTAGAATAATTTATAAAATATTTAATAATTATGATAATATAGCTAATAATAATTATAGATTTTAATTAGTCATTATTAAAAATATTTTCATACTATATTTTAGTATTTTTATTTTATCATATTAAATTATTATATAATACTTATATTTTATATATAAATAAATTACAAAATATATCGTTATATTTTTTGTATGAAATAAGTTTATTATTAAATATATTAATAACTAATTCATAGATGCATTACTTCGAGTTATAATTGATTTAAATGTTACACCTTTTAGGTATATAAAGTACTGTAATATAGTATAAGATTTTTTTTGTGATTGGGTTAATACGTGTCACTTATAATACTGTATATACAATACACACATCAATATATAGAAAATTAATTACTTTCAGTGGGTTTTTAGTTAATTAAACATTTTTACCATTAATTATTATTTGTCGAAATTAAAACTTTAACTATTATTTTATTATTAATGTAAAAAGTTTGTAAAAATAGTTTTTTGTTTTCTATGTGTAATTAATGTATTATTAATTGATTAATAAATTTTTTATATTTATTTACATAAAATATGTTCTATTTATAAAAAGTCTTTAAATATAGACATTTCAAATAAATAAAAAAAAACAACAAAACATTTATTTGCGATCTTAAGTAAAGTTTAAAGCATATTATCATACGGTATGTAATAAAAAAATATATCATGTATAGAGAATAATAATATTATTAATAATTTTTTTTAAATAATAATAATAAAAACAGTTTTATATTTTCATATGACATTATTTGTTATTTATATAATACATTACATGTTATATCAAATACAACAAAAGATTTAAAATACTTTAAATAAATTTTCCATCAATTGATGAATATATGATTATAAATGATATATTCAAATATTATATGGCATATAAATTATATAATATATACTGTCTATTACAATGCAATATGCTATATATTTTATTTAAATTAATCTAGTTCAAATAATGAATTAAAGGTATATATTATAAGCCAATTTTATTTAACGTTTATTATCAAATAATTGCGTTTAAGTTTATATACAAACCATTAATTTAATTAAATAAAAGGTATAATTTATTACTTATATTATTATATACAGTATTTATACATTGAACAAGACTAGCATATAAAATAAATTAACAGTTTTAATGCTTATTTATTTTATTATATATAAAACAATAATAACAACTCAAATATATCATTTATAAAGCCATTTATATTTTATATAATATAATAATACAATATTATTAAAGTAAACAAAATATAAGTTTAATAATAAAACATTTGAATTTTATTTGAATTATTATTATAACTTTATTTAAATTATAATAATTAAACAGTATAAAATTATATTATAAATCCAAAATTATGAATGTTTAATTTAAAAAATAGTATTTAAAAATATCTCTTTATTTTTGTAAACTTATATAATTTTATTATTCAAAATTAATATTATTAATACAGTATATTAATGACAAGTGATAAGAGATTTAAGTATTAGCTTTGCTTATATTAAATAAATATTAGACTAATGTATAATTAATTATCAAATACTGGTACACATATGGATAAATCTATTAAAAGCTTTTTAAAAAATTGTTATTTAGTTAATTGTTATTAATTAACCGCTAATATCACATTATTTTTAATAAATTAAAAAAAATAATTTTCTAGAAAATATAAATTAAAATATTTTTGCATATATTACTACAATTCACAGATATAAATATTTATCAATTACAATTAATAAATAATGTACATGATATACTGTAGTTGATTTTACAAATAAATAATATATAACTTATATAAAAACAGCAACAAATAAAATTTGATAATTAATGTAATGATTTTTTAAATAAATAAAACAAAATCGTTAGCTCAACAAGTTTTTTATTAGATTTTTTTTAGCATTAAGTGCTTTCATTAATCAAATAGTTTTCCCATTAAAACACAATTTGCCTTTGATTAGAGTCACGCATCTAATCTGAAATGAATTTTTATTTAAATAAAGTTAATATAATTTTCAAGTATTTCTTGAAAATAGTATTGATTTTGATATTATTAAAATGAAAACAAAAATTATTTCTATATATCTACTGTACTGTATTGCTGAATTATTTATAATTTATTATTTAAATAAAATAATTAATTTGTGTATAAAAATCTAGTTTGTAAACTTATATTATATTTTAAATATAATGTCTTATCACTAAAAAACTATATTATAAATCTAAGTGATAACAATATGACTAAAACAAGTGTCCGAAAAAGATTAAACATATTAACAATTGTTGGTATAGTTGTGACAGCCATCGGAGGCATACCTTTGATAGGATTCAACAAAATTGTGAGCATTGGTCTAAAAAGTCAAATGCAGATCAAAGATGACAACATCAATGATATGACAGCCAATTGGTTGGATCTGCCGTTAACCATAACCACCAGAATCTATGTCTGGAATATTGAAAATCCCAATGAGTTTCTCAACGGTGCCAAACCTATACTCAAAGAGATGGGACCGTATGTCTGGAAGTGAGTCCATATATACAGTATATTATCTGATAACTGATATTAAGTACTTATATATATACAGTATTGTATATAAGTTAATACTGTCTTAAATAGATTTTTCATTCAAGTGAATTACAGTCTAAAAAATGTTATTTCCATTGAATAATAATTGATTTTTTAATAATTCACTACACGTTAAAATTTAGCCCAGTATTTGTGTTATATAATCATCAGTCAGTAATGTTTGAAATAAAATGTCTTTATTTGATTTTTTAATACAAAGTTTTTTTAGTATAATACTATAGTAATAGTAGATTCCCTTAAGTTAAATCAATATTTTAAATATTATAAAATACTTGAATATATTAAAAGTAATATATATATAAAATATTTAATAGTTAATCGTTTTTTGTGGCTTAAGACTAGTAAATGTCAAATATTGAGTAAATTTTTTTTTAAAGAAAAATATTTGAATAATTTAACTAAAATCTCATACACTAAATGATAATAATGATACAGTATCTGTATAATAATAATTCAAATTTATATATAAAAGATCAAATGTTATGATAACAATTTTTTTAATACTGTATTATTTTAAAGATGCTTTTGATATTAAAACAACAAAATACTATATACAGTATATTATAATATAAATATTTTTTCAATTTTCAAGACAACATCGTTGGAAACAAGTAATCCGATGGTCAGCTGATATGCAAACCATCAACTATTGGTCACTCAAGTCGTTCATATTTGATGGCCAAACAACTAATGGTAGTCTCAGTGATAAAATTAATGTTATAAATGTCCCAATTTATGTGAGTTTGCATTTATAAGGCATTATTATTTTTTATACTTAAAAATACTATTCATATTTAATTTTATTGTTATATTTTGTTATTACTATTATACATACCAACAAATGTCAAGTCTATGGCTTATATAATCAAGAATCTCATCGATCGGATGCCAATGTCATTCACGATCGCACCGTTAGCTTTTGGTTTGATTAATATGTTGTTTGCATCTCATGGCGAGCGACTCATTAAAGAGCTAACTGTATGTCAACTCATTGAGGGCTATCCGGTGTCTATACTGGAGACCATTGAGACGATCACAAAGCCATTAAAATTAATGGGAATCCAATTACCATATAATGAAATGCCTAACAATAAGTTTGGTTTATTATATGCAAAAAATTATACCAAAGATGGTCCCTATGAGGTCTATACGGGTCAGTCAGACTCAAGCGATAGGTTCCTCAAAATTGTCAGCTATAAGAAAAATAAGTATATATTTTTTTTACTTAATAAATGCCCAGAATATACATTAAAATAATATTAATTTCTAAACATACAGTTTTTTATAATATTTGTTTATTCATCTATAAAATAATTTTTCTACATTTTTATTATACTAATAATATTAAATAAAATAATTGATATATCAAAGCTTTTAACAATAAATTATTGAGATTATTTAATTTGAGTATACTAAATTATATGTTGAATTTAATAGCTATTATAGTTTAAATCATTGACATACTGTAGTAGTTATAACAATAATTTAGTTTGATTACAGTTAATACATTGTTCCAAAATTATTTTGTTTTTAAAACTTATTTAATTTTATAGTTAATTATTATTTGAAAAGTTAATTAATAATAATAAATTCATTATAAACAGCATAAATTAAAAATTTTTTAAACTTATTTTTATAGTATACGCAATACATTGTAAATAAATTTTATATTTATATTTCAAAAATTCTTTATTGACAATGTAATAAAATAATAAATAACAACATATTATATCGATAAAACTAATATATAAATATTTTAAATATTTTTTATAAAATCTTCAACTTTCAAAATATTTTTCATGTAATACTTAAAAAGTTTTCAGTTTTATTTAATATCTCATAGTATATTGATGTTATTAATATAGAAAAATAAAAATATAAAAAATACTATTATATAAATGACTTGAAAAATTTATAATACTGTTCAGGATCATGTTATTTTATTTAGTTTTATAGTACAATATTATTTACGATAAAAAAATGTATTGTTTGATCAGCTAAAAGCTAACTTATTTGAAAAAATAAAGAAACAAAGATAAAAATAATGTTTTGTATTTTACACAAAAATAAAACAAATCTACAATAGTTTACTAAATAAAAGATTACTATAGTTTTATTTTAATAATCTCTAAATATTTGTAAAAGTGAAATGATTTTACATTTGTTTATAACGTAATACAATACCAATAATTGACAGACAATTAGATTACTATAGCGATCGTTACTGTAATCTCATGAACGGCACGGACGGCACAACTATGGGAACGTTACTATCGAGAGATGATATCATCTATTTATTCAATGGCGACGCGTGTAGGTATGGGTCAATCAATTCAAAATAATTTTTTTAATTAAATAAAATTATTATACAATTTATTAACATTTAACAAAAAATAATAATAAATGATTTTCAGATCATTATACATCCAATATAAACAAGATATAACAGTTAAAGGCATACCTGCCTATCGTTTTGTTTTCCCAAAATCCTTGTTTGCCTCCCCGGCCACTAATCCCGAAAACAAGTGTTTTTGTCCAAATAATTTTGATGACTGCGACGGCATCTTTCATCTGTCATACTGTCGAAATGGTGCCCCACTGGCCCTGTCGTTCCCGCATTTGTTACACTCTAGTAATAAAATAAGGCTTAATATTGAAGGGATGGCACCTGATTTGGAAAGGCATCAAAGTTTTTTCGATATCCAACCGGTATTTGTTTCAAAATTAATTTTCTGTGTGCTCTGTATTGTATTAGTAAACAGTATTAAAGTAATATTATGTTTCATTTTGTTATTCAATTCAAGTTATATTTAGTATTACAAGAAATTGTTAAATTCAATACATTATTGATCTAATACTATATATTCTATAAACTATTGTATAGAATGTATATTTTTGTAATTTTCTAAATTACATTATATAAACATTTCAATTAGACATTAGTCACAAAAAAATTTTAAATAACTAAAATCTATTTGAAATATTACTTTTAAAACATTATTTATTTAAAAAACAATAAAATGAAGAATAGATTAAATAAATAGATTAAAAACATTAATTTTTTTTATTTAATAATCCAATTTTATAAGCATAATAAATACAATTGTTATAATAATATTTATTTATTGCAAGTTTATTATAAAATTAAATCTAATTACATTTAAAAGTTTAACATTTATACAACTTTTTATTGTCTTTTATATTACATTGTATTTATTACAACAAAATTATTTAAACAACTTAAAAATTAATTAATAAAATTAATGAATGCAAAAATAAAACAAAAATTTAGAGATTACATAACAATTTTAATATTATATTAACCAAAAATACTGTATATGTTATGAAGACATTAGGATCACCACTGAGATTGTCTGGCAAATTGCAGATTAATATATTAGTGAAACCAATTTCAAACATACCGTAAGTTATCATAAATTATAAATATTTATTTTCAAAACATTTCAAATGAGAATATTTTTAACCTTAAATTAAATCTTTATTTATTTAAATTTTATTTATCAAAACCAATAGTGCATTTCGTAGTATAAGACAATTGGTTTTGCCTTTTGTTTGGATGGAAGAGGTATTCAAAGTGTTATAAAATTATTTTACTTTTGTGTTTAATCTATATATAGATTTGATTTTTTTAATACTTATTTTCTTATTAATTCTTTGAAAAATAATTTAATAGAAAAATTTGAATAACAAAGAATATTCTAAATATATTGAAAAACATTTTTAAATAGATAACAGTTTTGTCACAATAATTATTTCTGTTTATGTCAGGCTATTATAATAATAATATTTAAAGGCATTTAACTTAAAATTAAATTAATTTATATATTCTACATGTGTATAGTATTATAATATACTAGTATATATAATAAATAGAGTTACATATTTTTACAAAATAAAATCAAAATAAATTATTTTAAATATATAAAAAAATATTTACTTAAATAATAAATTAAAAACATTTATTAATTTTAATATATTGAATAGTTTATGGAAATTGAAGGAAATATTGAAGACAAGATTAAAATGGCTACGATATCATTCATTGTCATCAAAATTGTATTAATTGTTATTTCAATAATTGGTTTAACTATTAGTTTTAGTGCTATAATCTATGGCTTCATTCATAGAAAAGATGTAAACAAATAATTTAAATATAAAATTTATATTAAAAATTTATATATATTTTTAATTACAGATCAATTTCAGTGAAAGTAGGGAAACCCTAATCACCAATAATGGAGAAACAAAAACAATAAGTCCTACAAATGACTCAATAAATCAGGAAAAAGAAAATAAATCTATGGTTGGGATCAATAAACATGAAGAAGAGGAAGAAGAAGAAGTGAATCCAAATGCAAATATCAGAATCAATTCAAGCGATATATATAAGGCAACAGTCAGTAAAATACTGGTGACAACTGAGACACAGACAACACCCCCAGAGAGTGAAACCAATAAAGTCAATGTCTATACAATAAGTCAATCAAATAATGATATTATTATTGATAATATAAGTAACATTGAAAAAATCATTCAAACCGATAGCAAACAACCAAAAATTGGTGCAAACTATTCATTGAATATCCATAAAAATCATTCATTTCACACATTCAATACATCTACTCCGGGACCAGTTGAGTGATATATACATAAATATCATTCAAATCATTCCAATAGTTAATTATATATATAAATTAAATATTTATTTTAACAATTATCATATGATTTGAGTATTTTATTATAAATGTACAGGTATGAATTCAATGCTATTGTATGTGACATTAAACTTAATATAAGTACTGTATAACAAATATTAAGCAAACATTAGTTAAATATTTAAACAAATTAATCGTATATTGTATTATAGTTTAAACATTTCTAAAATAATGATCAAAAAGAGTTTAATTTTGTTTAATCAGATGTTTGTACTCATTATAATTTTGTCATATTTTTGTTGTATACAAATTTATTTATTATAATTATATTTTGAAAATGTAAAAATATGTAAAATTATAAAGCTGATATATGGTTATATCAATATATTCAAAAAATTACCTAGTCTATATTTTACTTTATACTAAATAATAGAATATCATTATATAGAATACCTTTTTCTTAATTAATAAATATAATTAAGTTTATTACAAATTAATATATGATTAAAATAAAGTCTATACAAATTATTATAAAATAAACACATTAAATATTTCTCTTACATTATAATAAACAATAATGTTTCACAATTGCACACAATATTTTAAAATATACAAAAAATTATTGTTTTAAAATTTTAACTTTTAAATATTTTATATAAAATTAATTAAACATATTACATATACATTGTATTAATACAAATATTAAAATGCACTAAAAATATTTTTTATAAAATATAAATAGCCTGAATAAATAAAAGTATTTTAGTTTAATATCATATTAAAATTTTTTATTTAATTCAATGTTATTTAGTCTATTTTATTTTATTTTAATAATATGTTAAAGAATAATAATTTTAAATGTATTGTAATATATCAGTATATAATTATCAATAAATAAAATGTTTAATAAAAATCTTCAATTTTTTTAGAAAAAAATAAATTATAGAAAAAAATATTATGTTATATTTAAAAAATTATGTTAAAGTGTTTGATTTTATTTTTAATTATGACAACTATTATTAACGATATAATTGGAGGTCAGCTATTTTTTTAAAAAATAGTTAAATGTATTTTTACAACTATTTAATGAATTAAATAAAAGCTTTTATAATAGTAGAAAATATTTTTGTTTTCATTTACAGAATCAAATAATTTCATAACATTTAAGCGACAAAATAATGGTCAACAAAATCAACGAAATCAAAGAAACCAACAAAAATCCCGTAAAAATTCCCGAAGCAGTCAACGGGCGTCCGGCACAACAACACCTCTCTGGCCTAATGGTCTCGTCTACTATCGTATAGATAACTCATTGTGTAGGTATACAATAAATTTGGATAACAATTTAATTATATATTATCCTCACTTTCATTAAACTACTTGTGCAGCGAGTCATCGACGGCTTATACAAAATGCTATGAAAAACATTGAGTCCCGTTCTTGTGTCAAATTTCGACAGCGAACTAATCAAAACAATTACATACAATTTTTCAAAGGGGACGGGTAGGTCTCAACTGTCAACTTTGAAAAACTTTACTTAATTACTTAGACAACTATCCTATTTTCTAAACAGATGCTACTCGACAGTGGGCAAAGCGGGTGGCCGTCAATATCTATCGCTGGGCACCGGATGTCACGATATCGGGAGCGCAATGCATGAGATACTACACGCACTGGGCTTCTATCACGAGCACATGAGATCGGACAGGGATCAGTTTATTACTATTCATTGGAATAATATAGAGAATGGTATGCAGGATCAGTTCCAGAAGATTTCGACAAAGAAAAACAAAATTTACACAAAATTTGATTACAACTCTATTATGATTTATGGAAATACAGCTTTCAGTAAAAATGGCAAAAATACTATGACTGCCAAAGCAAAGGGCGTACGACTGATTGAGTCTCACTTCAAGAGACACTTGAGTCCACTCGATGTACAAACACTTAATCTGATGTATAAATGTAATAAATAATGATATGAAGTATCGTTTTTATAGTTATTCAATATATGATATATTGTATGTAATGAAACAAATAATAAAATAACAAATATATTACTGAAGTATGTAAATAACTATTCAATGATTATATTAATGCAATAATTATATTTTTGATTAATATAACTTTATATAGTATTTACACTTTTGTTTTTTTAATATAACGTTATCAAATTATATTACAAAAAAATATATTCAATTATATATATAAATATATATATACCGATATTTAATATAATAATAATCTTATACTGTATATAAATTTTAAATATCCTACTAGTGTTTGTAGAAAAAAATTAAGTTATTATCTTTAGTTTGTATGTGAAATATTGAATTGTCAGTTAAAAAATAGACTTGAAATTATGAAATACTAAATAATCAAATTTTTATAAAATTATATTTGTCTAAAAATAAACTGTTAATTGAAAAGATATTAGATACCAGCAAAATCTAAATTATATTTTTATTAACTATCAAATATACTGTAATACTGGTATATAAATTTACATTATACTGTATATACTCATTAATTGAGTAATTATTTTCTACTGTATATGCATTAAACATAAGGATGGCTTAAAATTAGATTTTAGAAATAGATTATATCATTTTGAATATACTGTATATGTGGTTACAATTAAGTTAATAGAGTAATGTACATATTGTGAAATATATTATTTTTAATTGGAAAATTTTAATATTTAATTACATTTACATAAGCTATCAGTTATGTGCCATTTTTCTACATAAATTAATATTTTAATAATTATAAAATATACACAAAAAATATTATTCAACTGAAATATGACACAATAATATATTTACAGCTTTTAAAATAATTTTTATATGCTAACTAAAAAATTAGGCAATATTGTAATTTAACCCTGTCTAATAATACTAAGTGAGTATTGCGAAACTATTATTAAAGTAATTGTACAAAAAATTGTTCATCAAAATGACATTTGCTAACTAATAATAACCATAACATATTATATTTATTTTTATTTTTTTTTTGAAATTATTTTTTATTAAAAAATATTGACATCAAGTAAAACTTTGCATTAGTTTATTACATATTTTACATTTACATTACATTACAGTTTATTACACTAATTTTATAAAATTTATCATTAATTGTCAATTATCTATTTTTTAAATTTTTATTTAAAAAGTCATCTCATTATAAAATATTGATTTGTCAAATGCATTGATAATATTGTTTGATTGTGATTATAAATGTAATAAGCTTATAATTAAATTAATATTATTTAACATTTGTTTTAAATAATATTTATTTATATTTATCATATGATCGTTAAATTGGTTACTTTAAGCAAAAATAATAAGACTAATGCAATACTAATTGGGATTTAAATGTTTAATATTAACGGGATATACATTATGTACTGAATTTCATGTATTATACTATTTATATTTCGAAATAAAAATTATACAGTATAATTTAGCATAAATTATAATGTATAAATATTACTTATTTTTGCAAACGTGTCTATATCAATTATCCTAGATACTTTTTAAAAATTTTACATATATATACTGTATATATTTTCTATATAAAAATATAATCTTAAGTATCTTTATATCTAAGCAAATATTATTCATGGTGAAATAAAATTAATTATTTAACAAAATTATTATTTTTTATAATATTGTATTAAACTATTCAGAAAGTATAAAATATTTTTCTATTTTTAGTACTTTTAGTATTAATATAAAATAAATAGCGCTTAAACATACAAATCAACAATAATTGTTAAAACAAATGGCTAAATATTTTTATTATTTTTATTTCAAAGATGATGTACAGTTAACTAGTTTTTTGTTGTCATATGATTATTGTTTTTTAAACTAAACAATAAATCGCAAACATATTCATAATTTTTTATGGTTTGTTAGTTATTCATTATAATTATAATATATACTGTATTTTTAATTTATATTATTATAATATTGTATTTTAAAAACAACTTTTAAAAACTCATTTTATTTAGTTTTGAGTTTTGGATCAAATGCTAATTATTAAGTGAACCGAAACACTATTACTACTATTTTAGGCCTAAAAGTTTGCCAAACATTTACACATTATTTTATATATAATAATAATATTTGGCTTTTTATTATCACACGAATTTAACACTTAAATATTAAATACCATATTTTTTATAAACAAATTCACCTCTGATTTAATAATTTCTAAAATTAGATAAAAAAAATTAATTCATTATAATGTCTGAAAAAAGCTCATAAATAAATAATTTGTTTTTATAGTTGCAAATAAAAATCCAAATATAATTTTGATAGATATGTCAAATGTAATTATTGATGATAATATTATTAATAATCATAATAATCATAATAATAGTCATTATAATAATAATATTAATAATAACTATGACTGCAATGTTAGTGATCAAGGGATTACCAATACAACAACAAATACCAATCAAAAGTATGTTATATTTATATTATTATTTTTATTAATATATATATATATATAATTGCACGATATTTTTCAATAAATATTTTAATAAACTAAATATTTGCAAATAACATTATCATTTTTATTGTCCCTATTAAAATATTTAATTTTATTTATTGCCAGAAAATTTTAATAATTAAAAATTTGATGAATTATTTAGCTCATAAATTATATGAAACTTGAGTATGAATAAATCGATAATACAGTTATTTTTTTTTATTAATTTTGTTAATTTATAAATAATATTTTATTAACAATTTTATTTAGTATCTGACTTTATTATTAGGTTTATATAATATTATGTAACATTTATGTGTTTGATTTTTTCTATCTCATAATCACTGTACTAATAATACAATACAATAATAAAACAATAGAAATTGCTACCCATTGACCAAATCAATCATAATATTTATTATATCTGCATTAATATAAATAAAGTATATATTATGCAACAAAACAAAAGCCATGCAATTTATTATTCATTAAACAATAACATAAATATATTTAATATACTAAATATATTGTATCAATCAATTGTATTGCAAAATCAAAATTGAAGAATTTGCTTAAATACTGTATAACATTGAATTGCAATAATATCGTACAATAATTTCAATGCAAATAAATCTCATAAACAAAGAGTATTTAATATGTACATGTATTTATATGATATATATATAAATTAAATATCAATGTCTAAATAACAGTATAATTTTCAGTAATATTTTCATAAAATTAAAAAGCAAATAAAGCTGTATTTGGTTTTATAAAAACCAGTAGTACTGTGTCATCAAAAATAAACCCATAAAATATTATAGCCATAGATGTAAATCCAGTTACGATATAATCAGTACAACTAAGATATATCACATATTTTTACGAAAAGCTATTAAATACAATCCAAATGCACACCTGACTCTAAAATCAGTTATTTTGTAATTTCAATTTATTATTTTGTAAAAAAAAATTCAATACATTTAGCGGTGGACCTCATCGTCATCAGCAACAACCAAGAGTCTCAACACCAATACCTACAATACCCAAGCCGTACACATTACTGGCCCGACTATCTGTTCCGTACACAATGTTGACCATCAGTGGTGTACTATTAACACTCATATTGATTATCAACTCATCCGCACATTCACTACATAAACAGTCGTCGGATGTTTGTCTCACTCACGACTGTATTAAAGAAGGTATGTATTTATAATAAAATGCTAATAATTATTAGTTATTTATTTTATTTTAAATAAATGCATTAAATATCATTAAAATTATTTTTTAAAAATAATAATTTAATAATTGAGAAAAATCATGAATTTCCCAAAATCGCTGATAAGCTATCAGTTAATCAGTAATAGAGAAAAACGAGAAATAAAGTGCAAAACTAATCCTTAATTTTCAATTTAAAATTATTATTACTATTAGTTTATAAAATATTAAAATACTATTATTTAAAATTAAGTTTAAATTTATTATTTACTAATAAGTTTGTTAAAAATATATTTTAATTATTATTTTTTCGGTAAAAAGCGGCCAGAATTTTGCGGACCATCGATGAGACTGTCTCTCCGTGCGATGACTTTTATCAGTTTTCTTGCGGCAAATGGATTGAGAGCACAGTCATACCGGAGCACAAGTCATCTCAATCAACATTTGATGAATTACAGGATGAACTCAATAAAAAACTTAGAGGTTTACTAAATGATCATTGATTTGAAACTGATTTTTAAAAAAATAATTTATTATTTATATTCAATTAATTTGATTTAGTATTAATTGAAGAAAACCACAACAATAATAATGTCATCAATAATGACAATAAGATGCCGATTGTTACTAAAATTAAAGATTTATACTACAGTTGTATGAATACATGTATGAATTTTGATAAATATATTTTTTTAATTAAGAAAATATACTGTACTTATAACTTAATATGTTATATAAGTTATAAGACATTATTATGTATTGTTATAATTTTTGATTAAATTATTTGATAGCAATAATAGAGAAGATTGGAGACAAACCTCTGGTAGATCTGCTATTAAAATTTGGTGGTTGGCCTGTCATCGAACCGACCAAATGGGACGAAAATAATTTTAATTGGTTTGACTCTTATATTAAACTCAGACAATATGGACTTTACGACAATGTATTGATGGCTATCTTTGTGGACATCGACGACAAAAACACATCAAAGAGAGCTCTTTATGTATCAATATTTTTAAATAGTTTTTTTTAATTCATTATAATAAGTAATATTTATAAATATATATATTAATAATAGTTGGATCAGCTATCTGTGGGTCTCTATGATAGAGATCTATTGTTAAAAGGATTAAATGATTCATCTGTTTTGGCTTATTATGAATTAATGGTTAAAAGTGCTGTACTGTTAGGCGCCGATAAAACGGTCGCCAAAAAACAGATGAAAGAAGTGCTGGATTTTGAAACTCAATTAGCAAATGTATTATATTTTTATTTCTTATATTTTTAATTAATATTAATATTTCTAAATATTTTTCATAATTTTATTTTATAAAATCCAGTATTCGTTGCCCAAAGAAGAGCGAAGAAATATGAGTCTATTATACAATAAGATGACTATCGATGAGTTGACAATAATTGCACCAAATGTTTGTTATTTTAAGTTATATCCTATATATATAAGAATAATTAGTTGTCAATCAATAATATTTATATATATGATATATATATTTAACAGACAGATTGGATATCACTAATCAATAATTATACGACATCTCCGGTTCAAAGTGATGAACAAATTATTGTTAGCGATAAAAATTATATCCAATCACTTGATTTACTTTTACCTCAGACAAAGAAAAGGTTGTTTTTAATTATAAAGAAAAAAGTTTATTATATGGTTTGCATTAAAATATAAATTATGTTTCATTAAAATAAAATTAGGATTTTAGCCAATTATATGATGTGGCGAATAGTATTTTCAGAGATCGGCTCAATGGGTATCAAATGGCGAAACTTAAAGACTGAATACGACGCCCGAGTGCTCGGCAAACAGCGACAGGAGCCGCGTTGGGAACAGTGTGTCAATATTGTAGAGTCGACTCTCGGGATCGGTCTGTCCAATCTTTATGTCGACACTTATTTTAACAATGAAAACAAACAAATGGTTAGATTTTTATGTTGTTGTTGATTACCTATGCTATGTATAAACTTTGTTATGAATGTTGATATAATTTTGATCATAAAAACATTATTTTTATCTTTATTTGTCTGAACAGACACTCGATATCGTGAAGAATATTAAAATAGAATTCGAGCGCATTCTTCATGAGATCGATTGGATGGAGAAGACGACAATGAATCACGCGATGGATAAACTCAAGCAAATGGAGCTTAAGATAGGATATCCCGATCAGCTCAGGGATATCAACAATATTATTCATCATTATAAAGATGTATGTTTTTTGTTGTTGTTGTTATCACTATTGACATTATGTTCTTAACATTTGATTTTTTTAAATTGATTTTTTATGTATAAAATTTGTTGTTTTTTCTGTGTATATAATGATTTGTATTGCAGTTAAATTTCAGTCGACACAATTATTTTCAAAATCGTATCAATGCATATAAATGGTTAAACGACTTTCAATTTAGTCAATTAAAAGAAATTAACGATAAAAACGAGTGAGTGTTTTGGAAATTAAAATTTTTTAATTTTTAAAAAAATAATTTATAAATTTAGTACAAATAGTATTGTATTTATGGCAATTTTATCTATTTATTTATTGTTAGAAGTATTATAAATATAATAATAATGATCTTTATTTAGCATAAAAACAATTGAATACAAAACAGTGTTGTATTCATTTAAAAGCATTAGTCAAATATTTAACAAATTGTAAGTAATTATCAATATTTCTTACATGAGTGACGAATATAAAGTTATTCAGTAATTAAATATTTTTTTTGTTAAAAATAAGTCAAAGATTTCAAAACAGTGTGATTACGTTTAGTTAATGTAAATACTAAAACTAATTAGACTAATAATTTAATGTCAATTATATCTGTTTATGTGATTTTAATTTTCCTAAACTAATTTTTTAATTTGATTTATGTAATTAATAATGTAATAATAATAAAATTATAAAAAATAAAATACAATATAACTAAAAAAAAAATTTTTTTGAATGTCTTATAGTTGGCGAAAATACGCTGAAGTGACAGAAGTGAATGCCTTTTATTATCCTCAGGAGAACGCAATGGTCATTCCCGCCGGTATTCTTCAGGGAATCTTCTACAACAAGAATCGGCCAAAGTTTGTCATATAATATCTTAATTATAAAAATAATGTTATTTTTTAATTTAAAGTTATCTAAACTACGGAACTATTGGCGAAGTCGCCGGACATGAAATAACTCATGGATTTGATGTATGTTTTTATATTTTTGATTTAAGATTTGTTACAATAGATTTATTTGTCCAACTATTGTAAAACTAGGACACTGGTAGACAATTTGACTCTATAGGTCAAGTAAACAATTGGTGGGACTCATCGACTGACCAGAAATTTAAAACAAAGTGTCAGTGCATTATAGACCAATACGCCAATTATACCGTTGAGAGTATAGGTATGCAATTGAATGGCATCAACACACAGGGCGAAAATGTAGCCGACAATGGAGGCATCAAACAGGCGTTCCGCGCCTACAAGAAATACGTCGAGAGGAACGGTAGCGAACCGTTGCTGCCGGGACTCAAGTATACGCCGGAACAGCTGTTTTGGATCAGTTACGGCATACAGTCGTGCAGTAAGGAAAGTCTGGAGCACCTGAAACTCATGATTGAAATAGACTCTCACAGTCCCAGTAAATACAGGTTAGGGATACTTACTATTTGTTTTTTTGTAATACATTTTTATAATACAAATCACTATAATTATCGGTATAATATTATAGATATTTGTTTAGTGACACATTTAGTTATCTGGATATTAAATAGCACATATATGTACAGTACTGTTAACTTGATAGACATGATAATTCAATTGCAATATCAATATTTGTAGATAATTTAACAATTTTAATAATGCAGTAATTATATAAATATAAATAATAATAATAATTTAGTTAACTATTAGTTTTAGTTAGTTTATTTTTAGATTTAGTTAAGTCATAATTTATATTTTTAAATACTGTACCAACTGGTGTAACAATTTATATAATGGAAATAATTGTAAAGTTACTGATATTAGAATAATAATTACTAGTTTAAAGTTAAAGTAATAACAATATATAAATAATTTAATATAAACTATATTAAAATTATTTTATGTAAATTAAATGTTAACTATTTAATTATGTTAATCAATAGGATAATTGGTGTGCTCTCCAATTTAGTAGACTTTGCCAAATCATTCAACTGTCCCATTGGTTCCGCTATGAATCCCATCAATAAATGCACCGTTTGGTGAAACACCTAAATATACTGTATTATCATATTTATATAACGAATATAATTTTTAAAAATTATTTTATTACAATAGATTTATCTATTTTTTTAACATTTGTTTGATTTTTAAAATATATTTATTTTTTTACTTTAAGTATTACAATATGTATTGTATATTAATTTATTAATTTAAATTATTTTATTTAATAAAAATATTTATATATATATGTTATTAATCATTAAATAATTTAAATATTCTTAACTGTAATTAAATCTATACTCATAATTAATAAACTAAGTAAACTAACCAATAAAATTAAACTAAATAAATTATTTATTGTGTACTGTATATTATAACTTTCAAAATAAGATATAAAGTTATTAATTGATGGTTTATCAATTTTTTGTAGTTTATTTCACATAATTTGTAATATTTTATAAATATAAAATATTAATTACATATATTTGTGCAATAATTTTGTAGAGATAAAATATTTAAAAAATAATTATATATAATTAAATTCTGCAAATAAATCACTTAAATTTTGTTAATAACTAATCACATAAATATTTATTGCAATTTGATATTACATATAAATTATTAATTTTTTAATATAATAGGTATAAATAAATTGATATTATTAAATGAAATTTAAACCTTTAAAGTACTGTATATAACATATAGATACATGTACGTTATTTCAATACTTACTATACCTATATATAGTATTATTACTTATATAATAGATGTATATATTTTTTATTTAAACAAAGAGTATGAAAATAATGTACAATAATGTGTGTAATTATATATTTTTATTTTTATTACATATATTGACAAAATATTTGCATTTATTTAATTAATTACAGCATTTATCAGTATTTCAATTAATTCATTAACTTTTTTACATTAATAATTTTTATATTATTAGTTTTTATACGTATTAATAAGTAAAAGTTTAATATTTAAATTTAATGGATTTCAATGAAAAATGTAAATTATTAAAAATCCTGATAATTGGTAACTCAGGTGTCGGCAAATCCAGTATTTTAAAGCGATATACAGATCAAGAGTTTAATCAACAATATATTTGTACGATTGGTGTTGACTTCAAAGTCAAGTTTCTCAAAATCGCGGGAACCGGTGTTAAGTTGCAGATCTGGGATACGGCTGGACAGGAAAGGTTTAAAGCTATCACTACATCATATTATAGAGGTATGGATGACATAAAATACAGTATTACTGTTATTTAACATTATTATCAGTTTTTTTCAATTTGTGTGATTTGTTTAATTAAACTATTTTTAATTAGGAGCTCATGGAGTACTAGTGGTTTACGATATAACAAATAGACAAACATTTAACGCTATAATCAATTGGTTGCGAGAAATTAGACTTTTCGGTGACAATAATGATAATATGGGTGTCATATTGATTGGAAACAAAGTCGACTGTCCAGACAATAGATGTGTTAGCGTATCGGAAGGTCAACAGTTTGCCGGCCAAATGGGTATACCATTTATAGAGTGTTCGGCCAAAACCGGTGCCAATATTGACGAAGCATTTGAATTGATGGCCACCAAAATTATTTTAAATCAGATGATTAGCACCGGTAGTCTAGAAGCCAATTCTTCAAACAAAAAGACTGTCGATATTTTAACTTATGATTCATGTAGTTATCATAAGTGCTGTTAAATATAACAATTGTATTACAAATAAATCATATTATTAAACAAATAATTATATAAATTATGTAATTGTTTAGTTAGAGGAATCAAAATTAATTATTAAAATTTTAGTGATAATTGCAATTTCCTCTATATTTTTGTTGCCTAACCGGCAAACTTTTACGACACCATTGGCCACGAACTGCGGCACAATTAATAGCATTGATAGCGCTATTTCGTCCTCTATTGTCGCGGGAGGACTCATCAGAAGGTACCGCAATATAGGGATAATAAAATGACAAAACACTTACAGATAAATACTTATTGGAGAGATTACTAGTCACTTATGTATCTCAATATTAAATGACTATTTTAAAGAGAGAGAGAGAGAGAGAGAGAGAGAGAGAGAGAGAGAGAGCTATAATATATAAAAATATTTATTTATTTAAGTAATTAGATATTTAACTGCAAAAAATTAAAACATGATTGAATGCTCTGTCCGGGTATAATATTATTTGTTGATTTTATGTATAGTAACCATCGCCGCTGTTTTTTATCGCCGTTACCACTGATTTTTATAATATAAAAAATGTGTCGCCGCAGCCGTTAATTAAGATTATACGTTTAACTTTGCATATTTAGTACTAATTTGCTTTTAATGCTTAGTTTATGTTTATAAAAGATTTTTAAATATACAATAATTAATTGCAAATATTAATAAAATATTACTTAACAATTATCTCTGATTTATTTAATATTATTGAAGTGTTTATTAAATACTTTTATCATATTTTATGATATCAATTGAATAAAACATTTATTTAAACACATGTTGTTATTATGTGATTTATATAGTATTATAGATAATAGATATTCATATAATAATGTTTAATATAATGATAAAACTTATATCATGTTCTGTTTAACATTATTTAAATTAGATTTTCTTTAAACAAAAAATTTAATTACTAATAAAAATGCAATTTTTGTTAATTTTGTTGTCATTGATCTCTAGTATTGTCAACTGTCAACTCAAAAGACCAAATATTATAGTTATTGTTGCCGATGATTATGGTTTGTATATAATTTATAGTTAAAACATATTTTATATAGAGTTTTATATCTGAAAAAATAAATCAATTTAATTTGTGTTTATAGGTTGGGGTGACATCGGGTTTCACGGTTCTCAACAGGTGCGGACACCAAACCTGGATTTGTTGGCCAGCAGTGGTATTATTTTGAACAACTATTATGTATCGCCCATATGTTCGCCGTCCAGAAGTGCACTGTTGACTGGCTATCATCCAATACATACTGGTCTACAGCACGATGTCTTAAATGGTGGCCAACCATATGGTCTTCCTCTTCAATATAAGACATTACCGCAATATTTAAAATCATTGGGCTATCAAACCCATGGTGTGGGCAAATGGCATCAAGGTTTCTTCCAAAGATCATATATACCCACTGAGAGAGGTTTCGATACACATTTCGGTTATTGGACCGGACATGAAGATTATTATGACCGAACATCACAAGAAAATTGGTGGGGAATTGATTTCAGAGACAACGACAAGTTGGCAAATCTTACCGAATACGAGGGACAGTATTCAACGGACATCTATACCGACAAATCGGTGGATATTATATTGAGACAAACAGAGAATACATCGCAACCGTTATTTCTATACATTGCTCATCAATCAGTTCACGCGGGGAACGGGAGGGAACCACTTCAAGCACCCGAACAATACATCGACCGATTTAAACATATCAAAGATCAGAGAAGACGTACTTTTGTTGCAATGGTTTCAGCATTAGACGACTCAATGGGTAAAGTTTTCGCTGCCCTACAAAAAGCTGATATTTTAGACAACACTATCATTATATTTACTGCCGATAACGGAGGCGCTACCGGAGGCGCGGATGGAAAAAGTATAGATAATAGTATTGGCTCTAATTGGCCACTAAGAGGTTTGTTATAATTGTTTTTAATATCATATAATGTAATTTCATTTTAATTTAACATTAGGTGCTAAGTATACCTTATGGGAGGGCGGCATACGAGGCAATGCTTTTATTTGGAGTCCACTGTTGAATAAACACTATATTAGTGATCATCTGATGCATATCCAAGATTGGTTGCCCACCATATACAGTGCCATCGGTGGTAATGTCCAGGACTTGGGTCCAATTGATGGCATTGATATGTGGAATGTATTGAACAATAATCTGAAAAGTCCGCGAAAACATGTTTTGCATAACATTGACCCGCTTTGGAATGTATGGGCGCTCCGGTATAACAACTATAAGCTAATATCGGGATCGGTATTCAATGGCGACTTTGACGGATGGTTTTTGCCGCCGGGAGAGTCAATACACTTATCACTAAACAACAGTATAGCTCATCAAACGTGTGAAGTGTATAAAACTCTTAAACAAATTAATTATAACTTTAATGAACTAATAAAACAAGTTGTAGTCAACTGTAATAAGTCTCTAAAGAGTGAATGTCATCCAACAGTCAAACCGTGTTTGTTTGACATTCAATCGGATCCGTGTGAATACAACAACATATATGATAGAAAACCAGATATTGTCGATCATATGCTAGTTGTGTTGTCTACTTATAATGCTAGTGCTGTCGCACCGGGCAATAAACCGGTCAATTGGAGAGCAAATCCTGCGCTACATAACTATGTGTGGGATATCTGGATGTGAAACATGTCTTTTAAAATTAATGACATTTATTTAAACCCTTTCTTATATGAGAGGAAAAACTAATGTATAGTCTAATTTGCAATTTTAATTAGTTTATATTATTTATTTTATTTATTTATCTATTTCGTAACATTCAAAAGTTATGTTAATTGTTTTGAATTAAATTTATAATAAAAATTTATTGTTTCTAAAATAGATTTAAAATACATTTATTAATATAATATAGTACTACTGTATTGTTCTGTATATACTATATTGGTATGTTTAATCTGTTTAAAAATAATACAAATAATCAATTACTAAACAATTTCAATATTATTTATAAATTAAAATGTTTATTTACTGTACTATATTTATTTAGTATAAATATATTGTTAAATACTTTTTTATAAATATAAATATAAATAAATAAAGTGCATTACAATCATACACTATTTTTAAAAATAAATACTTTTAATGAAAGTGCATTATATATAATGATAGCGTAGTAAAAATATGTCAAAAATTGTTTAAATAAAAAAAATCATAAATATTATATATAGCAAATTGCTATTAGCAATGGATATTATTTGGGAAATATCAATAAATGCAAATTTATAGTTTTCAAAGTCGTTGTCTGAATAAATATTATATTATTATTATTATTAAACTAGTTAGGTGTCAATGAATTAAAAAAAGATAATAAAAATGAAAGTAAAATTATAAATACAAAATATAATTAGTGAGAGAGAGAGAGAGAGAGAGAGAGAGAGAGAGAGAAAGAAAGAAAGAAAGAAAGAAAGAAAGAGAGAGAGAAAGAGAGAAAGAGAGGAAAAGTTTATTATTCACTACCCCTGGGCTATAAAGTTTTGACATCTATTACAAGTAATTTTTCAATATTAATAGTGCAGTAAATTTTTATATACTGAATATTGCATTTAATAGCTATTTAATTTAGTTAATATTTGTTTGGAATATTTTTTGTGATCAATAGCTAATTATTAATATAAATTACTAATTAAAAAATTATTAGAAATTTATTTGATCACCTAAATTGATTCAACTATATTGTTTGTTCATTAAAAAAATTAAACAAACTAAATTAGTAATTTTTTAAAAAAATATTTACAAAGATGTGGACAATTTAAATAATTATATATTTTTTTAATTTTTATTTTTTTATTATTTGTTTTATTTATAAATGTTTATTTACAACTTTAATTACTCTAATCTACAATAAAGTGATGATAATAAGAAATTATAAATGCTATATACTATTTTATTTAAATTATTTTATTTAATGATTTATCTATCTTATTGCCATACGAGACCAAATATAGTTTTTATATTAGCTGATGACCTAGGTGTTATAGTTTTCAAAAAATTTACAATTTGTAAATTTATTTTAAAGTTTCTAATTTTTTAAAATTTAAATTTTATGAATAGGTTGGGGTGATGTCAGTATTCATGGGTCAACACAAGTGAGGACACCTAATATTGATGTGTTGGCCAACAATGGTATTATTTTGAACAACTATTATGTGTCGCCCATATGCACACCATCCCGAAGTGCCCTAATGACTGGCTATCACCCCATACATACCGGACTATATCATAATGTCATATATAATACTCAGCCGTGGGGTTTGCCTCTAAAGTATAAAATTTTGCCGCAGTATTTGCAGACATTAGGCTATGAGAGTCATATTGTTGGCAAATGGCACTTAGGTTTCTTCAAAAGAGACTATTTGCCGACAAACAGAGGTTTTGATTCACATTTTGGTTTCTGGACGGGACATACAGATTATTATCAACGGTTATCGGGAGATAAACCTCAAGGATATGACTTCAGAGATAACGAAAATCCCATAGATTTGTCTCAATATCAAGACATGTATTTGACAGATATTTTGACTAACAAATCGGTTGACATTATCAACAATCGGAAAGACCCGATGCGACCACTATTCCTGTTTGTGGCTCACAATGCCGTTCACGCGGCACTCAAGAAAAACCCATTACAGGCACCGCAACTATATATCGACCGTTTTAAACACGTGTCGGATAAACGCCGCCGTAAGTTCTGTGCAATGGTCTCAGCTCTGGACGATTCAGTAGCCGATATTGTGGCCGCACTGCAGGTCGCAAACATTATTAACAACACTATCATCATATTCTCTACAGATAACGGTGCGGCCACTAAAGGCAACTCCGGTTGGAGTATTGATAATAGTATTGGATCTAATTGGCCATTGAGAGGTGAGGTACTCTAAAAAATATGTAATGTATATAAAAAATGCTTTAATTATTGAGATACAGGTGCAAAATATACACTATTCGAGGGCGGGGTCCGAGGCTTTGCATTTATATGGAGTCCACTACTTAAACGAAAATATAGGAGCGAACACTTGATGCATATACAGGATTGGTTACCAACTATTTATAGTGCCGCCGGCGGACATACCATGGAATTGGGACCAATTGATGGCATCGATATGTGGAAAGTACTTAATGATAATCTGAAAAGTAATCGCAAAGAGTTATTACACAATATCGACAACTCATGGAATGTATGGGCTCTAAGAAGTGGTAACTATAAGCTACTCTACGGTCAAACATTTGACGGCCAATTCAACAACTGGTATCAACCGCCAGGAGAATCAATTGTGGCCAACAAACAGTCGATAGTAAATTATAAAGAGTCTAATGTATATAAATTGTTTGAATCGATGAGTTACAACATAAAACCGATGAAACAGATTTTGATTAAGTGTAACGCCAAACGTCAATACCTGTGCGAACCCAAAGTCAATGCCTGTCTGTTTGACATTAGATCGGATCCGTGCGAATACAACAATCTCTATCACCAGAAGCCCGAAATTGTTCAATCAATGCTTAAATTGTTAGATAACTATAACACATCTATTGTTAAGCCATGCAATCAACCGTATGATGAAAAGGCAGATCCTATCTATCATAACAATTGGTGGTCTGTTTGGCAATGATTTCAATTATTGAGTATTACTGTATTATTAAAGTACATTAAATATAAATTATTTAATTGAAAAATAATTTATTTAATATCATTATATTAAATTGTATTTTATTATTGCAAAATTGCCAATTTAGTTACATTATTATAATAGATAAAAATTTATGCTAAATTATTGCAATTTAGATGCCATTAGAAAATATGTACTTGGTAATTACAATATTAAGCTAATTTATGGTAATTTAATACTTTGATTGCCATACAATTTTTGAATGGCTATAATATCTGTTTCATGTAATTTGAAATTGGGTGGTACATCGGTATTATAATAATAGGGTGCCATAATAGATCCTTCCACAAAGTGACTGTGCTCTAAACCCAATACATGTCCTTTTAAAAAAAAGTACAGTACATTATATTACACAAATCAATTTGTTAAAAATTAATTAATAATATTAATATTATTATTTTATTTATACAAAAAAAAACAAACAATACATTACCAATTTCATGTACCATAACATACTTGAAAGACATGGCTGCAAATAAATAGATAATTAAAAATTAGTTGAACAGTAAGTTATTGAAAGTTTAAAACTATTGAATATTAAAAAAATAAATAAATAATTAGTTACTATTAGTATCTTTTGGGTCGTACTCGAGGCGCCAGTTTTCGTCGTCGTCTACATGTATTTCTCCGCCGTCCTCCGGGTATGTCGTGTGTGCCATTACACCTCCCGGTCCTTCAAACTTTGCACTATCGGGCGGTGCTTCGTGACAACAATGTATTCGGGTTGAAAACTGTATGTCTATATGAGCTCTCTTTTTCTTGTCGTTGCTTTCGATGAACCGTAGAGGTGTCACCTGAGACCACATACCAAACGCTTCTTTTACTATCTTAATGATACCCTCTTTGGTCATCTTTTGGCTAAAATTTTTGAATCTATACGTAAGCTTATAGTTTGTCCATTTGCTTCCGTGCAGTTCGTACGGCAAAAGTTCTCCATAACTGCGACTTTTGATCCGAGAAACGGGATCACGATTTCCACAACGACTTCTTTTCATTAATTTTTTCGTCTCTTCATTGATTTTGCCTATAATTGTTTATAAGTGTATAATAAAAAAATCAATGTAAACAATATGTTTTGTAATTATGTAATAAATTTTTATTAATCAAAACCCGTTGGCTTTAAACGATTCATAGATTGAAAATTTTTGACGGCCTCTTGCATAGCATCTGATGATCTAACCATTGGTTTAATATATCCATATTTTATCAAATAATTCTGGAATTATATATAAAAAAAATTATAGTTATTTTTATTTGAATTAATTTTGGTATTAACTAAATATAAGTGCAAAAAGAAAGACAACTTTTTAATTGGGTTTAAACTTAATAGTTAATGATTTAATAAATTAAATGTTTATTACACATCAATTATTAATATCTTTACATAATTGTAAAATCAATATTGTATTTAAAGTACTGTATATCGTTAAATACAGTATTTACTGTAAAAATAATTATACTATTATTAAGTAAAAATAGATTTTATAATATTATATAAAAATTACATTTTTCAAAAATTAATTTTATCAAATAAATAAACAATAAATCATAGAAAATATACAACTAAAATAAGTTCAAAATGAGATATAAAATTTATACATATTTAATACTAAAAACAATTAGTTAATTTTAATTATTTGCGTGATAATAATATTTATCAAGTATTCAAACAATTGAAAAAAAACATTTATAAAATTTACAATATTTGTCCAGTTTTTATATATAAAAATAATTTTTAGGATAAAAAGCAACAAAATGTCGGAAAAAGATATGATAATTGATTTTAAGAAATTATTAAAAAAGATGGAACCGTTAGATAAAAGTCTAAAAAGTGAAGTTCAGTTAATTGAAATCAATGAAACTATTGAAAACATAACGACTGTTAAAGATTTGACACAAATGAATGTTTGGCAACAAATCGATTTCGATATGAAGACTACTTCCAGAGATAATCAATTTCAGAAAATAATGTGCGATATTCTTAAACAACGACTTTTGATACCAATCACTGAACTGGAGGTAAACTATCAGAAGATACTTAGACACAGTGACAACAATAATCAATTGATAGGAAAGATACTGATCACCGATAATAGCAGTTATTCAGTCATAACAAACATTATTGATATGAATCTATTGAAAGAGGAACCGATTGGCATCTGTTGTCAATACAGTGTTAAAGATGTTTTACCACAAGAATTAACTAAACGATATCATTTAATTTACGTCATCTGTTTGGATGACTTTAATGACAGTGAATTTGAAGAGTTTATCAAAACATTGTCAATGAGAAAAAGTGGCAGTTCTTCAATATTCTTGACATATATTCTGTCTGAAAGTGACAAAACACGAGTCAATCGGTTGGATGCGCTGTCCATCAAATCCAACATCAATTCAATTAACCAATTGGGAGGGTTCTGGTGTATTGACTACAATATAGTGCTCATTGATAGCAATGCAAACATGAATTGGTTGACACAAACACAGAATGACGAATCGTTAGTGAAGACAGTGTCCAAACGTTTAAGCAATTTGTTGGAACAAATGGGCGAATATCCGGCAACTGTTCGCTATTTTCATAATAAATCCGATAAAAATAATCAATTGATAGCAAATGATTTAATCAGTAATATGGAGATAATTGCCAAACATAGGGAACAATTGAATGAAAAGTCACACAACAGAAACTATGATCTATTGATTATTGATCGGAGCGTTGATGTGATCGCACCGTTATGTCATTGTCTACCACTTCGAGCGTTTGTATTCAATGAATTGAATCAGATCTATGAAAACGACACGAATCGGGTCTATAGTAAACTTTGTAATATATTAGTAAACGATAAAATCGATATTTGCAAGACATTGGTTGCCATCAAAGAGAATCAATTAAATGAATCCAATGAACAGCTTATCCGTAAAACTCACGAGTGTATCAAAAATACCAGAGAAGTGTTTGTAAAGTCTGGAGATAAATGTTTTACAGATCTGTTGGCAATCGAGAGACAGTTGTTTGATATAAATATAAAACCAAAACTAATTTTAAAAAGTCTTAAGAAAATTATTTCATCAAAATGTGGTACAAAAGTCAACGATTACGATATTACACGAGTCTTAATATTAAGTCAATTGGTTCGCAAAAAGATAACCGACAGTGATATTAAAGAGTTGATCGCAAAACAAGACAAACAAAGACAAATTGATGTCAAAGTGATTACAGATTTTATAAAACTATTTAAAAAATTTGAAAATAATTTTAATAATAATAAAGTCATGAATCCAAACAAACAATCAATGATTTCGTCAATAGTAACCCAATTCTTCAACAATACATTATCACCGCAACAGTTCCCAAGTGTTTCATTTCAAAGACAATGTAAAAGTATTGACAAAACCAAACCAAGAAAACTATTTTTATTTATTTTAGGAGGACTTTCCTATAACGATATCATCACAATTGACAAACAATATGATAGTAAAGTTATATTTTGTTCAAATGGTTTGATTAGTCCCAAAATGTTTATCAATTCAGTTGTTTACGAATCCTGAAACTTATTATTTATATTAAAGTATATTAAGATATAACTTGAAATATACTTTTAAAAAATAATATTTCTAATTGTAATTAATAAATTATAATGTATTATTATTGCATATATTGTAAATATATAAAATCAATTGATATACATATACCTGAACATTAGTATCGATGTTAGTAAAAACATATTGAGATTTAACACAAATCAACAATAGTATTAATTTCAGGTCTATAAATGCAAACATATTTTTAAAAGTTGGTCGAGTTTTAAATATATATATATATATATGATGGTAAAAATTATAATAACAAATTATAACTTAATTATTGTTAGAATCACTTGTTATAAAAAATTAATTGATTTTTTATCATTTATTATATCAATATAATTATTTAGTTTTATTATTTTGATTAAAAAACTTTAATGACATTACAGTATATACTATTTATTGACACTTTTAATTGATATATAACGTAGTAACTATAACGCACTTTAACGATTGATTAATAGATTAATCTAGATCAAATATATTATGAAAATAAATAATTTTTTTTAAAAAATAGATAAATATTATTTAAAATGTCTAATTAAAACCATTACGGTAATTAAAAAATAATAATAATTTTAATATACATTAAAAACATGTGCTAATTAATTAAAATTAGAAAAAACGTTATATAATTTTGATAAATATAAATAAATAAGTTTGTCGTTAATAATAAATATCAAATTTGAACTTTAACAGTAAGTTTTATAATAATAATAATACTAATAATAATTAAAACCCATGTCTACAATAAGTCACTTTTGTGGTCAATAATTGTGTAACTATTTTGTTAATAAAAATAAATATTAATAATAAACATATTTGTCAACAATTAGCTATAAATTTGTATAAATAATTCAAAAATATAGTGATATATAAAAAAATATTCATTGAAAAAATGCCTTCAATTGTTGATAATTGGGTTCGTCTTTGAACTTTAAATTACTAATGAGATCAAAGTATTTGATAAAATTTTGTGGTAAACCTGTCAAACATAACAAACATTATTAATAAATATGTAACACTAAAATAACTCATCAGTATTACCATCACAGAGCACATCCAGACAAGTCGCTTGCATTCGTTTACCGATTTGACGGATAACTCTAGTGGACGACAAGTTTTGTTGTTTGGCACTAATCCATGGAAGTGTTCCGGTGGCTAAATATATCATACAATAGCCCAATGATTCCATATCGTCCCGTCGGGACTGACAATAACCGTTATGGAAACCAATAGACCGAAAATTCGGATCACTTTCAGCTCGAATGACTGGTATTTTTCGGTGATCTGTTTCATCATCAATATGGCCAACAATTGTACCGTCGGTTGACTTTATAACATATGATTTGGCATAACTGAGACTAATTAGTCTAACTCTATCTGTTTTATCACTTTCGAGAATAATATTTTGCGGATTAATTGCACAGTGAATATAACCACTGGAGTGAAAACGTTGTACACAATCAATCATTTGGACGGCAAACTTGAATACCTGTGCCATCGGACCAATCATTGACATTGTATTTCTCGACATGAGTTGAGTTAAATTGAGTCCCATTTTGTCGATCACTAGAAAACCCCAACGAATGGCATAACACTGATGTTTGTAGTCTTTCCATCTGTTTGTTGGATAAATCAATTACCGGTAAGTTTTCAAATACAGTCAACAACTTATGGCTAAACTAATAGATACCTAATATAATCTCTAATACGAGAAACGGCACTACAATTAGTCAGTTTAATATAAGTTTCAATTTCATCTTCGAGAGCATAAAAGCCGCCCTCAATGGCCACTTTGAGTATCAATTCATTGTTCGGTTCCTTTACTTTCTGTACTACAAAAATGGCCGATCGTTTAGTAACCGAAAGCATTTCGTCCAATCGATAGCCAAACAAAATGCTCTTCAATTTCGGCGGAAACTTATCGTAAACATCGGTCTCTGTCTTCGAGTTCTTAGTGTTTGTCACTGACTCTATGTCTGGCCATTCAATCTCAATACGATTTAATGATATATTAACCAATAGGTTGTTAATGTCCATCAATCGGCGTTCGTCTTCACTCATTTCATACCAACTGTCATCATCTTCTTCTTCATCGTCATTATCATCGCTGTGACCACAGTTTGTTGTTATATAATAGTTATGACAATCGGATCCGTTATTTACATCCATATCCTTATCGCGACATCTCTTTCGATACTGACTGTCATTGTTGTCCAGAGATCGCTTAGTGGACATAACATTATCATTGAATGTATTGTCCATCTGTTTAAACAATTGATCCATCAGTGAGTGTGTTGTATGTCTGAGTGGACACAATGACAACCAATCAATTGGTCACTAAATTGTTGGACACTTACTATCACTGACTGACCAAACAATACAAACATTCAAAACAATACCAAAATCTATGAATTATTGACTCATTCTTTGTATTCGATTTTTGTTGTGTTCTATTGAATCACTCGAAATATAACTCAACCACTGATTGGTTCAACAAATTGTTTCCCAAAATTATATCTAATATCACGTGACTCTCTGGGGGTCAATGTGTGTCATATGTGTTAATATATTAATATAGTAAATGTTTATAAAAGGGACTCAATTATAGGGTTAGGAAATGTTATGTTATATTTGAAACTTGTAACTAAGTATTTAAATAATACAGTGATTTATTGGTAGTCTAGTAGAGTGACCAACTGATAAACCTAACTAATTATAATACACTATACAGTATTATATTTGTGTATCAATTAGTTTTAGCAAGATAATAAATGTTTAATAAAACTGCTAACTATGTACACATTATTGACCTAGATTATTTATATGAATTATTGTTAGTAACTGACAATTATCACTTTCATGTCATATATATTTGTTATTGTTTCTGAACTTATAATTATACAGTAGTGTGTATGCGATCACTCTATTAGTGATTAAATATTAAATTTGTTTTTCTGCTTATAATAAGTATTTAATTTGTCAGTCAATTAATAGCCAATCAATAAATAGATTGTTTGATTGATTGGATGACCCAATCATATGACAAGTGCTTTACATTTATTATAATTATTATTACTTTAGATATACTCTACTCTACTGTATGTTAACATTGATTAGAGAACCAGTCAATAGCTTTTTAGTGCTTAAGAGGCAATCAATTGATTACTATATATACTATAGTATTGTATATAATATATGGTATTAATTAGCACTCAATATAACATCGATTGTAATAATAATAGAAATTGAAGTGACATTTCATTTATGATAATTATTAAGATTGAGTCATATATTTATAGTACAGTATATATACACTATATATATATATATATATTAATGATAGTGTGATTCACTGTTTTTATTATCAATAAATTAAAATATTGAAATTAATTACTGAAAAATAATATATAAATATAAATTAAATATTAGTAAAATTAATATCTTTTATATAAATTATATATTGAACTCAATCTGAATGTGTAATACAAAAGTAATATTTATTAATATATAATATATTTTTAAACTTTAAGATATTACTAAATACTGTAAATAATGATTTATAAACTTTATTAAGCTTTTACTTGATATCAATACTTTAGTCAAATTGATGTTAACTTTATTTACTATAAAGTAATATACAGTACATGTATGATATGATATCATTAAATGACATCTAAATGACAATTATATCCATCAAAATTGATGCCCACCTATAATATAATATTATAATAATCACAAACATTACTTAAGGGGTTATCAAAAATATAGTCACATATTATTAGAAACATATCTATAAAATATGTTTATTTCTAATGATATAAAAAAAATTTAAACAAATCATTTGATTTAAAATCAAGTTATTTCGTTCATTTAATTTACATATAATTGATTACTTTTGATTAATGATTATATTATATGCCAAACGTTTAATTAATTACAAATTAAAGATAATTATATACCTTTTTTCTATATATAACTATCTTTTTAAAATCTCATGAATGTATTATGAAATGTATTTTGAAAATTGTTTTTTTTCTTCAATAGTTTGAATAAATATTAGTACAGTATATAAATAAATATTTTATCAAATGGTTTTTAAATTAATAGATACACACACACACACACACACACACACACACAATAATCTTACATGAAATAAATAAACTTTAATTACAATATTATTATTAATAATTTAAGTATTATAAAATTTTTATTAAGCTTTATAATTGTTTTTTAAAAAACTATGTAAGCTATTTAAAAAACATAATTACATAGTCTATAATATAGACTCTATATAATGTATGAACAAAAAACTTGTTATTTTTATATATTATATGATACTTAAGTTGTTTACTTTACTTATTAAACTTTGTATGCAATAAAAAATATATATTTATATTTACACTATTATATCATATTTATATTGACATTATTTCAACTTTTTTAAATAAGTAAAATAATACATAGTTTTAAAAATAATAATAAATAGTAAATAGTAATTAAATTTAAGATAATATAATTAATTATTGCAAACATGTGTTTAAAAATAATTTAATAAAAAAATTATACTTTAATGAAAAAATATAAAATACAAAAATATATTACTTATACAGTAAAATGTATTGTATATTGTTTTTGCATTTATTTGTTATATAGACACAAAAATATGCTAAAATATAGATAACTCTCAAAAATTTTTATAAAATGAAAAAATGAAATGATATTTTTTTTGTTAATTTAATTGATTTTAAAAAAATATAATTATAATTTATTTAGACATTTGTCTGTACTTTTTCATTGTCATTATTATTGATATTACTATTAATTTTGTTATTAATTGTTTGTTCATTGTTTTCATACGATATAATTTCATCGCTTTTAGGATTACCATCGATATCGTTGTCGACCTCATCTCTGGCACCGATAGTATCATTATTGGCCAAAATTGGTTCACTTTGTTCGCCGTCATTATCATCAGTCTGTTGTTCAACAGTTTGTCTTTTCTTATTGATTACCATTTTATCGCTTTTGTTACGAGCCCTATATAAGTGTTATTTTTTTAAAAATGTATAACAATTATTATAGAAACAAAAATTATTATATAATTGATGAGTGAAATATTATAGACTACCTAATGATGATAATAACGATAATAATTGCTAAAAGTATGGCCAAAAAGAATAGTATGATTCCTATACTTCCCGATGACTCCCGATTAGGACTAGTCTTGTAATCGGCTTTTGTATTATTATTATTATTATAACTACTGTTATTATAAGTGTCGATGAGATCGTCATTTTTATGATCCGTTGTCGTCGATATAGTAGTGGTTTGTCGGTAGTGGTCGTCATGTTTGTGACCGCTGTCAACCATCACATCATTTGATAGACATTTCTTTTTATAATCCATTTTTGGATCACTATATTCTTCATAATTAGCACTACATTTACAGACTTTGGTGCCATTGTTACCATTTAATAGTTGACAATTGCTATTATCATCCAATGCTGTGCACTGTTTGCTATAATTACAGGCCATACCCAAAGGCACTAATAATATCATATTAAAACCAATTTTATTACTATTTGTCAAATAAAATAAATTATTAATTAAATTGATTGATACCTTCTTGAAGGCAAACCGTTTGCTTTATATTTTCGAGTATTGCCACAAAACCAGTCCTACAAACACATTGTTTGCCAATTTCCGACTCAGTCTCGGGCGACGCGCACTCCATATTGCGGTCGCACTCTTGGCCCATACTATTGGTACCGCACGGGTCACCATATTTTAGGACTTGGATTAAAAAATAAATAGGATTGAAAATTAATTAATTATTTATTTTTTCATATATATATATATATATTGATAAATGCATAAAAAATTGATTATTTTATTGCTTATTATACCATAAAAGACAATAAATATATACTCAGAATATATGAATAAAATTAGTCTCAATTTTTTGCCAAATAATTCAATAGATAATTGTATTATTTTTATCTGAAGTATAGTTCAATTTAGTCCCAATTTGCTCTGAAGTGCTGAATAATGATTACACATATAATATGCAAATTAACTTTTTTTTTATTTATTGTGTTTACAGATTAACTTGACTGACATTTTTTTGCTAATAAATAAAACACTTAACAAATAGGTTCACCCAAAATGTATTATTATATTTAATATCGACAACAAAAACCATAAGATTATTATTATTATTATTGTTAACCAATTTAGTTCATCGATGGCACAGAAGAAATGTATGTCTCCTACACTTGACTTTTTAGAAATTATAATTTTTATAGTTCAACCCTTATATATGAAATACATATTTATTTTTAATATAGTTTATGATATTTAAAGGTAATAATTGAAAATGAGTGCAATTATATATTGAGTTTATAAAACTATTATAATATCAATAAATAATAATAATATTAACAAATTCTTGTTCATAAAAAAAATAATTTATTGCTGTTGTTTTATTTATAACTATTAAAAGATTTATTTTTTGATTATTTATTATATTCAATGTAAATTTAATTTAAAATAGGAAAAATTCAATTATAGTTGTAATAAAATTACGTCAAATTTTATTTATTTTATTAAGAAATTCATAAGATTTTTTGTAGTCTATTATATTATAAACATTTTAGAATCACTTGCATTATATGAGCACCGGTAGGCTCTTTATGCTAACAAATAATATATAATTAACAAAAATGCAATATTATGTGTATTATTAATATTAAAAAAAACAATTTTCTTTAGCAAAGTTATGTTGCATTATTAATATGTTTTTATTGCTTATTTATTGTTGTATTACACATTTATGAATAACATAATTCACATATGAATTTTATTTAACCCAATAATTTAACATCAAATAAGTGATTTTAAATATATTTAAAATGTATATAATATTTTCTATTACAATAATCAGTAAAAAAGGGTTTAATGATAATACTGTAATCATATAAAAAAAGAGATGACATTAGATTTGTGCCAAAAACTTGAATTTATAATAAGATTGTGAATGGATTTAATATATAAAAAAATCACATTTTCTGAGTGTTGATAGTAATGTGAGAGAAAAAATGTTATCTAATTTAAGATTATATACTTAAGTGTGGGTTTGATTTATTAATCCATTGAATTAAAAGATTATTATTATTATTATTATATATTTTTAAATGAGACAAACCTAAAGCTTAATTGATATTTGAGGTCAAAAATCTTTTTCTGTCCTTTTTTTGATGAATAAAAAATTTCAGTATTTATTTATAAATATTTTTTAATAGAAAAATATATTTTAAAATCATTTTTAAATAATGCTTAAAATATTTAACGTTCAAACACATGTTAACATAAATAAATAGAAAAATTACTGTTTAAATATAGGAAATTTCAATCAAATAAAAATTCATGTTTTGATGAGTTAAATAATTTTCTAAAAGTAATGTTTTATTGAGGAAAGTCTTATGTGTTTATCTAAATATTTAATTATAATTTTAATAAATCAAACATTTGTCAAAAACAACATTTAAAAGATGAAAAATGTTTAATAAATTCATAAAAATTCTTTGAATAAATATACTCTAAAAAAATTAAAAAACATTTATTACATTATTATTTTACACAAAAGTTAATTACTTATATCTTTTGAATTAATGCTTTCAATTAAACTTTTGAAAACTTTTGTTAAGTAAATTATACTGTAATATATAGTTAAAAAGTTATAGTTTAATTTAATTTTTATTTAGATAAATTAATAGAGTTAATTTGTTTTAGTTTAGTTTAGAATTTGCTAATTTTATCTGATATGGATTAATTTGCAATTAAAATTTATTTCATTGACCCATTATAATTGTGTTATATTTGTCTTTATATATATTGTATGTGATAAATAAACAAACAAACAAAAAACAATGTATATAATAATAAAATGTGTTATAAAAATTTTAAAAAATGATAATATTTTTCATACAGTATTTTAAGCTTAAATATAATTAAAACCTTTTTTTGTTGTATCAAATAGGAACTCAAGGATTTTTAATCAATAGTTTTAATTGTCATAAATTGTCTCAAAATTTAGTTATTAATGTATTATTACTTTTTCTTAAATTCAATTAGTTTTAGTTTGTAAGATATAATTATATATATTTTTCTTAAATAAATATAATGTTGAAATATTTTAGACATTTATGTTAGCATTTTATAGATAAGTAAAAAGGCAGTTATGTGTTGTCAATCAAAATGAAATGTCAATGTTATAAATGCCACGAACTTTATATAAATATTAAATAATATTTTTTCAAGATATACAATATTTTAATCAACAAAAAAATGTTAAATAAATCATTTAAATCAAATCCCATTTACAGAAAAATGAATTTATATAGTAATCGTATAAAACATTATCAAAAAACATCATCTCAAAGCCATTATGGCATTCAATTAAATATAATGACTGTTTTAAAAGTTAATTTATTTTATATTAATTTCTATATCTTTAGATAATTTTAACAATTTCTATCACAAGTTTATTATGATAATATGTTTTACTTGAAATTTTAAAAAATAACAATCTAAGTAACAAAATAATGTCACAAAAAATCATAAAAAGTAAAACTTTTTTTTTGATATAAAATAAGATAACTAATTGACTTACTATTACTGAATGCGAGACTCCCTTTGGCCTCACATCGGGCCAGACTTGATTTTTTGTCGTCACTTGCTTTGAGCTGATCCGCCACTTGACACGAGTAGCCAATATCGCCGGTGTGTTGTATGAGATGACCCAAACTGGTGGCCGCAATCTGGTATTCACTCCAGCACCGGGTTTTTCTGTCGTCACAATCGACATTACCGCGCAATATGAATATACCAGTCCGCGGGGCGCCACCGAAGGACAGGTCAAATACCGGATTTGTGAAGGCGGCTGACAACGACTGGACAGAGGCCTGGCATCGGATCGTCAGCACTGACTCATCAAATCGTTTGGCAATCAATTTGTTTGGCACTAAACTGACTGAACACAGCTCCGACTCAGATACCGGAGCGCTGGTTATCAATGATGACAATAAACTAATTATAAGACACAATAGTGACTGTCTCTTAATTAAATAATATTTACTGAATTTTATTTTATGAGACATGTTTTTTCATATTTTATGACAACTTTTCAATAATTATTAATTTAATTTAATATTAAACTATTTAGTATAAAAATAACATTTATTAAATCAAAAAAAGTGAGAGTAATTTGATAACATTTGATAAAAAAAACTTTAAACAATTAAAATACTTAAATAATAAAAAAAAGTTTATCAATAAAAATATTGATTCATAAAACTCATTAATAAAAAGCTATTTTTTCTTATATATAATAAAACACAAAATTAAAGAAAAAAAACATTAAAAAAAAGTTTTGTTGAGTACACTAAACGTCAGTTATTCATAATTTTTACAGATTATGTATGAGTTTTCATGTGTTTTCAAACCACAAAACATTTTTTTTACTGTTAAGAGAAAAAATCAAATCAAATATTAAGAGAAAGAAGACGAACAAGAATTAGATGAAGACGTGATCAGAATTCGGGCGTAAAATGAGTTTAATTTTTTGTCTTTTTTCAGTTCATTTATACTGTTATATACCGTATAATAATAATCACAATCTATAAGTCATTCTCAAATAAATTATAATAATATGTAAAATAAAATCATTTGAGAGAGAAGTGGTGTCTTGAGAGCACTGTTTTTGGGAAAACTCGTTGAGGGGAACGGTATGCTATCAGTCGGTGGGCGCACTCACTCACTCACTCATACGCACCACCAGTGCTTGTGTTTGACAACCAAAAGAGTAATAATTCTTATGTATGTTTGTCTCTGCCCTTGGATTTCCCATTTGAATGCTTCTCCGCATTCATTCAACGATTTAGGATAACTCTAAGCACACAATATACCAGTTATTTTGTTATTAAAAGTATTAGTATTACTGTATTTTTATTATTATTATTATTATTATATTATACAATAACTTTTAGCCCAATGACACACAATTGCATGTATGTGTATATGTTGTTTGCTATTGTTGTGAATCGCATCAACTTTTTTTTAAATCACTATAACAAACTCACATATTTTTAGATACACTTTCTAAACGTATCGCATGATAGTAATACTATAACATAGCGTATAATTTAATATATTATATAAATAAAAAATTTCAACTAAAATATAATATTTTAAATAACACTTCAATTTCACGCTTTATCCAATAAGTGTATGTTTTTGTTATTGTTAGAAATTGTTTATCCAAAACATAACTTTTTTGTTGCTGGTATTGGATTTATTAAAATTATTTATTTTGAAAATTTGCTACAACTATATTGTATAGCAATTTCCTTTATTTAATGAAACAAAACATTTTTTCGTATTTTAATGTCTTATTAAATTGTTGATAAGTTATGCACTGGTATTTCATATGTAATTTTAACTATTTATTTATATATATAGGAAAATGTTTGAACATAAACGACAAAAAAAATTCTTAGAAAAAAATTGTTTGCTAATGAGTACAGGTAATCAATTTTATTGCTATTTTTAAATATTAATTGAAAAATAGTCTAAATTTATATATTTTTAAATTGTAAATTAATTTTTGTTTGTTTATATGTGTGTGTGATTTCAAAAAATGCGTTGATATGACTATTAATATTAAAAATAAAGTTATAATTTTTAATGATTTCTCTCAGCGTTAATTCAGTGCAAAATTAGTTAAGCGCTTAATCATAAAATTGAAGGCAAACAGGATTTTCAAAAAAGCTGTTTAAATACATTATAGTTAAATAAAAAAAAATACTATAATATATTATTTATATCTAATAATCTAATGATATATATACTGTAAGTGTACTGTATGTGTTGTACACATTTTATATACACCGTGAAAAAGATAAAAAACATTACATAAAAAATTTACATAACATTAATTCAATAGCACTTCAATATTATAATAGTCAACAACAAAAAAATATAATAATTTTTAGTTGAAAACTTGTCATATGCACTATAGTACTACTAATATTACTGTATAATTACAATAATAATAATACATTTTTGTATATACTATTGAATGTACTGTATATACTGTATATAATGTATTGTTAGTTAACTGTAGTTCTAATACATGAAAATATGATATTATAATTGTTTTTATATTAAGTATAGCAACAAAAAATGCTATAATTGCCATCACTTGTTGTTATAGTACTGTATATACTCTTATACATGTATGTCTATAGACTATAATACTACAGTATATACAGTATATCATAGATGTATAATTTGAGACAATAGTGTGTAGGCTTGAGAGCTAGTGATGTACTTAATAATCACTGTATTATTATTATTATTAATTCAAATATATTTAATATTTTGTTCATTCATTTAAATCAACATTTTGTTTCCGCTTTTGTTTTGAGCTCTCATTTATTATTATAATAAAATAGACGATTATTTACAGTACTGTTTAAATAGTATTCATATTATATAAATTGTTTCATCGGTTTAGCCCAATATTCATGAATTGTTAGACAAATTATTTCCTAATTTTTAGATTCAATCAACTCATCAATTGAATTAACATTTAAGAGGTCCCTCACTCCCCACCAAAACTAATAAAACATTAATTTGGATTTGTTTTTGCATTTGATTATTATTAATATGTTTGACGAAAAAATTGAGATTTACTTTTGTGAACAAATAATAACATTATATTATGATATAATAACAAAATTACTTAATTATATTATACTGTAGACTATAATTTCAAAATAATATAGATATTTTGTGGTATATTTATTACTAAATAATACTATAAATAGTAGAATATTTATTTTTATTATTAAAATTCTAAAAAACTTGAATTATTTTATAGTTCATATATAATTTGTAAATAAAGTAATAAAAATTAATTTTAATATTTTATTATCAAAATATTTTACCTGAAAAAAAATACTTATTACTCGATGTTACTTTAGATTATCAAATTGTTAGCATTAATTTTAAAATTGCATTTTTAAAAATCAATATTAATAAATATTAATGTTGACGATGTAAATTCATTATAATTTTAATTTATTATTTTTTATCAAATATTAAATTCCCATTAAAAACAAAACTTATATATTCATAATAATAAATTTGAAAAATCATTTTTTTATAGCTAATGAAATTTGGAAATTAGTTTAGTATTGATAATATAAAATTTAACTTTATACTGTACTATATTCAATGTCATAATAGTTAAATTATAATATTTATACACCGTATATGCACACAAAAATATTTTACTTTTAATAAAAAGTTAATAAATTATACAAATTGTGTGGCATTTTTTAACTGTAAAATAAGGAAATATTTGACATTACAATTTAATTATCAGTTTAGTAAGTATTTTATTATTGTATAAGTTTTTGTTTTTACTTAAAAATATGTTTTGTTCAATAACTTTATTTAATAATTAATGATATTTATCTGTTTTGTGATAATTAACACTACATAGTATTAGTACGATATGCGTGTGTATGTGTTATGTCTAAAAAAAGAGGATATGAAACAAACAAAAATATTTTTTAAAAATCAAACAATAAAAACATAACACAAGCATTCATGCATTGTATTGTATAATTATTTTATCTCTTTTACATTTTAAAAATCTATTTATCAAAAATTTTTTTTCGTTAATAATATACTGAATAATACTGTACTTGTATTTCAATTTTTAAGTCAAGAACTATTTAAATAAGAAGAAAAAAATTGATGACTTATTTGGTAAAATCAACGAAAAAAACAATTGAAATACAAAATCACATACAAATTATTGTTTGAAAAAAAGTTTGTTTGATTTTTTTTAATAGAATAAAAACAATTTTCAATATTTTAATAAATGTAATTCAAATATTGATAATCAAACATCAGTTTTGAAAAATGTATTGTCTCTTCAATTGCTAAAACATTAATATATTTTTGACATTATTTTTAAAATCTAAACAGTAAAGTGATTTAGTGTTTTTTCAAAATATTATTTTTGAAAAATTTTTCTGCATATTTTTTTGCAAATATTTATAAATTGTTTGAGTAAATATATTCATTACATTTATGGTGTGTAATACCAGTTGATATATTTGACAAATTAGTTGTATAAAAATCACAAAAATAAACACTTGGATAATAAATTATTTAAAAACAATAATATTTATCATTAATTAGCTCAAAGGTTGTAATGTATAAAAAACAGTATAGGTTTCTTACAGTAGTATCCAAATTAAGTGATAAATTATAAATTTAAATAAAAATTTTAAAAAGGCTCCAATACTTGCTTATATCTAAACTTTAATTGCTTGGTCATAAAAATATTTATAAAATAGCATATAACTTAACTGATTAGTATTTTGTCAGCACCTGCAAAAATAATAATAAAATATGATGATTAATATTTTAATTTTTATTAAATTAGCATGTTAAAAGCTAAATACAAACACAAATAAAATTTTCATATGATTGAAATCAATAATAATAATAAATTATTGTTTTAAATTAATTATGATGAATTAGTCATATATAAATATAAAATATTAATATTATAAATTATATAAAATTTATATATAAAATAAAATCTTATATATGTGAAAATATAATATGTTGAAAATTACAACATTATGTAATATTGCTGATATAAAGTATTTGCTTTAATTATCCACTTATGATAAATTAAATATACATTTTTTCTATACTCTTGTTTACTTAAACAATTATCGTATATAAATTAATTTAAAAAATATTTTTATCGATATTTATCTTCAAGTCAAACAATTAACATATGTTTTGTAAATATAAAATTATAGTTAATAAAAACAGATTTAATTTCAAGAAAGCTTAAATTTTTTAAATGATTACCTCATTTGATTAATTATTAACTGATTAAAAATTATCGATTTAATATTAAAAAACTTGAAAATTATTGTTTACATACAAATATAATAAGTGAAATATAATAGCCTATTATTAATATTAATTTCAATGATTAAGCAACAAAATACAATTAATCTTAAATCAAGTTTATTATTAATAAATAAATAATTATAATATATTAATAATATGTTAATTAACACTTATTTATATCTTGATTAACAAAAAATTTTGTGTTAAACAATAGCTAATATGAGTCACCTTTTAAAGGCTACCACTTTTTAATGATAAATGTATTAAATGTTAGTTTCCAAAAAAAAATCTGAATTTAATTTATTTATCGTTTGACTTATTATTTTGTTAAATTTGCTAAAATACTAAATATTTCGAAATTTTAATATAAAAATTTACCATTTTTAAAGATAATTTGTTTAAAAAATACTAAAAATATGAACTTTTCAAAAATTAATTAATTATTTCTACAGTATATCTCTGTACTGAACATAATATACTGTATTATAAAACAATTACATCTAATATCATATTCGTTGAAATCAAATGTTTGCAAATAAAAATAAATCTCATTTCTTATATATTAGTAATTATTTAAATATTGAGAAATATTTTTGTTTATTACAATTATACTAATTATATTCTAAATTTTATGTATAATAAATTTAATTATGATGTTATAATTATTAAAGATTATAATTATACTGTATATTAATATAATAGTAAAACTAATATTATATAAACTTTGTACTATACCTTTACTATACTTTTATAAAGCAATTAAGTAATAATTTTACTTTAAAAAATATTGCTTTATTTTATCTTATTTTAATTGCCATCTCGTGATTTATAATGAGAGTATTTAATAATTTTTTTATCATTTTTATTATTACTAATAAATTATTAAATAAACTATTAAATTATATTATATAATACAATACATTAAGCATTAAACTAATGTTATTGCTTACTATAATATATATATATCGATTGCATTTAATAGTGCAGTAATGATAAACACTAAGTGAATATAAGTTATTTTATTAATACATAAATTTAACCTATAATTCACAAGTCATATGTTTAAGACAGTCCAGTACTATATACTCTATGAACTCATATTTGTTATGTAATAAAATTATAGTGAATCTCATATATATTTAATATATTTCTAGTCTATAATATTTTTTTTATAATTATCTAATAGTTTTAATAGTTATAAATAAGAAATAATAATAATTTTATTAATAAATAATTAATTTAAATAACCCGATAATTAACATATGATTTAAATACTTATATAACATAAATTTGATGTAATCTATTAATATGTTTTAATTTATAGAATTTTATTAATAAAATCGCTTTAATAGCAATATATGCCATATTGTGTTATATTTGTTAATTATTTATGATAAATAGGAAATATATAGATAGAATTATAAATCAATAATTGACATGGATGATAATCGTGAAAGTACCAAGCTACAATCAAAATTTAAAGATCTAATTTGTCTATAAATATAGAAATGACATAATTTATTTGAGTACCCCAATAAACTAAAGTGGATGAATATTTTTTGCCACTACTGTATTATAACTTTACTTTACTAATAATATATAATTAAAATAAAGTAAAAATTAATATTTTTAATAATTATTGGTCTAATTTTTAATTTTGATGATTTTGTTATTTTACTAAAAAATAGGCATCTAGTATATGATAAAATTGTTAATTAATTATTAATATTATAAATAATTGGGTGTCATCTGGACTATTGGTCAGTCTATTAATGTATAGTCAAAAGCAAAGAGCATATAATTGAGTGTAAAATAGTTGTGTAAATGCAATGATTAATGCATTTAATGATATGTATTGAAAAATGGCTCAATTGTTGTGTTAATCAATGTTTTGGTTTCAATCAAATTGTTTACCAAAAAATATTTGACACAACTTTTGAATTGCAATTTAATTTGATTATCGCAGTTGTCGTCAACCAAATGATGTCCACATTATTGTAGTTATCGACGGATTCATTGAGTGATCTATTGAATCGATCGATAGCTTTGAAAGTGTTTTTTTTGTCACAGAAATTGATTTCTCCGTTTGTGTCAGTCATGTATCCGATGACTGCATCCAAGTGTCTGTCTTTAGTACTGTTGGTCACATTGTTTGTCTGTTTCGTCGACAGCAAACAGTCCGTCAATGAGATCCACTCATCACAAGACATCCACTTTGATGATGACGACGACGACGACATCAACGATGACAAGGACTTTGATTTTGATGATAAAAAATCGGTATTTGTTTTGCCATTTCATTAGTTAACGTGTGTTTGATTTCTTTGTGACCAATCTGTATGATCTCTTTTAACAGATATCAAAGCAAACTTTGAACCGCGATTTGAAGCAAATGTACAATTGGTGGACTGTTGAAGACATTTGCAAAGATGTCAAATGCAAGCCCTGGCAGTATTGTGTGATTAAAGGCAAAGGTGTAGCCGTTTGTGTCACCAAAAAGGACGCCAAGAATGGCAAAAAAGTGGAGAAAGATCCGTTTGTCGAGAAATTAGCCAAAAGTAAACAAACTATTGACTCGTCAATCGATGACGAAGATGATGACGAAGAAGACGATTACGAAGAGGACATTGAAGACAAAAGTAATTACAGTAAATTGTCGGACGACACTAATCCGCTCAAACAGTGTACGCCCTGTCCAGTGGTTCGGCCGGAGTTTATTTGCGGTTCAGACAACGCAACCTATTCATCCAAATGTCGACTTGATTTCCATAACTGTGTCCATCGGACTCGGATTACACTTCAGTGCAACGGTTTCTGTCCGTGCAATAAAAAGTCTTTTTCCAAGAAGTATAAGAACGACAACAAGAAATGGTTGGAAACTACTCGCAAAACTGGCAAAGACTTTGATAACAATAATTTAAAAAATACAAAATTACGAGAAATTAAAAAATCTAATAATAATAAGGAAAAAGATTTTAATCAAAATGATTGGCAAAAACAGAAGAAACCAAAGTTATATTATAAACAACAAAACAAATTCAAGAAATCAGATGACAAGGATAGTAGAAACTCGGTGTTACCAAACAAACACTGGGATAAAGCGTCGACAATAATTGAGCACAAGAAGTGTTCAGCCGATGAGCTCAAAAGTATGGGTTCGCGACTACTCGATTGGTTCAGTGTTGTCATCGCTGAACAAAAGAAGGATCATTCGGCGATGAGCCGCAAACACTCGGCCTTTAAAATACCCGATTGTCAGCCACAGGTCTCCTATATGTTTCACCACTTTGACACAAACGGCGATTTAAAGTTATCACTCAAAGAGTTGTATTACTTAGAACACGACCAGAACGAGCATTGTCTTCAACCATACTTAACACAATGCGATGAAGACAATGACCAGTTCCTCAGCGCTTACGAGTGGTGCACATGTTTTGACAGAAAAAGTAATTTTTAACATCAATTTAGTTTTAATTTCATATTTAATAATATAATATTTATTTATACGACAGGTCAGCCTTGTTTACATGCATTAAAACATATGAAAAAAGGATTGTTAGGCGCTTACACCCCTCAGTGTGATATCCAAGGCTTTTATAAGCCAATGCAATGTCACTCGAGTTCGGGTATGTGTTGGTGTGTCGATAAAAATGGCGTCGAATTTACTAATACTAGACGAAGAGGTTTACCCGATTGTAGTAAGTATTGACAAATAATTTGCTCTCAATTTATGTGATAAATGAAGAAATAATAGCTAAATATCTGTCTATATTGACATACAAACAGAAGGATTGCTGAACAGAGCCCGTCACAGAACTATTGATGCATTGGAAAGTCGTGAAGACATTGACGTCGACGACGATGGCGATGATGATGACGACAACGGTGGCTCCGGTGACGATCGCATTAGTCTTTAGATAATATCACTCAATATAAGTTGAATAAGTGGTAGTATTTTATTTGTCTCAATTCATTCCAATAATAATTCGACAATTTTTATTAAAAATTATAATATTAATATTTACAACAATATTATGGTATTAATTACCAGTATTTAATTCAATTGAATAGTTATAGAGCGAAATCGATGTCTTTATTGTTTATTAGTAACAAAAAAATTTACTTAAATACTCATATCATTGTTTGTATGTATGATTTAATCTAATAGATGACTGTTATTATCTTTTTTGGGACCAAACTTTTTTTATGGGCCCATAAAAGGTAATAGTTTTTGCCAAAATTTCACAAACCATTTGCTAAAAAACCTATTGCCATAATATTGCATAACAAAAGTTATGTTTTTAAACCATAACCACAAATATATTGTTGCCATAAATTGTATTACTTTTATATACATTAATCCGGTTTTGGTTTATTATAATCTTATTTTGGATAATATGTTATTTTTTATAATCATATATAGATATCATATATTTTAATTTTTTATGTATCGTAAGCTATTTTTTAAAATGTTTTTATTTTGTTATATTTATTGTTATTATCATTATTATAATTAATTTAATTAGTATAACAACACAATCGACAATAAACACACTTTAAGTTTGTATTTTAGTTTCCAAACAACAAAATCCAGTGAGTCTTCCATTTGAGTTAATTATTATCATTTGATTTGTAATTTAATTACTTTTTTGTTATTTAGTAAATCCATAACAAAGTGTATTTTAATTACAAATCTCATTAATGTTTTAATTAATTTTGTTTATATAATTTAATTGTATAAAAGCTGTCAATTTGTGGTCACATCACATACACATTACTATTAATATATTTAAAAGTAATAATAATAACGTTAATAATGTTTTATTAATAAATATACACTTATTATATATGTATATCTTATCTTATATTATATAAAATATTATATTCATAGGAATATAACAATTAGTTTTTGAAATGTCTTTAGACATAAACCCCTAGAAGTGCTGCCAAATCCATAGGTTTTGTTTATAAATAATTTTAATAAATTGTTTAATTGTTTTACTATTATTATTAAAAATTCAACACTTGTTTGTAATTTCACTAATTATGTATTAATATTATATTAAAAAGTATGTAAAATTATTAATGTATTTACATTAGTTATTTATTGTATCAATAAATAAAATAAATTTTAGTAAAAAATCTAAAATTATTTTATTAATTTTATCAACTCTACTATTAAGTTATCGGTAAATTTGGGTAAATATAAGTTATAGTTAGTATTTATATAAAAATTATTTTTCAATACAGTATAATGTAAAATTGAAATTTAATGTGGATTTGTAGGAAAAATAGTTTTAAATAATTGAAATACAATACTGTATTTCACTTGAGGTTAAATGATTGTCAGTATTAAATTTAATAACATTTATATAAATTATATGATATAAATAATTTGCTATTAATTAATTAATTATTAAATATTAAAATCATTTTTGGCAAAAATACTTTTAAAATTTATTTTTATTTACTTTAGTTAATTTTACATTTGTTTGTCAAGTATATTATTTTTATTATTATATAATTGAAACTAAATTTGCCCTTGATAACATTTATAACAATATACAGGTTAACTTATTTACATACACAAAACATATACAAAAATAAATATTAATTAAATAAATTAGTAAATTTCACTTAATTATAAATTTTTGTTAATTAATTTCATTTAATATAACAATTTATTTAACAAAAATATAAATCAAATCAATTGTTAACTTTAAGTGTTAAACATTCAAACATTAAGCGCACATAAAATGAATGATAAATAGTATTATTGAATAAAAATATAAACACAAAAACATATGACTATTGAAAACAATGTGTTATTTGAGACGTCTTTCGGCTCATTGTTTGAAATACAGACCACTATTATCGGCACCAACACTACGGTCCCGACAAGTGGCCAGTATTCACAACTTGAGTACTGACGAAACACCATCGCTGGTCACTATTGAGAAACGAGAAGAAGTTACACTTATTGGTATCAATCGGCCGACAAAAAGAAATTGTGTCAACAGAGAGACCGCCGGACAACTGTTGCGGGCATTCAATGACTTTGAGACAGATAAGACATCACCGGTAGCCGTATTGCATGGCAATGGCGGTACCTTTTGCGCCGGTTATGACCTTAAAGAGCTGTCAGAGACCAACGCCAGTCTATTGGATCAGTTCTTAGTGCGCGGACCTATGGTTTGTGTTTTTTTGACATTGATTTTTTAGATATCATTTACCGATTAATTAGTTAAACGGATTGTAATTAAAGTGCAATTAGTGATATCCTTAGGGACCGACACAGATGTTGACTACCAAACCAATTATTGGCGCTATTGATGGATACGCTGTGGCCGGCGGTCTTGAATTGGCGCTGTTGTGTGACCTCCGAGTGGTCGAAGAGAATGCAATAATGGGTTTCTTTAATCGACGCTTTGGTGTCCCACTCATCGACGGCGCCACAGTTCGTCTCCAGAGACTCATTGGTCTGTCCCGAGCCTTGGATCTCATATTAACCGGTCGCGGACTGAGCGCTAAAGAAGCGCTTGAGTTTGGATTAGCCAACAGAGTGGTAGCCGTCGGCACTGCATTAGGTCAGGCCTACAATTTGGCAAAATCTTTGGTTAAGTTTCCTCAAGAGTGTCTCAAAGCCGACAGACATTCGACATATTTTTCAGCATTTGATGGCAAGTCTATGGAAGAGTCGCTGAAATACGAGTTTGAAAACGGAAAGCCTATCATCAGTAAAGAGTCCATCGAAGGTATGGCCAATAATTGATATTTAAAATCTTAAAATATTTTTTTTGTGTGATTAGGTGCCAACAAGTTTGCCGAAAAAGGTATCGGAAAACACGGAAAGTTTGTTTTGCATAACTTTTCATACGATGTTAAAGTGACCGTATAATTGATATACAATTTTTTTGATAATAAAAATATGTTTTTTTAGTAAATAAAATATTGTGAAATTGTATTTTTTTATTTTTATTTATTTGATAATGAAATGGATATCTTTTAAATTTTGAGTTTTTAAAATGAATTCTGTTTTTTCTCAAATTATATATATTTAAAAAAAAATAAACTATTAAATTGCAGACGTGTTTTGTCTACAATTTACTGGTTATAATCGGTTGATTCAATATTTTAAAAAAAAATAAAATAAAAAATATTACGATTGATAGAAATTTTCCAATAAACACATTATTTTGAAATGAGACTAATATCAAATTTTCATGCAATTGTAATGTATTTGCCGGTAATTATAAATAAATACTATATATACTGTATATTTATAATTGTTTAGTTTATTTTATTTACTAATTTTTAAACAATATTTTGTAAGCAAAAAATAATCAAATAATTTCTTTATATAAAACTCGAAAATAAATACCGGTAATTGTTTTGTTAAATTTATAAGTTTAGATTTAAAAAATAGTAGGTAATGGTTAATAAAATAAATTATAATATTAAAAAAAAAATATATTTTTATTTCATATTTAGCATCTCTAATCTAATATAAACCCTTAATACTTTAAAATATAATTTATATCAAATTGTTTAAAAAAGTATTTTATTTATTTTATTTTTCAATAGATTAAAGTTTTTCAAATATAAATAATAAACATATTACTTTTTTTATTAATATTTGAAACATAAATTAAATAAAATCGCTTATCATTGAGGTTATCAATAATAAAGTATCATATCATTTAACTTAAATATTAAATTTAATCTAATTTTTACTATATAAAAGTTATATTATTAAATAACATTAAACCCTAATCAAGTCATATTAGTTAAGTACTGTATTTGTTAAAAAAAACTTATAAACATCTACAGTATATTTGACATTATATGATGCATAATATAGTAAATTATATAACTTTATTATTAATGTTAAAATTTTGTTTTATAATAATAAAAGATTGTTAATAAAGTACTGTATATTAAAAAGAAGTTAATTGCTAAATATGATAACAGTTATATAATATAAATTATATATTTATTAATTTAGTTAATAAATATATTTAATGTTAACCACAACACTACTAAATTATTAGTAATAAATAAATATTCATATATTATATTTTGATATTAAAATTGTATTTCAAAATTAAAATAATAAACTATTTGGTTCTAGAAAATACTGCAATATATAAAAATATTTTATGCAAATAGTCTAAAACTTATTAATAATACAAAATCAAAATGCAATATTTAATTAAATATTAAATATATTGCATTATCAAAATTTTTATTGTTTTTACATTTATCATAATTGCTAACAATTATTGCATGTTTACATTATTCAAGTATAACTTGAATTAAATTATAAATTATAATTATTTTTTAAATAAAAACCTTGTGCAAATTAATAATAATCACACCTAATTGTACTAAAATATAATAATAAATTATATATAAAATAAACAATATTTTATAATATTTAGTTTTTTGTTATTGAAAATTTGCATATTTTATTCATTTACAGACATATGATGAAAGTCAAAACAATTTTTATTATTCTTAAAAATTTATTACAATTAAATAATCATTAAATTTTCTAAAACTACACTTATAATTATTTAAGTTAAATATTATAATTATTAGTCTATGAATTCAATTGAATTTTGTTTGTTTGTTTGATTTATTTGTTAACCAATCGTCATCAAACAACTAGTGTTTAGATCATAATATTTAATAAATATATTTAATAACTAATTTTAACTGGTATTACCAATTAAATTTACTGTTTTCAATATTATAATCAATCAATAATTAACTGATTTATTTTTCTTTTAAATATATAAGAAATAATTGATAATAATTTGTAAATACTTGAACTTTATTACAATATATTTTTTTTGTTAAGCTTATGATTGAGCAACAAATGTAGTGTACTTTGAATCCCGGCTGAAGACATATACCAAAATCAAAATCATTTAATTATAAAAATAAAAGTTCAAAATACAACATAATTCTACCGATTCTTTATAATATATAAAAGTGATATTTTTAGATAAAATTAGTATAATTTGCTGACACCACTCTAATTGTATATTATTTATATAATTATGATATTATATATAATAAATTGATTGCACTAAAAAATCGGTCAAAAAAGGATCGGTTTGATACTAAAGCTATTTTTGCTTTTAAGATTAATTAACATTAATAAAACTTAACTACAACTAATACAGTATTTTTTATTTAAAAAAAATTGTGCAAAATTTGCAATCATTTTTTTAGAGATAATATATATTAATTATATTAAAGACATTAACTAATTAACAATTTAAAAAGTAACATTAATTTGACATGGAAATTCCCATTTGATTAAATATTAAATGCTTTTTATGTATTATTTTTTATAAATTGTACTTTTATAAGTTTAATTGATAAATAAATAAAAAAAAGTACAACAAATGTGTAATATGTTACATGAATTGAAATTTTATGCATTATTAAACACAATACAATATATTAATATATTTTTTTGTATAAACAATAGTTTGACAATTATTTAAAAAATATTGATCATTTATTTTATTTCAATAATAACATATTGTCATGTGTTATACTGTATTTAACATTAGCTGATAACATGATTTTTAATGGTATTATGATGTATTTAGTACAGTATATACTTGTATATTGTATAATATTGAATGAAAAAAATATATATAATTTTAAAATACTGTAAATATTTAGTTTTGCCAAAATTCTATAAATATTTTTTGATTCAATTTTCAACAATATATTTAAGTGCCAAATAAAATATACAAATAATATAAACATTTTTAAATTATGACATTTTTAAAATAAAAATCAATGGTGTAAATAATTTGTATTAATACTTCAAAACACATATATTTATGGATAATTAAATTTATATTGAATATTATTTATTTATTAATTTTTTTAAATAAATGTGATAATTATTTATTAAAATTTATAGCATACTTTCACTTTTAATTAGATTTTTTTTTTGAATAGCCTATTGAACTCTTATCATAATTTAGTCTTAATTATGATTTATAAATATTTTTATCTCAAAAAATGAATATTTAATATGTATTAAATGTATTCAACTTATCATTTCAAGTCCTTGAATGAGTTGAATATTGTCTATAACTTAAATGACATATCAGTAAAAAAATATGTTTAGAAAATCCCTTAAACAGTGATAATTGATTGACATTTTAGCAAACATAATACTACTGCATTAATAAATTATTATTATTATAAAAACAAAATAATTGCCTAACAAACAAATGAACAAGGCAAATTATTGTTGTGTCAGTTAATATATTATTTAAAAAATCAGTCATTCACTGCATGCAAACGGTGCCCAAACATGCAATTATATTTGTATATACATGTAATTCTGTATATTCACCTAAATTAGGTACACGTGAACATAGGTTGGCTTAAAACGTGATCTCAGTGTGAATATACAGCTGATATTTGGTTGAGTCATAATTGGTGGTACATCTAAATCAATATGTTTGATCTAGTTTGAATTTTATTAGTTAGTTTCTGGGCATTTTTTGGAGCTCCCGGAGCTAGTCATAGGGTATAGTTATTGTATATAGTCAGGAGAGATAAGCTTTACACTAATTGGCACATCAATAGTTTTTTATTTGTGAATATTTGGTGACTAAAATATTATAAATAAAAAAACTGATAATACTTTTATAAGTACTGTATTATTAATCAATGATATGAGACACTCGACTGTCAAGTGTCTGTTAATTTCTGGTTAATGTTTTTTTGCGACAACAATCAATAAAATACATAATATCTAAAAATATGTGTATCGACTGACTAAATACCAAATTACTAAATTGCAAAATAATATTATTGTTTTTTTAAATTTAAATTTTATTTATATTATTTTTTCTGGAAATTGTTTTTCGTCTTATTGTTTGTAATAAAATATTGTTCAAATATTTTAAAATAAAAATACATTATTCTATGTAAACTTGCAATGAATAAAAATATACAAAAAATAAAAATAAAAATATTTTGACTAAAAGTACATTTACAATGTGTATAATTGAGTTTAAAAAACAAAGTTATAATGATATTACTGGTGATTACTAGTGATGATGAGTGGTGTCCTTGAAGATTACGTAAAGGGTAGATGTTATCCACAACTCGTTTACCAATAGTATTGTTTGGGGAATCCGTTTTCAACTGTGCTGTCAATGCAATCATATTAGAGTACATACTCTCTATGCGATCAGTCGTTGAAGACATGATGATCACAGAGAAAGAGAGAGAGGCATTGAAAAGCCTGTGAATAATAATAATAATAACTCATCTAAAAAAACATAATAAAAACATATATAAACTTTGAAACACGTTATCAGATGCATGGTATGCACTGTTACGTCATCTCATGTGATAAAACAGATCATTAGGAGCTCCCAAACTATATAAGCCGTTCCCCATTCGTCTCAAACGATCAATTCTTTCACAAACTATAAACTAATAGTTTCTGAAAAGCCTTTAAATTGAGAATTATTTAAATATAAATTCTTTAACTTAAAAGTTATTATTAAAACTTTTATACATAAGAGAAAGCTATGGATTTGGTTCACGAGAACAGTATATCTGCCATTTCGGTGATTCAGAGCAGGTATTTATTCAACCATTCAATTATTTCCTCCAGAAAAGAGATTTTATCTCTGATTATAATTTAAATAAATTACTAATTCTTTGTATTTTTCTTTCATTCAAATAGTTTCACCCAACAGAAGAGTCTGATGTTTTTGTTATCCAATGTATTTGATCCGCGCTATGCCTTCCTGTTCTACAGTCCACTGATTTTCTCATTGAACCGTTACGCCGGCCGTAAGCTTATGTGGGTGGCGGTGATGGCTGAGTGGTCCAATCAGATACTCAAATGGATAATGCACGGCGAAAGACCCTATTGGTGGATACATGAAACAAATGTCTATAACAAAACTGGCGAAACACGGCTCCCGGCTATTGAACAATACTTTATGACCTGCGAAACTGGTCCGGGATCGCCATCAGGTCACGCTATGGTAACGGCGGCTGTCTGGTACATATTGATTGAGGCATTCCTCCGACAAAAAGGCACACTAACGAAACGATCAATTGTTAACCGTCTTTGTTGGTCCATTTACACCATTGGTTTGTGCGCCGTTAGTCTGTCCCGAATCTATTTGGCCGCTCACTTCCCGCATCAGTGCGCTCTGGGAATGGTCATTGGCGTTGCAGTGGCAATGCTGGTCAGTCATTTAGACACCGATAGTGTTACCCGAAAGCAATACATATGGGGCACTATTGGTCTGTTTGCATCAGCAATGGCCACCTATGCCTTACTCAAGATGATGGGTTTCAATCCAATGTGGTCGGTGGAGAGGGCACTCAAATGGTGCGCCAAACGAGAGCACATCCATTTGGATACCACACCGTTCTTCTCGATTATGCGCTACACCGGCTTCTTCCTGGGTATGGGTCTGGCCTTACACTCAAATCTATACCGTATGGCTACTAAAGATGTGTTCAGCACATCCATGAAGATCTCTGCCGCTGTACTGTCCGTTGGCTTTGCAAAGGCGACCGAATTTATTCCGATGCCTAAACATAACGTCACACTTTGCTATGCTATTGCATTCCTCATGAGTGCTGTACTTCCTTATGTCTTCATAGCAATCATACCATATATTGTCTCAAAATTTTCTCTCAAAAGTAATCAAAAAACAAAATCTAACTAATTATAAATTTTTTTATTGTATATATCAATCATTTTTGTAAATAATACATCAATCATTTCTTATATATTTTTTGTTAACAAATTAAAATTTGTGATAAAATTAAACCTGATCATTTTGAAAAATAAATAAAATGATATATTTTACAAATTATTTATTTGATTTATAAGATTATCAAATAATTTTTCTTATATTATTAATTTCTAATTATTACTACAGTAACAAACATGATATACTATAATAATTAATTGTATTATTATTATTATTACTTTTATATAATCACATTTGTTGAGTACCTGAATAATTCAAGGCTTTATTAATTTTGTTTGTTAACAATTTGTGTTATTATATTATATTGAATATATGCCTATTCGGTAAATTACACTAATTTTTATACTATAATTATCAATTTTATGATTCATAATATAAATGTTTAAAAAATAAATTGCTTTTTCAGCTTAAAATTGTCATTTAATCAAAGAAAAGTTTTAACTGATTAAATAATTAAATAAAATAAACTTTTTATTTTTAAAATGATTTTTTTCTATAACATTTTATGAGTAAATAAAAAAATGTTTATTCAGTTTTTATATCATTTTCAAATAGCAAATCAAATATCAAACATAAAATATTTCTATTATATTCTTTAAAAAAAGATTTAAAGTAAAAATATACGAATCACTATAATTGCATTGTATTTATATATTAATATTAACTAACCATTGATTTTATTAGATTCTAACTTTAAGATACCTGAGCTACAGTTGAACTCTACCTATAAATATTGTAAATACACTACAGATGATATATATGTATGTAATACATACATGCTATGTATCTACTATATGTGTATATAATTTGTAAGCATACAATATTTTCATTGTCATTATTATTTATAATATCAGATTATATTTTATAATTTCCGGTGCTTTTATTTAGGCCATTATTGAAGGGAAATACTTGTATAGTCTATATTAAATGAAAATATGATTATAAAAGATATGACTTCTTATCATTTTATTTATTAATATACAAATACTATCAGACAAACAAACAAAAAAATCTATTAAATACTGTTGAATACAATGAAAGTCATGAATGCAATAATATTCATAAATTCATATACTGTATGATTGCTATGGATTTGTTGGTTTAATATTGAATATAAAAAATTAATAATTTGGAGGATAGCATGACATTGAATTATTATCACATTTTTACTTATAAAAATAGGTATATAAATATTATGACATATTAATAATGAAATATAATATCGTGGTATTTATAAAACTAATTAATCCCTACAATTAAAATAGTTTTGTGAATTGGAAACTTTTTTTGTGTTATTTTTGATGAATGAAATAAACAATTTATTTTGTAATTAAAGTCTTTAATAATAATGATAATAATAATAAAGTCTTAATTAAACAAAACAATACCTATTAAATAATAATAATTTTAATAATATAAGTTTTATCTCATCAGAGTTTTTTTATTGCATTTGTCATATGTTTGCCGCAAAAAAATAACACAATAAACAACACATACAAGAAAATGTCATTTATTTAGCGGTTATTTAGTTGTGTTTTTTAATCATTAATTATAATCGCAAAGATTTAGATGACTTTTGTATTTTTTGTTATTATTATTATTATTACATTTAAAATTACTGTAAATATACTGTACTATATGTCTCATAAGTGTAGACAACAAATTTAAGGGAAACAACGGTTGACTACTGTTGTGATTAAATTTAATATTATTATTATTATTATTATTATAAAACTACTGTTAAAACTAAAAATATTATTTGTTTAGTCATATAGTCTCTTGTATTAAACAAAAATTTATTGCTATTATATATATATACTTTGTTTTAATTGTTTTTTTTATCTCTGGTGCTATAAAATTGTGATGTGATGTTTATATTATAAATTTTGTTAATAAATACTTGGAAAAAAAGTTTAAAACAATTGATTTTTTCAGTTAATTCAGTGAAAGCAATTTTTGGTGATATTTATATCATATCAGTCATTATTAAATTATACAATCATTTTTTTATTGTAATTTATTTAATATTGTGTGAATTGATAGTTAATAAAACAATTAATAAAACATTTACAATACAACTCCCATTTATCTGTCAAATTATGTGAATATTTTCGCATAAAATACAAATTTATTATGTGATTAGATTATTACGAGAAAAAGTGAAATATAAATCTGTAAATTATTATTGTTGTCAATACAGTAATTAATAACATATTCAGACATATATTAATAATTATTTTTTTTGCGGATTTATACAGTAGTCTACATATAAACCTATTTAACAGTTCAAATGATTCATCGATAATATTAATAATAAAGAGTAAAATATTTGTTGAAATGTACTGAAATTATTTGATTATTATTTGATATCAATTATCATAAAACTTATTTTGTGAAGTGTTTTTGAAGTCTAGAATACTTATAATAATAATAAATTATTTTTACTGTATTTTTAATAAATGTTATATTGTATTATTAAAAATATTGTTTAATTTAAATGACTTGCATGATTATTTATATTTTATTATTAATTAAAAAAAACAAATTTTGTTTAAAACATTTATTTAATGAGTCATAAAAAAATATTGTTATCTGAAACATCATTATTTATATGTCTTTGACATACAATTGTATTATTATTTTTATTTTGTTAATTTTTTCATAAATTTTTATTTCATATACAATATTAGTGTTGTGTTGTCATAAAATTGCGACTAAATTTTGAAAAATATTTGTGAGATATATTTTGGCACTCAATTAAAAGCATCAAATTGAAACAGTGATTACAATTATTACAAAAAAAATCAAAGTTATGTCAGGTAACTATCAATTATACATATAATACTGTATTATGTTTTATTTATAACACAAATATTTAGCTATACTTTTTTTTTAAAAAATGACATTAAAAGCCATATTATAATTATAGAAATTTTTTTTGAGTTATTTTAAAAATCCGGATTCATTTGTGATTTTTGGTTAGTAAGTCATTGTTATTATTTTATATACCGGTATCTTATCAGTGAATTATTATTAGTCAAGTATGTGTTACTAACCATTTTTATATTAAATGCCTTTTATATAACTGAAAATATTATATACATTTATAATATTACAATATAAACCCATATATATATACATACAGAATAATTTGAAATTCAAAATAGCGCACAAAAAAATAATAAAACAGTTAATTTGCAAACTTGTATTTGAAATTTTCATTTCATTTTATGGATTTAATTAATGACAAATATAAATAAACCACATGTACTACAGTATTGTAGTAAATATATAATAACTTATAAATTTATAATAAATATAAAAGTTTAGTAAAAGTTTAATCCTATTAACATTTTGATGAGTATTTTTCTATAAAATATTTGCAAACAAACAGATAACTGGTTATTGTGTGGCACATGATTTATATCCACATTTAAACTCAAATAATATCAATAATAATAACTTTATTAATGTTTTTTTTAATGTGAATTATATATCAAATTAATTGACTGTTAATATAATTGATAGAAAATGTCGGTCACATGTGTTCCCGATGAAGACAATTGTTTCACTTTGGACTCAATAGTCAAGGCTTTGCGCACCGGTATAGCCGAAGAACAGGTGTGGGCTGTCATTCACCAGTCATTGAGTGCACTCAAAGAAGATATCAGTCAAGACCTGGACAGTCGTTATTTCAGAAATCCCGACAAAATATATATAAAAACTAACGGATGTGTCCATACAAAGACTTGGAGTAGATTTGTGTCTCAAGACTATGACAACAGTTCTGTGTCTGTAATGACAGTCATGTCTTCATTGGCACCACTCATATACAAAGCTCTGGACTACGATTCCAATGAAAAAGAAGAAGTGTGTGTCACTAAAGAATTAGAAAACGCCTTCGAATTGTTGATGAATGAAGAGATTGATGAAGGAATCGATGAGAACGAAGAGATACAAGTTTTGAACCAATTGCTAGATATTTGTTGCAATCGTACGGATAGTGATGACCACTACCGCAGCGTTTGTCGAGCTTTGGTGGCCGAAGCTATCGAAATATCGACATTTCTGAATAAAATATCATTTGGTACCCAAAAGTTGAACCAATTGAATACTATGATCGCTGAAAACAATGAAGACAATGATGATGTTCACGTCGAAGTGTGGGCTCATCTCTGGATGAAAGTGATGCGACAGCTGAGGGATGGGACGACTCTCAAAAATATTAATACATCGCCACAACAAACGGCAGCTAATATCAAACAAAGAGAGTATGAATTGACTCCCTATGAGATGCTATTGAATGATATCAACTCAAGAAGATATTCGCTAAAAAAGGTGATAAATCTGCCGAAACGGGTGGAAAAAGACGCCCGAACTTTGATTATGGATTTTATTAGATCGCGACCACCATTGAGACCAGTATCGGAACGGGTATTGAATCCAATCGCTGAAAAAGAGAAGACACTTCACGAAAAGCTGATGAATGATATAAAACAAGAACATCATCTGAAACCAAGTCCTCAACCATTTGAAAGAAAATTTGATTCATTTCATTATATGCCACGAAAACGATTTTCATTACTAAACGAAACAGAAATATCTTCTAATAGCAGAAGATCTTCTTCTTCGTCATCGAAAAATGATTTCCAGAGGTTTTCATTTAGGAATCTATCGCTCAGAAGCGGTGCCATCAATAGGATAGCCATTCTTAAGCCGAACCCAGAGTCGACATACCAGACAACACCGCAAAGCAAACACATCCGATCGGGAGAGAAGTCGAGACGGATGTCATTTCTGGAGAAAATCTGGTTAAATATCTGGTAATAATTAAATATAGAGTTTTATTATTATTTTGTGCATAAATTTTTGATTCATTTTTTAAGCCAAAGATTTTGTTAATGTGTAATAAATTTTTAAAATAAGTATTGAATACTTATTTAATAATTTAGTTACAGTTTAATACATAATTACTGTGTATTGATTTTATTTATATTAGGGCTGATTATCGTATTTATTATATTTCACTGTATTTATTCACTGTGATAATCATGATTTTAATTAGTTAATTGTATTATAAATTTATTAATAATATCCATTGTTCACATATTTTTTAATTGCAATAATTATGATAATTGTAAACTTGTAATCACATATTTAAATGCTAATAATTTTTTTATTATTATTATTGCAAACCATATTTGTTTAATTTAGGAGAAAAAGAAAATTTTAAACAATAATTATTATCATATATTACAATATAAACTAAGTTTTTATACATTAAAAGTGTGTTTGTTTTTAAATAAAATAAAACACTAATTATTTAAATTAACATTTTGTTCAAAAAAAAAAATTAAAACTACTTTTGTGTTGACATTAATGATGTGATCAGCTCTTCGTAATTGATTTCTTCATTTTTACCGAAGTTGAGTTCGTGGACCAATTGATTCCACTCGCTGTCACTAAACTTGTCCCCCACTTGTGTTATGATTTTATTGAACTCTTTAGCCGAAATAAATCCGTTGCCATCGTTGTCGATGACTTTGAACGCTTCCCGCATCTCCTCTTCCATCTCTGTGTCTTTGATTTTGTTGGTGAATATGGAGACAAACCGATCAAATGTGACAAAACCGTTGTTATTTGTGTCCAACTGAGCGACCATTTCGTAGATGTTTTGTTCGGTAGCGACCATATTATATGATTGCATGACTTCACGGACTTCGCGGACACCAAAGTATCCGACGTTTTGTTTGTCAAACATTTTGAAAATATCTTTGTATTTGTTGTCGTCTTCTTTCTTGGTTTTCTCTTCAGTCATTTTGTTTGTTTGTTTAAAAACTCTTTTTGAATCAATTAGAAGATGAGAAACAAATTACAGCCAAAAAATAAAAATATTGCTTTATTTGAAACAATTGATGATTTTTTTTAATGAATACGACATTAATTGTCACGAAATTATAAAAATATTTAAATAATTCAAATTTGAATTACAAACTGTTGTAACGGTTTTAATCAAATCAATGATAATTAACGACTTTATAGGAAATTAACGGTAAAACCGCTTGAGTTACCATTTCATAAATAAAGACAATTATTAATCAAAATATTTTGTGTTAATATTTAGTTATGAATTAATTACAAATTACAAATTAAATACAAATATCATTCAATTTTAAAGTATTTTATTTGATTATAAAAAATACAAAAAACAAAAATTTTGACTAAAATTTAATTCATTGAATCTTCAATTGAAATCTGAGACACACTTCCACTTCTTTTTCTTTCTTTTCTCTTCACTCATCGTCACAACTCTTTCGGCTTCTCCTTCGTCTGCGACGGTGACCACCCTTTCGGCCACCAGATCGCGATCGGCCTCTTCTGGATCGGGAACGCCTTCTTCTTCTTCCGCCTCCCGAATGCTTTCTGCGACGTCTGGTCTCTACAACCTCTCCACCCGAACCTCCAGACGGAAGTGTCTTTTCTTCAGACTCGACATCGATAGCAATGGTTTTCATTTTCAGTTGATTTGAATTTTCCGATAATTTAGTTAATGTTATGAAAGATAAAATATAAATGATTTGAATTCAACCGAAACTTTGCTTTTTATATGAAGTCAACAATAAAAAGGATGTCTCGCACATCACTTCTCGAGAAATTTATTACATTTTTGTTAACGAAATATAATTTAGTATTCAATTGAATATTTTGAGAAATTATATTAATATTTTAACATTAAATCACACGAATTATTACTAAATTAATTGTAATTCACACGAGATTTCAAAATTCAAATTTGAATTACAAACTATTATAACGTCTTTAATCAAATCAAATGATAATTAACGGCTTTTTATAAGAAATTAATGATAAAACCTCTTGAGTTACCATTTCAGAGATAATTTTAAGACAAATTTTATGCCAAATATTTTTTATTTGAATATTTAATTATGAAAATTAAATACAAATATCTTTCAATTTTAAAGTATTTTATTTGAAATATAAATAAAATAAATACAAGAATTTTGATAAAAATCTATTTCATTGACTCTTCAATTGAAATCTGAGACACACTTCGTCTTCTTCTCTCTTCATTCACTGTCTTCGCTATGCTTTCGGCTTCTCCTTCGTCTGCGACGGTGACCACCCTTTCGGCCACCAGATCGCGATCGGCCTCTTCTGGATCGGGAACGCCTTCTTCTTCTTCCGCCTCCCGAATGTTTTCTGCGACGTCTGGTCTCTACAACCTCTCCACCCGAACCTCCAGACGGAAGTGTCTTTTCTTCAGACTCGACATCGATAGCAATGGTTTTCATTTTCAGTTGATATTGAATTTTGGGATAATTTTGTCAAACAAAATGAGAGATAAAATATAAATGATTTGAATTCAACCGAAAATTTGCTTTTTATACGAACACAACAATACAGTCAATGAGACATCTCTTCTCGAAATATTTTTAATATTTTTTTATGTAATAAAATGTTTTAAAAACTAAATATAATATTCAATTGAATATTCTATATTATTTTGATATTACCATTTACTTATTACCAAAACTGATTTAATCATAAATTATATTTAGTTTAAAATCAAATGCTATTTATATCTGTATCAATAAAGTGATGTCTAAACCATATCTATTTCTACTTTTGATGACAACATTGTATTTAATTAATGGACAAAATGATACCTCAAATAACAGTTTAATAACATCCACTGATAATTCAAATGATGATAAAACCAATACTACTGTAACTACTGGATCCATGACTGAGACAACAGTAGTTAACACACAATCAGATACAATGACAAAAAGCACTGTTTTTACTAAATCAATGAAAACCACTGTTAAACTAACGACTGGTGTTAACGACGATGACAACAAACTATGGACTGTCCTAATGGTTATACTGGTCTTAGCTCTGATAGTGTCGACAGGCATATGCTTTCTCTATTGTTATATCACTAAACAAAATATTAAAAGTATGAAAATATGCCATTTTTAAATTTTATATAATCTTATTGTTATTATTAATTAATTTATAATTTATTTAAATGATATCCAGACGATAGAGAAGAAAAGGAAGAAAGTGAACGTCGTTTGCGGCAAAAGAACAGAGAAGAGTCACTTCTTTTGAGGACAAGTCCTAAAATTCTATCGCAAACACCAATTGGCGATCAAAACAAAAATAATAATAAAATTCAATCTCCGGTTAACAATAAAGACGTAATCAATAGTCAGAAGTCACCCATAATAGCAGTCAATGCATCGGTAGATCAGAAAAACACTAATAAGATCGGAGCTGAAGAAGTGAAACATGAAATGACTGACTTTAATGAATTACAGGAACAGTTAACGACAAGAAGTGAAACAAATAGTGATATACAAGACTCGGATAAATCTAAAGACCAAAACAATGTCGACAAACCAGAGAAGACAAGTCATGATAATGCAAACTAATTGTATGATAAAAGTGTTCAATAATTTTATTATCCAATTATTTGTTTTTTAATTTAATATTTTATATTTAAGTTTAACTAAATTTAAAAATTAATATACATGTATATTATCTTTACAATTATTGTGTCAATACATTGGTAATAAAAAGATATTTTAGTTAATTATAGATTGTATCGCATTTATACAGTACCTGTAAATTGTAGACAATTATTAATTTGGAAAAAATTAATAATATATTTATTTGTATCTAAAAATTACTCATAAGTTATAATTTATAATTTTTGATATCCATAACCTTTATTTGTGAATATTTATTAATTTTATGATAAATTTAATATTTTATAAGTTATATTAATAAATAAACAATAACACTGTAATTATAAATATTTATATACAGTATTTAACATATGAGAAACATAGTTACTATCAATATTAGTATAATAGTACTAAATAATAATAAATATCAATTGAAATAATTTTAATTTTTAATTTTAATATAATATTTAGTAAATGTATAGATATATGAATCAAAATACAGTATATGTAGCAAAAAAACTAATGATAAGAAATGTTGTCAGAGATATTAGAGTTTAAATTTTTTTATATATATATTATATCTTTCATTAAAATTGAGTAATATTTGAGTTGTCAAAGGAAACTACAAAATAAATATAAATACTTTATTATAAAAATTATATATTTTTATAATATTTATTTTTAAAATGTAAATATAATTGAAAATCAAATATAAATGTCGATAAAATAACTTCTAATTTAATGACATATTAGCAAAAATCACAATAAGTATAAATTAACTCTTATTTTTGTAATACATATTATGATTATATTTTGTTGTTAACCATATAAATAAAAAAAGTCTATTAAACTATCGATGTTTATAACCAATTGTCAATATATCATATAATTTGCTTATTATTTATATTAAAAAATATTGTTAAATGTTTTCATACAAGAAGAGGTCGAGCCTTACATCCAGTGGTGATTCAACTGAAGAGTCGGTAAAGACGATGGCCTCGACAGCGAATCGGCCATTTCTGGCCATTTCGATGCAATTGGAGTCATCGGCCCGTGAGATACACGAGACGTTTGAACACTTATACGACGAGAACATTCAAAACGCTGCTGAGGCTGACCTTCAAGAGTACACGTCTGTGGCATTACATCTCTGCAAACGCAAAGTCCTAAAGCCGTACTTCCGATTGCTTGCAGTGTTGGGTTGGCGACCAATAGTATATCCGATAGCACCCGAAGTGACATTTACGGCAAAGGTGTTCAATGTATTATACACGACAATTGTCATACTAGTCATCGTTGTTGGCTATGTCCTACAGTATGCCTCCTGTTTTCGACAGGACGGCTATCCGCCATATCATAGCGAGGCCAGCGATCATCTGATTGATGACTCGCACAAGTGGTCCACTCCATACAAATTGTGGTATAAAACTCATAATAATGAAGACTATTCTTCGACGACAAAATGGCCAAACAATTACACGACAGCTACCACTGAGCTATCATTACTCACCCGAAGACACACCGGTGACAACTCGTTGAAATGTTCGGGAAATTTCATTAGTCTTTATCTGATCCCTGATTTGTTGCATTTGTTTGCCTATCTCTTTGTCTTGCATTTGATGAGAACTCCGGAGAGTGAATGTCTTCATAATCTTCTGGAGCGCGCCTTTCTTCAGTCCACACGAATCAATGGCTGGTTTATCGCCCAAAAGAAATTGGTTCAGACGTTGCGTAGATTTCTCTGGTTGGGCGTCACTTGGGTGACCATCTCAGTGATCGGCCATACCGTACACATAACAGTGTTCCAAGAGATCTGTTTCACTTGGATGGAGCCAAACAACGAAACTGTGGTTAAAATAATGACAGTTTTCACCATATTTTCGTTGACTTGGAATGACATCATATGTGCCGCTATTGTCATCAGTTATTCAGTGCACTGTCAGCTAAACATCTCATATATTAACAATTTGGTGTCCGGTGTGCGTGAAAAGCGTATTGACTTTCAGGTACTAATAGTATTACTTTCCTAATCAACTGTATGTTAGCTGAAGTCATACTAAGCACAGGTAGTTTTTGTTTTTTATTTACCGGTAACTGTTTTTTTTATTAATACAGGAGTTCAGCAAAAGGACGGGTGAATCGCGCAAATTCATCGACTATCTGAACTCAGAGCAGGCACTGGGAGTCGCCCTTTTGATTATCAATTTTGGCTGTCGTGCAGTTGTAGCCATATTTGGACTGTTGACACAACAAGTTGTCGTTACCAATGACCTGAAGATAGCTGTGATGGTTTTAATCTCGTCATTACTCTGGTTTACATTACTCAGTGTACCCATTGTTCAAGCCGTCCGACTGACCAATTGTTGTCACGATTTGAGACGATTGGGACACGAACTTAGATCGCGACCGTTCGGCTATCAGGAGACCACTCAAGAGGACTTGGATTCTCTTCTTCTCTATACCTGTAATATCAAAATGGAGGCCAAAATGTTGAACATACCTATCCGGGCATCCGGTGTGGCCTCGATCCTAGTGATCACAATGTTTTTAGTGCTATTTTTAGGTCAAATTAATTTTGTCAAATTTTAGACAATAATATAATTTTTAAACTAACTCATCATACAGTATACAGGTATTTATATACAAATATTTATATTATTATATATATTTATATACCAAAAAAAATGAGATAACAAAACACTAATCAATTAATTGTTTTCGTAATATATTTTTATTAACCTTAATTTTATTTTGCATTTTAACATTATATTAATATTTTATATTTTGATTTTTTTGTGTATAATAATTCTGTATAAACTCATAACATGTATTAAATAAAATAACAATTATTATTAAAAGTGATGATTGAAATTAAGCGATGAAAAGTGGTTTTTCTTTCTGCAGTCCTCTTATTTGCAGTCCTTATAGTCAGCGGCGGTATATTGCGTAAGAGTTCTCTTGGCATCGTCTGTGCATTTGGTCAGTTGAATCTGATTGGCTCTGACCTTATTGGCGGCAATATCTCCGGGGATCCATTTATTGGCACAATCGGCACATTTGATTGGATTGCCGTTAAGTGTAACAGTTGTGCGACGATTAGCTCTCAAAAGATCCTGAAATACTTTGTCTGTTAACTTAGTCACTCCGTTGTCGGATAAATCCAACGCAACGGACAGCTTCTGGCGTACGATATGTGCAAAAGTTGTGGCCAATAGGTTCTCGTCTTTGAAACCGTTGTCACTGAGTATCAATCGGATCGGTTCGTACTGAATAGCATCTTCGCCAAAGCTCAGTGCATCGACTTCCAGACCAGTGGCCAGTTTGTTGTGCGCCAAGTTTATGGACAGTGGTCGCCGAAGTGGCCAAAAGATGTTGTTCGGCAACAGTGTCAGCGCATTGTTAGACAAATCAACTTCTGTCAGTTCAATGTTGTTGTGGTATTCAGACGAAAACTCGTCGGATTCCAATCGTTTGATTTTATTGCCGCTTAAGACAATCCTCTGAAGATTGTCCGACTGGGCGAATGTGTCGCGCGGGAAGTCTTCGATGTCATTACCGCCCAAATTGACAAATCGGAGACTTTTGAGACCAAGAAATAGATTGGAGTCAACCGTTTTGCTTAGGTTGTTGTTGACCAGATCCAGATACACCAGATCGGGAAAGTTGCCCAATGAGACACTGGAGATCGGATTGCTATTGAATTTGGCGAAAGTCTTCAATACTAACTTTCCAAATATCTGTTTTTTAGTGAAAAAACATATCAATATAACTATAACTAATAAAATAAACTTTTATATCAATTATTAGAAGACAATTTGATGATTACCTCAGTGGTAACTTTGGTCACTTTGGTATTGTAAAGTTCAAGACCATCAAATTCTTTCTGGTAATCAGATCTCGATTTGTCGATTGTAGCCAATACTTTGGCCAACACATCGTTGGTCACCGACGGACCCTCGCATCGGATCTGATTAGTTAAACAAACACAGGGTGTGATATCACTGTCCTTAACATTTGGACAGTCGGCATACACTGAGACCAGTAGTAATGCAAATGTGAATAAACCTATTGACATACAAATATAGAAATGTATAGTTAATTATATAAAATGTTTAAACATTAAATAATTATTAATACCTTTAAGTGAAAACATTTTCAACTTTTTTTTATTGGAAAATGTTATTAAAAGTTAATATTTCATATATTTATATATCAATATATATAGTGTATTGAAAGCGACATTAATCTGATTTGAAGTACAAATTTAGATCAAACCAATTGAATTAATTTGGCACATATTGTATTTTATTTGCTTATTAAAAAATAATTGTACAATCACTACATATATTGACATTTTAATCCAACAATTGTTTGCTTATCTTATTATTGGTTTCAATGATACTGACATAATTATATTGATTGTATAGTACTATATATTAAATCACAGTTTATTTATTCATATTTATGAAATGAAATTGATAAATTTATTTTATAATGCTAGACAAAATGATAATTTGCACTATATTTAATTTATAATTTAAATAGTATAATACAATATTTTTTTGTTAATTATTATAAATGTTAGTTTAAAATTAAATTATCAATAATAAATTGATCAAATAAATGTACTAAATATAGTGCCATATTATAAATAATTATTGGATACTAATGTATAAACAATAACTGAGAAAATTATTGTCAAAAATAATAAATTTTAAATATTTTTAAGTATAAGTATTTTTGCCATAAATTTGATAAAATATCAGTAATTTGTTGAATATTATTTTGAAGATTTTACTAATCATCATTTTAAACTATTAAATTATTATTATTAAATTTTAAAAGAGTAAATTCATATTAAGCGTATTTTATGATTGAAATAATTAACAAAAAATCTATCAATCACTGTCTATAATAGCTTGATTAAGTTAACATTAGAAACTTACCTATTTCAAACTATTGATCATTTTATCATTATATACTAATATTATTTCTAATATACAGATTTGGTTTTATCGTGTATAACAAAACTATTAAGTGTTTATTATTAAATTTATTATTAATATATTTTCTAATATAATTTATGTATTATTTTGATAAGTTTGCAATAAATACTTACCTTATAATGTTTTATAAAAGTTATAATACACTTATTTTTAATTTTTATTAATTAAAATATGCTAGTTTTTGAAATACAAATTATTGTTACTATAATTACTTTTAAAGTTTTACAGTATTTATTAATTATAATAATAAAATACAAAAATGAATTACTTATTTTTATAATTTTAAAAAACTAATTTACAACTAAAGATTACTTACAAATAATAATATTACTGTAGATCATAATATAAATATACAATATAATAATTTTTTCAATATTTATGAGCTCATGAAATCAAAATAAAATTTAAATGTTTTTTTAACAACTATTATTACACAATGTATTTAACTAATGAATCAATTGTTATATTCTTTGTATTTGTATTTTTCATTGATATCTTATATGCCATCACTCCATGCGATAATGATTTTACATTAGATTCAATAGCCTTAGCAAAAATAAAATCTAATCCAAAAAATGATAATTTTTTACTAATATTATTCATGTCTCATAAGCAAACTTATTGGCTTCGGTTTGATTTTTTCGGCCAAAATGTCCAGCAATTGCCAATAGGTATGTCCAAAGTGGACGCCGCCTTCTTCTTGGACGCACACAATTGTTCTGATCCTTCATCTGATCTCATAGTCATCGATGACAACAAATACGGTGAATATTCGATGAAAACAATGAACTGGACTGTAAATAAACTGATCGCTGATAACAAGTTTTTAAATAAAATATTGGAACCGATCAGTGATAACATGAAAATTGATGCCATCACTGAATTATCGCCAAACAAGTTGATTGTCTTCAGAGATAGTAACTACAGAATTGCTGAATGGAAGTCCATATGTGATGCCATTAATGGTGAAGATATCAAACTTTATCCATTTGTTAAGTCAAGCGATTTGTTTGACAACAAATCAATTGATTCAGCGATGGTTTATACAATCGATGATAATAAACATATCAATTATACTTTATTTATTACAAGTGATAATAACTACAGGGAATTAAATATTAAATCTAATGATGTAAAACCAAATGGGGAACTGATAGCAGAATTAGGACCTCTCAAACATCTGAAAAATGCTTTTATTTGTTTCTCCGAAGACATTCAATCAGTAAATACATCGATAACTATACAAATGGCTTCACCTGAAGCTGATGGTGCGGTTCTTCCCACTCATGAGTTACAACAAACTATCGGTACTTCAAGCGAACAGTCTATTAGTCCTTATTCGGCAATTTTTGCGGCATTTGTTTTAATAATAATTATAATCATTGCACTCGTAATAGTTATACCAAAAGATAAATATATTATTTAATATTTTTTTCCAAATACTTTGTATAAATAAAAAAATATATTTAATTAAATTTCAAATTAAATTGTCCAGTTACTTTTACTTATAGTAATCATTAATTTATTTATTAAGAAAAAATATTTATATATTTAATCATAATATATTTAATGTAGAAATCTATAAATGCTACATATTCTGTATATATATATTGCATTTACTAAATTAAAACAAAAAATAATTATAGATTAGAAATAATAATAGTTATAAATATAACTTATAATATAATTTGAAGTCAAATCGCGTGCAAATCAATAGAATTATGATTTTTGAATGGAATTGACTTTTTTTTGAATGAATTTTAGATTTAAAATATATGTTAAAAACAAAGTTATCGTTGAATTCAATTAGTTGTCATTGCATTAAATCTTTCGTCTAATTGTTTGCTAATTTTATTTTGTTGATCACAAAATTTTTTTAGCACAAAAGTTAACATTAAAGCAATGAGTGATATAAATAGCGGTTCCAATGGAGTGATTGTTGAGATAATACACATATCGGACGTCCCAACGGACGACCACTCAAACAATGGTTGTATTGAAACAAATCAATTGAACCGAAATGATTGGCAAATAAAAAAGGGAAAAGAGTTGCAATCAATTATCAGAAAATTAAATAACATTAAGTTTGCGTCACTCGAGTTAACCGCTTTGGCCAACAGTACTGACAAAAACTATTACGAAGATGAATGGGTTTCCAGATATACGGCTCAATTGATTCTCGAAAAAAACAACAGTTTGTGTCTGAAGAAAGCGATGGCAAACATTTGTACCGAAAGCCGACTCAAACAGACCTGGTTTTCAATTGCCGACGAAACTTATAAGTGGTTTATAAACTCAAAGTCAAACACAAACACTACAAACAATAACTCAGAAAATGAATTGATTGAAACATTTGATGTAAAATCATTCAAATTGGGAACTCTTATTGATTTAACTCAATTCATCAAACATTACGACAGCACTGATCGCAATCACTTTAACAGCAAAGTTCATGTGGCCAGAGATGACTTGACCGTCGAGTTTCATCACTGCCGCAAATTCATGACAATCAGGTTTCGGGTGACCAGCGGTGGCAACAATAAGAAGTCTTTTACAAACATTCGCTACAAATTCGAGTTCGACTATTCGTCCTTTGAGTCGATAGTTATGTCCACTGAACTCAATTCAATTAAACTATACATTAATGTCAATCACCCGCCGATACTATATATGGTTGAAAATGATAGCAAAGTTTACAACAACAACAACAACACGTCTTTGTCACCAAACAAACGAAACAAATATCCAAAACAAACACTTAGAGAACAGTTCGACAACTTTGTCGGTATTCATACGGACGAGACATCCAATGCAATCAATTGGATTCGTGACAATCAATTGTACGGATTGTCCGCACAAATCATTGGCAAAAGTAATGTTTTTGTCATAGAGTTGCCAAATATGAGACAATCGTTGGCAGAATTTGCCAACAAATTTAAATACAGCGAACCATTGGATCCGTATTATTGTGTCTATAATATCAAAAAATTGACTCAAATTCCTATATATTTCGCACACATTAGTGAACACATTAGTGTTAATAATAGAGAAATTGATTACTTATTGAATACAAATAACATTAAACTGCCGTTTAATGTCAGATATGCTTATGAGTCAGTCTTTTCTCACACATTTCAAGCATCCGATGAACTATTCTTTAAGTTTGAAACAATTAATTTTATGGAAAAATGTGAACAATTGGCCAAAACTGATCCAAAGACTATTGAGGAAACATTGTTTCAAATATCAGCCATTATTGACAGCAAATCAATATTTCGTGTATTAATAGCTTTAGAAAAGATCTTCAGTCAACTGAAACAGAAAAAGCAAAACAAAACAGAAGAAGAATTGGATATCAAGTCGTTTAGCGCTGAGATTCAAGAGATCCGTCGATGCATTTTAACGCCCACTCGTCTGCTTCTTCTGCCGCCACAACCAATACTAAAGAGTCGTTTTATAGTCAACTCAGAGCCCGACTATACTTTGAGATTAACTATAAGAGAGGATAATTTGAATGCATTAAGTTTTTCAGTTGTCAGAAGTGGTTCCCGAGAAAATCAAATAAATTTTATTAAACGAATTGTCAAAACACCGCTAATAAATGGTATCAAAATTGGTGAAAGAGTTTTCCAGTTTGTCGGCAGTTCTTCGAGTCAGTTGAGAGACAACGGAATGATTTTGTATGCAAAGGATAGCTGTTGTCGAACTGCTCATACATTTCGTGAATCAGTTGGAGATATGAGTAAAATACGAAAAAATGTTCCCAAATATGTGGCCCGACTCGGACTGGTCTTCTCACAGGCCATGACTCACATAAGTATTGATAATAATACAAAAATAGATGTCTTTCCAGACATTGAGGGCTCTTTGAAACCAGACTACAGAAACAGTCAATTACTAACCAAAGAACGATATGTTTTCTCTGATGGCATTGGAATGGTTTCCGAAGAAATAGCCGAAAAAGTCTATAAACAGTTGCCATTTGATTGCATTCATAGGCCGTCAGCGATGCAAATAAGGTTTGGCGGATGTAAAGGCATGCTTGTGGTCAACACTAAGCTTAAGGGAAAACATATTATATTTAGAGAAAGTATGAAAAAGTATGATTCAACAGACAGATCATTGGGTATATTGAAGTTGTCGGCCCCGCGAGCCGTTTACCTCAACCGACCACTTATCTCACTATTGGAACAGTTGTCAGTTGAGCCGAAAATCTTTATGGAAATGTTAAACGAAAATCTTAAAAGTTTAGCCAATTCTCTGGTCTGCGAGGCGTCGGCTATGAGTTTATTGCAAAATGAAAGCACTCTTTGTTTACCGTATGAAAAGTTACTAACAGTCGGCACATCATTCCTAACGGAACCCATATTTAGACAAATTCTTGATTGTCTAATACCTCACAGAATTAAAGAACTCAAATCAAAGGCCAGAATTAAAATGCCAATCAATAGGGGAAGGATTGCATTTGGAGTACTCGATGAAACTGGAACTCTAGATTATGGACAGGTATTCGCAAAGTTGTCTCATGTAGACAAAGATGGTGTGGCCACCGGTCAATACTTTATATTAGACGGAGAGGTTATGGTAACCAAATTTCCGTGTCTACATCCCGGAGATATCAGAAAACTAACAGCAGTTAACATACCAGCATTGGGTCACATCAGAGATTGTCTTGTATTTCCAGCTAAAGGTCCGCGACCTCATTCAGATGAAATGGCCGGAAGTGACTTAGATGGCGATGAATATGCACTCTTCTGGAACACAGATATTATATTTAAGGGACAGAATATGTCTCCAATGCATTTCCCGACCGGAAAATCACATGAATTAGACCATAAAGCAGAAGTCGAAGACATTCTTGACTTTTATTGCGAGTATTTATTGAGTAATAACGTCGGACTTCTAGCAAATGCTTATCTGGCAAACGCTGATTCACAAAGAGATGGCATATTTTCCAATGTCTGCATGAGTTTAGGTCAGACTAAACTAAACATAACTGAAAATATAGAAATTAAAATAATTTTTTTTTTTGAAAAATATTTATATAGCTTTGAAATATTGTATGGCATTAGATTTTGCAAAGACAGGAATTGTGGAACCAATTAATTGGTTTGTAAATTGATTTTTTTTTTAATATAAATATAATTATTTCTAATTATTTATTATTTTTATTTCTTAATCTGTTAACAAATAATAATAATTTTAATCTTTAAAATATTGTTTCGATACTATTATATTAATGGTAGAGATTTGCACTCATATTCGTATTAATTGTTTTATTTTATATTTATGAATATTAGGAAAGAAAAGTCTAAGAAATATCCAGATTTTATGGAGAAAATTGACGCAAAAAAGACATATCAGTCCACTAGAGTGTTGGGTCAACTCTACCGAAAATGTTGCGCTTTCGAGACAAGTATTCAAACTAAGATTCAACTGGAAATCGATGCCAAACCTAATCCTAGATTTATTTTGGAGGGTAAGTCATAATATCATATTAACTAATAGTTTTAATTTAAATAATTTGTTTCAAAAGGATGGCAAAAATATGAAGAGTCGGCAAAAAAAGCATTTATAATCTATAGAAACAAAGTTCGCTATTTATTGAATCGCTTCCGAGTGGCCAACGAAGCAATACTACTGAGCGGTACCTTTACTAAGACATGTCGTTATACTAATGGCAGGACTGAAATCAATGATATTCACGAATTACTCGAGTCATTGGTCGGCAAATTGTTTGAACAATTTAAACAACGTTTTCAATTAGAGTCGCAAATGGACTCAATCGATGACCAGAAGCTGCGGGCGTCGGCGTGGTATATGATTGCCTACCAAATCAATGATAGCATCACTCAATTAAGCAATAGGTTCTATGGTTTTGCTTTTACTATTAGTGAACAGTTATGCAAAATAGTCGACACAATTGACATTAATGGCAACACTGGATGTCAACCCTATAACTGTAATTGCAATTCTCATCTTTTTCAACAATATATGACTGATCTCAAACATCACATTTGATTTACGTTTAGTATTATTTAGTAGTTATTAAATTTTTGTTATATTTATTAAATAATAATTATTTATTACTTATAAATATTGTATTGTATTGTATATAAAGAATGCGTTTTTTAGATTTATTAATATTGATTGTTTAAAATTATATTTATTGTTAAATGAAATAAAACAAATAAACTTATACTGTCTATAAAATAAATTAATTCAAAAATTTAACTTAAATCAATAGTATATACTATTTAATGTTTTATCAAATAATTAATAAAAATTATTTTTGTTGTTGAAATAATCTACAAAGTTATCAATATACAATTAGTATATGAACGCATATCTAACCTGCTTTCTATATATAATATTGTAGATATTATAATACATGTACAGTATGTCTACTATTGCTAAACTCATATAATACTTAATGAATTTAATCAGTTAATCAGTTACAATAAAATAAATTGCATATTGAGTCTTATTGCTTAAGTTTGGTAATATTTTTAATTGATAGTAAAAATCTATATTACTAATAAGTTTTTTATGTTTTTGTTTTATATATTTTTATTATTAATAAAGTTTTTTTTAATACCAGTTAATATGGTTTTCAAAAAACAAGTTATTATTGAACTTACAGTATATTGAATATGATATTAAAGTATTTATTAATATATAAATAGTTTGAAAAACTATTTTTCGATAAAGTTATACTCATTTTTGTTTTAATAAAATGCATACTAAATAAATATAACAACAAACCAATAAAATCAAAATTGAATTAATATAATAATAACCATTATATTTATCATATAATTATTTATTGATCTATTTTAAGCACTTTTTTTATTTATAATATTATTATTTGATCTGATTATTAAATTGCAATGTTTTATATTTTTTGTATTAATACTTTATTAATAAAATCATTTTTTGTGGTTTGTATAAAATAAATTTATTTGTTTTTAATTATAATCTGTAATAATGAATAATACTATCAATTTTTTTATTACAAAATGTTTTAAATAGAAAAAACAATATACAGTATACCGACAAATAGATAGCAGAAAACTGATTGTTAAATAATGTACTAAACTATTTGTAATCACACTATTTGTTAATCTTTTTCATATCTTTTTGGACCTTTTTGTCGACCACTTTATATTTTTCGGCGATCCACTTATCTGTGGTCAACTGTAGCATTGTTGGCCTTGAAGTGGGATTGGGTTCAAGCATACGGCGGATTATTTGGACAAATTCGGGCGTCGGATTCAAACGCGACGGCAAACTGTATTCTCGATGTTTCATCTGTTCGACTGTCTGAGGCCATCGGGACATATCTTTATGATAGACAATATAGGGAACTGTTTGGGTAAAACAAAAAAAGACAACACAGCCCAGAGCCCATACATCGACGGGCATAGCCTTATAACTGAGCGCATCTATACTGTCTCTGTCGACCGGATTCTGGTTTTTCAGCTCATCTTTCTTTAATCTCATATTCAACAGTTCGGGTGCCATATATTGCGGTGTTCCGCAAAAGGTCTTTGACTCCAAATCTTGGCCACTGGAGTCGATTCGGCTCAGACCGAAATCGCTGATCAAAACATCTTGATTGACATCCAATAATATATTCTGCGGTTTCAGGTCTCGATGGACAATGCGATTTGAATGCATGTATACCAATGCTGACAACATTTGGGCAAACCATAGCCTACAGAAGCGTTCGGCAAACGGTCCTCTTAGACGAGTGTGTTCCTGAAGTGAACCCTCAATTGCGTATTGCATGACTATATAGAAAGTAGACATCAAGTCATCTCTGATAATTGTAAAATGAGTTACCAGTCGTATAATGTGCGGATGTGTGAGCTTTTCAAGAGTAAACAACTCGTTTTTAATATCCCGGGACCGCATTAAGCGACGTTTACGGCCGTCCATTAGTTTGTCGGTCAGGTTTAACACTTTACAGGCCAACTCTTCACCAGTCTTTATGTGTGTAATGAGATGGACTTTTGCAAAACTTCCGGAACCGATTGTTTTGCCTAATCTATAGCCCTCGTATGCGATAACATCTTCTGCTGTCTTGAACTTCTTACTCGGCACCACAAAAGTCTTGGCCATATCTTTCAACTCGACTTTTGTCGGATCCGTTCCAACTGTTCGCGGTCTATGACTTTTCGACAACTGGTTTATCATTGCAATTGTATGTCGCTTCTCCTTCAGCCGGTGCTGTTTGACATACTTTCGCCGACAGCATAGACAACAACAGCACATGTAGTAGCATATAGTGTTGCCCATCAACTGATTGATTGAATTGAGGGAAATGATTGGGTGGACTGTCTATCAAAAATGATCAGTTGACTGTGATATAGGGTATAAAAAACTATAATTACTGTCAAAGTGCTGTTTGGTTTGAAATATACTGTATTTAAAAATTAAGGTTTTTTAATTAACGATTTTATATTCAATTGAATATTTTAAAATTAATGTTAATATCTAAACATTAAATCACACGAATTATTTCTAAATTAATTTTAATTCACAAGAGTTACAAAATTCAAATTTGAATTACAAACTGTTGTAACGGTTTTAATCAAATCTATGATAATTAGCGACTTTTTGGGAAATTAACGGTAAAACCTCTTCAGTTACCATTTCATAGATAATTAAAGACAATTATTAGTCAAAATATTTTGTGTCAATATTTAGTTATGAAAATTAAATACAAATATAATTCAATTTTAAAGTATTTTATTTGATTATAAAAAATACAAAAAACAAAAATTTTGACTAAAATTTAATTCATTGAATCTTCAATTGAAATCTGAGACACACTTCCACTTCTTTTTCTTTCTTTTCTCTTCACTCATCGTCACAACTCTTTCGGCTTCTCCTTCGTCTGCGACGGTGACCACCCTTTCGGCCACCAGATCGCGATCGGCCTCTTCTGGATCGGGATCGCCTTCTTCTTCTTCCGCCTCCCGAATGTTTTCTGCGACGTCTGGTCTCTACAACCTCTCCACCCGAACCTCCAGATGGAAGTGTCTTTTCTTCAGACTCGACATCGATAGCAATGGTTTTCATTTTCAGTTGATTTGAATTTTCCGATAATTTAGTTAATGTTATGAAAGATAAAATATAAATGATTTGAATTCAACCGAAACTTTGCTTTTTATATGAAGTCAACAATAAAAAGGATGTCTCGCACATCACTTCTCGAGAAATTTATTACATTTTTGTTAACGAAATATAATTTAGTATTCAATTGAATATTTTGAGAAATTATATTAATATTTTAACATTAAATCACACGAATTATTACTAAATTAATTGTAATTCACACGAGATTTCAAAATTCAAATTTGAATTACAAACTATTATAACGTCTTTAATCAAATCAAATGATAATTAACGGCTTTTTATAAGAAATTAATGATAAAACCTCTTGAGTTACCATTTCAGAGATAATTTTAAGACAAATTTTATGCCAAATATTTTTTATTTGAATATTTAATTATGAAAATTAAATACAAATATCTTTCAATTTTAAAGTATTTTATTTGAAATATAAATAAAATAAATACAAGAATTTTGATAAAAATCTATTTCATTGACTCTTCAATTGAAATCTGAGACACACTTCGTCTTCTTCTCTCTTCATTCACTGTCTTCGCTATGCTTTCGGCTTCTCCTTCGTCTGCGACGGTGACCACCCTTTCGGCCACCAGATCGCGATCGGCCTCTTCTGGATCGGGAGCGCCTTCTTCTTCTTCCGCCTCCCGAATGTTTTCTGCGACGTCTGGTCTCTACAACCTCTCCACCCGAACCTCCAGACGGAAGTGTCTTTTCTTCAGACTCGACATCGATAGCAATGGTTTTCATTTTCAGTTTTATTGAATTTTGGGATAATTTAGTAAATGAAATGAAAGATAAACTATAAATGATTTGAATTCAACCGAAACTTTGCTTTTTATATGAAGTCAACAATAAAAAGGATGTCTCGCACATCACTTCTCGAGAAATTTATTACATTTTTGTTAACGAAATATAATTTAGTATTCAATTTTATATAATATAAAAATGATTTGAATTCAACCGAAAATTTGCTTTTTATACGAACACAACAATACAGTCAATGAGACATCTCTTCTCGAGATATTTTTTTAAACAATTTTGTTGTAATAAATGTTTTCAAAATAAATATAATTACAAAATAAATACAATATATCAATATTTAAATCAAAATTTAATAATCATTTGCAAAATCAAATTTAATTTAAATTATTTGTCGATAGAAATCAAAGAAGTATTAGTTAATCAATCACCAGATGGATGTAATTCGCAGATATATACCAAATGTTAATCAATTTGATGACAAACACGAAGCGTGTGAACAGTTGATCACAACATTTATGTCAAACTATAGACTCATTATTAATGAATCGGAGTCTCAATTCGTTTGCAGATATTTTATGTCAGCCATACTAGCCTTCTGTGCGGAGATAGACTACAAAAATTATCAACTTTTGGATCAATTTATCCGGTTTTTTATATCCAATCAGTCGGGTATTTGGGATATTTGGTCGGTCTATCAGTTTGAAGAAAGACAGTGGAAAGCCATTGAAAAATGTTTGGAAATTCAAATGCTAAGTATTGGTCGTAGAGATGGCTTAAATGCACTGAAATATATCATAGAAATTACTAATAAATTGAATATAGAGTTAACTGATCCAAACGATAAGTCAGAGAAAATCCGTTTCATTGATTTCCCGCGATTTGACGCCATTGAGTCCAAAAGTGATTTGTGGCGCAATCTTCATCTACCGATCATTGATTGTACACTTTTACCTGAAAACCCATGTATTTTGCGCGTACTCTTACAATACGGAGCAAAGATACCGATTCTCGACTATCAAATGCCACACTTTATTCACCGTATCTGTCATGCAATGGACACCGCAAATGTCGACAAACTGACCAAAAAGTTGTTTTGGATTAAGTTTGTGATCATTGATGTCCCGTACAGTAGCACAGCTTATAAGAGACTATTAAGCATTGGTAACGATATTATATCGACACTGGCCTTAAAGTTTGATTACAGACAAAATGATACGGTATTTGATCGGATACAACACATACCATGTCTTAAACAACTGGCCAGACATTGTATAAGACAACAATTACGGTTACAAAACGCACTGCCAATAGGTATCGATCAGTTAAATGTCAATCATTTAAAAGACTATTTAAATATTAATATCTTATGAAAATAAAATCAAAGTTGAAATAATTAAAAACACAAATTAAACTTTTTATTAGAAATTATTATACAAATTAAATATAAAATGAAACAAAAATTTGTGAATTATTAATGAAAATGTTTAGTCAATGTTTGTTTCAATCCATTTATAATATTTGCTAACTTTGGTGTAGACATCGGGCGCAGCGTACGTACGACAGGGCAATGAAAATGAGACCAAACCTATTTGATAGGCACGTCCATCAACGTAGGTAATCAATGGTCCACCTGAGTCACCCATATAAGCACCCTTTAAAGTGCACAGTTAGTTGAATTTTATAATTAACTTAAAATATATATATAATATAATACATACAATGCAGTGGCCATTTCTGAATGATCCGGCGCACAGCATATTATCAGTGATTTGATAACTTTGAAAGTTATAGATTTTCCGACATCGGCTCATATCGACAATAGGAATCTCCAATTTTTTCAGCCGATTCGGCAAAAAGTTGGCCAATAATGAACGATCGGAAGTCATGCCCCAACCGGTCACCAAAACATTATCGGTAACATTAAGATCTGAGTCCGGAATACAAATACTGTTAACTCTGTCACTAAATATTATGGGACGACTGGTGCGGAGCAATGCGATGTCATTTTTGCCAACATTTTCATCCCAGTTCTCGTGGACAACAATTTTAGAGATAGACAACACTTGAATGGATGGCTGTATTAGAGCATTCCTCCACAGGTCAGTGCCGATGACGGCTCGTAATTGCATCGGTAGTATTTGGTTGACAAGTCTAATCAAATATTTTCATATTTTATATGACAATTCAATTTTTTAAAAATTATTTTATATGAAATACCCGTCCACACAGTGGGCTGCCGTAAGAAGCCAATCGTGATTGATAATACTGGCGCCACATAAGTGTCTGTAGTGAGGAATCGGAACAATACCATTGATGGAAAACTTCTGGAGCGACACCTGCCACGGAAAATCATCTATAGAGGCATCTTCACCACCAATCACTCGGCCCTCTCGTCTTAACTTCTTGGAGTGACCACAGCTTTCTTTATTAAAATTAATTGCATTTATTTTAAACAATTGATAAATTATTAACAAAATACTAATACTAAACAAATGAGTATTGAAAACAATTAACATTGTTTTATGAGTTTGTTTACAATTTAGAAAAAATCAAATTGAAATTATTATTAGTCTAACAGTGAAAGTGTATAACAATTTATATAGTCTATCATAAAAATATTTTTCTGTGCCATACTTTTACTTTTTATTTAAATTAATTTCAACAATCGTGTTATTAAAACAATTGTATATTGATTTGTGTTTTTTAAATATCAATAAAAAAGCCTAAAAGCATTTACAATATATCCGGACCAATAGCTTATATTCAAACTTGATTTTCATCAATTGATCCCATTTTTTCACTATTTTTAGGTTAAAAACTTTCACTGATTTTTCCAATAGATAAGCGGATACTAAAAATTGTTTATTAATTAAAATACCAGTCTATACATTAAATATGATTTACTTTTATTTAAAATCAGTTATTTTTTCTAATTTCAAAATTATCAATCACTAGGGCTTATCAAAATAGTTTTATCAAAAAGAAATATTTTAAAAATTCATAATATTATGAATCATAAATATTTTAAAAATAAATTGTTAATCTTATTTATAAAAAAATATATGATATAATGTTAATCAAAAGTTGAAAATATCATTAATTACTTTATAAATATACAAAATTGTTAAATTGTAAACATCATTAATTATAAATTATGATAAAGTTTTACATCATTAATAAAATAGTTTAATTAAAAATCATATAATTTAAGCCATTGATAATTATTTTAAAAATTACAACAAAATCAAAGCGTTAGGAGTTTGTGTAAAATTATAAAAGTTATTGCCCTGTTAAACATAATGATAAACATCATAATTTTTTAACTAAATTATTAATACGCCTTTAAATTAGATAAAAATTACAACAATTATATTTATTTAACATAAAAAAAATTATTATTTCATTACTACTGTACAGTATTAGTCATATTAATTACAATAAGTCTATTCAGTATTGTATTGAATGAATACATACAGTACTACAGTATAGGAAACCAATGAAAACATAGCTATTAATAGCAATTGCAATGACGTTACGCAATGTTTTGACTATTATTGTTAGCAATCATAACATAACAGATGAATACAATCATCGCTACCATTGATGGCAATCAACGGTTCAGTCGATGACCAGCAGCTGGTGATGCCCTTTGTTTGGCATCACTTCGACTTTGTAGCCAAATGTGTGGCCATTTCGACTTCAGCGGACACGACTGTTCCGCAAATCACGTGTTTCGATGTCAACAACAATTACTTCATCGTCGGTACCGCCGCTGGTCTGGTGTTTGTCTTTCGCAGACATCAGACGGCCAACAATATCTTCATTAAATATCGGCTGACATCGAGTCCGATAATTGCCATCAAACTGATTACTGACGATCTCTTAGGTTTTATCACACAATCAGTTGTTTATATCTTAAACCGAGCGAACCATAAGTTTCTTTACGGTTGGAAGTGTCCGACAAAAGCCATTATCAAATGTCTTCATACGTATACAAGTTGTAACAGATTGATGGTCTTTAGTGGTGATTCTGATGGATGTCTTCGATATCATGATCTCATAAAAGGCGAACAAATAATTATCTTCAAAGACTTGGGTTACGCTGTCGTTCAGATCGAGTCCATCGATGCGGACAAGCTTTTGGTGTCCACTTCACTTCGGACTGTAATCGTAGTCATTGATTGGTTGGACACAACAAAAACTCGTGTAACAACTATTGGCAAAAACGAGCGAAAGACTTGCGGAAAGTTTGGCGCCGTTTATAGTCATATAACTGGTATTATTTATGGCTCGCGGCCATCGATGCATCTGATCAAAGCACAGACTAGCGGTGAAGTGATGGAAACAATTAGAGTCAATAATATTAAACAATCTGATTGTCCGGAACTGTTGCAAGACTTGAGCGATAAGCCAATTACAGGTCAATTAAAGTATAAGTTAGGAGTTTTGAAGATGTTGTGTAACGATACCTATATATTATCGATCAATGGATCAGATTTGGTGATTGTTAAGATTGACGGACAGTTTTGTTTGCGCGAAAGACTCAATGGTCTGATTGATGTGAAAATATCGGATACCAATAATAATGAGGCGTTTTTGTTGTTTGAATCAAATGATATCATCAGAATCCGTGACATTCGCACACAATCTGAACAGTTGTCAGACTTTGAGGTCAGCAGTTCCGATAGTGACCGAAGTGGCTCTGAGTTGGGACGACTCATCGGTTGCGATGATAATAGTTTCCGAAGCTCTACGGAATCGTTGATAAATTTGATGAAAACACCGCTTAATAATATGAATCCTATTTCATTCATTGATGAAGAGCTAAGAAAAGTGTTTGATTTCAATAAAATTCAAATCAATTTAACTAAAAAGTATAATCAATTGTCAACATCGATAATATCAACATTAGAGCCAAATTTGCTGCCAAATTGTGATAAAAACAATGTATTTGTTGAACCATTTAACGAAGACACAGTCGATGTTGCTGTCAGTCTAACCAAAGATAATGTTGATATAACAGATCCTCTTGTGATCACAAAGAAACAAAAACGAAAAACACATTACGCCAGCAATTGTTCACTTTCGACCACTATTTCAGATAAAGACTCGACGAGTGACAGTCAAACCATTACCGTTAACAATACCAATGAAGATATCTCTCAGCTATTGTTGGATAATCTTAAAATTGAAGATAAAAATGATGTCAATTCTGTTGACAACTCGATTAGCGAAGAAAATCAACTACAGATGATATTAAGTGCCTATAAAGAAGCAAATAATTTATTGGATTCAACAGCTGATTCTGGAGTACTGGACAATGAGTTGATTACTAACTCAATTAAAATGTTTATCTCTAAAGATAATAATAATCACGAATTAGTAGTAGAAAACAATAATGAATGTCATAATCAGTCATCAGATTTACCTGAATTGTCTGATTCGGTTAGCGAACAAAGTGGTGAAGTACTCGAAGATAATAATAATACTGAAGACATTATCCGTCCCGTTAACTATGAATGGGAATTAATCATATGTTTGTCAGATGTCTGCAAATTACTTAACTGTAGTGATTTTATCTCACTTTGCGCCGCCGGTTATAATAGTAGCCAAGAAATAGGTTTGGTTTGGTTTACACCGAAAGAGAGTAACTATTTAGTCTATTATCCATCCCTTGACACTCCGTTATCGTTAAACAAACTGCAAGCGGTGGACATCTGTTGCGCCCCTAATGTACTCTACGTTCTGAGCAATTGGGGAACAATCTATCGCAGGGACGGTATGGACGCGACCAGACCTGTGGGCAACAAATGGCAACAATTGAAAAATATTAAGAATAAATCTAAACTAATATCCATTAGTATTAACACAAGTGATTCAGTCTTGTGGTGCTGTGATATGAACGGCGAAAGTTGGACTCACACAATAAGAGACCAGAAGTGGTTAAAAATTACTGACTTTAGTTCGCACGCAATTATGATGAAAAAGGTTTGCGTATCACTTACTGATTCAAACATTGTTTGGGGTATCGATAGGTCCGGTAAAATTTTTGTCCGCAATTTCTGTGATAATCATAATAATCAACAAAAGCGCGACTTTTGCGGTGATAATTGGTTATTAGTGGACGGCATTCTTGCCAACGATATTGTTGTCTTCGATAAGTTTGTAATTATTATTGTAGAAAATCATCTATTATTTCGCAGAAGTGCCAAATATGGTGATAATGATTGGCAGCAAGTGATGGGACCGGAACTTTGCAATGAAGACCACTACATGTCTTTATCAGGTAATAGTTGTCTGAACTTATTTGTTGTGACAATATTGTGATTTCATTGCTAAATAAAATGATTTTTGTTTTAAAACAGTCACTCAAAACAATGATATATGGATTATGACTGCCAGAGGTCTAGTTTGGCACACAATGGTTCTCAAGAATAAGATTACCATTAAAGAAGAGGACTCTGAATGGATAATCATTTGATTATTTTTATCAATTTATTATTTTCATAAATAGAAATTTTATCGCAATTTTTACAATCAGCTAATATAAGTCAAATGAATATAATGTATGATTTTTACTAATCATTTAAAATAGTAATGCAATTTATTTTTTACTTTGATCAACAAAATGATAAATATTATTTATTTATAAAAAAATAATCATTATTTTAATCTAATTTAATTTGTTTTTATAAAAATGATCATGCTATATTGAGAGACAATTTTTTAAATTAAAAATACTGTACATCAATATTAAAACTATAACATTATACGACTGTATATTTTTTAATTTCAGTATTAATATTTTAATTAAATAATAGTTAATCAATGATTTCTAATATTTAAATTAATATAAATTATATTATATTTGTTACGTAATGTTGAAATTATTTTAAATATTAAAATAGTTTTGTTCAAAATGGTATGTTATTATAATGTCATTTGAAAATTGAAAATCTATAATAAATATAGAAATTAAAAATCTTTAATTTATATTATAATTATTTAATGAATTATAATTTTTAATATGTTTATCATAAGTGGTTTGATTATATTTTTTAAAAAAGTTAACATGGACAACTTAAAAATAATTTGTTATTAATTTAATAAAAACAGATTATATTGACTACAGTATACAGTCTATCATCTAATTTGCAAAATTTATCAATGATTACCTTATGATATGCAGTACTACTGAATTAATATACAGTATTATACCTTAAGTTATATAAAATAACAGGTATTATATGAATACTGTTAGAAATATACAGTATATCAATACAATTAGCTCTACAACTCTATCTATGGATAAGTTATACAATCAATGCATTCAATGAATGTATGAATTGAATTGATATTTGATTTTTTGTGATTGTTTTGAATCGATTGAAAACCAAATGATTGGTTGTATTACAGCAAACGTTTAGACACATCTCAAGACATATAGAGAGACAACAACAACAACAATGTCTTCAATGGGTAAACAATCGAGTAGTGAGATGTTTGAAGAGTTAAAGAAGAGGACAGTGGTCTGTGTGAATGAGGCCAACCCGGAGGCCATAGAGTCGTTGCGGCAATTTGTGGCCAAATGTGACGACCACTTCATTAACTCGTTATATCAGTACTCGATATTTCCCTTAAGACTTATCATTGCAAATGTCACCAAAATCACAGATAAGTATGTATTTTATTGTCTTCATTGAGACTATCATTTTGTAGTCATATATGATATATTAATTGGCATTTTGTTGGTCAGTTGCGGCAAAACACTGGAGTCCAGCGTCGAGTGTCTGTCATTGATATTACAGAAGTCACGGATCAACCGATTCGACATATTTGCCGATGTTTTGGCCAATCTTTTACAGCTAATCGATGACAATCCTAACACAATAAATGGTAAGTCATTCTCATGTTTTTTTTGTCACAATAGTTGTTCATAACTTGAATATCAAAGATATTACTTTTTAAATCACATTAACTATTGTTTTAATATTTAACATAAATTTAATGTTTGTTTTCTTGCATTTATCAGATGAAGAGATAAAATTCAAAGCCAGCGAAGATTTGATACTCAGTGTAATCAAGTGCTCAAAGACATTGATCCAAAACTGTGATGACTCTCTATTAGACCAACTAATTAGTCCACAATTTAGCGCCCAATTTGGTCACTCTATTCATATATTGTTAAGTGTGGCCAACAAACAAAAATATAGTCAAATCAAAGCCGAAGCCATCGAAACCATTAACTGTCTGATCAGTAAATGTCATCAAAGTTTACCAAAAGATGACAATTCAAAAGCTCAAGATTTAATTGCATACTTTTTGCCGGGAATTTCAACTAATTGTACAAAATTGATAACAAGTGACGACAAACTGAATCGCCGAGTGATCACATCGTTGCTAACATTGTTATCCAATACTATAGTATTAGTCTTTAAGTCGACACCTGTTTCTACAGATACTAACGGTGTCGACGATTCTAAACAATTAACTAATTTATCCACTGGTGATCCAGAGGAATGCCATCGAAATGGATTTATTATAACAAGAAATAGAAAATGGTTGGAAAGTAGTTGCGAAAAATTGAATATAGTTTTCGATAAAATCATTTCGTGTTTGATATCACACCAAAACTGGAGTATCAGACTATCACTTCAACAGTTTGTGTCACAGATATTGACAAATTGTTGTTCACTGTTTGTTAACAACTGTTTTGCATCACTTATCAAAGTTTCATTGACCTATTTAAGTGATGATTTTGAACAAATTAGACACGAATCGGATCAGTTTATTAGCAAACTATCCAAAACTAATGTGACTAGTGATTCATCCAAGTCTTATTTGGATCTAATAGAAGATCAGATATATACTTATATAACACGATTGCCTCGTATTGTCAGGACGTGCAGCGACAGAGAGAAGATTACTTCTATATATCTGTTGTTTGGTTATCTTAAATGTTTGGACACCGAAGGCATCAATTATATGCTATATTCACCGCAACACAAACAGCGACTCTTTGAATGTCTTATAGATATTTGTCATTTCGATTATCATGGAATCAGACTTCTTGAGCTCATTGCACACAATGATAATATTAGTCATTTAGCTGAAGAACAAGTGCAACAAAAATGGATAAGAAAAGAGTTTTCCTATTTAAATGATGACAAATCGGTCGCCGCTATTACTAATTGCTGTCAACTGATCGGACAAAGATGTGATCCCGAAGTTCTCATTGACTATCTTATGGATGCACTGCGAGAGTCTAAGATGAACTCAAGTGTCATATTTGTTGCCAATCAAATCATGGCAAATGTCAATTGCGATTTTAAAGAGATCGAAGAGATGTTGGACCTGTATTTGGCACACATTAAGACTATATTAGAGGATCAAAATGTTGAAGATATGAATAAAGACATTCTTCGTCAATGTCTTCTCATTGAAGGTCTTACAGTTTTTCTTCATTTATATGATTCGAAGACATCACATAACTATCTAATGAAATGTCTGTTCCCACTAATCCAAAGTGTCGGCTCATTAAATCTGTCTATCTATCAGACATCCCATCGGGCACTGACATTAGTGGCCAATTATTTATCGTATAACTCGATCTCAAAATTGATTGATTCCAACAGTGATTATCTGATAAATTTTGTTTGTATTAATTTGAAACATTTTGTCGATAACCAAAGGGTCCCAATTGTGATCAAAGTGATGCTCAAGTACTCTACTCAAGAGATGCTACCATTGTTTGTTGATGTGATCGATGAGATTATTGTTGTGGTCGACTGTTACCACAAGAGTCAAGCGCTACCTCTGATGCAAGTTTTACAGTCGTTTGTAATGACATTAAACCATTATTTTATAGAAAACGATAAATTAGTTGATAATCGAGTAGTGATTGATAGAAACCAAAGATGTCGTACCAATTATATGATTGAAAGTTTTGTTAACGATTTCGACGAGTTTATGAAAAATAAGTTAATTTTAGAAGATTTTGATAAAGTAGACGAATTGATTGGTGATAATGAAGATAATGATGAATGTGTTGTCAATAAAGATGTTGATGACAACGAAACAGATGATAGTAAACCAAAAGTGCCATTTTATGTGCCATTAATTAATAAGATATGCGAACGTTGTGTACATATTATCTCAAATACTGATCCAAAGGTCAGAATAATTGTGTTGGAAATCATCAACGAATGTCTCATATGTTTAAAACCATTTGAAGGTAATATTAAAATTTAGTTTAGTTATCATTTTGATAATAATATCATTTTTTCAATATTCAGATCACTTACTTCCGATGAGTCACAAGCTATGGGCACCACTTGTCCAGCGGTTCACCGAAAAGGATATTATTGTTGTAAAGCGTTCTTTCACTTGTCTGCAAATAATGTCTCAAACTTGTGGTGATTTCATACGAGTCCGAACTATCAAAGAAGTGATGCCAAAAATATTAACATTTTTGCGGACTCAGTTACCAATTAGTTTTAAAAAAGACAAAGCGTCTGCCTATCGGTTCACAGTTGCCTACTCTTTGCAAATTGATGTCTTATCTGGTATTGCATCCATTGCCAAGAATCTCGATTTAAGAGACAAAGATCTGTGGCCATTGATTGTGGAAATAATTCCATACCTTAACACATACCAACCGCTTCCACTACAAGAGTCGGCAATCAGTGCATTGATCACTATTGCAGATCTCGACATTGGTTCAGTCTATTACTACTTGAAGATGATTTATAGTGTCGATGATGTGGTAAAACATGAGAATAAATTTTGTGCTGAACTCAGGTTTACCGGAAATAAACCAGAATTTGCTAAAAATGTTACAAATCTTTTAAAACATTTAGGATATCAATAATTAAAAAAAAAAATCTATTCATGTAATACTAAATTTTATGCCACAAATTGTGTGTTTAATTTATTATTTACTATTGATATTATATTAATATATTTATTATAGATATAAAGTTATATTTATTTTTAACTAACAGCAAATCATTTGTACATAAAATGTTAATTTTTTATTAACCATAAAATATTTGATAAATTAATATATAGTTTGCTGATAATATATTGACAACAAAATTAAAAGAATAGATATAATATTAAAGGTGTGGCCACTGCTCGGCCTAAAAATGCTAAATAAATTGGCAAAAAAGTGACTGTAAAGCCAATGCAATAATCTTTAAGTGTTGACCATCTCTTGAAATTGGGATCTCCTGTTCTAATCTGTCTCTTAATAACAACATCTTGTGGAACTTTTTTTAGATCATAAGCCCATCCAATCCAACTGAAAAAGTCAATGAAAAGTGTGGCCGTATTGAAGTTGTCTTTCCATCCCAACTCTGATGCAGAATAGTCCTAATCGAGTAATGAGAGTATGAAGCAAATTAGGTACCGGTGCTTAAAAACAGTTTATCTAAATAGTCTGGTATAATACAAACCCATGGAAACGTATGGTGATAGTTGTGATATCCTATTAGGATGAAAAAATAGCAATTATTTTGGTGATAGTCTCTTATAATTATATACAAACCTTCTCCATGAGCCAAGTACTGGACGGCTTGGTTTTCTCGGGACTCTATATTTTTATCATATGGTCGGTTGCCGTATAAATGTGCCGCCGAATTGACGAGCCATGAATTGTGTAAGACGTATACATAGCGAAGGGCCACACACGTGAAGAAGGAGTTCCACAAAGATTCTGCCCATAATTTGTATGGTATATATGTAGGAATGAATGCCCATATAATGATGAGTAGAGGTATATAAAATCTTCGCTGAAATCGCACGATAGGGTCGTCCCAAATATCGTTCATTTCTATGGCTTTCCCTTTGCTGATGACTTCCGGATGTTTGCGACACAACAGCCAACCCATGTGCGCGAAAAAGAAGCCTCGGTTAGAGTTGTGCGGATCGGCGTCCGTTTCCGAGAATTTGTGATGAACTCTATGATCCCGACACCACTCGTAGATATCATTTTGAAGGGCCATTGTCTCCAAAAATGCTAATATTAACTATTTTATCGATACATTATTTTCTTAAATCTCAATATACATGTATATAATATTGATATTGAAATACCCTTAATGGCCATTTGGCTTTATATGCCCGATGCGACCATAAACGGTGAGCACCGGCCAACACTCCCAGAGCAGATGCGAGACCGAAGAAAAACATGGCATATATGGTCTGCCATTTGGCACTCATCAATGTAATCCATATCCCATACAAAGCACTGGTATGAAGTAATGTCATTAATATAATATTACGCCAAACGATCTCCAATTTATAAGACTTGTGTCCATCGGCTGAGCATTTGTTCTCATCGGTGGTGATTGTCTTCAGTGATTGTAAGCTCATATTCTTAAGAATTCTTTATTACAAACTATTAATCAATTGTTTACTATTTTTAAAATATTTAATTCAATTTTTATTTTTAAAAATTCATTGACTAATTGACTAATTTGACACTTATTATACATTACACATCATTATAGTTACTTCAGATTACTATTTAATTAATAAACAAAATAAAAATTATTTTTTCATAATTTGTAATATTTTTCTGAAACAAATGTCAATTTGATTCAAATTTAAGACCATATGAAGAACAAGAATATAGGAAAAACAAATTATTTTTAAACAAAAAAAATATTTAAAACTTTTTTTCAATTTAGTAATACTGAATAATTTATGACATTTAGTAGTTTATTGTGAATTCATTTTTTTTGTTGAATAAAAACAAAAAATATTATTATTTTAAACAAATGATTATATATACACACAAAATCATAATATAATTATTAGTATATTGACATTAAAAAATATTTTAGTGTCTTTCGCATTAAACACTGACGACAATTATTGAATATATTGATAGTAATTATTATTTAAATGATAAAAAAGTTTTTTAATATTTAGAGGAAAAGTGATTAAAAGTATTTCCTATAGTTATATACATTACATAATATTGTAGTATTCAATATGTGATTCATTGAACTAAAGCCGATAATCAAGTTGTTGTCGGCGTTTATATAAATTTGAAATAAAGCAATAATTTATAAGATTTTGTTTAAAGCTTTTCATATTATTTTCGATGTCTATTGTGTTTTGTCGTATCGTTAGCTTCATAGGGGAAGGTAAGGGTTTGACTTCCAGTGCGTCAGATTAGGTCAATCAAAGGCATGGCTGATCCCGTGAAATGGGTTTGTGTTTCTGAAAATAGCTATTTTCACATTTTTATGTCCATTGATTACATGCATTCAAGCACTTCAACTGTTTTTTATTATTATTTGCAGCTAAAACCAAATTAGCCTTAAGTTTGTTTATTATCAAATAATACTGACTCTTATAATTGGCTCAAAACCGTACGTCACCTAACAGTGCCACTGTTAGACCATTTATTAAAACATCTATTTTTATGTTTTTACAAAACTCTCTCTCTCTCTCTCTCTCTCTCTCTCTCTCTCTTAACGACTATACCTTTCCTGATGTAATCATTTGATTGCAAACCCATATTTGTCGGTAAATGTCAGAAAAAAAGTTCAATTGTTTTGTAAATATATATATATATATATATATAAACGTTTTTATAAAAGTTATTTGTGTCACTACAGGGGGTCACAAGAAAAACTTATAGACAATCGATTGAGAACTTAATATTTTGCTTCTCTCTCTCTCTCTCTCTCTCTCTCTCTCTCTCTCTCTCTCTCTCTCTCTCTCTCTCTCTCTCTCTCTCTCTCTCTCTCTCTAAATATATATATATTATTTACCTTTTAATTTACAATAGGATAACAATTCTCAATAAATTAACTTTAGTTTTATTAGCTATTATTTAGTTATTTATTGTAAACTGTGTTTATACGAAAAACATTTTTTCTTTTACTTATTCACTTTAAGTCATTGAAACATTAATTATAGTTATATTTAAATTTAAAAAATATTATTTGTTAATAATTTACTTCACACATAGTTTCTGAACATTATACTACAACTATAAAAGTTTTTTTTGTTATTGACAATATCATATAATCGGTTAATAAATACCCACTAACTAGTATATTAGATATATAATTATTATTTTATAAATAAATTAGTTTATTAATAACAATATAATAATAAATACTAATATAAATAATTATATATAAATATTTAAACAATTATTCAAATCAATTTAGATGTGATTATGATTATATAATCGGAGCCATTATTTGGTGGATAATATCGATGGACACAATCATCGGCTCATTATGTGATCTCTTCCTTAGAAAACACCGAACGAATCGTACGGATTTCATTGGATGTCTGTTGCGATGAATCATTGGATGTCTGTTGCGGTGAATCATTGGGTGTCTGTTGCGATGAATCACTTTTAGCATTATCTTTGGATTCAGACAATCGTTTCTTTGCCAAAACATTCATTTCACTCATCCGTGCGGCTAAACTCACCGACGGACTCTTCTTCAGTTGATTGGCTGAAAAGTAATTATCATTTGTCGTTGTCGTCATTGGACTCTTCTGTATCGGACTTTTCTTTATCGGACTCTTCTTTATCGGACTCTTCTGTATTGGACTCAACGGTTTAATCCGTGGACTCACTAACTTCGGCAATACATATCTCTTGATATAATATAAGTACAGAACTAGACATACTATGATTACAGACAATATAATGATCATAACTATAAGTACAATCAGTTTTGGATCCATTTTTTATCACTGATAATAAAAATAAAGTTTTTAAGACAAACTTCAGTTCACATTTTGTTTAAAATGTTTAAAACATTGAGAAAATTTCAAACTTAATATCATTTATGATTTATTGTAAATCACGCGCGTACTGCTAATTATTTTTTTGTTTCTGTAAAACAATTATACAATATATTTATATTAGATTTATTTTGTTGACATAAATTAGATTTATTATACAAATTTTTAAAAGTCAGATTTAGTTTAGTAAATCTCAACTAACATATAGTACAGTATTTTATTTACAGTATTTTCTATTAATTATATTAATCAACAAATAATAATAATAATTTATAATTTAATTCTATACAATAACAATTATTATTGGTGAGTAAATATTTTATAAATTATCATCAGATTGTTATTATATACATAAATGTCAAATCAAAATTATATATCTATTAATTCAATAATTCGCTTATTTTGTAAACTTGAAAATATAGTAAATTTTTAAAATATTTATTGATATTTACAAATGCCAGAAACAATGCCTATTATTTGATATGTAATTTTAACATTTTCACAACTAATAAATTAAACAATAATGTTTGTCAAGCCTTATATTTAAGTAACAAACCTGTAATAAAAATTTTTTTTTGACTACATTTGTAGATTATTTGATATAACAAACCTTTTGAATATTTTTTTTGAACTGAAATTTTATAATTGAATTATTATTTTACTAAGATTTTGTAAAATATTGCTCAAATATGGCTCAAAACTTGGTTTTAGTTAATAATAAAAAGTTTTATTTTTAGAATATGATAAATTAAAATACTTATAATAACTTATTTATTAATATTTCAAATTAAAAATAGAAGAGTTTAATTATTTTAATAATTTTTAGATAAAATTTATTGTGCATAACAATTTTATTATTAAATTTAAATTAATGTAATAATATTCAAATACATGACATCTAAAGTATAGCAAACATTTTTTTTTGTTATTCAATATTTTCTTGAAATTTAATACTATTAATAATATTATACTATTAATAGTTTAATAATACTACATAAAGAAATAAGGTTTTTTAAAAATTAATTATTACTAAAAAAAATAAAACATTATTCAAACATTAATAAACTAATTAAAAATGGATCCAATTTATTATGAGGTTATTAAAAGACCAAATATTAAATATAAATTATATTTTGTGATTATATCACTTTTAACTGTAATTTTCGTAACTTGTTTCACATTGTTTTACTTGTTTACGTTAAACAAAAATGAGTAAGTTAATTTATTTTTAGAAAATATATAGATTTATATATGAATTTGCTATATATAATTGGTATTAACAATAATATACATTTTTTAATTTATAAAAACAATTGTTAAATAATATTTATATCTATTTATAGCACAATTATTGACTATAGACCACAACAAATACATTTAGCAATTGGAGGTCAGATTCTTATTGTTATTATATTTATAGTAATTGATAGACAGATAACATTTACAAAACACTTAATATTTGACTTATTTATTAAAAATATATTAATTTTATAGACAATATCCGTGAATTAGTGATCGCATGGAGTACCCGATCAGATCCCGACGAGTCTATTGTCAACTTTGGCTACGATTGTAACGATACTTATATGATAGCTTCTGGAGAGAGAAAACTGTTAGATAGTAACGGAGTTCATCAATACATACATTTTACTACATTAAAACATTTAAGGCCACAATCTAAATATTGTATGCTATTAATTGAACAGTAATTATTATAAATGTTTAGTTATGTAGATATAAGAAAAATTTTATTCAAATTTTAGGCTATAGTGTAGGCTCTCACAAGTCGTGGTCTAAACAATATGAGTTTATATCGTTTCCTGAAGATCAAAACTGGTCGCCAACTGTGGCACTGGTAGGAGATATGGGTTATGACAATGGTAGATCTATTAATAGTCTCAGTGTTAATACATTAAAAGGCAAATACGATGCCGTCATTCATATCGGTATAATTATATTTATATATTTATAATTAAAAATTAATATTTTTAGAAATAAAAACTTTGTTTTATTTGTTTGATAGGTGATATCGGATACAATTTATATGCCGTAATGATAAATATATAATTATTGATCTAGGTAAAAACATTAATTTAATATATTAATTACAGTTTAACGGTTTAATGGGAGACTCCTTTATGAATGCCGTCCAACCATTTGCAGGTAATATACTATATTTGCAATAAATTATATTTATTGCAAATAACATTGAATTTTATATATGTTTATAAAATAATTTGATCAATATTTTTAATGTTCAAAAATAAAGCGAGAGTTCCTTATATGGTGATACCCGGCAATCACGAGTATATATGTTACGATAACAGGTGTCCCAGGTTTGCTAGTTTTATATATAATCATATGGTTTAAATTTGATCCTCAAATCTGTTTTTTTTTGTGTTATATACTAGTGACTATGGGACCAGCTATGAGACCCGTTTCAAAATGCCACAATCCGATGACAATAGTCACTACACCTTTACATTGGGTCCAATCTTGTTTATAGGTATTTCCACTGAAGTCTATTTTCAATCAGAAATGAGTGATTTAGAGGCCTCGCAGAAACAGTTAAAATGGCTCACAAATGTCTTAAAAGAGGCCAACAAACCTGAAAATAGGGCCCGACATCCATGGATTGTACTCTACGGTCATCGGCCGCTATATTGTTCGGCTGAATCGGAATGTATTGATGGTATGACTCCTTTTATAAAGGTATGAATGAAAATTGAATTATTTTTTTGACAGTAAAGAGACAAACATTTTTGTTGCCATTTAAAGGACGGCAATGTTGTCGGCAGTCTCTTTGATATCGACGATCTTCTCTATGCATATGGTGTTGACTTAGCCTTTTGGGGTCATATGCACTACTATGAGCGCATGTATCCCACATATAATCAAACGGTTGGTCATAAAAGTTATTTATTATAATGATAATCAGTTTATACTCTGATATTATACTGTATTTAATTTAATAAAGGCTTACGTAAATTCAATGTATTCCAACGCTTTTGTCAATCCCAGAGCCACTGTCCATATTATATCGGGAACTGGTGTATGGCTACTATACAAGCACTTAGATTGATATTAAATTAAATTAAATATAATTAACTATAAATATAGGGAATGCATTCGGGAACCGAAACCTATAGTCCGATACCCGCTCTTTGGACAGCATTTCGGTCGTCAGCCTATGGCTACACTCGGTTTACGGTTTACAATGAAAGTCATCTTTATTTGGAACAGATCGATGTCGACAAGGTTTGTATACATTGTCATAGATATCAAATTATCACTAAAACTTGGATCAGTTATTCATTGATTTAACTATTTAATTGTGCAAATTGTAGAATGATTTAGTGATTGACTCCAATTGGATCGTACAACAGGAACATCAATCATTTATCATAAAAAACAAAAACTTAAAAACAAATTAATAATAATAAATATTTTTTGTTTTTTTTATTTGTAATCTTTTATTATACTTTTTAGTTATATCTAATCATTAAATTGTTATTATTATAATATAATAAATTTTATTAAATGCTTATATAATTAAATTTACATTTTATACTTTATAATAATACTGTATATTTGTTCATACAGTACATACAGAATATGACTTTCATAAGAGTAAAATTGTTTAAAATATTGTACTTTTGATTCAATAAATTTTAATAACATATTTTTAAAAATCTAAAACTATTATTTATTGTCATAATTGCTAAAATATCACATAATTATAAAAAACAATAGTCACTAATAACGACTAATTTATAAAGGATTGTATCTTCTCTTGTATGGCATATCCAGACTTAGTCCACAACAACAACACTGTGACCACAATTGCTGTCGTTTATAAAGTCTTTAAATTAAAAAGAAACAAAAAAAACAATTTGTTTAAAACCGATCCGATTATATTGAGAATTAAAAAAAACTAAAATTGTGATTAAATATAAGTTGCAAATAGTAGATTAAATATAAAATAGTAATTTTCTAATCTAATATTTAAAAAAATTTATGAAATCACATGAATGTTGTTAATACAATGGCCAACAAAATCAAGCAAATTGTTGACATTGTATAGAAAGGGGCGCCCATAGAGCCACTGCTAACGGTTACGGTATCGTAATTACAGGGGAGTTCACATTCCTGTTGCCAATTAATAGGTATAAACGGATCAACCGATTTGATGAAATTAATTAAATTGCAATCACTATTTGCATTACATTTTGTTAAATTCAATTCAACAGACACAGGATTCATATCATTGAATTTAATATCATTAAAGTATAATAGTTTAACAACAAAATCTTTGCCAATTTGATGCAATTCCCAGACTAGAGAAGCGCCGTATTTGGGTGGCGTGTGGTTGACATGTGGCGAGTCATAAACACCCAGTGCTTGCATGAATACCACTTGCATGACATCATGTGTCTCATAAATATACAGTTTTTTTAGTTTGTCGTTTACAGTTCCGTTGACGACTTGATCCGCTCTATTCAACATATTTTTAGTAATTTCTTTTAGCAGAAGACCGGCTCTTAATCTCTGGATCTGCGGGTCTTTCCAATCAAAATAAAAGGCGTGAATCTCCAGATCCCGTAATTTCGTGAGTGTCTGATTGTCGGCCCAATCGGGTAATTCTAATCCGTTTTCTGTTTCCACTCTTAAAGTGGTCGACAAAAACTCAAGTGGTCTCAGTGTTGACGGCTTTGCACTCAAATATTTATCACCAGTTTTGGTCTCCAATGTCTTTATAAACTCTTTATTATTATTAACATAATTTACTACTTCTTTAGTTTGCATAAAATTAGTCCACAATCTGTCAGCCTTTGGACATACGGCTGATGTACTCAACAACCCGTCAGCGCCTGTATAGACAGCAATTGGCTGCCAATTCTTGGCCACTTCGCTATTGTTTTTCCAGATCCAGAAGTCTTTGGGTTGATAAAGACCGGTCATAAAGCACTGGGCGCTCTCCAGACACCTACTCGATGGGGAACTAGCAATGTATACATCTCTTGGCGAATGACTGTCATTCAAGTAACCGTTATATCTGTTTCTCAGAGCCCGTCCAAAATCAAACATACGTTGTTTGCCGTTTCGGGTCAGTTCGCCGATACCGTCCGGCCATATGGAGGGGTTCTTATAGGGGTCGTTGGGGTAGAAATTGGTGGGCGTTCTGTCTCCATGTCGTTGAACTATTTGAACCAACTTTAATGTGTCGGACACACAGTCTATAGTATAACTGTTAACTAATATAATTAATACTAAAACTTTTATATTATAAAAATATTTCATATTAATTAATATTTTTTTATAATAATTAAAATTCAATATAAACTATAGAGTATTGTATAATATCTATAAAAATTATATAAAGCATTTTGTAGGCATTTTTTTGCAAACTTTTCTATCGGTTGTTCAAAGTTCATAGATTATAACATTTTCAAACAGTAGTAGTTTTATAAATTGTTGTTCAAATTTATATAAAATATAATATATAATAAAGATTGTATATAAAAAAGTAAAGGCATTTGTTTAAATAAAATTTTATATTACTTTATATAACTATTAAATTGAGCAATTTGATACAATAAAAAAAAGTTTCCATTGATACTTTAATTATTATCAATATTATTATTATTATTATATGATTTTATGTATGTTTTTTTTGCACAATAATTGTAAGTCAAAAACAGACAATTTTATCCGCAAATAAATGATTGTAAATATTTTTAAGCGCTTTCTATGAAATTCATAAATATATGAAAACTACTGTATAATAATATACTTAAATACAGTATTTAGAGAGAAAAAACAAAATTATTAGTTATCTGTATTTAAGTCCATTAACTAAAAACATAAATTTATTATTATAACAACAAAATTGATTAAACTATTCAATGTGATCATCATTTTTATACTCAATAAGAGCATCGGTAGATGAATCGCACGGCTGGTTCTCATTGTCGTCCTCTTCAAACATATTAGTTATACGATCGGCATATAAGACAACCATCAGATGACAGACAACGCCGACAAACATAAACCCAAATGATGTGTAATGCAAATGATTGGTCAACTTTTCGATGTCATAGAGCCAACAGTTCCCGGTTTTACCGCACGTGTGTTTCCATATCTTGCAGGCGCTGTCTGTTATGGCACCAAAAACTATAGGATACGGAATAAATGCTTTGAACGGCAAAAAACCCGATTATTAATATTATTTAGACCATAAAACTCAATTATATTACCGAAAATAGCCACAAAAGCACCGCTAAGTCCAATAGCAAAGTTTTTGTCTTCAGGATCCACACATCTGATGGGTTTTTGTTTGTTTTGAATTCATTATTAATTAATACAACAAAAATTAATAGTTATTTTTTAAAATTAATCACAAAAAATAAACCCTAACCTTAATGCTAGTAATGTATCGCTAGTTTTTGCGGTCGAAGCTATAATACCGACGATAGCAAACACTGTGACATATGATGTAAATTGATTGCAATCAGTTGGACAGTAACCATCGCTTACTTGTCCGTAACCAAACTGATCACATTTGCAATTAGCAAATGTCTAGTTTAAAAATTGAGAAACAATTAATTAACTTTTTTTTTAAAAAAAACAATAATATTAATAATAAATTAATTTATAATTTACTTTTTTGTTGGATTTATCGGATGGCAATTGTTCAGTACAGCCGGCAAAACAGGGACTAAAATAATTGTATTTACCATTTGATGAACAAACCGGTTGAAAGGATTTGGTAGTACAATGACAGTTAGTGTTACAGGTGCTGGTCATGTGGTAACTGTCCAAATATTTTAACAAACAATAAAATAATTTACTTTACTTTAAATAAAATATTACTTATCATCGATGAGCTGTGTTTGTGGGAATATAAGTGGTGGACACTGTAAGGTACGGCAGTATAGCACTGATATGGCTATCACTGCCTGTGCTATGAATAAATAGAGTGCTATAGTTCGGGCTCGAGGCCTGAATCTCGATATAATGATACCGGAGCTGATCATCCCAATGACCATTGTTGGTATAACTATAACACCTGTCCAAAAGTTGGCGTCCGATGCAGACTTACGGAACTGGGATTCAATGTATTTTGGCTTAAATATGTAATAACCTAAATAACCAAACAGTTTGAATATGATGGCCAACACGTGAAATACATATATTGGGTTTGTTAGTAAGCGCTGGAAAAAAACATATTTTTATACTTTTAATCAATAATAATAATAAATACTTTTTTAGAAATTTAAAATACATTATTAAAACATATAGTTATTATCTATTTTTAAATATAAATGTATACAATATAAAAAATATTAAATAATATTGCTCATCAGTATAATATGCAGTAATTTATAAAATGCTAAAATATTTATTTAAAAGTATTACCTTAAGTTTCAGACAAATATCAGTTACTGTACTAATTGTTTCAAAACTTTTTAGCTGTTTTGGATCCTTGGGTTTGTTGCCCTTATCGGACATCTGTGTCGGAAAAAGGGTTAATGGTATTGAAAAAATAACCAAAAATATGCCAATTATAATGAAACCCATCCACCAGCACCCTATCCATCGGGGATCATTCATAGGTATGTCCACTTTAACTAATGTTTTAGAGAAAGTGAACAAAAATGTTACTAAAAATTAGTACGAATTTTCATTGATTTTTATTGATTGATCAATACTATCGGGATTTTCATTTTGTTCGAGAAAGTGAGCCGAAAGTAGTAAACCCACGGCTGGACCTAACAGTCTGACTGCGGAACAGGCACTCAGAAAAATTGGTGAATTTATTTTACTGGTATTGTCATCGATATAGGGTATGCCAATCGCGTAGTAAGCAATACATCCGATGCCTTTAAAACAAGAAAATAAATTAAAAAAGTGGTTAAACTGTAAATTTTAACATTAGATATAAATTTTTTTCTTTAAATTAACCGAACCGTTGAGAAAACTGGCCATCAAAAAGATGACGACTGCCGACCAAACGGTATTTGAATGGCAGTCGTCGTCCAGTTGATATGTCTGGCATAACTCGTATGTGGAAAAGTTGGACAGTTGTCTAATATTTGATATCAATTGATGTTCAACTGATCCATATATGAAATAAGGAGCGGCAAACAAAAAACAACTGACCCCTGCAATCATTTGGCCGATGGCCATAATGCGCGGTCTGTTATATTTGTTGCCGAGATAGCCTACTAGCGGACTGAGGATTATTTGACTTAAATGGTCGGCAATTAATATAAAACCGGAAACTTTGCTGTCAAATGAGTATCTCTTTTCCAATGTACTCAACGATCCGATCATATATGTAAATATTGATCCCTGAATTATGGACACAATCGAAAAGTTGATCAAAAATATCTCAGGTGTGGCCAATCGTTTTAGACATTTACACCAAAAACTAGGTTTTCTCTCAAAATAGAGATCAAGTTCTTTGATATTGTTTTCATTTGTTATTAAATTAATTTTATCACTCATGAGATCCATATTTGTCTTTTCCATAATTATGGTAATTAATATGATATTATTATTATCATTATTAATATCAACATTATTACTTTATTTACAGTATTTAAATTAAAGTGAGATATATATTTATTTTAATTAATTTTTTTCTAATTAAATATTAATTTTATATTAATTATGAAATTTGATATATTGCAAAATCAAACATTGCTATATTTTGCTAACAATACTATTTATTAATACTGTATATACAGTACCATTATATTAAATATTCAACCATTCAACCAAAAATTATGAAAAATTAAGATGAATAGATTTTTAAAATAAGACATTTATTATTTGTGCATTTTAATATACACTTTAAATAATTTGTAATTAATATTTTATTGAAATTTTTATATTGTATTCAATACAGATGAACCCGTAGTGACCATTATTTATTAATTAAAATATTTAACTTAAAATAATTTTTTAGAATAAAATTTAAATGTTTAATTATATATTTTTTTAATACTAAAAAGTTTGCTAAATTATATGCAATTTTTTGATAAAATTATTTTTATTATCAACAGACTGTTTTTAAAATTGTTTATTTAAATGCTATTATTATTTTTATCAAAATGTACTTAAAGTAAAACATTAAACAAAATAAACTATAATTTTCTTCAAATCACATTTAGTAAAATGCACTCAAATAATAAGTTATTTGTAATTATTAGAAAAACTGTACTTAAAAGGAAAATATTATACTATCATTAAAATACTAAATATTAATAGTTTTAATTGAAAAATCAATTAAACTAATAGTGAATAACAAGTACAGTAAACTGTATAAACAAGATAAACAAAATTTATAATCAAACACATATACAGTATACATGAATCCAATTTAATTGATAGTAATTATTTAAAAATCAAATAATACATTATAATAATTTTCATTAAACTTTATCTTATTTTATTGAAAAAAATCTATTTTGCATTTGGTTCATAAAATGCACTCAATAGTTCAAGTACATTTTTAAATATATATTTTAGTATATAAGCCAGGACAATTTTATATTTTATACAATTTATTGCATTTATGTAAAATTTTTATATTTAATTACAATGGATAGTCTGGATATAATATCGTGGTTCACATCATGGACCACATTAACAACTGTTATATTATTGCCATTATTATATTGGTATATCAATATTAAAATATTTAATTTTGTATAATTTAATAAATTTTATTTAATTAATAGGTATTTATTAAAGCCATATAATTATTGGTCCAAACGTGGTATACGAGGCCCGAAACCAGTGCCTATTGTGGGCAATGATTTGCAAACATTTATAAGTCCAATGCCTTTGGTAGAGTTGGAGTGGTTTAAAAAATACGGAAAAATTTATGGGTATTTTTATATTTATTTTGTATTATAATTTTAAATATATTATACTATATTTTTATTTGATTATATTAATTATTCAAAATATATTAAATCTTTTTTTTTCAATACACTTATAGTGTATATCGTAGAGATAAGCCAGTGCTGACAATCGCCAAACCGGAACTCATTAAAACCATATTAGTTAAAGACTTTCATCTGTTTCCCGATCGAAAAACCCGACGAATCAATCACGAGGTATTGTCGAAGAACTTATTCTTCTCGGAAGGAGAAGACTGGAAAAGATATCGATCCATAACTAGTCCGACGTTCACATCGGGAAAAATGAAGAAAATGTATCCAATGATTAGGGAATGTCTTAAAGAATATTTGAAAACATTGGATGATTTGGCCATAAATAAGAGTGATATTAATCTAAAGGACATGAACGGCAACTTCACGATGGATGTGATCGCCACCTGTGCTTTTGCCACCAAAACCAATGCACACAAAGAACCAAATAATGCGTTTGTGATAAACGCAAGAAAGATATTTGATTTCAGTTTTGTGCGAGTGTTGGGACTGTTAGTACTTCCCAAACAAATACTTGAGTTAATTGACTTAAAATCCGCAAGTGATGAGAGCAGTAACCAGTTTTTCATACAATTGACAAAACATGTGGTCAAACAAAGAAAAGATGAACCAAATAGTCACCAAAAATATAATGATTTTATTCAACTGCTTGTCGACGCTCACAACAATACTGGTCAACAACTTCCAGATGAAAATGATGTCAATGAAGCACATCATGTCAATGACGGTAAGATCTTAGTAATAGATTTTATATTTAAAATTAAATTTAATTAATAATTTTTTTCTCATTATTTAGGTGAAGAAGAAAGAGAAGTGGAGAGAAAAGTGTTGTCGGGAAGTGTAGTGAATAAACATTTAACAGAATTGGAAATCATGGCTCAGGGATGGATATTCTTCGTCGCCGGATATGAGACAACGGCTACTACTCTAACATTTTGTTCGTATGAATTGGCACTCAATCCTAAAGTTCAGGACAGACTCTATGAAGAGATAGAGACTGCCGTTGATGCCAATGGAGAGATCAGTTATGACAAACTGTCGAAATTGCCGTTTTTGGATTCAGTACTTTCGGAAACGTTGCGCTTATATCCACCAGTGCTGAGACTCGACAGAAGAGTTGTAACCGATTATAAGTTGGGCGACACTGGTATTCAATTGTTTGCGGGACAGGAGGTCGAGATACCGGTGTATGCCATACATCATTCCGATGAATTCTACCCGAATGCCCATCAATTTGACCCCGATAGATTTATGCCTGAAAACAGACATAAAATAATACCATACACTTACCTACCCTTTGGTGCCGGTCCTCGTAATTGTATTGGTATGAGATTTGCTTTAATGGAGGCTAAGTTAGGACTGGCACATATTATTAGGCGATTCAGATTTTTTAAGTCACCGCAAACGGCTGTTCCGCTTGAGTTCAAACCTGTTACCCGATTGTGTGCCGCAAAACAAGTGGTAGTCGGCATTGAAATGAGAAACATTTCCTAAATAGTTATCATTAATCTATTTTATATGTATTATAGTGACTATATTTTATAGAATTTTTAAAACAATACAATTACAGTACAATTTTTTAAATATTATTAAATTTATATAATATAATAATTATATTCATTATTCATGAATAACATCAAGTTTAACGTTATATTATGCAATATAAATAATCATAAATATTTATAATTTCATAATAATTATAAATTAATTATAACTTTAATCTGACTTTTAATGTATTTTATTTTTATTTTATTTTCAGTTACATTAAAATTATATCTATTAAATATAAATTGATTATTAAATTAAAAGTGACCAATAATAAGAGTATAGATAAAATTATTGTAAATAACATTAGAATTAATCATAATTCACAATTCAATTTTATTGATATATTTGACCAGATAGTTTCAGTCAACTTTTTAAAATATATTAAAAATTGCTATTAATTAAAATCATCTAGCTAAATCTACAATTAATTAAAAAAAATAATTAATTGCAATGTTATTTATTATAATATTATCTATAACTTTTTCATTGATCACTTTTAATTTCACTGTTTGGTTGATCAGATAATTGTAATTAATAGCATCAACGCTATCGTTGTTTAAGACTCATTGATTTAAATTATAATTTCATAAATATTTGTAAAATTGACAAAAATTATTTATTTTTATAAAATTGTTATTTGATAAGCTGATAAAAACATTTTTATCATAAAATCAATTTACAGTATATGATATAATGTTAAATTAATATTTATGTGACATTAGCTAACATAAATGTATGTTTTTAAAATAAATAAAAAGTTATATATTTTTATTATAAATAAAATAAAAATAAAATTTATATTTTGATTAAATTTATTAGGAATTGTTACATATTTTTTTAGGAAAAACAAAAAAGTGCACAAATAATTCACAAAAAATATTTTGCAATATATTTTTGAAAAATTCGTAATTATTTTACAACAAGTTATATATGAGATAAAAATCATGTCATCAAAATTTTTAATGTTTATTATATCATTAAAACAATTTTAATTGAAATATTTTTATTAGTAAATTACTTAATACAAAAACAATCTATAAAAATAAGATATATACTTAAATTTTTATATTTATTTTAAGGACAAATAAATAATAAAAGCTAATAAAATGAAAGTTATATTAAGTAATAGAAATAAAATAATGTTTGTTTAAAGCTGTTATAGAGATAAATAGATGGATAGATAGATTGACTAATAAATAATTAATTAAGATATTTAATGAGTTAACAGCTAACTAACAAAACAAAAAAAAACAGTTAAAAACAACTACCAATTATTTTTTATGAATATATTGAATGTTAAGGTTATAAGAATTTTTACATTGATATACAATATCACCAAAAAATATGATTGACTTTATATATTGCTAACAATGAATAAACAATAGAATTAATATAATAGTATTGTTAAAATATTTTTTGATATTTAAAAAATTTATATTATTATTATACAATACCAATAGTAATATTCAATTGAATTCCCAATTATGGTTAGATTTTGCATGTGAGTTAATGAGTGAGTGAGTGAGTGAGTGAGTGAGTGAGTGAGTGAGTGAGTGAGTGAGTGAGTGAGAGAGAGAGAGAGAGAGAGAGAGAGAGAGAGAGAGAGAGATTATGTTGAAAATGAGTATATTTTTATATTTTAAATATTGTTTGCCAAACACATACATAACATTATTGTCTTTTTATGATTTCATAAATTATACAACATTTGTATGCCATTAATGCCAGAAAAGCGTGCATTAGTTGCAAAACAAGTAATGTTAGTTTTATATCATAATATATAATAATAATAAAATTGTTTAAAGCATCTCATATTATTATATTAAAGGCATTTGAAAATTATTTTATCCAATTGTGAGCTATACTATACTGTAAACTAGTGTTGTTTTGTGTGTTATTAATTATCTCATATGCCTTTCCTTTAGAGTCCATAATTTGCTGAATGAAAATAGCTTTTTTATATATAAATCTCATACATATATATATAGATAAGCTTACAGTGCACTCCCTGTCCGCTATATTGCATACATAAAACTCAGTCTCTATCCTAACATCTCGTTAGTGACTTTACAACGAGTGAAGCGACAACTAATTGAGCATTCATTTAGTTGGTCTAAAATAAGCTCATCTTTATATACATATATATATATATACTCTTAAAGATTGTGTCATTAAGTCAATGAAATCCAACGACAAAAACGGGCCATAAATACAAAAGTTATTTATTTTTATTTATTTTTTCGCTTTAAGTTTTTTTTCGCTGTAAAAACAACAAACATTGCATGTATTAGATGTGATAGACTTCTACCATAACAGAGACTGATCAGTGAATTTAAGTTTTAAAAAAAGTCAGTCAAACTTTTTGTTATTTTTAAAAAATATTTCACTCATAAAAACTTACAGCTATTTTGTCTGAGTGTAAGTGTTTGTGTGTTGTGTTAAAAAGCATTTTTCGTATAATCAGTTGATTGAGTTTTAAGTATTTTTAAAAAACCAAATCAAAAAAAATATTTGGGATAAAAAAACAAACAAAAAAAGCATCACTTATTTTAACTAAGATTTTTGTGACTCAATAGAGAGTAAATACGAGTGCTTTTTAAATAAATAAATTATATTAATCGTACAGAAAAAGACAAAATTTTTTATTAATAAGTTTTTCTGAATTGTTTTTTTTTATTTCTTCATTACAGAAGAAGAAGAAGTAAAAAATGGCGAACGCCTTCTCAATCGTCAGAATAGTTTTAATGGTTTTCCTCATCATTGTGTTGGTACTGATGATCGTCTACTTTGTACAGGCATTGATGGCCATCAATAAAAACCAATACAATCGTAAAGACAACATCAATACGGCTATCACTACGGCCCTGATATCGGCCAACGCCATACTGGGACTGATGGGCGCCTATAAGGAGCACTTCCTGTTCACCCTTATCTTTGCCATCGCACAGACTGTGCTCATCATATTGGGCTTTGTATTGCACACCGAGACCTGGTTTGCCATACCGTGGATCGGTTCAGCCATACTGGCCTATGTGTTCGCCTTTCTCATTAAACAGGGACATACCTCATAAGTAATTTGATATACACTTACATATATTAATAGAAACACTTTATTAATCATATTTTTCAGTTTATATAATCAATTATTAATTACACTATTTATTATATAAACTTAGATATTTTTACTCATATATTAATATGTTATTATTATTAATATTTTATATAATTGATATTTAATATCCCATATACTAATATATATTACATAATTGTATTATAATTATTAATTCACTTATTTGTTATATAATTATTTGGTGTACCAAATAAAGTATTTACTAAATTAATAAGTTTTATATTAAGCCAGTAAATTTAATATAATTTTATGTTAAAAAACAAAACATTTTTATTTTTATTTTATGTGTTTATATATTTTTTGTTTAATACATTAGCAACGAGTAATTATTTAAATGCCTTAAAATATGTGTTACCAACAAATTATTTCTTTATTTTACACATTTCTATGGATATTAAAATTTTTGTTTTCATTATTATAATTATCTAAAATAAATTAAAATACATCACGATAGTTATATTAAAAAATATTAATTTAAACAATGTTTCATATATTCTCATTAATACCAATATAAACAAATTTAATAATAGTTTGACATTTTAATCAAATAATCTAAAAAAGCAATAAAATACACAAAAAATATTATATAAATAAACAATTTTTTTATTATATTTGAATAATACATGTATATTACTATCATTTATTGATAGACTGTTTAAAATATAGTATTATATAAACAATTAAATATTAAATAATGTTCATAATCATATTTAATATTGTTTTAAAGCGCAAAATATTTAAGCATGCTAATTTAATTTTTCACACAAAATAGCGTAAATAATTAACAAAAAATATTTAAAAACAAATATTAAACAATTATAGCATATTTTAAACTATAATATACTATACAATTGTGTTAAACTGAATTTAATTTAATCCATAATTCACCAAAATATGCAATTATAATAATAAAAAGCATATGATATGTTAGAGAGAGAGAGAGAGAGAGAGAGAGAGAGAGAGAGAGAGAGAGAGAAATTGTTTTATAATTTTATATTTCATATATGAAACACCCAAACAATATATCAAAAAATTTTCCAATGAGTTCACCAAATTTGGAAATTGAAAATTTTGTTGAAGAGATCAACAATTTTAAAGGACTTTATTCAGCTATTTGTTTGTGAGAGTAGATTATATGTGGGTTGTTATTATCGTTTAATACAACTATACAAATGAAAATTAAACAAATAATATTATATTTTTAATAAAAATTATTAGTTGTAAATTACTCACAAATTAATAAATAATTTATATATATATTATTAAAATATTGTGTATATATTTTGAGAATTTAATAGGATTATAAATAATATATGAAAATAAATATTTAAATCTTTGAATCATAAAATAAATTAGTATTTTTTTATATATTATACTTGAATATGTTTTAATAAATAGATTTTGAAAATATTATGATAATTGTAAATCTTAACACAATTGCTTATATATTATACAACACTATATTTATACAATGACTCAATATGCTATTTATATATTATATACTTAATACAAATAATGCAAAGCAACAATTTTTTACTCATTTAAATAGTAAGTCAAAAAAATTGTTACATCCATTATATATAATTTATATAGATAAATATAACATAGTATATACTGTACATACAGTATATATTAAAATAAAAACAACATTTATTATATTACTGTTTCAGTATAACTAATTGAGAGACACAAACAAGTTATTACACCCACAGAATTGTTTCGCTTTTATTATAGCATCCATTGATAAACATATGGATAACGTGGGGATAAAGAAGGAGAGACATAAAATGAGATTTTTTTTGTATGAAAAGCTATTTTAAAAGGTAAGGGATGAGAATTTTTAGGTGTGTTCCCCATAAATATATATTATTAACACTATTAAGAGTCAACATTAATTATATTGATATCATTGAGAAAATATATGCGACAAAACTGTTTATTTTTCATTACATTTTTTATATATAAAAAAAAGTTTAAGGCATTTGTTAAGTACTACTTAAGATATTTTACTTTTAAATTAAGGCAACATTTTTCTGAAATCAATTTATCTTTTATTCTATTTTCAAATATTAGTGATATATTTATCATCAATTAAATAAATATCTCAAATTCTTTGCCATAATTATTATTTTTCGGTGAAAATCATATACTGTGTATATAAATAAAATATTATTATATATATCTCTAAAAGTATAATAAAGTTTTCAAATTGTAAGACAAATAAAAATTATGTCAAAAACTTACACAAAAAGTGGTTTCGCGTGGTTTGTGTTGACTTTAATCCGTATACTTCAGTTAATAGCTTATGCCTTGCTATTGATAATCAGTGGTTACTATTTTGTGATAACCATCGATGCCATTGGCGATGACATCGATGTTCACCGGGAGACACACCTGACCCACGATAGGTACGGCCATCATATGTTCGGTATAACTAATTCAGACAATAAGGAAGACCACATCACATCACTGATCATTTGGGTGGTCATAACGATGATGGCCGCAATTTTCTCGACCGCCGGTATTATTGGTACCATTTGGATCAATCCATGTTTGGTAATAAACTCTAAGTTGTAGATAAAATATCTATTAAATATGTGTCATATTATTTGTTTGTCACTAATATATGTATTGAGATTATGATTTTTATCACAATTGATTAATAACAAAAAATATTAATATTTCAATAATTAGCTAATTTATAAGGTATATACAGTATTAAATATAATTAAATCTAACAAACTATGTAAAATACAACCAAATATGGATATTATATATTTATATAAAAGATTGTAGTTTAAAATATTTTTATTTTTGTTAGTTTAATATTATTTTAATATATTTATAATACAATCAAATTATATTTATATCATATTATTCACTGTATTCTTAAATACTCGTATTTGTTATTAATTTATATATAACAATAATTTTTCATAATTAATTGTTTATAATTATTATTTTAAAAAATTACTTTTAATTAGTATTTAGATACTAAATAACTTGAATTTGTATTTAATGTATTTATAGCAATATTTATATAAATATTATTTTCATTAATTTCTAAGATTTAAGAATAGATAACATTAATAATAAATTCTAATTTATAATATGAATATGAAAAATAACTATAAAATTAATAGACTATTAGCTATCAATTAATACACTTATATTAATATAATCTATTTAATACATTTTTTATGTATTTATGTAAAAATAATCAAATATTAATATAAACAACTAATCAATTGAGTTGTATTTTACAACTCAGACACTATTTCTAACAAATACATAAAAAAGTGAACGAATTAAATAAAATTATCTATTATTGATTAAATAGTAAATTAATTGTATCTCTAATTTAGTTAATAACATTCACCGCTAGTTTTGTTGATTTTCTATGACATAAATAATTAATATTTTTTAATAAAAATTTTCAAAAATAAAATTATTTATCTCACAATATCATTACTAATATAATAATAAATATAATTATCTAATAAAATAGTAATCATTAAGTACCAAATAATTTTATAATAGTATTCATGTGTAATATCATTAATTAAATATTTAATTAAAATATAAATTAATTTATAGGTATTATTCAGTGCAATAATGATCTTATTGTTTGCCGTATCCGGTATTGTATTGCCGGACATTGGCCTCACTCTACCGGAAATCACTTCAAACTATTCTCTGCTTGTGTTAGAAGTCATTGCCGTTGTATTGTCCGTAATGTTTGTCATTATATTGAATCGATGGGGTCTTCAAAAAAGGACTGTTCCTCACAAAGAAGTCACTTTCGCTTAATTTTTAGTTTAATTTAAATATATATTTTTTTCATTGTATATTAGTTACTATTTACACAATTTTAACATTAGATTTAAAAACATTATACAATAATATAAATTGAAATCAACTTTTTTTACGCTTTAACTTTTTAGATAAATTTGTAAATAAAAAACAAATATTTAAGCTAAAAAACACTGCAATTCTAATCTAATATTTTAAAACATATCTTAATTTTAATCAATATTTTTTTATTAAACTTAAATTTAAAAAATATATCATGAGAGCGCAAATTAAATTTTAAAATTTATTAATTTAATCAAAAAAATATTTTAATAAATAAATTTTGTATATGTGTTTACTACTATTATTAATAATAGTGATCAATATTAATCATGTTTGAAATAACCTTATATAATAAAATCAAATTATTTACTTAATATGGCACTCAAATAGTTGTAGATTAACATCAGAGTGCAGGTGATTCAAACATCTATAATATTAATATAATAATATAATTATAATCTTAAAATTGTAAAACAAGTTTAAACTAAAAGTTGATATACAGTATAATATACTGTATTATAAATATGTTTACTGTATATATTTTTTAATTAGTGTATTAATTTAGCATTGAAAAATCGGTCAATAGTAATATACAAATCTCTTATTATTTAATTTTATAGTTAGCTATAAATTAAATATTTAAACAAAAGCCGAGTTATTATTGATTTCACAGAACAGGTGTAGAAACAAATGTGAAGAAGAGTTACACAATTTAAAAAAAAGTAATTTTTAGTTTTTAGACTATATTTTAAGGTTAGTCATGATTTGGTGAAAAACCTAAAATTTGAATAAAACACACACACATAGCAAACAATGTATAAAAATTAAAAATTATTGTTAATATTCTTAATTAGTTTTTTCTTGTATACAATAATAATATTAATTGTATTAACTTAAATATGATTAATTTGAAGGACGCATTAAACAAATAGCTATAATTTACGATACATTATATGATAGTAAACTAAAAACAAATATTTTTTTTAGTTTTTTTGCCGCTAAATAACTCAAGGATTGCTTAATAAACAAAAACATATAAACTTTGATAGCATACTAAAAAAACACTATGAATTTTATAGAAACTTTCAAATTAATTATTCAATAAAATAGAAAATTTTTTTTTGATAAAACATTAGTGAAAAACATTTGCAAACATATGCGAGAAAAACTATTAGCGTTTGAATCTTAGTGATGATCATTGCAGACGAGTTGATCAACTACTGCCACCACAATCCACACTATAATTACCATCAAAGATGAGATATTATTACAGTAATACTGTATTTCGTGCCATCAAATGGCTGTTTATAATCGTCCAAATGGTTATACTATTGGTTTCGATAATATTGTTTTTTGGATCACTTATCCTCTTCTATATTGTCAGTTATGACACAGAATCAACTCATCATCAGAAAAGAGAGTCACAACGGGTTCTCCTATTTTTCTGTTCACTGGCCAACTTGGGTACCATACTATCATCAATTGGCATCTATGGTTCATTGGTTAGCGACAAATACATCATCAGTGCCTATGGGATCATTGTCATCGTAATCATGTTTGCCGTTATTGTATTTGTTGGCAATGTCTACGAGATATGTGCTCTTTGGACACTATTTGTCTTCACTTCCATCTACGCCTACTTCATATCAAAATACGAACACATTGTTTATGATGTCCGCACCGGTAATGTATAAGAAATTTGTAAATAATTTAATTCTTGTAAAAAAAGTTATCAATATTTTGTTGTTGATGTCATATCTTATAAGTAATTTATTATTGCTGTAAATAAACTTTTAATTATAATTGTATTTCAATTGTATAATATTAATCAAATATATTTTTAAAAATAGTAATTTTTATTTTTACAAGTTTAACATTTTTTTGTGTGATGTAAATAAAATTTATTTTAATATTAATATATCATTTGTGCAGTGAATATAGACTAGATTTACTAAATAGCAAAAAAAATAAATAATTATTATTGTAATTATACAGTAAATTAATAGTAAATTTTTGTACTTATATTATATATTGTTAAATGAAACTCTTTTAATTTTCAAAATGAAAGATCGGATCTGATTGGGTGACAATTGATAGTTGAATTGCTGGGGATTATCCAAATCATTGTCGTTAGTGCTGTTATTACTTGACAGACATATATCACCACAACTCCAACGATATCGATGTTGTCTAATATATTCAACGGATTGAGTGCCAGTTAGTCCTGTTTCGGTGACATCTATTAACTCAATGCCCACAAAGAGATTGTTAAGTGTCACCGAAACTGATTTCTCGATTGTCTCGTTTGTTCCAAAGATGTTCTCTAGTCGTATGAACAGCAAGTCTTCATCCAACTGTTCCAATGTCAGCAAATGAATGGACGGACCAATATTAGGATTGACAACCAGTTTGTTATTATTTTCAGTTGTCTTAGACAGCAAACTATCGTTGAGATCCACAAACAGTAGTAACGGTTGCCAAAAGATAGTTTTGCTGATAATCTTCAATTCCCTCATATTATCTTCAATACGACTTATCAATAACTTGTGCTTTCCTTTAACTACCAGTCCGTTGTTATCAACTCCCGGTTCATCCAATTTCTCTTCCATACCATATCCATCATCGTTGTGTAACCGTCGATGAATCATTAATTCAACGGATCCATCTTTAAGACTAGAGCCTCCTTGTGTACGATCGGGCAAAACAGTCATCTGTAGGTCACTTAACTGATCCTTAATTGATATCCAAGCCGTCACTGGATAGTAATTACTGGCCACCAGTTCTGTGGTCTCAAGATTCCAGGTTTCCCTATAATTTCGTTTTCGTTTCAATGTTTGCCTACCATTAGAGTCAGTATAGAAAACACCTTCTGTTTTGAAACCGGTATCAAATCTAGAGATAATCTCATAATCTTTATCGCGAGGAAGTGGTCCAACAATCCATTCAAACTCAATATCACTCATATTTTTATAGACTCTTATGATTTGTTTAAGCCATGGAGTAAACTCTTGTAATACCTCTTCGCTTAACTTTCCTCTGCGAACAGTAATGTTTGCTTTCTCTGCTATAATCACAGGATCTGAACCATTGGTGTGCATAGAATAAGCACCCGAAGGTTTTCCCCGACCTCTAGTATAATATCCAAAGTTTTGTCGGACGGACACAAATGAGTCCTTATATTCAACTCCTGCCAAAAGTCCTGTTTTGACATCAATTGTTACATTCATTTCATCATTAGATATATGGATGTATTTTGCTGTCACTTCTTCATTCAATTTATCACTTTTCTGGTCAACAAATTGTTTCTGATTTGACTGATTTTCAACATTTTGTAAATAAAATCGGCTAAATGTCAGACCTTTTAAGACCGGATTAAACAATAGCTCGTATTTAGCATTAGTTTTACGTTCAGACAGTAATTGTATAAACTCTGGTAATAATGATATCTATAGAAGTTAGTAATATTGATAAAAAATTAAATCACATAACATAACATAAAACATTTTTTTTAATTACTAAAAATTTATAATAAAATAAAATGCTATCAAACCTGGTATTCAATTTCTTTGCCATTTTCGTCAACAATCTTATAATTATTATCAACTAATGGCAATTGTAGTGATCGCTGGATATCATGGGCTAACGGATTATAGATAGCGATTTCAATGCGGGAACTGTTTTCAGATTTGGCCAAAATCTTGCAATCACTGACATTCAATTGATGGCAAAAATGTGGCTTCAGATGTGTGCCAAACAACTTTTGATAGGCACCGGCTATGAGCTCATCACTGTATGCCAATCCCCGGGACAACATCCGCACATAATCATCACTAACAAACTGTTTACTCGTACCGCTGATGGCGTCGTGATGTAAACCAATGCCTACCGATTCCTCCAGAGGTTTGATTAGTTGTTTAGACTTTTCCGAGTAGATGCCGGTCAGGGCTATCAATTGTTTGGCGCTTTGCAATACACTATAGGCATAATTCATAAGATACTTGAAAGCCGGTCGACTTGTAAAATATCCGCTCCAATAGTCGTTAAACCGGTCGGCGTACGGCATAAAGTCGTCAAACTTATAGTCTGTCCAATTGGTATGCGATTCATAAACTGCCCGAACATAACAATCAGGTGTTGAGTATAGAAGATGAATGTCTGAATGATTTTTATTCATGAAATCAATCAATTGATCCAAATTTTTAAAGCTAAACTCAGCGAAGTAATAGTTAAAATCACCGCCCATTGTGGCCATTAAATGATTGGTTCGGTAGCCTTTAGTTTCAACGGCCGCCCGCCGCTCGAGAAACGGTGCATTGCGTCGGTAATTATAGTTGAGACTCACGCCATCTGTCGGATAATAGCCGCTGGGAGTGATTCCCGAAAACAAATAGTTGTTGGTCTTTAAGTTGGGATCAGTTATCCAAATAAATTCCATACTCTTGTCGGTCATTCGTTTTTGTTTGTCCTAAAAAATTCAAGTTTTAACTAAAAAACTGAATCAAATTTTTGCGACCAAAGCACCTGATAATCGATTCTTCCGTTAAGAAGTGCATTGAAACCCATTTGCGACAAAATGGACGCATACTCTCGCGTGTGACCAAAAGGATCGATTTGCCAGCCGGTGGTCGGAACGTACTGCCGACCAAACGTCTGGTTAATAAACCGGTGACCGTAACTCATTTGGTCGATAATCATGGCGTAATGGGGCGACGCCTCGTCGTTCATAACCCAACCCCCACTCGTGAACTGTAACTTTCCGGTTGTCACCAATTGTCTGACCAACTCTTGTTGAGTCTCATTCAGGTCATTCCAGTAACGGTTAAAATAGCACATCTCGACAAACGTAAACTTTCGCTCTTTAGGCGCATCATTATAGGTTAGACTCTCGATGACTGTTTTGAAGATATCAAAAACACCTATAATTTTGAAACGAAAATTATAATTAAATATTATTTAGAAAAAAATAAGTTTTTATAAATTAAACTAAAATTATATAATTGTTTATTACTATCTTTATAATAGCCATCATATGTTTTGACCCAACCAGCATCTAAATGTGTATGACTTATGATATGAATGTTTAATTTGTCGGCTTTTGTTGGATTACAAAACTAAATTTATATATAAATAATTATTTATATTTATAATATTGTATACATATATATATACTAACAAATAGATTATTATATATATATATATTTCAATTACTTACTTCATTGTTGGATCTCTTATCTAAATGCAATGCATATCCAATTAATATGATATCCAAACAAATAATTAGATTAATAATTAACTTAATTGAGTGACTCATCCCTCTTCTGGTTTTTCAAACATTAAAATTTTTTGCCCAAACTTTTGTTGGATCAGATAATTATGAGTTTAAAAACAATTTTTACAATTACAAGTAAAATGTAATAATTATAATTTAAATGAGAGCACACAACTGCAATATCAATGATACAACAAATGTTTTTATTAACAAATTCATTCAATTAAATGTTATTATTAGTATTTTTACCAAAAAATAAAACATTGAAATTTTTTTCATATAACACCTGAATTTATTTTAAAAAACCTTTTATAGAAAGGCTAATAAAATAAATTTCGGAAAATATTTTACTTATTTGTTTATATAAATCTGATTATTGTGTGTTATTGTTATTTGTATAAAAAATCTAATATCAATGAACGAGATTTTATAATTTACGTAATTATAAAATTTAAATATTTAACTATTGACTTGTTTTTGTTAATTAGTCTAATACTGTATTTATTCAGCAATAAGTAATATTTTGATTGCTTTCCGATAGTGACATCGATATTGATTTTAAATATAATAAAAATATTAATGTTTTACAATTAACATATATGTATATTTATACCTGTATATTAATATTATTATAAATAATATTGTAAATTTTATATTTTTATAGAATTTATTATTATACTTACTAAATTATTTTCCATTATTTTTATTATATGACATTTCATGTTAAATAAATTTTCAAATAATCTATATATATTTCATTTATATTCAAATTACTATTATTAGCTAGATATATTACATTAGTATACTCATACATTGTTAAATAAATCAATAAAACTAATTTATAATGTTTATAAAATCAATATAAAAATAATTATATTATAATAACTTTTAATTTATATAATTATAAATATTTTATACTATTAAATAACATAAAATAATTTATTAGTAAAAACTTAAATATCAGTTTGTTATTTAATTTCCTATTATTATAATATATAGTTTCCTCTAAACTTTAATTTGTCAACTGATTTGTAACATTTTATTTATTTATATTTAAAAAATACAATAATTAAGTGACAATATCTATATTTGTAATTAATAAGGTATGGAAACATAGAAATCTTTTTCAATATCATAAAGTTATTAATTGATTAAATGACAGATAACAACAAATTTAATAAATATTATGTCTCTGTTTAAGCAAATAGAGTATTATTTTTGTTAAAGTTTAAATATAATAATTAAACAAAAAAAATTAGTAATGATTTTATAAAAATCACAAAATATTAATGTAAAGAAAATATTATTGAATAATATTAAAAATTTTTATTATGTTTTACAAATTATTAAACATAAGAGATAATCTATTAAAATCTATTAATTAGTTCACAATTTATTTAATGTTAAACTTTATTATTTATTTATTATGTCTATCAATAAAATTACAATTAAATAATTTAAGTGTTTTATAACTATAAAAATAGTTATCATTTTTTTTATAGCGCCTATGATTTCATAATCTAATAATAAGAAATAATGATTAAAAATTACATTAGTTTTATTGATTATTTTTATAAACAGTTAATAAATTTTATGTTTATAAAAAATATACAGTATAGATAATAAAATAAACCATAATTATCATTTATCATATTTGAGTAAAAAATTAAATAAATATCATATTTTAGATATTTATTAATTAATAAGTAGTAAATGTAATGTTGAATTAATTTTAAAAATTTAATAAATCGTTTCAAATAAGTTAAATTTAAAGATAAATGTAAAAATTATGTTTAATGTTAAACATCAAGTGTCGACACCATTAGCCCAGCAACCGATCGGTCCGTTTTCTCAGGCCATCAGATCAGATAATAGAGTATATATTTCGGGACAAATTGCATATAATGTAAAAACATCAAAACTTGTCTTAAACCCAATCGAGGCACAGGTCGACCAGATTTTTAATAATATTAAAGCTGTGGCCGAGGCCTCCGGTGCCACTCTCGACCATATCGTCAAAATCAATGTCTTTATCACTGATTTCAAGTACTTGTCGGCCATCAATAGTTCAATAGAAAAACACTTTCGCTATCCATATCCGTCCCGCACTACCGTCCAAGTGGCCAGTCTTCCGATGGCAGTTGATGTGGAAATTGAGGCTATTTTATCACTAACTCATAATGATATCTCTAAATTGTAAATGTTTTATAAACATAATTAATTGATTTTTTAAAATATTAATTAATTAATAATAATAAAATCCCTAAAATTATATACTGCATTACATAATACTTTCTTTATATTCAATATTATTATTTATTATTATTATATTTCTATTTCTTTCAAATTAATTATTAAAATTAATTTAATTAAATGATATTTTACACTAATAAATACCAACAGCAGATGTCAGTGATAATTATTATGTAATAATATTTTTTGGTATTTATAAATATATATTCAATTATTAATACTTTATTCTTACGTAATAAAGTTATTTAACTGTTTACTTGAAAGTTGTTTGAATAAGCAAATAGTATATATATGACATAAATTTATATATTTATATAAAACTACATATATATTGAAAATATTTATAAACATTAATGGCTTTAAACATACAAATATAAGTTATAAGATCAAAAAAATATTATTTATAAAACAATAAATAACCTTGCAAAATTTACTCAAAATTAACCTGGGTGAAAAAGTGCAAATTGTGTGCCAAATTAAATAAAGTGTCAATTGATTATTTATAATTAATTATACAGTAGTAAATTTAAAACAATTTTTTAGTTAATTTTATTGATTTTAAATTTTTAAAAAATAAAAGCAATGAATTGTCCGGTGATAGTGGTATTGGTGTCACTATTGCTGATAATCGCTGCAAACGTTGTGATGGGTTGTAATGAAGGTGTCTGTGCGTCGATAGTCAGCAAATGTATGTTAACCGAGAGTTGCAAATGTGATTTCAAGCACAACCGCACCTGTAGTCATGATTGCCATAAATGTCTTGACTATCTGTATCACGATTGCTGTTCGTGTGTCCAGATGTGTCCCAAACCCAATCTCACTGCTCCTCACCAACTGAGCTCTAAGTCTCACATTGAGGACCTACTGGAGCCCAATAACGAACTATTCTCTGTTCTTACCGAACAAACTGATCATTTGCTGCGATGGACATCGTATACGATTCCGGCAAAGATTGTCTTCATGGAGGCCAACAACCGGACGACTACTTTTACAAACGGTTCGACCGATGACAGCGTCGACGTAGAGAATGAGACACCAGTTAACTGTACGGTCGCTTACATGTCTCAGTGTATGTCTTGGAACAAATGCAAGTCTTCGTGCACATCAATGGGCGCCTCCTCTTACCGATGGTTTCACGACAAGTGCTGTCAATGTGTTGGCGCCTATTGTCTTAATTACGGTATAAATGAATCCAAATGTATTCAATGTCCGCTCGCCTCAGAAGAAGATGTCGAAGAACACGAGTCTACCGCTGATGACTATGACTACAATGAAAGTGATAATGAAGAGAGAGAAAAACAGATAAAAGGGACGGACAAAGAGGCCAAAAGTGGTGATAAACAAAGTGATACAAAACAGGATTCAAAAGATACCACCGATAAGACTGTCTAAAGATCACTACTGTAAAGGAAATCATTGATTCTTGATTTTAAGAAATATATTGTTTAAATGATTTGCAATTACAGTATTATTACCGGATGTTATTAGTCTTTATGTTAAATAATCAATAATAATAATCAATATAATTATAATATACTTAATTTTTATATACAAGAAATTGTTAATTTTAATTCAAATTTGTTTAAATGAGATTAACAAATACAGTATATAAAGTAATCTTATATAACTACTTAATTTTTAAAAATATTAAGTATTTTATTTAAATTTTATTTTATACTAATTAATACTTAATTTTTTGAAAAACAATAGTCAATTTCTTAAATACATTATGTAAATAATATAAAAATACTGTATTATTGATTTTTGTATCGAAATTAAAATTATAATATAATGACTGAAATATTAAGTACAAATGTATGTAACAAATTGTAATGAATGTAACTTACAATTTGTTATAAATAATGATTAACTAATAAAATTTTGTTTTTTATAATAAATAAAATTGATGCAAAAAATTTGTACACAAAAATATCTACATTTTAAGCCATTTGAATGACACTTTTGTGGTCATCATCGCCCGTATAGATTACTTTGATATTGAAATTAGACGATTGCCAGTTACGAAAGGAATGGTATGTATGAAAACAGGCAACTATTATAACAGTGGCAAACGTAGCGCCAAATATGATGGCCGGTATCAACAGTGCCAACCGATAGTGATTGGCAATAAGTCCATCGGATATTACATAATCAAAGATTGCCAAATAAAGGATATACATAATGAAGAAAAAACCGTAGATAAAGCATATGATAAACGAGGCCTCATTGGTGTGTCTGATCCACGACAGAAAACTTTTGGCCACCCGTTCAATGGTTACACCTATTAATTATTTTTTTAGGTAAATATTAATAAATATATATATTTTTTAAATAAAAAATTTAAAAAATTATATTTCACTTATTGAGTTTTAATTTAGTATATTGTATAATACATTACCTTTAAATTGATGCAAACAAACACCACATTCATCGCTATTGCTGCTGACTATCCATTTGGACAGACATGTGAAGTGGACATAGGCTGATGTGCCGCTGCAAAGACAGGGCTCAATCAGAGGACTGGTCGTCAAAAAACAGAATCGACACATATTTTCACTTTCAGTCGACATATTTATATTATTTAGTATTTAAATTTTGTTTTGAAATTCAATGTGTATTACTATTGTTTATATGATACAACTTATATCATTAATGAAAATTAATATTTTAATAATTAAATGTCACAATTTTAATTATTATATAAATTAATGAAAAATCTTTTAATATAATAAACAATTATTTATTTTTTATTTACACTATTATTTATTACACTTTTAGTAAAATTATATACCGTATATACTGTAAGTACTTTACATTTTCAAACAAATTTGTACAATAAAGAGTAATGCACTGTTGAATATGTAGAAAATAAATACAATATAAAGTTATCACTTCCCGGATGATATTGTGGATTTAATTATATCACATATTATTATATATATATATATATATATATATATATATATATATAGTGACATATGTACCATATTATTGATATTTATATACTATATTTTCAAATAATATACTCAACTATGCTTTACTCTATTTAATATAAATGATACTAAAATTATATAACAAGTATGAAAACATAAAGTATAAAATATTTATTTTATTTTATATAATTTAAAATCCAATTTAATAACTTATAATTTTTAAATAATTCATTTAAAATTATAAAAATTATGCTATTAAAAAAATTATACAGCTATAATTAATTATAACTATTAATATACTGTAATACTTAATACTAAAATGTGTATGCTACTTCTATAAACTGTATATAATATATTATTATTAAATTAAATATTTATTTATAATCTTATATAAACTTTGATCTAATTATAGCAATTTAGTTGTTTACGTATTATAAAAACAATATAAATACTACTTAGATGCATACATACTGAAACATAAAATATCATATATAATTTATAAATAAATAATTTTTTATAGATAGCTTAGTTTTACTAAAATTTATAATTTTAATTAATATATTTTTAATTTACATATTAATAATATCTATTGTAATATTATTGTTAATTATAAGAACTACAATATATTATATTGTAATTTTATTTATCAAATATTTTGTATATATATATATATATAGTATTCAGTTAATTTATTTGTAAATATTATTTAACTGTTGATAATAAATTATTTTTAAATTACCTTGATTTAAAAAAATTATGTAAAAATTATATTTTATTTCATTTTGTGAACTTATGAACTTGTATACTTTATACAATCTATAATAATTTATATAATATATACAGTACATTAAGATAATCTTTTTAATAGTAGATTTTCACATTAATAACATATTTTCCACATTAAATCGTATGATAGGACGTAAAAATTTGGACTTTTTTTTGTTGTTATCACTAAAAGAAATTATCAATGAAAAGCTAAATATAAGCTGAAAAATGTTACTAAAAATAATTATTTGATTTTTTATAAAAAAAACTAATGAATTGAATGAATATGTCTTCAAATCACGAGTTATCCACCCGAGCCATACATTGCGGTCAATCGCCTGATCAGTGGACACACAGAGCGTTGATTCCACCGATAGTCAGTTCGACTACATTTGAGTTGTCTGTCGAGCAATTGTTTGATACAAAATTTATTGGAAATGTATAATCAATTATTTTTGGATATTGTTGAAAATTTTTTAATATTTATTATATAATATTTTTATATATATAGGAATACGACTATTCGCGTACCGGTAACCCTACCCGCAAGTGTCTGGAGACAGCACTGGCCAGTCTAGAGTTGGCAAAGTATGGCCTGTGTTTTTCATCTGGTATGGCGACTACTGTTACCTGTTGTCACTTGTTATCCACCGGTGATCACGTGTTGTCCTGCGATGATATTTACGGCGGTAGTCACCGATATTTTACCCAATGTCTCTACCGATCGGGAATTGATTTAGAATTTGGTGATTTTACCGATTTGTCCGATGTGGCCAACAAATTAAGACCAACCACTAGACTTATATGGGTTGAGACGCCGTCCAATCCTCTAATGAAAGTCGTAGACCTGAAGGCATTGTGTGAGCTAAGAGACCGAAAGGCACCGCAAGCTATCATCGCCTGCGACAACACTTTTATGAGTCCACTCTTTCAACGGCCACTCGATTTCGGTGTCGATTTGTCCGTACATTCGGTGACCAAATATATTAATGGTTTGTTTTTCTATTCATTATTCAAAAATGTTTACATGATTTACATTTTTTTTAAATTGTCACAATTTTTAGGTCATTCCGATGTAATAATGGGCGCCATATTAACAAATAGGGAGGACTTGTACATCAAACTCAAGTTTCTTCAAAATGGTTAGCAAATGAATAAACAAAAATTCATAAAACATTAAGTTTACATAAAAAATATTATTTTTTATCAAAGCATTGGGAACTGTTTCGTCGCCATTTGACTGCTATCTTGTGAATCGAGGCCTGAAAACATTGACCGCCCGAATGGCTGTCCATCAGACCAACGGTTTGGAAATTGCCCGCTATCTGGAATCCCATCCAATGGTCACACAAGTGCTTCACTCTGGTCTACCATCCCATCCGCAGCACGAGTTGGCCCGCAAACAGTGTCGAGGCTTTTCGGGAATGGTATGTGTTTTTTAATAATAATTTTCACTTAGACTAGACTTAGTTGTATATTATTTTTTTATATATAATTATTAGATATCGTTTCGCTTGAAAGGTGATGCTCAACAAACCCAAGTATTTTTGAAGTCTTTGAAATTATTTAAATTAGTAGTAAGTTTGGGATCAGTTGAATCTCGTGTAGAACTACCAGCGCGAATGTCACATCTGTCTGTGCCTCGCGAACGACTGCAACTAATGACAATCGACGACCAATTGCTTCGGTTATCGGTAGGCATTGAAGACTTTAGCGATTTGATTGCCGACTTAGAGGAAGCTCTCAAATGTGTTCAAAAATCTTTGCCAACAAATTAGTTAATTTAGTAAATATTAAAATATTTATATTTTATAAATAATTTATTTTGTTTTTTAAGCAAATTATACTTTTCAATATATACTCAAAATGATAACAAATTGATAAACAGTATATTTTTACTAAAATTTTAGTATAAGGAAATGTTTAATTATAATAAATATGAATAATTAGTTTGAAAAAAACCAAATAATATAATAATTATATCAATAAAAATAATATATTCAATTGCCATTTTGTTATTTGATATTGACTTAATATTTATTAATTATTTATTTCTAAGTTTTACAAACATTTTTAATAAAAATAAATAAATAAAAGTGTTAACAACAGTATAATTATAATTATATAATTGAATCAAAGTAGGTCTAAATTATGCTTTATTTGACAGTAATTTAATGTTATTAAAAAACAAAATAATATAACTAATGAAATATATATATATTTATAACACAAATTTTAATTGTAATAATTTTATTTTTAATTTACTTTTGATGTTTATCTTGAAAAATTATGGTATGGTTTTAGTAATTAGGAAAATAAGTTTCTAAAATAATAAATTTAGAAACAATAATATGCTTTAAATAGTATCTAATCATCAAATAGTTTACTATATTTAAATTCAATTATTTAAAAATAAGCTTTTGTTTAATATATAATTTTTAAATAATTTATAATAAAAATAAGTAATTATTTTTAATTCGAAAAGCAATATAAAATTAAAAAACTGTATTTATAATTTATATACATTTAATTATATACTTAATAATTATAATATTTAGACATTTATTATTGTTAAATAAATCTTATTAATGAGTTGGAGAGTGGTATTTATGATATTAGAAATAAATAATTAATTGACAATTGAGGCGATAAATGTATCAAAAGTTTGTCAATTGTGACGAATATTTTGTTAGACATTTAGCTATTATAACATAACTTAATGGATATGAAAATAATAATAAATTATTATAATATTGTTTTTTCAATTATATATTTTTAAAATTAATATTTTATATTAAAAAATAAAAGCTATAATTTTTTTAGTAAAAGTAATTATAGAGTTTAAAAATATCATAGAAAAATTGATAATTAAATAAAAATATTTGTTTAAATATTGTTATTTGTGTGAACTTTATGTCCTAAATAATTTAGAAGTCATTTAATAATTTATAATTTTAAACCGAGAAATAGGATCTTATTTTAATAAGTTTATTCATAAATAGTATACATCATTATATTGAGTTTATACTGTATTATTTTTAAGTTTAGCATAAAATTATTTTCTCACTGATTAGTGAAATTATATATAATTTTTAAGTAACCTTAATATTAAAATATTTTTTATATATACTATATATATATATATATATATATATATATATATATATATATATATATATATATATATATATATATATTATGCACACATATAATAAATACACTAAACTTATAAACAGATTGTTTATAATTTGCAAGATTAGCATTTTTTCAATATATCATATATATAAAGAGTATCAATGATAATGTAAATTACTTGATAATGACTTACTTAACTAATAACCCATTCAATTGCAATTAATTATCAATAGGATTATATATATATTTGAATTTACTTTATAGCAATTAGAGTATTTCATCGGTAACTCACTATTTTATTTAATAAGCTTATAATTAAATTACATTATATACGATTTTTGTTTGCCATTGAATTATAATTAGTAACAAAGTGCAGCAAATAATAATAATTAAATTTAATTAAATCTATTGATGCATTTTGTTTTGTTTTGTTTAATTTATTGAATGTTTCAAAATAATAGCACCCATTGAATAATTTTCAAATTAAATCAATAAACTTTTTTAACAACACTCGGATAACTAAATAACAAAACAAACAAAAATCAGGAAATAAGTATTACTTTATGAACTTTAAAATTGTGGCTTAAAATTAGATAAACTATAATTTAAATTGTTATTTAAAAACGACAATTCAGTAATAATCCTACAAATCATTAGTTATAGTGAAATCATTTTAAGGACGTCGTCTCCTCTCATCTTAAATCAAATTAAATCATAACATAATGGCTTATGTAAAGCGGAAAACAGGTCACAATATGTATAATAAAATTGTCACCTAAAAAATATTATATAACTATTTGTTCAAATAGTGTGTTAATTAAAACAACAACAAAATATTATTATTTATTATATATGCAGACCTATTATGTTTTGTATGACATTGTCATTACTATTTGCAAATGTTTTAAAGCCACAAATTCAATGTGTGTTTTTTCGCATTTATTTGGATAGTAATCTATTTAATGATAAATAAATATTATTAAAAAATTTTGTATAATTTTGTGAAAAATATAGTTTTCTAATAATTGACTTAATTTTATTGATTAATATATATATTCAAACAAATATTGCATATAAATCTGTTTTATAATAAGTAAATGCAAATTGTGTTTAACGAGTAATTGCTTCGATTAACATCACTGCCAACGGAGGACACGATTATTATTGATCCGTAAAACACCCATTACTTCACTACTAGTCTTACTATTTATATTTATATTTATACTGTAAGTATATATATATCATATACCTGTATATTAATATATTGTGTATTTAAATACAGGTATATATAACTGTATACAAACAGTTTATGACTATATATTTGAAGTCTCTCTCAACTGTGTTCGCACAATATATTCAAAAAACAATTGACTAACAAATGAAGTTTTTTCTTTAAACTGAAGTTTTGTTTTGTCTGCAAAAAATAAGTTTTCCGATAAAAAAAAGTTTTAAAAACACTTTATTATACAAATTTTTCGTTTGCTTAATATAGTAGTCATTCAAAAAAAGTGCTTAAACTGTAGAGTGCTTTTAACTTTGTATTGTATTTGAATATTTAAAACTAATTTATAATAGTATTATTTATTAAAATAAAATTATTTATATAATAAAAATAATAATATTTAACAAATTTTTTTAAATAATTACACCAAAGAAGTTATATTTTGTTTGTTTGCAAATTGTGTACCGTTTGTGTCCAGTGATATGAAGTTTAAAGTTAACCATTTAGTGACTTTCACATCGGCGTCACCACAACAGCAACAGACATACTATGAAGCTATTCGTCGGCTTCAAGAAGTCGAAGAAGTAATCGGCGTTTGGCGACAAAAAGTTTTTATCGATTTGTCTGACAATAATCTTAATATATTGGACTCCAATTCATGCGAAATCATTGAACACTTCCCAATAATATCGGTCCGAAAGCCCGAAGCCATTGATTATAACTCCGTTTACTGTAATCTATTGATATTTACGGTATATTTGTCTAAAGAATCGGCAGAAATGCATATTTTTGACTGCCGTTCCCAAAAGGCCAGTAAGATTGTTGATGAAGTCAACGTTTGGCGAAAAAAGAGTTTGGATTCTTCGCCCCGTATGGTGTCCACCTTTCCGGTGGTCAACTATACCGACAAAGTACTCAAATCATATGCACTGATTGACAAAAGCAAAAACGATTCTCAATTGTCGGACAAAAAGTGTGACAATAATAAAGTCAAACAAACAGTCGACGCCTTCAATCAGATTGCAATCCAAAGAAAAAACAACACTAAAATCCCCCAATTGGTCCACAATGTTGAGGAAGAGGTACACCAATTGGACAACAATTGGGAAATCAAACCAAAAAAGTTGCAACCGTTCAGATATTTTTGAATAATATTAATTAAAATACTGTATTTACAATATTTTTTCAATGTTAAACTTTTATAATTTCAAAAAAATAATCAAATTCATTGATATCAATATCAATTTAAATTATATAAATATTACAATAATATAGAAATTAATTTAAGTTACTATTAATAATTTTAAATTATATATAAATCTCATATATTAAAAAATCATTAAATATCAATTAAGCTTAAATAGTATTATTTTATATATGTAATCTACCGTACAATATACATAATTTAAATTATATTACAATTATCTATATAATAAAAATAAATTAAATTATTATCTTATTATGCAATAATTCCAATAACAATTCAACAATTATATATTGACTTTTAGAGTTTTAATTTGTAAACTAATAAAAAATTATTATTATTTTTTTAAATAGATTACCCACCAAATTAGAATAAAAGTATAATTGTAATATTATTGATAATCAATGGACAAATAATTAATGTATAATAATTTAATCAATATTTTAATAAAAAAAAATAATATTTGTAGCATTTCCTTCGTAAAATCATTTTAATGGTAAATATAAATTTTCAAAATAAAAAATTCACAAATTAATTGCACACATATTTTCATTATAAAATAATTGTTTTAATTTAACTATGATATAAATTTATATATATATATAAACAAAATACACAATTAGTGAAATACATAGAGAACACAATAGTGAGCATCACTTTATTTTTAATGTACTGTAATATAGCTGTTATGATAACGTTTTGATATTTTGATAAATATTTTGGTATAATTAGTGATCACAACAATAATTCTGTGTTACATTTTTTGTTTATTTGATTAAATCAATCAATCAGTTAAATTGAAATAATCAAAAATAATAAAAACATCTTTTTTAATAATAAAAAAAATATTTCTTAATTCGTAGAGCAACAATTATATACTGTTTTATGTATATTAATAAAATAATTACAATTATGATTTTTATCCAAAAAAAATCTAATAATTAAATTAACGATAAAAATAATTGTTTTAGTGATTACTGTCAGTGACAGTGTTCAGTGATGTCGACAGCTGTAGACTTATACCAACCGAACAGAAAATAGCCGACACCAGCACCTAATAGGACAGCTATACATAGATAAACATTGTATGTCATAAAGACTAGCATTAGTATATATGATAAGAAAAACTGGATCATATGTAGGCCTGTCTGAAACAAGTGTGAACAAGACATCATTTTTCGGTAACTAAATAGAGATATCAAATAAAAAAAAATTAAAAACAAATCACTAAATAGTAGTAATGCTAACATATCAGCTTTGGTGTCTTCTCTAGGGTTAGATATTCTTGGACTGCCATTTGTACGAACACCGTTAGGTGTGTCAGACACGTAATATGTGGTGACCCGCCAGGCCTTCAATAGATATTCGCGATAATACTTAAGGCCCTCATAGGTCACTCCTAATAGAAATATCACAATACACGTCCAAACCATATCTATTCAACAACAAAAAATTATTTAAAAATATATGTAGAAAAAACCTTATGATACCAAACCTCCAGCAGTAGTAGGTTTCCACTGTTTGAAGAGTACATAATCGTCACCGATATTCGTGTGAAAATACATTTTCATCATATGGTCCATCATATTATGGCCCTCATGTCCGGTCCCGTGGCCACCATCATCACCAACATAGACATTCATCTGATGATTCGGTGTTGGCGTTGTTTGGTCAGCCATATTGTGGACATTATGGTTCATATGATGATCGTGATGGCTCATTGTTATAACTAATTGCCTGAATTGATCAAATGATCATATCTACAGTAATTGAAATATTAATTAATTAAAAAATTATATTACATAAACTTTCTAAATAAATATTAATAAAAATTAATTATTTGTGCATTAAATGTGTTTATAATGTAAAAATAATTTTTTTATGTCATAAACATATAATCGTTGATTGAATCAAATGTCTAATTCAATTGCAATTCAAGGCAAACCAGAAATATTTGTATAATTGTGTTAATAGGGATTCACTGGTTTATTGTTTGACGCAAAGTCCTGTTTGTGATATATTGATATTATTAACACAATTTTTTTAAATAAATCTAATTAATTATAAACAGAAAATCTAAATATATACAAAATTTATACATAGAATTAATATTACAAATTTTAATAATATAATAGTCTATCAATAAATTAAATAAAATATAACAAAAAATTATAAATTCTTAGATAATTTCAATGAAAATCAATAATAATAATTAACTCTTAATATTAATAATAAATTACAAACAAATGTGTCATTTGTTTCCTCTTTCATTGTAAAAAATATTGAAATTGTTTATAATAATTAAGTCAAATATATTATTTTAAATATACTGTATAACAAAACACTATTATTTAATACAAAAAATTGAGATTAATTTAAATTATTAAAAAATCTAAATTTAATTTGTGTCAACAAAATGATAGTCAATATTTATACTATTATAAAAAATCTATTTATATAATAATCACGAATAAAAAATATAAGAAAACTAGTATTTTTAGAAAAAATATATTCAAATTTATTTTTAAACATTAAAAATTATTTTAAACTAATTTTTAAAAATTTTATATTTATCAAAAGTTTTTTGTAGTAACATAAAATCAATAACAAAATTTTAAATACAATAGTATAATAGTAATGTACAAATTTTAAATAAATTTTATTTTATTTTATTTAATAAAATGGAGCTTGACATTTCAATAAAAACACAAATTTAATTTTTAAAATGTTTTTTGAAACAAAAAACCATTAATTACTTTCCAATGATAACAGATTTTTTAAAATATAAATTTATAAATTATGAATTTAATTAACAAACAAAATATTCTTAATTTTAATAAATGTATAAAAAAAGTGTTTACAATAATATAAATTATATAAATCACTTAAAACTTTTAGAATTTACATTATATTAATTACAAAAATATAATTCCATTAAATACTCAATTTTTTACTATTATATCGCAAATAATTAAATTATTAATTTTGTTTAAATGTTTATATCATATAATAAAACTAAACACTTTTAAGTTTTCAAAAATACAATTATAATATAAACAATAATAATTTATGAGTAAATATTATTATATACTGTATACTAATTAATAAACTTATCACAAATATTTTAATTACATTAAATATAAATCATAATGACAAAAAACTATTTTGATAATTAAAACTCATAATTTTTATTTGTATATATCTATAAATTCATGATACTGTATGTCACAGAAAATATAAACACAATAACATTTTGCTGCACTTAATAATTATAAAATAAAAGTGCAATTAAAAACATTAGTTTTATAGGATTTAATACAATCGTAAAAATAATTAAACAATTGATCAAAATGATAACTTTAAAAAAGTAGCAAATAATACAATATTTTTATGATAAAAAAGTATTATCAAAAATAAACATATTAGATAAAAATTTATTGTCAATGTATACTAAAAACCTAATATTTTCTAAATATGCAATTTGCAATTATTTGATTTGATATTTTATAATTTAAGCAACTTTTCTAAAAAAACAATTAATTTTCCAATTTTTATTTATTTTAACACAAAATTATTAATAATTTTCAAAAAAAATAATAACAACAATTTTCTTACTCTTTTGTTTCTTTTAAAATTTATGTCATTTTTATGCAAAATTTTAAATACACTCGTATTTTGTATTTGAATTTAACAAAAATCTTTCAATCAATTATTTATCTAAATTTCTTTTTTTTGTTTAGTTTTTCTATTTAACTAAAATATCTGATTGTAAACTGTTTAGTAGTAGTTATAAATCTATTTTTACATAACATTTCGATAATCTAACCAATTTGAATATAAATAATCTATTATGATAAAAAAATGCATAATATATACAATTAAAATTATTCATAAATTTTATAAAAATGATAACTTATATACTCTAAATAAACACAATGATTTAATATTATTGCAATAAATAATAATGATAATATCATAAATACAAAACAAGGTTGCAAAACATATTAAACTTAACATATAATATAACTAATAAAAAAAATATTGTAAATAATAATCATAAATATATTAAAATTCTTGCCAAATATTTAATATAAAAAATTATACAATTTAATTAAATAATTATAAAATTTATGCAATTTATTATTATATTATGCTTTTATAAGTTTATATTATATAATTCAACAAAAAAGGCTTTTTAATAATATTTAAAATTGAAATTTTAAATCGCTGTTCAAATACAGTACATAATAGAAATAATAATTATATATTTGCTATACTATAGAAATCAAGTTTTATTTAATGATTTAAACAAAATGATTGCAAAACAAAAATTATTATTATTATTTAAAATTTTTATTTTATGTAAAAATATTAAAGCATTTAGTGAACCGATAAAAATTTATAAATTATTTAAACATTTACAAAACATATTGTAAATTGTATTTATTGTAAATATACTATACTTTTAAAAACACTTTTTAAACATTTATATATTAATTGCCAGTTATATAACTTATACTATTAATAATTATCACACAGAATATTGACAATAACTGTGAATAAACTCTACAATAAATAAAACTAAAATTTTTTTTAAATTATAAATCAAAATTATAGTTCAGTTATAGACAATTGTATGAATTATTATTATTATTATTATTATTATTATTATTATTATTATTATTATTATTATTATTATTATTATTATTATTATTATTATTATTATTATTATTATTATTATTATTATTATTATTATCTTTGTATATCACGGTTGTTCCGGTGTGATCACAGTTGTGTCGGCCACTTTTGGTGGCAGAGACACGACTGGTTAGACTCAACTCAAGTCTAGTACTTTTCTGACTGTTCTACAACTCTGAAGTATCACTGCTTTTTGCATTTCATAGATCTTAGTTTTTCTGATTTCCAGTGATGCCAAACTTAAGGCCAGATTTTTCGGTATTACGGCCATTGATGACAGGATTATAGGTATGATTTCAACTTTCTTAATGCGCCACATCTTATTGATCTCATGGGCCAAGTCTGTATATTTTCGGCGTTTCTCACTATGCGTGTCCTGTAGTTTGTGTGTTAGTGGGACCGCTATGTCAATTATGTATGCCTTATCTTGATGTTTGTCTACTAGTACTATATCTGGGCGGTTGTGGGCCACAGTCTTATCAGTTCTTATTTCTTTATCCCAGTAGAGCTTGGCACTGTTGTTTTCCATTACACTTTGTGGCTCGTATCTATAGTATGGTAATGGGTCTTTGATTAGTACGAATCTTATTGCCAGTTCCTGATGTATGATCTTGGCTACTTGATTGTGACGGCTTAGGTACTCGGTATTTGTGAGTATTTTACACCCATTTAGTATATGTTCTATTGTTTCGGACTCCATATGACACATCCTGCACTTGTCTGTTGGTATGTTTAGCTTTTGGATATATTTCTGATGGTTACGGGTCGGAACCACTCGATCTTGTATTGCCATCATGAACCCCTCTGTCTCTCCGTGAAGACCGGCGTACTTCAACCATTTTGTAGACATTTCTTCGTCTACGTGTGTTTGGTTGAGTTCTGCCCGGTATCTTCCGTGGAGTTCTTTTGAGGCCCATGTGTTAATCCTCTCTTTTTCATTTTGTATATCTATTTGATGTTCAATATTGCTGAGGTTTAAAGGTGTGTAGTTGTAATCGAGTGTTGATGTTATTTTGTGGAGCTCTGAGACATAGCATTTTTGTTGATGGTATTTTCTCAACAGTTCTCGCTGTTTGGCCTCAAGGCTTACAATGTTTAGTAACCCTCTACCCCCATGTTTTCTACTAACACATAGTCGTGCTACAGAACTTCTAGGGTGGTGTACTCCAAACATTGTAAGTTGTCGCCTTATATGTCTTTCGATGGTCTCGAGTTCTGTTTTACTCCATTTTATTATTCCGAACGAGTATGTCAGTACAGGTATTGCCCAAGTGTTTATGGCTTTGAATTTGTTGTTTGAGTTTAGTTGAGATTTTAGTATTTTAATGATTCTTTGATTTAATGTTTTCTTTATTTCTTCTTTAACTGCTGTCATTTTAGATTTATGCATTTGTTTAATACCTAAATATTTGTATATATCTCCATTTTCTAGTGCCTTTATATATCCATTATCAGTTTCGTACTCAGGTCTTTCTGAGTAGACACCTCTTTTCAATTTCATTATAGCACATTTATCTAATCCAAATTCCATATTTATGTCATTGGAGAAAGTTTCTGTTGTTTTTATCATTGCATTTAAATCAGATTCTTTTTCGGCGTATAGTTTTAAATCGTCCATATATAGTAGATGTGTAAGATTATATTTTGTATTATTTGACTTTAGATTTACGCCTTTTAATTTTTTGAGTAATGATGACAGTGGATTTAAGGCTAAGCAGAACCACAGAGGACTGAGCGAGTCGCCTTGAAATATTCCTCTGTTTATTTTAATTTCTGTACTTATTTTTGTTCCATTATTTATATTGACACACAATTTAGTTTTCCATTTTTTCATCATATTTTCTAATGTGTTTATTAGTGTGTTGTCAATTTTATATAGTTTTAACACTCTTAATAACCATTTATGTGGGACTGAATCGAATGCTTTCTTATAGTCTATGTATGCCATTTCAAGATTTCTATGTTTTTGACGAGCTCTTATTGTTATGATATTGTCTATTGTTAATTGCTCTTTACAGCCCATTGAGTGTTTTATACAGCCTTTTTGTTCTTCAGCTATTATGTTGTTGTTGCTTAAATGATTATATATTTTTGTTGATATTATGGATGTTAGGATTTTATACATTGTTGTTAGGCAAGTGATTGGTCTATATTTGCTGGGATCTGATGTATTTTCTGCTTTTGGGAGTAGATATGTTATTCCGGAAGTGAGGAAGTCATCGGTTTGTCCTGTTTGTATTATTTTATCCATTGCTATTGCCATTGGTTCATGTATTGTTGTAAAGTGTTTGTACCAGAAGTTTTGTATTTTGTCTTGTCCTGGGCTTTTCCAATTGTGGGATTTCTTGAGGGTTTCGGTTAAGTCGTCTTTTATTATATTTACTGAAGTCATATGTGGTATTTCTTTATTTTCATTTTCAATATCATTTATCCAATTAGATTCTTTATATTCCTTTGGGTTACTCCAGATTTCTTTCCAGTAGTTTTCTATTTCATCTATTTGTGGTATATTGTTAATATTGCTTGAATTTATTTTATTTTGATTTCTATAGAACATTTTTTCGTTATTATAGAACATTGTATTTTGTTTTCGTCTTTCGCTTTGTTGTTTATATCTTCTGATTCTTTGTGATAGTGCTTGAACTGTTTGTTTTAATGTGTCGTTGTAATTTCGGATTATTGATTCAAATTCAGGTTTTCCAGGTTTTGTCTGTAATAATCTGTATATATCTTTCAATGATTGGTTAAGTCTTTTTGATTTGTTTCCATTTAACACTTGCGTTATTCTTCCAATTACTTGTCTTTTCCCTTCTATACGTGTCTCTATTCGCTTTTGCCATTTAGGTATCACATTTTCATGATTTTGTTTTGTTGTTGACATGCGTTCTATTTTGTAACCTAATAGTCTCGATACTGCTACTGCTGCACAATACGTTATTGTATTAATCGCGCTCAACGACATATTATCTTCAATGTAATTTTTAAGTATATCATTAATTGTTATTATTGTAGACCTTGTTTTAACGCCACTTCTTATTTTTGGTAGCTTAGGTCTGAATTCTATTTCAAAGTCTTTATATTGCTCTAAAGATGTTTTTAGTTCATTTTCTGCTGTTATTCTCTTTATTTCATCATTTGTATCGATTCTGTTATCTGTTGTTGTAGGTGTCTCTTCTATTTCTGGCACTACTTCTACTGTGGTATTTAATTCAGTTGTTTCATTTAATGATAGTTCATGTGCCACTTGTTGTTTGATTTCTTGTAATTCAATCGGGGATATTTTATTATTCTTTGCTAAGAATCGCCGTTGGTCTGCAATCCTTTGTTCCGTTACATTTAGTTCTGGATATTTTTGTTTGAATGCTAAGTATATTTGGTTTCTGTAATCAGTCATATTTGTTTCGAGTCGAGTTGATCTGTAGTATTCGCGCATTATCAAGGTATTCATCTCATGTGTCCATTTCATGCGCTTTTGCGATTTTTCAACCAAATTGGTCAGTTGTCGCTGAGAACCAGCTTGAACTGAAACATTTTGGCGGTTAGTCTGATTTTGTTGACTGGTCTGCGGTCGAATTACATCACAGCTTTGCCCGCATAGCACATCACTGCGTGGGATATGATGCATACTTATCGAACTGCAGTCAATGCCTACCTGCTGAACGCGGGATTTATTTGAGAGGGTACCTCCCGAACACCCCCCGTTATTCCTTCGACTACGTGTAATCATAATTATATATATTTGTTTTTGGCCTTTTTACGGGGTCCCAGTCCCTAGAATAAGCTCAACACTAACATGTGTCTATTGCCACCCATTTCTCACCACTAACATGTGTTTGTTGAAATAGGATTTTTATTTTTTGAAACAAAAGTGGCCATTGCGTGTGAGGACGAGTAACTACTCGAAGGGTGAAGGGACATCCTTACGGACGCCCCTTCGGGGTGGGGGCACCTTTTTACAGGCACCCCCGGGTGGGAGCACCCTTGCGGGTACCCCCAGGTGGGCACCGATACCGAAGTACCGATACCCGGGGTCGGGCAGAAACTCGTCCTCACGTAGCACCCCGCTTTCCCCATACTACCTAAGTTGGCCGTCCTAAGCAGCGTTGGTTGGGCAGGGACGGGAAACACAGTGAAAACAATTTTTATTTAACAGAAAAATTGCTTTCCACATCGGGGCTCGAACTCACGATCTTACTCTCCATTACATTACATAGCCCTACACTCTAACCACTACACCACTGTGCCTCCTTATTATTATTATTATTATTATTATTATTATTATTATTATTATTATTATTATTATTATTATTATTATTATTATTATTATTATTATTATTATTATTATTATTATTATTATTATTATTATTATTATTATTATTATTATTATTATTATTATTATTATTATTATTATTATTATTATTATTATTATTATTATTATTATTATTATTATTATTATTATTATTATTATTATTATTATTATTATTATTATTATTATTATTATTATTATTATTATTATTATATATATATATATATATCATATTTTTAAAAATCTAACTTCAATTTCATAAAATCATTAAAATATTTGTATACATGTATATTATAAATAGAAAAATTATTACAATTTTCTTGTCTATAATTGTTTATACATAATTGATTTTAATTGATTAAATTTTTTAGCATATTCATTGTGTATTATTATTATTAATAATAATTTATATACCGGTAAGTTATAAATACTGTTATATAACATTTAAATATAAAATATATACCAATATAAATTTTTAATAAATAATATTGATTGCTATATTAATTAATTATATTATAAAAATATATAATAATAGTAAAATATTTTGAACATATAATATTTAGACCAAACAATTGATATGACATTTAACATTAACATTTAAATGGACACATAAGTCATATATAAATTACATAATACTATACATTACTGTAGTAACTAAATAGTAAACCATATGGACATACAGTATATACAGTTTTATATTCATATATCATAATTAATATAAGCTTTTAATATATTTTCTTACCTTTTATTTTAATCATATATTTTTCAAATATGAGTAGTGATTATATTTATATATATATATAGACAACCAAAGAGAAAAACAGTTCAATTAATAGTAGTATTTACTGATAATAATAGTGTTGTCGACTCTTAAACTAACTAACAGTAAAATTATTGGCAAAATAGCAGTCGATATACTCATACATAAAAATCAGGTTTTATTGCACAACAAAAATACAGTAAAGTATTTTTCAATAACTATTGGACAGACAAATACATGTACAGTCAAATTGTTTTTGGCTAAAACACAAAAAAAGGCGTAACTATATGTCTATAGAAATATCGAGTTAGGACAATCTTTTCTAAATTTTTGTAACATCATAATTTATTGATTAATAAATTACGGCAACTATTCTGTAATAATTGTATATTATTTATTAATTTGTTTGAATTCAATCAGAATAATGGGATAATTTTCAATTTAATTTAGTATAATTGTGAGAAATTAATTTAATCTATATCTAAAACGTAAAATTGAATATATTTTAATTTATGTTAATTACCAAATTTTTATCAAATTTTAACAAAAAAAAATCTATAAATAGATTTATCGTATATATAAAAAATGTATTTTATTAACTTATAATAACCGCAAAGATTCAAAAACTATTTGATAATTAGAGTCACCGATAGTGTTATATTTAAAAACATTAAAAAAAATTGATTGGTTTTAAAAAGTTAACAATTTAGTGTAATTGAAAAATGAGGTGAAAATTTATTAATTTCTAAATTTATAAAATAACTAGTCAACAAATTACACTGCTTATATATATTTATATAATTGTACAGTTTGTATATATATATATAATTTGATTAATACAATTTTAAAATTAAATCTAAATTAATGACATTATTTTTTAATATATTTATCTTTGTTAAAAAGCAATACATAGGCTACAGATGCGGACAAACCAATAACACTGCCGATTACCGAACGTTTCAATCGGATTTGCCATAGTTTTTGTCCTAAAAAGTGTCCACAAAAACCATCGGTAAATATTTGTTTACTTAAAAAAAGATCTAAATATATAACAAACCCATTGATAGTGCTTTCTCTGTTCTCTTATTGGTTGGCGGCTGAGAGAGACCACCATAAATAGCACCGGTAGCCACGGCAGCGGATACAGTATTAATGTCATCATTAGAGTCCTGGACAAAGGACAGGCCAACACCAATGGCCGAATAAATTAAAGCTATAGTTCCGAATGTGTTGGCCATTGAAGCGCCGTTTTTCGTAATAAAGGTTAGAAGTTGTGACCGACGAACAGCTATCGACTCTTGCAATTGCGATACCGACTGAACACCTGATTTTTGGACACAAAATTACATTAGATATCAAACACAAGATCTTATATCAATTGATTGATTAAATTATACCTCTAACGGCACCCATTGCACCACCGATACCGGCGCCAGTCATCACTGATGAGCCGATCTGACTAAAGGCCAGCTCAAAGCGGCCTCTATTGGCACGTTGTCCGCCGTCGGGAAATATAAACTCCGATTTTCCGCCGTTTGCCTCCAATAGTAACGGATCAAACTGGAGATACGGTGACTGTAGTTGTCCGCCGTAACCGCCGAGCGACGACATACCCGCACCAAACGGTGCGTCCATTGAGGACAGTGTTCTGTCCATTGCCGATGACATACGACCTTCGCTTGTGTTGTTGTTGTCGTCTATTTTTGTTTATAATAACCGATCATTTGTTTTGACAAAAATAAATGATTAACCAATCGATCGATCGATTGATTGATTGATAGTTACAATCAAATTGTCTTTTTTATTGAATTCTAAATACAATTTATTGACCGCTACTTAACATTGCATTCAATAGTATTATTCAATTCATACGATATTTTTCCACTAATTCTGACGCAAGTCTTCAAAACAAAACGTGTTTGTCGTATACACTATTTGTCCATCAATTACGTCCATATTATGTCATTCTATTAATATTTGTTTGTTTGTTATATTATTCTACTGTTAGTTAAATACTGTATTAAATTTAAATTAATAACATTATTGACTCTCTTATTGAAACAAATTAATATTTATTGTATTAAATATAATCAAATAAATTACGCTATATTTCAAATATTTTTGTAGTTATATTATTGTTATATTTAATTTGAGCATGCTAAGTTTGATAACATTTGACAAAAATTCAATTATCTAGATTATTTAGTAGCTTTTTTATAATTTTTATAATTTTACAAATTTTAATTAGCTTTTATTATATAAAAATAAATTTGACATTTATTTTAAATTAGCTATCTTTAAATATTTTGATTAATTGATTTACTTTTAATTTTAAAATAATTACATATAATTTACTGTACAATCAATTTAACAAAATAAAAATAATAATTTATTACTCAAAAAAAAACCAGTCGTTAAAATTTATATTATAAAATGAATTTTAAAAATGAATAAATTTATTAAAAAAATAGTTCAAACAAATCTATTAATAGTTTTTTTTATAAATTTATAAATGCATTAATTATTTGAATTATTTTTCATATTTCAATTCAATTAAATTAATACAATTAATGCTATTATTTCAACATATAATGAATGACTCAAAAAAAAAAAACAAAAAAAATTTCTAAGCATAAGATTATGCTATAAATTGATGTAATTTTATGTAAAATAATTGCAAAAACAAACACTGAGAGAGAGATTGTGTGAAATATATTAAATGAATTTTTTTAAAAAGTAATGTTTAGATTACACGAATATTTGAACCCTTTTACTATAATGAAATAATTGGCTGATTATATGAGACATATGTTATTAAATATAGTACTGAAATCTAATACTAAATAAGAGTATGACATACACTCTATACAATACATACATATAATGTGTTAATACAATGTTTGGTCAATGAGACCGCCATTTGTCTCAATGAAACATTTATATATATTTTTAAGGGATATATACACTAATATATTATGATATTTATGTACAGCTTATGCATTGACTGTATGTATGTATGTGTTGTTTGGAGAGAGAGAGAGTGTGAGACACTGAGAGAGAGTCTATGGGATAGTATGGGGAGAGTGAGAGTGTCAATGAAAAACACACACAAATAAAATCAATTCATTATTATATTATTATTATTATTGTATTGAAAAACATTTGGTTTGTCTAATAGCCAGTCAATGACAAGTGTTTTGTGTGTTATATGATATGATATTATTATTATTGTTTAATTAAATTAAATTAAAACATTAATTTTCAAAATGATATATATATATTCAAAAATTATATATAATTTTGACCGGGGAATCATCAATGATATAATAAATTAAAATAATAATAATCGTGACATGTCAATTTTATATTTTTAAAATTGTAATTATTTTGTATTAAAAATTGTAATAATAATAATAACAATAAATAATAATAATAATAATTGACTGACATTTGTATACATAATATAAACATAACATTTATTTTATTTTATTTTTGTTAGTAATAATAATTAAATATTTATTTACATTAGTTTTTTTTTGATGAATTGATAATTTGTTTATAATTTTATTTAATTATTTTTTTTATTACTGAATGAATTTTTTTAATTGACTTAATTTTATTGAAAGTTTTAAATAATAATATATTTTCGTAAAAACTTTGACTGAAGAATAAATGGTTTACAAGAAGTTGTCTACCAATTGATTTTGATTGTCACACAAAAGTTTTGAATGTGAAGATCTGATCCCAAGACACAATGTGTTCAATCGGTTCGTCGTCTTCTTCATCGTCTTCATCAGCGTCTGACTCGTCATCCGATGACGACCTGTCCGGCGAAGACCAGTCATCCTCGAGTTCGGACGACTCGTCGTTATATTCAAATAATGACAACTCTCTGTACAGATCGTCGACGACAAACAGTTCTCACCACAAGACAAGTGACACTTCAATGAATATTACAAATAATTCAATCAATTCACACATTTATGACTTTAATTCAAACAATGAATCGCTTATTTCGGATAATTTATTGACCAATAATTTCAACAATCAAAAACTCGGTTCATCATCAAGTGGTCACCTATTTGGACGACCCGGCGGTATATTAGCGTCACCTAAGTTGACGCTTCCATTTAGTAAAACAACAGCTAATCCAACGACAACTCCAACAAAAAGTCGTAAAAAAGGTTTCAATAATTTAAGAATTTATTATTTAAGAAGTTTATAAAAATTCTTTATTTTATTGTATATTTTTTTAGTGTCCAAATCAAAGAGTATCGAAAACTCGATATTAGACATTCCTATCACAGCCGCCGATCGGGAGATACTTCTCGGTATCGGAAAGATTAAGCGTCAAAAACAGCGGCCATCTGTCGATAGACTGTACAATATTTGCAGTAAAATCAAAGATAATTATCCACAGTTTGGCACCAAAGACGGTATTCAACAAGTATTAGATGATATGATAGGTCGAAGCCTTCTTCAGAAGGTTGATAACGATGCCAAAGGATTTGTTTCTTATCGCGAAATCAATTCGGCGATCGCTGTCGTGGCTATAAATAATCCGAAACGCCCGCGACCTAAGCCACAGACCACACCCGACAAGAGTGGCAGCGATGCCAATGACAATAAATCACCCGAAAAAAGTGGTAAAACAGATAAAAGTATGTTTAATGTTGTTTTGATGTTAAAGAGATTTTAAACTTATATATATTTTTTATGTTAGCCTCTGATTTGACAAAAATTAAAGTCAAATTAATTGATGAAAATCTACAGAAGAATTCTCCGTCAAAATCATTGAAATCTCCATCAAAGTCGCCAAAAAAGAAGAGCACAAGTGATAGCAAGAGTGTCGACCCAAAGCCAACCGCAACCACAACAACACCACTGAGTTTAGCAACTCTTTCATCAATTGAATCAACAATCGATTCGATAATCGAGAGTACAGTCAGAAAGTCTGATCTAATGTCTGATGATAGCGACTCATCAGACAATGAAACGAATAAAACTACTGATAATACTAATGATAATAATACTAATAATAGCAATAAAACAATCAAAAGAAAGTCAACCACTATTTCAGGTGATTTTATTAATTCATTTGTTCATTACATTAACTTTTATCTAATTTTAATCTAAATCTTTCAATTATTCTTCAGGTGAATCCACTGTAAAGAAATCGCGTAAAAAATCATCAGAAGAAAAGCCAATCTCATCCATTCTAAGTATTGAAGAAAGTATACAATCAGTTGTGGCCAATACATACGTGACATCACCGAAAACTGACTTATGGTCAGATGAGGCCAGTCATACGACTACAAGTCCCATATCGACACCATCGACGACACCATATTCATCGCCAAAGTCATCACAAAAGCAATTGCAATCGCAATCATCTAAACAACCAAAGTGTGGAATGTGTGGCAAATCTGGTTCTTCTGGTGATAATGACGAACTCATCACATGCTCGCTGTGCGGTATGTCTGGTCACGCCATCAGTTGTCTAAACTGTTCGGAACAACTGCTCAAACGAATTAAGGATAGCTCTCATTGGGAATGTCCTAACTGTAAGAAGTGTCCCATTTGTGGCCAACACGACGTCGAGCTCATCATTTGCAGCGAATGTGACCGAGGATTTCATTGCAGATGTCTTAAGATTGCCAACACCTTCACCGGTATGTCTTATAAGATATAGTTTGTTGACTTAAACTTATTAAATACATAATATTGTAGTCTATGTGTAAGTTATATGCCTTGAGGTTATTAATAGTACAACAACTGTATGTATAATCACTACATTAAGTATACTGTACTGTATTGGCGCCAACTGTGCCACTGATAGGTTAAACCCCTATAAGCGCTGCAATAATTAGTACAACAATAACAGTGATGTTATCAATAATACAATGATTGTTGAGACAAATGATATATATTTTTAGTCAATCATATGGTTTGGTTTTAGGCATATATTAATAGTTTTAGCCAATCAATAGTGTAGTGTAAATGTCTAACAAATTGATTGCAAAATATAATACTGTATTAACCATAACATACAGTGTCTATGAGTGACTCAACACAACATTCAGTTCAATGCTATAGAAAATTACAGTAATATTAATGTTATAAACGTTTTCAATGTTTTGAGTATTTTATTACTATTAATATCAAAATGATTGACAAAAATGTTGTGATTATGTGTTGTTGTTATGTTTGACACCAATAGTTGCCTTCAATTATATGTTTAGTTAATTACTTTAATAGTTTATAAATTGTTAATAATAACTGTATTATAATGGATCCGATTAGTGGCCAAATACGTGTGCGACGACTGTAGACCAAAACCAGCGGTTAAGTTATCGAAGAAATTGCCGCCAATCGTGTCGACGACTCTTTCGCCGATTAAAGAGAAGCGTCTGACTGGTCAGGAGGTGACCGCAGTTAAGCCATTGAAACGACAAAAATTGATCAAAAGTCCGGCCCAACAGAAGGCCGATAAACTTAAGAGAAACGCCGAAAAGGCCCGAAAACAGAGGGAACGAAGGGCTGCTGCGAGAGCTCGGGTTTTGGCCGAAAGACAAAAAGCTAATCCTAAGTATTTCTGAAATTTGTTTATCTTATGAAATATCAGATATTAATATCTATTTTAATCAATAGACCTAAATCAGCCAAAACAACGGAAACGGTGTCTTCACCTCTTAAGAGTGTTAAACGTAAACTACAATTGCCCACAAACGACACTAAGTCTAATCTGGAAGCGATAGTCGATAGTCCGCACAGCAATCCAGTCATCAACAGCTTAAAGGACGGTCTCTCTCAATACTTTACACCATCTAATCGACGGAAGTCGAGGAATAGTTTTACGGTTCCGGAACTACCAATTGTTGACTCGGACTCTAATTCTGTAATTATTTTTAATTTTTTCAAATATTCACATCTGATTTGTTTTGATTTTGTATTAAAAGAGCGAAGAACCAAAACAAATGAAAGTATCGAAAGAACCAATTGTTTTGTTGACTCCAAAACGGGTTGTTAAGAAACAGACTAAGATTACCGATTTTGTGAAACGATTGCCGCCATCTTCGGCGCCACCGAAACTTCAAATGACACCCAAAAGCAATAAATTAGGTTCAAATAAAAGACAATCGATTGTCGTCAATAAGAAACAAACAACGAAAAAGAGTCCGCGACCCGTTAGGACACCGGCACCAACCGTATCTAAATCATTGCCTATACCGATATCACCCCCTATGCGAGCACTTCCTACTAATATACCGACACAATCGGACAAAGAAATGTTTCATTTGGCACAGGAATTAGCTGAAAGACAATTTGTGACAACAATATTGACACCATTGAAGAGACAGCCAAATATCTTAATTGATAAAGTAATTTGTATTTATTTTTATGTATTTGTCTCACAATTAATTTTATGGCTTTTATTTCATTAAAAAGGATAACAATGAGAAATCTCTTGAGGCCGCATCATCTCTGTCTCCCGGAGCTCAACCAACTTTACGTTGTCCGGCAGCTATTGAATTCGGCAAATACGAGATCGAGACGTGGTATTCATCTCCCTATCCTCAAGAATATGTTAGACTTCAAAAGCTATTTATTTGTGAATTTTGTCTCAAATACATGAAAAGCAGTTCAGTTCTCGAAAGGCATAAAGTATGACCTAATTTGTTGTAAAAATTATAATTTAAAATTAATTTTGATAATACAATTCCAATTCAGAAAAAGTGTGATTTATTTCAACCGCCGGCAACTGAGATATATCGGGCCAAACATAAGATACCTATCGATGACGAATCGGTCGAACTGTCTGTTTTTGAAGTGGACGGACTCGTATCGAAAATCTATTGTCAAAATCTATGTTTATTAGCCAAACTTTTTTTAGATCACAAGACATTATATTACGACGTCGAGCCTTTCCTTTTCTATGTTCTCACTGTTAATGATAGTAAAGGTTAATATTTTAAGATAATATTTTATTACATTTAATTTATATTAATTTATAAATAACTGTCCCATTAGGTTGTCATTTTGTTGGTTATTTTTCCAAAGAGAAACACTGTGCCCAGCGTTATAACGTGTCTTGTATTATGACATTACCTCAATACCAGCGCTGTGGTTACGGTAGATTTCTCATTGAATTTTCATACTTACTGTCCCGTAAAGAAGGAACCGCTGGAACTCCTGAGAAACCTCTATCCGATTTGGGCCGTATATCCTATGAGTCTTTCTGGAAGTCTACGATTATTTGTTTTATTCGCGATCGACCGAAAACCACTATTGAAGAGATCTCTTTGGCTACCGGTATGAATGTCCACGATATTAGTTCTACTCTTAATCGATGTAAATCTATTGCCAAAACAAACGGATGGTATGTTTTAAAAGTTTTATGATTATTATATTATCGCGTATTTTATTAATTTGATATCATTTGTATATTATCACAACAGTTGGTCGTTACAAATAAGTCCATCAATTATCGATTGTCTAAAAAAGCCTCGAATTGCCATCGATGAGGATTGCCTTCGATGGACACCATTAATAGCACCTCCTGGTGTTATGATAGCAGAAGAATTGTACGCCAATATGCCGATTGTTGAACGGGAGGAACCCGTTGTCAACGAGAATTTGCCGCAAATTTTGGAGTCATTTAAGAAGAAGCGACGGCGCCGTTGGTATAAAGCATATCACGGAAGAAAACGCAAGAGACGTAGTGTCAAGAATAAAGATAATAAAATGAATGTCGACGTCGATGGAGATAATAGTCACAAAAATGATTCAGACGACGATTCAATGTCTGCTCCGGCGTCTCAATGTGTATCTCAAGATGAAGACGACTCAGCAACTGAAGAGGAAACTGAAGAAGAGATTATGCGATCTATTAAAAAGGATAAGAGTCCGTCAAATGATACTAATGGTCACTGCGATGAACTTTATTTGAAACCAAATAGTGTTAAGACAGACAATAATAATGATGACATTTCTTCAGATAACAAAAGAGATAATATTATTGATACAGACGTTGATGAAGATATGACAGAAGATCCAACAATCTGTGAATCTGATAAATCTGACAAACAGTTAGTTGTGAATTGTGATGATAACGATATATCCAGAGAAGATAATAATATTAATGATAATAATAATACTAATAGTGATAAAAATGACAGCATTACTAATGATATTAATAGTGATGCAAACAATATTATTAATGATAATAATAATAATATTGATAGTCATTCAAAGTTAGATTTGGACAATAAATCAGAAACAAATCATAATAGTATAGATAATTATAATATAGATAATCATAGTAATAGTAGTAATCAAGTGGTTAATGAACAAAACAATAGTGAAATCAAGAAAACTGATTCAAAATTAGAAACCACTGATCCATTAGATAATGAAGATAGACCTCAGATCTCGTGCGACACACAAAAGATGACAGCAATACCTAAGAAGCACAGATGGCAGAGGGCTGTTGTCAATGCTAATGAATCGGATGACGACATCATCGATAACTCAATACAAAATAATATTACTCATAATAATAATAATAATATAAATAATGATAATAATAATAAAGAAAAATCAACGGACAATATTACTAAAACAACTGATGAACCGGTATTTTATTAATAATTATTAATAGAGTATTTAATTTATATATATATATATATTTTTATTTATTTATTAGACAAACCAATTGATGGATAAACAAATGTCAGATCAATGGTCCGAACCATCCCCTGCATTGGTTCATTCTATGCCTACACCACCAGTAGATACAAGACCATTATCTGAAATCACTTCCCAAATCCCGTTGCCGATGACTACCGATTCGACACAACTGGCAGTTACTATTCCGACCACAAATGTGTCATCACATTTACCGCATTTATTACCACAACAGACACATCAGCCATCAAATCGAGGTTCGGCACCAAATACACCGCAATCTCATCATTCGGTTCATCATTCAGTTTCATCACCGATGACTCCGCAACATATTTATTCACCAATTGGTCCTCAATCGCAGCAGAATTCACCGCATTCTCATTCATCGCATTCACAACCATCAACACCATTACCACCACAGCCATCACCGCAACAATTTCATGTCCCATCACCTCAACCACTGCCACCTATTGTATCTTCAAAGTCGTCTCGCATTAGTCACCAGACAATTCCTCCAATGGTTAATACATTAGAGGTGTCGCAACCGATTGGACCACAAGTGGTTCCATCCGTTCACTTACCATCGCAGACAACAACTTCATCCCATAGACAACATCGAAGTAAATCTCACTCAAATTCTCACTCTTCTTCAAGTTCACACACTAGCTCTATATCAAAGTTACAGCAAATGACTAATGGACTCAACGAACCATTACCACAACCACCTGTTCCACAGAGTATGTCTTGTATGGTATTCTAGAGTTACTGATATTATTAATAAAATTATTTTCTATTGATTTTTAAAACAGGTTTACAAACAAATAATGCATTACAATATCCGCAACAATTCAGTCAAAGTTCATCACAAAACTCGAGATATCAGAAACAAATGAGTCATCACTCGCGACAATATTATCCACAAATACCGGCTCCCAATCAAACACCAACACAACCGCCCATACAATTCTACAATGGAGGCTATGGTTATAGTACGGGAGCGGCGGCACAATTACAGTCATCGCAAGCACCCAATGCTGCGGCAGCTTTAAGACAGCAACAGATGAACTATTATCATCTCTCAGCCCAACAAAGTCAAGCGCAAAATCCATACAATACTTTTCCACATAATATAAATGCACTTCAATTCACTCCACAACAGAATTTCATGCAAACATCCCAACCATTTTACGACTATTATCACAACCCAGCAATGGGTGGCAACACATCCCGTAGATAATCAATGACAAGAATTGAACAATAAGTGTGTTTGTCGTCTACTTTATATATCAATTCATTTATGTGAATAAATATCTCTTTTTTCTACAAGTATTTGATTTATGAAATTTCATTGATTTATGTACAGGTATTATATAAAAATATACATATAATAAAATAGATAAAATATATTTAAATTAACAATAATAATAATTTTTTTATAGTTACCATATATTTGTTTAAAGTAATATTATTTATACATTATATTTGTATTTTTATTGTTTGAATGTTAAATACACTGAGTTTGTGATCTGTTTTTTATATTGAATTATTTGTAATCGCATTAGTCGTCTAAAATACTTTTAAATTGTCTATTTGTGTACAGAAAATGTAATATCAATTATAATTCCGCGACAAATAATATCTACTGTATATTAATTGTTCTAATATTAATTTAATGCAATTATATATATATTATATAAATATAAATTTAATTAATGTTTATTATAATATATTAAATATATAAATATAAATTTTATAATTAGATAAACTTTATAATGATTATATACATAATAATTTTAAAAATAAATAAAGTTAAAAATAACTTACTTTTAGTTAAAATTTATAAATTTATTATAACTATAATTGCAATAAACAATTGAATATTTAAACTTTAAAATAAATTTATTTTTTATAATTTCATATATAATTTAAAACAAAATAAATCACATTCTTTGGCAACTTATTTGACAATTAGTAAACTTTTTTTTAATAAATCAAATGAAACATAGATTTAAAAAATAGTTATTAAATAAGATTTTTGTTATATTAATAATAATTTCACTAAAATTTTTTAACTAAACTCATTAAAAAAAACTCTTTGAAAACATTAATCACTGAAACATCTTATACACAAATTGACATAAAATTGAAGTCCATTTGATATATAAAAAAAAATTATATTATTAATTCCAACAAAAATTAAAGTTAATATATTTGAGTAAACATTTTTAAACAGATTCATTGAAGATCTATGATTGGATTAGAGATGTCAAAAATGATAATTTTTTGTGATTGATTGCAATTATTGTAAATTAATTAAATTTAAAAATCAGTTTTTAATCATCACTATTCATGAGAGCACACATTTCATTGTTGTCCCGATGCATGGCATAGGACTTGGCCGGTATGTTAATCATACGGCGATGGATACGCCGATGAAGACTATCACTGTTGACCCGTTCGTACTTTCGGGTGTTATGTCTTTAAGTAGAAATAAAAGAGAAAAAATATAACAGTTTTTAATTAAACAGTTATTAGAGCATTGAAAATAACAGGACAGACATATATACTATATATATATATATATAAAGATATAGAAGTCGTAGACATGACATACCTGAATGTGAACTCTGGTCTAACAATTTGCATACACATCTTGAATGGCGTCGAGTAGAAGTCGAGGTCAGTAATGAAGTCCAACTGAGTATTGCCGCCAAACGAGAACTGTTTGGAGGCCGAAGTCTTCACGTCTGAGGTCAGTATGGTTTGTGAGCCCTGGAATAGTAGCGATCCTTTTGTGTGAACCACAGAATGAGAGTTTCGATTCCATAATGAGATCTGTATTTCTCCGCTAAGATCTAGCGATAGAATTCCGCGAAGTTTTTGGTCGACCATAAAACCGTTGATCAGTGGTTGAGAGGACCAGTAGTCGGCTAACAATAGGTTTCCCTGGAAGGCATTGGTCGGATCGGACGCTGTGCCCGACCAAACGTGTCCCATGAGTTCGCCGGTGCCCGTGAAAAATGTGAATGGTCTCAATTGAATATCTAATATACGTAATGACATTCCGGCCATTGTTTGTTCCTCATCTCCCACATCGTTATCTTCAACAACTTCACTGCCATCTGAATCACCTAATTATTCAGGATTTTACCAAAAAAATAGTCTACAAATAAATATCTTTAAATATTAATGGTTAACACACTAACCGGCAAACGATTGTAAACCTCTAGCAAACATTCCGACAGTAATCAAGTGTTGGGCGTTACCGTCGGGTGTCGACAGTTCCACATCGAAAGCCGACTCTTTTAAGAGTTTTCCTTTATTTAACAGTTCCATCAGTACCTTATACGAGGCATTTATACTTTTGGTTCCGCCCATTATTCTCGAGAAGGTAGCCGACGATCCGTTTAAAGTGGTTGAATGCAAATGCCAGTTGTTATGAGCCGATGAGATTGTTGGTGCCAATGAAATAGCTCGGTTCCAGATGATAGTGGCCAACTCGTTATTACCTGAAAATATCATATTTTATGTGTAAATTGAATTATCAAACTTTTATTTAAAAAAAACAATCAAAAACTTGTTTACCAAAAGCTGGCAAATATTTGATCAATTCTTTAGTTGTTTTTTCGTCGTAAAGATATTTCGAGATAAGCTCTGCCGCTATAAAACGTGATGTCGTTTCCTGGTTTTGGTCATAGACTACACGTACTAACAGAAGTCTGAGCCTTGACTTTAGTTTGTCGTCGATTTGTGACAATTGAAGACATTCGCGAAGGGCTTTCATTGCGGCAATCGATTCGCGTTTACCGCCGATCGAGTACTTCTTAATTGACTGATAGACACCGTCACGGATGACACCGGTGTTGCCGATAGCGTGAAGTAACACAACTCGACAATCCGTTTCTTTACATAAATCCAATTCTGTAACCAAATGTTTGATAACTTTTGTCTGAAAATAATTATAAAAAAGACAATAATATAAATATCATTAATCACACCATTCATAACCCATTTAGTTCTTACAATTAATTCGTTATTTTTTGTGACATCAGTTTTAATATCAAATACATGAGCCCTCAATAGTGTGGCGAGTATTAGAAAAGCCGTTTGTTTTAGTTTTTCATTTTTCCATTTCTTGATCTCTGTTTGTTTAAGTATTTCGCCGATTACTTCATCGGCCATAACAGTTGATGATGGTATGGCCTGCATTTGCGCGGCGGTCATCACAGAAACAGCCAATTGTACTAAAAAGCGTTCGCCATAATCAAGGTCTTCACTTTTCGGTAGATTTAGATATTCAAATGCAGCGGACAGTGACTGTTCAGTTCGGGAACCTTTACCAGAAAAAATGATTAAGTAATTCAGTAATTAAATTAATTAAATCAGTGTTCAAATACCGGCCAATATGTCGATAATCGATGCAAAAATATCTTTCTTTTTTTTATACGATTTTAATAGTTTTATAATATCATCTTTGGAAGCGCCGGGACCTCCACTGCGAACCCGATCCACGAGTTTCAAGTATGATATTGTCATCGGTATCGACGCAATGGTTTCGCCTTTAATTTCGTTTTCGGTGTCTTTCAGTAAATGACTAATTGATTGACAGTTATGACACGTTTCCCTTTCGGGTGTCATCACTATCTGAGACACTATGTATTGTTCGCCCAAACTATCGATGGCTTCACTGATAGATATTTGACTCATTTTTTGTGTCGACGATTTTGTTTCCGATAATAATTTTAATGAAAAACTAAAATCACAAAAATATATAATTAAAAATATTTTTTTAAAAATTATTCAATTATGTTAAACCTATTGTATAGTTTTGAATGTGCAAATGAATAGATTCTTGATTGTAAAGTGACATTTTGCCAGCCATTGGCACTGATGACCACCGGGTGATCGCTGGCCAACTGTGCCGACACGTGCCACACGTCCTCGACTTCAGGATTAAGCAATGACTTGATATCGCTATTAGTTGTCGACGACTTCTTACTTATGGTAAGTCCGTCTGTAATCCATTCAAATGATGACTGAAAACATTGAAAATAAAAATCAGAATCTTTTTTAAAGCAATCTTTTTTATTGGCAATAATATTGACAAACTTTTTCTGGTGTTTTACTCCTCAAGTGATTCAATAGTGATTTCTTTATATTTGATGCGGTAGTGGTCTCTGACTGATGAACGACCACTTGTTTGACATCCCCTTTGCTGTCTATATGTGCAAACAGCGGATGATTCCAGTCGTCGATTCGGTTTCCGTCGGCAAACTTGGATCCCGTCCTCGACTTGAATTGCATCCAATCGATGGCCAATGAAAGCAGATAACCGCTCGAGTCTTGCCATATATTTTCAACGATGATTTGCGAGTCAATACCGAAGCCGGTCGGCTCCCGATAGTCGTTATTATTCATAATTATTTCACTTTTATAGCTATATTTGTACTGAACTCCTGGTAACGGTCCGTGACATAGTAGACCTGGTGTCGGGTGACAGCAAACACATAAAATTATCAAATATAGTGTTGCGGTTATCGCTAATATCACTTCCGACAACATCTCGACTAACATTTCACAACACAATTGCTTATATAATTAATTAGATAAAAGTTTTTTATGTAATATCAATCTACAAATATTTACGATAACTTTTTAATTTTTTCCCAAAAAGATATTAAGTGTGAAACAGATATATATAAGTTTGCAAATTATTATTGCACTACACGTTTGGTTATATTTTGTGGCAAAAAAAAGAAAACATATTTTCTTCCTCTGCCTGTTCTCTCTCTCTCTCTCTCTCTCTCTCTCTCCTCAGCGCACCGGGAGGTGAAGGTCGAGCACTGGCAGAGATAGACACCACTATTACTAACAAACTCGTTATTAAAAGTGTATATAAGCGGTGTTTTAAGTGACTTTTAGCCAAAACCTCTTAATAAGAGAGAGAAACACATGAAAACTTGAAACTTATTTATTATTAGAGAAAAATGTTAAGAGATTTTTCAGTGAAGTTTTATAATTATAGGCAACAAAACATTTAACCAAAAACTAGTTTCAAAGCAACAGGTAATCAAAGAGTTAGCACTTAAATCACTATAACTTTTACGGTCCGTCACTAATCACACAATTATTGTTTTGTAACTGAAAGGGAAATATACTTTATATATATATATATGGTTTCACTTTCTTAAACTAAAAACTAATAGTTTTTCTGGAAAAAATTATTTATAAAATTTTTTTTTGTCAACTTTTATTACAAATTCAATAAATGTTGTATATATGAGTATCCGAATATACTATATATATATATATATATATATATATAATATTATAATATAACTAATGTAAGTATTAATAACTTATCTGATTATTAAGTAAATCAATACATTTTGTTGTATGAATTTTATGCTTAAGTAATCTAAATATATGTGTTTTGTTTATATTAAAATTAAAAGTTTAAGTTTAATGTCATTTTCAAAGTTTCAATACAGTAGAGATTTTTTCTCTCTCTCCGTTTGAATGTCAGTCCAAAGGTATTCATATATTTTAATCATAAGTCAAATAAGTTGAATAAACTTAGGATTCATTATAATATTTAGCGACAATATATTTTTTGTCATTAAAAAAACAAATAAAAAAATCATAATATTGTCGTCATATATGATATGTATGTAAACTTAAAGAAAATAAAACTTACCGTAAAATATAGTGAAAAACGTAATCAGAAAAATCAATAATTTGTTGTTATGTATTAATAAATTCATTTTCATCGATAATGATAGTCAAACACAATATTTTTTCAAAAAAAAAAATTATATTATATTAACAAAACACAACACGTCTGAAGTATTTTTGTTTTATTGACAATTTAATAAATGTTTCAATAAATTTAATATATTAAAAATAAAGTTAAAAATAATATATAAAATATATATTATTCAATAATAATGATATGAAAAATGTGAGAAATAGGTACCCAATGCCGGCATTTAATTTAAATTATCTGTTTATTACGTAACCAATACTAAGCAGACATTTGAACGCATGGTTTATGGCATATATATGTATATATTGTTCAAAAAGAAAGACAAGAAAAACAAGTATTTTTCAGATTTTTTTGTACAGAAGACTAGTTATTATATAATAACAAGATTTGGTAACAAAAAAAATCGTTGACTTGTCTTCTCAACCATCAAAACCAATGGTCCTCTCAAACACTTGTATTGTATATACTGTTTATACAAAACTCTCTCTGTATTTGAAAATTTATTTTTCGAAATCACAGCAAAATTTTCAACAAAAAAAATGATAAGAAAAACTTTTAAATAACTTTTAAGATAAACTTCAACTTCATATATACGCTATAATTTGTGATATCATTTTTTGATTAATGTTTTGCTGATATTTCAAACTAATTTTAATCGTTTATTAGATTAATACTCTATAATTAACTATAAAATAGTCATAAAATTTAAATCTGAACAAATAATATTTAAATTATTAATTATGCAATAATTTATTTTATACAATAGTAATAATTTTTTTTTATTTAAACAATTCGACAGATGCTATAATACAATATTATAATTTATAATAATATTGTATATATTATTAGAAATTAAATTATATTTATTTAGCAAATATTATTTCAAAAATAATTTATCGTAATTTAATATCTCACTCTTTAGCCATTGATTGAACTTTATTTTAAATAAATAATAATAAATATGCAAACAAATGCATATTTTAAGATTAAAGTCTAATTAAATTATAAAATACAATTTAATAATTTACAAATATTATATTTCCACATAATTAAATTTTAATTATCCTATTGAAAATGCAATATAATTAAAATATATTAATTAGTCATTATTAATTGATTGGTAATTATATAAATTATGTTTCTATTGTTTATAAACTCTAAATCAATATTTTTAATAAATATAACTTAAATGAAAATTTAATAATAAAACATAAAACTGTAATAATTTAATTCTTATTATATTTTAGTAAATACTAAAATTGATATTAATTAATTAGATTTAATTAGTGAAAAATACATACTTTTAAAAATATATTAATATTATTAAATTAAAATTATATTATAAGAAATAACTTACAAAAATTAAATATAAATTAATAAATTTATAGCAATCAATCAAACTGTAATTTATTTTCCAATCAATACATAAATATCAACAAAGTTTAACAATATTGTTAATATATTATCTTATTTTAATTAACTTTAAATAGTTTTAAAATTAAGCAATAGTTTAAAATGTATTCTTAATAAATCAATTTAAAGTTAAAATCTATCAAAACACACATTATTAAATAAATATTAAAAATTTAGTTTTAGTAATTAAAAATGTTTTTTAAGAGATTGTCTGTAAATCTAATAGTAATAAATTATGATTAATATTAATAGAATATGAATAAAATATATTATATGACCGAAACAAATATGATTTATAAATCTTATTAAAAAATATGCATTGATTAAAAAAATAATCGACAAAAATAAAATTAAACAAGAAATCAAATATTTAAAAAAAATGTTTTCAAAAATATCACAAATTATTAAAATTGTATTATAAAAATACCATAAAATTTTTCATATAATATCAAAGTCAAATCTATTAGAAGTCAAAATCTATTTTTTTTAATTAAATTGTACTAATTATAAAAAATATATTTTCTAATTACCTATATTTATATGTAATACTACAATATAATGGAAAATAATTTTTTTGTGCTAAATTGAAATTTTTCAAATAGAAAAACTATTTAATCAACTGTTCAATAATAGTATTACTAATAATTTTTTATATCTGTGTCAAACTTTTTGTTTCTTGTTTAATAATAATATAAGAAAATATATAAAATATTTTTGTCGACTAAATTATAACCAAAAAAACACAGACAATCCCTTTTAAAAAAAACATTTCTATGTATAACAAGTTTTTTGTGTGTATTTAAGCGTATTATACATTAGTTAAATAGATCTTAAAATTTATATTAATATTAATATAATTTTTTTTATGTATTAATGACACAATAATTTTGTCAAACACACTATTATTATGTTTATAACAATTAATTTTATTACTAATTAAAACTTCTTATCATTATTTAATGTATTTGTTTGAAACAATTAAAATATATTTTCAAAATCAAACTTATTTAAAGTTATATATTTAATATATGTCTCACTGTTTCATATCCTTCAACTTTTTTTCAATTATTAAACAATATGTCTTTGGATTCAAATTTAATTTGGTTTTATAAAATAAATAAAAACAAATTTTGGCAATCATTTTGATCATTACATATAAATAATAATAATAATAGAAAATTGTCAACAATATACAGGGTTTAGTTAAATTATTTAATTTAAAAAATAGCTCAAACAAAAAAAGATATGTGAAAATTTCAAATTAAAAATAACTTTTTGATTAGATTTTACTGAACACACCTAGCTATAAATTAGAAAATATAAATTTTTAGTTTATAACATAGAAAAATAAATATAAAAAATAATCTTTTTTTCAAATATTGAAAACATATATCAATGAAATGTTGACAAAATTAAAATATAATAATCATTATTAAATATGGGGATAAATAAAAATTTAAATTTTAATAATTATAAATAAAACAATAATAATATTAACCCAATAATTAAAAACGTGATTAATATAAATATAATTTATAAATATTAACATATTTTTTATAAACCATTTCTAAACTTTTGTCATCATTTAAATTTTATCCGTTTTAATCTTTCGTTAAAATTTCAATAGTTATTGTTATTATAATAATAATTATTATGAGAAAACAACATTATATATATAATTTTTAACACATAACTAATGGTGTAAATTATATTGCAAAATTAATTAATATGTCTAATATGACTATTAAATGATTAGACAAATAATTAAACGTTGTTTTTTGCCATAAGTTTATGGATTGTTAAGAAAACAATAAATTGCAAACTATTAGTAACAAAAACATTGAATAAACCAAAAATTATTATAATTAATAAATAAAATGATAGCTCAATGAGTAAAAAATTAAAACAATTTATCAAAATCATAGTAAAAAAACGAAAAGTTGTTTTCTCATAATTTATTTACTATACATTAGATATTTAAAAAAGTTAGTTTTTGTTGTTTAAAAAGATATAATAATATACATATTATTTAATAATACCACTGATTTTTTTAAATGTTTTGTTTTTAAATGTATTTAACACCTAAAATGAGATAAATATTTTGGGATAAGAAGTATCGGATCACCGATTCCTATGCCTGTTGTGTTTGTAGTAGACGTTGAGCTGAGCGTCGTTTTCGCCGTAAAAACCGCGGCCACGGCAGAGGCCATTCAAACGATCGGGGAGTCATTTGAGATAATTGGCTATCTGTGCGATCGCCATATGTTATGCGTTCACTTAATGGATGCGCGCTTTCAAAGTATATAAAGATATGGTACCACCAGACACGGGACAGGTAGTTGGTTGACGGCTGGAACTGTCATTTTTAAAATGTAAACAAATTTCATTAATAAATTACTTACTATTTCTTTAAAAATATTATAAAAAATAAATAAATAAATAAAAGTAATGAATACAAACCCTGAGAGCATTATTATAACATAATGTGTGATAAATCCAGAAAACTCGTGTTGTGGCAAAATATGCGATCACTATATCGATAAGATAGTGGCCCCGGGATATCAATATACACACGATTCCCGTTAAGGTCAGTGCAATCAAAAAGAAGTTCACAAATTTCCATAAATATGTCCGACAACGGGATGGGATGGCATACTCGCGAAACATTAAATAGGCTGTCAATTCAATTCAATTTATTTATTATAAATATATTTATATTATGTCATAATTTTAAACAAATATAAACTTTTTATTATTATTTTGATGACTTTATTTATAATCTTTATAATCTATCATTTATATTAAGTATTAATATTCTACATATTTTAGACTAAAATGTAATTTATATATCATATACTAATCATTAGTGTCTATATAATATAAAGCATGAAATTGTTAACAAAAATATGAGATATTGAAATGTAAGCTTAAAGTAATTAAAGTTTCTGTAGAAACCAAACTATAAATAGAAATCAATTTATGAATTCATAGAATATTCCTAAACATTCCTAACTATTATTTTGATCACAAATTTTTGTCTTAATATTTTTCAATACATTAAATAAATAATACAATCCACTTATTGTAACCTATTTTATATAAATACTTTTAACTGTGAATATATTGTATTTTTTGTTATTAAATTCATGTCATTTACACACAGCTGATAAAAATTTAAAAAATAAATAAAATTTATACAAATAGTTAAAATACTCAAGTAATCATCTAACGTATAAATGTGATAAATTGTGGTTAAAATGTATATACAATAACAGTATAAATTCACTTTAAAACCAGTTTCCGATTTCTCGAAAATAAAAAAACTTAAAAACATGTTATTCCTAATAATTAGTTATTCAATTATAAACATTTTTTAGGAAATATCGAGAAAATAAAGTTTAAAAATAAATTTAAGTAAAATATACTATTTTCCCCGTAATTACATCATAAATTCCTATAATCTAAAATAGTAAAATATATTTTTGTTTAATTAAAATAGTTGCCCTTGGTCATAATAACAAATGCGCTGTACACAAATATATAATGTATGCTCAGGTGTGTTTGGTATTTATTTAAAATATTATCTGTATAACAACCTACTTGTGCTTACTGTTAGTCACCAAAAATGTAATAAAAATTGATACATATTGTTAAAGTAAGTGATTGAATACAAACCAATCGTTAAAATGATGGTATGTCCTGAGTATATATAATCGCCACAATACGAGTGATGACCGTTAATAGATAAACCCATACCCAGACTCATGTAGAAGACTCGTGAAGCTATTATCGATATAAATTGACCGGTCGTCACATTGGACTGACCCGACGGGTCGCTAGAATTTCTCAACTATAATATAAAAAGGAAATACATAAGCAATTTAGCAAAAATATGTTTTTTCACACAAATCATTTTTCTTGATTTATATATTTATACAGTATATATGACAAATTGTTTACAAATTACATAGCATTTAAATTATTTAATAAAGTATTTTTATGTTTACAGATAACTAACAGTTAAATGTATGTCAAAAACACACAGAAGTTTTTTTTTATATTAATAAAGACAATGTTTTAAGGGTTAAGGCAATTTTTAAAAATATATTAATTATTTTAATGACATTGAAATCAAATCAGTGTCTTACAAATTTGGCACTAAATCACTCTTAAGAGACATACTTATCCTATTTATGCCAATATATAAATTATATAAATTTATATCAATCTATACACAAAACATAAGTTAATAACTACAGTATACTGTATATTAAACGTAATCTTTATATCTAATAAATCTAGAATCCATTATATTATATAGAAATTATATGCATATATCAAATTTATATATGACATAAAAATTAAGTTTAATTAATAATACTTTAATAATATGTTATGGATCTCATAAAATCTAACATATAATGTTTCAAACATTATTGGTTAACCTAAACTTTAATATAAATTAAAAAAATCCTTTAAAAAATTTTCTATACCTATAATTAATTAATGTTCATTAAAAAAAGTATAAGATTAAAATATTAATTTTAAAAACTCATTATTCAATATTAATACAGGTATACACAATTATATAGTGTATTAATTAATAAAGAGTCATTATTAAAAAACAATGGCATGGAAATTATACATATATTAGTATACTATTATGCCTGTATAAAATTTTTAAAATTAAAAAATGTGTCTAGTTAATTTTTCCACATACAAAATCTTTAACAACACCAAGGTCGATTTTAGTGTATTTTAAAACTAAATAAATATAATTGTTTGTGTAATTGTGTTGAAAAACTATTTGTAATATTTATAAAATTGCAAATCTAAGCTTTAATTATATTTAAAACGAGTGTGACTTATAAATAGTGCTATAATTATTCGCTTTAATACAATCTCAATAACACATTAAGTTTAATGAAATAAAATATTGATTCACTTCATAAAAAATGTCAAAAATTTAAACGAGTTTTTTATTTATTGAATCAAATTTCAAGTGTTTTGATGCAATGATTCGCCGCTTAAAAAACTATTTCCTTATTAAACAAATTATTGTATAATTATTGGGATAATAACAACGCTTTGAATATACTGTATATATGAGAGTAATATTAGTAATATTATATTACATTAAATTAGCGATAAAGCGAGACATCATTAAATGTAATAATAAAATGTAATATTCATAATAATGACAATAATTTCAATGAATCTCTTTATTATTCAGTGTTTTGTATAATAATAATACAGTATATCAGTGCAATAAATTCATTATACTATTATCTCTAGTTTTACGGATACTTTATATATTTAGTTTACTATTCAAAACCAGTAAACCCTAACTATATTAACAATTAAATTTATAATAATATATATATACAAGTATATAATATAAGAAACAGTGAAACATCCATTAATGCAATAAAGCATACATTTATTTAATTGAATTTGTCTACTATTGGGAGTCACATTATTATTATTTATTTTTTAAGAGTAATATAGTGTTCAAATATCACTAAAAAAATAAATATATAAATTTTTTCAATTATTAAATTACTGTCTAATACAAACAAACTAATGTAATGTTTCATATGAACAACAATTGTAATAAATTGAAATTACTAGTTGGATATTTTTAATAAATGCAATTTTTGGTTTATAAAAATATTTTCATCAAATGTTAAGTTAGAAAGTAGTGGTAGTTTTTATTTAAAGATTATAAGTTAATAATAGACAATATTATGACATCTAAACTTTAATAATAAAATTTTTGTGTCATTAGTCTCTAGTGTTTCATTAGATTTGGCATATAATCAAACTATGATATCTATTAGAGTGACTAATATTTATCAACTATTTTGACTAATAAAATATACATCATATTTAAGATTTGAAAAACATTTCATTTAAAAATATGAACCGTTGTATTAATAATAAAGTACGGCAACTAATTTAATAATAAACAACTTACAAATTATATATTAAATACTACTAAATAACAATTTTAAATATTTATTATTTATTATTATACTTCATTATTAACAATTATTGAGAAATATAATGGAAAAAATCCACTAAAATATAAGGAAAATTCATTATCAATGATGTCATTACCGTAAAGACAAAAATCTTTTTGTTTTTAGTAAAATATAAATAAAATAATGTTTTGAATATTCAGAGAAAAATGAAAGTTAAACTCATAGCAATAATTCATTGTTAAGCTAAATATTATTATTATTATTATTGCATACATGATAGTTAATATATCTAACAAACAATAAATATTGAAATAAAAGGAAATATTAGAAAAAGGCAAAACTATTGACAAAAACTAATGACTTTTTGGAGTAATAAAACATTTTTTTGAAAATTATATTTAATATATAATATTATAGACAAATAAATAAATTGAATATCACATAAACAATGATTAGTTTCACTTACTTGTGGTGAACAATAATAGTTGACGTTAGCGACGGGAACTTGTGTTGAGGCCATACATATGGCCCGAAACAAATATAAAACACCCAAAATTATGCAAATACGACGAAATAATATCACACTATATATGTTATATATTTTAAAAATAGTAAATCAATTATTAAATTTTATGGGCAAATGTTTTTCATATTGTCATTATTTTATGATAAATTAGTTTCAACATTCAATTGATCGACAAGTGAAGGGCAAAGTCTAATATAAACTTAGTTTTATTAATAACTAAAGTATAACTATAATAATGTTTACTAAAATTGTCGATACAAAAAAAAAGTCAATAATGGGTTATTTTTTAATACATAAATTGACTATAAAATTATAGTTACAATTGAATTAATAGCCTTATAAATACATACCGATATCTATGAAGTGTTATAAGTACAACAACACCCACTACTTGAATGACAATTATGTATTCGGCCACAGATAGGGCCCAATCGGCTGTCGGAAGAATATCAAACGCAAGATCGGGTAACGGTGGCTGATTCCGTGGCACCCGTTCGTGAATTATGGCCAAAACGGTTAGATTTAGTGTCATATTTGCAAATACAAAGAGTAAGGCAAGAAATGAACGCCACAAAGAGTTCGCTTCTTTATTGGCCATCAGTTTGTCTCCTTTTCGCATGAATTTGTCGGGAATAGGGATCTGAATTAGTCCGTTGCGGTGATCTTTGGCTGACGAGGAACTACTACCACTGATACTACTACTACTTGACTGCATTGAGTCTGTTATAGTGGTAGTCACTGTTGGCCTGAGTGTAGCCGTCGTTGTGCTGATCGATGGTCCAGTCATTGATATTTCTATTGTCGTGTCGTCAATGATTAGACTGTGGTTAGTGCGGGCGGTTTGGCCGGTTGTATGCGAGTCGTTGGCTTCAGTGGTCAATAGCGGCACATAATGAGTCTGATGTGATGTCGACGGTAACAACGGTTCCGATTCCGCTATCCGGTCGGCGCTCGTCGGCTGTGCGCTTCGTGACAGACGAAGTGTCGCCTCTTTTGTATGACTTCCTGATGATAGGGTCAGCACTTGTGTCCCCAAATCGGCCATCAATTGACTGTAAAAGTCAAGACATTTTGTAAAAGACAATCAATAGGTTAGTAGTCATTCAATTGTGCGCTAATATTATCACATATTATGACTAATAATTAATTACTTATTATTAATAATAATAATTAGAGATAACTAATACTAATAGTAATACTAATAATCAATAATAAAAAGTAAATTAACCACAAATTGATAACAACACAGATGTCTTGCAATGAACTTCAATGATGTCACTGAAAACTAGAGGATGTCTTCAAAAAACATGTATCACTTAATCAAATAAAAACTGTTTTGTCCACCAATTCATTGATCGGTTGTTTTCAATCAATAAATCATATGTTTTTTATATACAATTAATTAATTAGTCAATCAATCGGTGGACACAAACAACAACTACGACAACAAACACTATAATAACATGACATGAATTGACTCATTCAGTGATTCAACGATACATTACTACAGTATTAGTAGTTGTAGTTCAAGTCAATGACGATTCAAGTCATAAACTATAATATTATTGGTTGTATACTGTAGTCGACGTATTGAGGTATGTGTTGTATACGTACAGTAAGACAACGTTAATAGTAAAACATTGTTAGCTCTATTATGCCGTAACTTTGGTTGACTTTATCAGAGTACTCACTGTACCAATCAAAATGCTATGCGACACACATATATATACAGTTTACGCTATTTAATGTGAACCGCTATTTTAAAAATATTTATTTAAAAAAAATACTGATATTATACTGTATATTGAAATAAACATATTTATTAAAACTATGCAAACTATTTGTGTATAACTTTTTTATGTTTGTTTGTTAAGTATGTGTAAAAAATGAAATGAAATGATCATGTTCAATTTTCAATTTTCAATTTTCAAATATCATATCAACAAATTTTTTTATACAAATATTATTATTATTATTATATTAAATAAATAAATAACTGAATCAATGATGGATTTAATTTTATATAATATGAATACACTGTCTATTATATTGTTATTTCTTTTTGAATATTCTATACATATGTTTATAAAATGTGTTTAAGTTTTAGTTTATATTAACGCCAAGTGCTTGTGTTGGCACACCGTTTGACAGGTGCTTGAAATAGACACTCCGTGTGCGTCATCACAATCCCTATCCACACAAATATAAGGGATGCGCCCAATATTATACATATTATACAATACATTCATTCAATACAATCTAATATATAATATAATCAATGCATTTATTATGAGTTTTTTATTTTAGTTTTTTTTAATGTTTTATATAACAATTTTATATAATAATAGTTAATACACTATACAAGTAATGAGTTGTTATAATAATAAAAGAAAAAATTTGTCATTAAAATTATGATTAATAGAAAAACTTTAATAATAATAATAATAACTTTTGATATAATAATTTATTAAATACTATATACAGTATAATACTGTATTATAAATGTTAAGATACAAAACATATAGCGTGTATTGATTGACTAAATTGATTAATGAGCATGATGCTATTTATTTTATTTACCATGGTTTAATTAACTTGCTATTTTAGTAAACACCTACAATCATATATCCTATTATAAATGTTTTTATTACAAATGTTAGGGTTTATCTGAATACTTGTAAATTTGTAAAATGCAGATACAGTACAGTATTACATCTAAATTTATGATTGATATTAGACTGACCAGAGATACAGGTGCTGACTATACTCTTATAGATTTTTAAAAAAAAAATAGTGTCTGACCTAGGTACAATTTCAACTAGATTTAGTAAATAAACATCAAATTGTTAAATATTATGACTATAGAATATTAATAATATAGTAATTGTTAGTAATTATACAAATATACAGTATATTTTTATATTTTAAAACACAAAAAGTAATAAATATTTATATACATACAGTAACACTTGTAATGTTAATTTTTAAAGTTATTTAAATGTAACAATTAAAAAATATATATATATATATAGATTAAATATTTTTGATCTACATGTTTTGAAAAAAATAAACTGATCAGCCTAGTTGTCATAACACTGTTTATAATAATAGTTATGCAATGCATACAATATAATAATTATTGAAATGTGTAGTTACATATAATTTTATTATTAAATACATATACATATATATATATATTGAATATTATAAATATTAATTATTTAAATTATCTGAAATAATGTATAGACATACCTGAATCAATTGATGACATATTGAGATGTTTTCAATGGATATTTGACGAAACAAGACTACACTAATAATACTTTGTATTAAAAAAATTATTTTCTCAACATTTGTCAGTTTATGTGTATTATCACGAGTAATGAAGAAAACATAAAAAATAAATTATCATTTTTTGCAATACATATACATGAAAGTTATGATTAAATTGAAATTATTATATACAAGTATTACATTTATATTCTGTTATCTATTTCTTTAAAAAATATATAATGTTTATTTAGTTAGTTAAGTAGATTAATATTCAGTATGCTGTTAACATTGTTTATATAATATTTAATTATAAATTAAATAACAAATTATTTTTTAATTAACATATATTATATTTATTTTATTAGTTAAAAAAATAATATCAAATTAAATATTTACAATAATAAAAAACAATTTAAAATGTGAGTTTTTTTAAAAATATTATATATTGATAACAAAAAAAATCCTAATTATGATAACAAAAATAACGATAATAATAAAAATGTTAATGTCATATTATTTTTACTTGTCATACATACATGTTCTTACTTTAAAATTAAATTTATTAAATTAATAAATAAAAAACAGTATTACCTTAAAAATGTTTAACTATGATTAAGTTATTTTTATTACAAAAGATCATAAAAAATTAATATATATATATAATTAAATAAATAGAAAATATAAATACATTTTATTTAATAATAATTATGTAAAGCACTGATATCTTCTGGATAGTAGTTGTCCGTCAATTGGTCCAAATGATGTGACTGTTTATCACTTAATTTGTATGAATTAGTAGAATATTGGTGACCATCGCTATGATATTCACCGCTTTTGTGACCACTTTGTGATGCTTTTCCATAGCCTTTCCAGGCCTGTGCCGCATACCTGAGCGGCATATAATAAGTGACAAAGTTATGCATGTGTTGTAATCCGTGCCATCGTCTCAATGCATGCAAACCAATAATCCCTAGAATTACTCCTTTTTTGCTTTCGATAACTATAATGATGTTTACAAACATCACAATCATTGAAAACAATAGTATTTTCTGTAATTTAAATATATTATAATTAAAATTCAGTTATTAGTATTAGTATTATAATATTTTGAAATAATAAAATACTTACGTTAGGTTTCATATTTATGTTGATATATGTCTATCACAATAACAACAAATGTTTAATTTGTTATTTCACAAACTTTACAAAACTATTATTTTGAATTTTTGCCTAAAAATGTTTGTCTTTATATACTCTCATCTAAAATTTACTCATCTAAAATTTTTTATTATTTTTATTAAAAAAAAATAAGTGACCCATAATAAAACTTTCATACAGATAAAGCGTTATTTTTATTTTTAAATATATAGATAAGATAATTTATATTAAAATAATATTTTAAAAATAATTGTGCTTAGTTTTAAAATGATTTTTAACATATATACTTTTATTAATTTATTATTAATTTTATTTTAACTAATTAATAGAAAATAATTTATTATTAATTTTATTTTAACTAATTAATAGAAAATAATTTTTAATATTTTTATTAATTGTATAATTTATACATGTAAATTCTGTAGTTTATAATTTTTTTTATAAATTATACTAAACTATACACTCCTTTAATAGTCTAAATAAAAAACAATAATACTCATAGATATGCCATAAATGTCTTAACTTTAAATCGGTGTTACTATCAATTTATAGGAAATGTATTTTTTTTTAAATTTAGTTATAAATAAAGTTATTAGTTTATTAAAGACTTTCATTTTTATTTATATTTTAAAATTAGATTATTTTTTTTTATTTTTTCCATATATGTAACAAACAATAATATTTAGTGTTTATAAACAAAATAAATTAGATAATTATAAAAATATTTGCATTTTATAAATGATTACTAATAATAAAAATAAATTCTGAAATAAAAAGTTTAATAATCAAATATATAATCATAATTTTATGTTAAAATGATTGTAAATGTTTTTATATATATTAAAATATTGTTATTTAAATAAAAAATCAATAATATATATATATAATCACATTTTTATATTTCAATATTGTTCGCTTTGTTGTGTAATTTTAATTGAAATTTAGTTACTTTTAATTTTACTTTTGTAATACATTTAATAGTTATGTTTACAAAAAAATCAATAAATTATTATGTTGATTTTATATATAATAGTATAATTATCAATACAGATGTTGTCTATATTATACTGTTTGCAGATATAATAAATTTTATATCAGTATATATTTACAACAAATATACTAAAATAAAAAAAGACTTGTATAATAGATAGAGATTTTAAAATATTTTAAGTAAATTTGTTTAAATGTTTATGAGAAACAATTAATACAATACTTTCTATTTTAGCAATTAATGTATTATATTGTATTAATTAAGGAAACCTACAGTAATATAAAACTATTTTGATTTTGCAATTTTAAAATTTATTTTCTAATTACTTCTATAAAACTAATAAAATGTACTTTTATTTAATTTAAAGATAATGTTATAACAATTGTTTAAAATATGTTATAATAATTATAATAAATAAAACATTAAGAATTTATATTGAACAATTATTATTTTGTATATAAATAATAAGTTATAATTAAGCATAATATAATTTTTCATATAAAAATATTAATTATTAATATTAATATCAGAGTAGAATAAAAGCTAAGTAAAAATTAATTGAAATATTAATTTAAAATTTAAGTTTAAAAAAATTCTATAAATAATAATAAAAATTTAATAAATAATAACAAAAATTTAATAAATAATAATAATAATTTAATAAATAAATAAATATATTAATTGTTGTCTTAACATTTTGAACGTCACAAATATTTTTCAATGTTTTATTTAAGTAAATAAAAAATACTAGTCATTCATACGTTTTTTACTAAGCAATTATTATAAATCATTTTATTTTTTAAAAAAGATATAACAAATCGACAAATATTTTCTAGACAAGCATATCATGTAATTATTGATAAGTAATTGTATTGGTATTTAGAAACATATCAAACCTAATGTGACAATTATTAATAATTTTGATTTTTAAAAATTATACAAAATAATTAATTAATATCCAAAATTCCCACTAACTATGAGTATGTCTGCGATAAATTACAAAACTTTTAATATCATTAATATATGTTAACTGTTTAATGTATATACTGTACTATAGATGGCATATAGTGTCATATAATTAGAA